CCATGCCCCGACTCGGGTTTTGAAAAGAAGCCACCAGTCGCCGGCAGCATCCTTACCGAGAATTCGGACCACATTTCTAGTTGGATAGCTTCGACAATGTTCAATGTCGTTGATATAGGAGGGTTGACCAGGTGCATGCGCTCTATTAGACATAGGCACACCTGACTTGATCACAGCGCCAGAAAAGTCCGCATTGAAATTGCCTGACATCTGTTGGTTTGTACACGCCATGAAGAAATTGTTTGTACGGCCGATGACTGGCGCAGTCCTCTTGTATGAATCTCTTTGAATAGCCGTCATGGCCTGAACTTGTTCCCGAGTCCTGTGCTTCATGAGTGCGTGGCGGTTTTCAGATGCGGTGTATGATAGACTTTCATCACGAAGCACCTTTCCTGAAGAGAGAAGTGTGTAGGAGTAGAAAAATGAATTCCCAATGAAGCCTCTCCCGTCTTGGGGGAACCACTCTGGGAAAAGGCGCCATATGTTGAAGACGTTCATTAACATAATAGGCCGTTCTGGAGAAGGCTTCAGTGCTCTTATCATAGTCCTCATCCACCATGAGATGACTATGTCTCCCTCGCTTAGGAAGGGAGGCTCTTTTGATTTAGGGACAGCTTGAGCCAGGTCATGTCGGGCTATTTCCGTCATCTTGGACACATAGTGTCCTGGGACTCGAATAGTATGGTCCACTTCATCCTGTGAGAATAGTAACTCCACCATGTATCGAATTCCAAACAAGAGAAGATTGAGACCACTCAATACGAGCCCAAAATGATGGTACTCCTCTTTCAGCTGGTTCTGTCCCAGCGTATGAAGAGGATCGCGTTCGAATGGTACCATGGGCGGTATTTCGTCTTCACAACCTCTAAGTACCGCACTCCATGCACTCCAGAAAGACGATCGAGAAATCGCGTCGAAAAGGGTGTGGACGTAGCTTGTTGTTATTAGGGTAGTATCGCGGAAAGAAACGACATGGATATGAAGTTGTGGGCGATCCGAATAAATCCAGTCGGCAAGCTCTTTAGGACTCTCCGCATGACACACCAACGGTTCGAAAAATCTGCCGGGGGGGGAAAGGAATGATTGATCGTATTCTTGACTCGGCAATTTAGAACCAATCTCATGTTCAGTGATATCCATGTCGTAGTCCGCTTTCGTGAAGATAAAGGCGGGACGTGCCTTTGTGAAGCTTGCGGGTATGTGATATTCCAACCTGTTATAACTCTGAGAATGTGTCATTAAACCGTCCAAAATGCCAGGTCGAGAGATGTTTTACCCTCAGTCTCAAGCGAGCACCTAGCTGTCCCCAATCCCCGATTTCCATCAAGCGATTCAAGGCTGACTCAAGCTTTGATACATCGAGAACATCGTCGATGCGAAAGGTGTAGTCGTGGCAGATACATCTGAGATACTCCAGATCATCCCAATACCTCAGTGGAATTACCCGGTCGGTCGGTACTTTTGCTGGTTGCCTTCGACCGAAAATTGAAGAAAGCATTTTCGCGACGTTGATTAGGGATTTTTCAGTGTTATTGGAAATCTGCAAGTGTTCCTAGTTCAATGCGACTGAATGATAATCATAGAGTATGTACGCCTGTTGATAATTTGTAGAAGCGGTGCTTCAGCGAGTTCAATCATTGATCAATAATATTATTGTTTCATGCTAACAGAAACCAGCTTGCCACGGAATCCGTGTTGATACATCAGTCCGCCTGTGATGCAAGGCCTGAACGCCATGCAGCGACGGAAAATAGTTGCTGATCGGCCGGATCAAAATTACTGTATGCAAGGGATATCAAAGCGGTGTGGCTGTGCTAGCCACTGTTTGAGTGCATCATGAACACCCAAGGTTCGGTCTGGCCAACAAAAAAGATTAAGCGGTGTGACAGCTGGAAAAAATCAAAATTTACATTTGTACAATATGCGATCTATGTCATGATGGATTCCCGGCCCGAAGAACTCATTACAGTTACATTTTACATTCCACTGGCACCAGCAAATTGTATACAAAAATATTAACGGTTGTTGGATTGATTGCGCCGGTTGTAATATCACTACTAGTATGGGATATGATAGTATCTCCGGGCTGCTGAGAAAAGGATTTTTCCGTGTCCGATCGAGTGAAGATACTCTACTTGGCTTTTAAATAGTCTGACATCGTGCTTTTTGTAGATAACGACCAAGGGCCATCATCGGGAAATAGTGGCGGTAATAGTCATATCCAAGGAAAAAGTGGTTTGGGAATCCAGTCCCAGTAAAGACGCCCTCGGGCCATGAAGACCCAATGCCCTTCTCGGGTTGAAGAGTCACTACCAGGTATTGAATTCCTTGCTTGATGGCAGGATCTTCCGGGGAGAGATGCGCCAACAATCCCATCAAAGCCCACCCGGTTTGCGAAGCAGTCGAACTTTGCTGATCCTGACCCGCCGATCGGTATGATAGAAGCGATTCACCCCAGCCCCCATCAGCCTGCTGCTTGGCCTTCAGCCAACGCAAACCTCGCTGCACCATAGCAGAAACTTGCGAGTTATGAGGGTAATATGCAAGTCCACATAGAGCATGACTAGTGCCGTAGACGTAATTGCAGCCCCATCGTCCAAACCAAGATCCATTGGGTTCTTGTATAGACGCAAGGTATTGGATTCCACGCGTAGAAGCGGCTTGGAGTGTTGGGAAGAAATGGCTTGCGTGGGTCTTCTCCGGCATACACTCCATCATCAGCCCGAAGGCTTCCAGTATGCGCCCGGTGATATCTGCACAGGATGTATCACATAGACTATCCATGTCACTAAAAGGGATTTTGTTGAGGAACAGCTTGTTGTTCTCCACATCAAAAGCAGCCCAGCCTCCATCAGAATTCTGCATTCCTGCGATCCATGTAGCTGCTGCTATCACAGAGTTTGATCCGACAGATCCTGCATCATGTTTTACCTGAGCAAGGATTATCGCAGCAGTGTCGTCCACGTTGGGGTACCAGGTGTTCTTGTATTCGAAGCTATATCCACCTGGTGGGAGGCCGGGTCGGTATACGCGCCAATCTCCGTAGGGGACGATCAATTGTCGATTTCTGATCCATGAGATTGCTCGATCGATGACCTGTCGATTTGGTGACATGGCGTCGGAGAGTCCGATCGACATCAGGGCAGTGTCCCATACAGGCGAGACACAGGCCTGGACGCGTTTGCCGTGTTCGTCTTCCCAACAAAAATTTTCGATGGCCTGGATCCCCATCTTGACTGGGGCATCATCAAATTTGTAGCCTTCAAGGACGAAAGCAAACACGCTTCCATGCATGGGGGGGAATATTCCAGCCCAATCGCCGGTTGATTCCTGCCGATCAAGGATCCACTCGAGACATTTGCGTCGGGCATAGGTGCGAAGGAAGGGAATGGATCGGAGCCCGTTTAATTGGTAAAGTAGTTTGTCCACACACGAGAATGCGAGACCAGGCAAATCGCCGTTGAGCAACAACGTCGACAGAGGCAGGCCATAAGGCACATCTTTGTTCTGAGCATCGATCCACAGTTCATCCAGATAGTCGTTGTTGGCAGACTGACCGTTCGGCAGAGAGTAGATAGGTTGGTGATGACAGATAATCAACAGAGGCGCAATGGTACCCCGAGCCCAAGAAGCAAAAGTATATATGTTGATCGGAGAAACCGATGGGACAAGAATCAGCTCTACGGGTAGCGTTGGCACTGCAATCCAAGGAAACAAACCAAAGGTCGCCAAGAAGATTCTCGTGAACATGCGAACCTTTGCAACACCTCCAGATTGGATTACAAATTTCCGAGCTCGCTGCATGACTGCATGAATAGGAGCGAAACCAAGAATCTTGAGAGCCAGATATGCCTCAACCGTGGCAGATACATCGCCTGGAATTTGGGGTGCCAGTCCCCATGAGCCATCTTCATTCTGCTCAGAAAGAATGTGTCGACAGTAGGCCGCTTTATCAGTTTGTATATCGAGCCCTAAAGCATATCGCAGAAAAATGTATTCTGAAGTGATCGTGACGTTGGATCTGAGTTCACCACACCAGTGACCATCGGAACGGACCAAGGAGTTGGCATAGTCTGTCGAAAGCTTCAACGAATTCTCAACTTGGGGTAACAATTGACTCGATTGAATATCGTCTGCCACAACCTCGGTAGAGATGGCCATAGTGGGAATTTGGGAAGTATTTGAAAAACGTGGCCGACAGCCCATGATATATTTAGTTATATATCCAGGGACTCGGAAGTTCCGCCGATAGTACCTTGCAAGGTTCCAAGGTTCTAACAACACCGGGGCAAAATAGCCCCGACCAAGAGATTTGCAGTAGTACTGTAATGTCCATACTTGAAGGTCTAAGAATACACTTACGTTCAAGTCGGTGTGTCCCCTAAAGCAAACACGATTAATTTATCGAATCAACTAGTCAGGCTAATGCAAGATCATTATCTTCCATTGAAGAACTCTATCCCTTGCAGAAACCTAACTTTAGGTGCAGATTATCCTGCGGGTTAGCATCGTTAAGTAAGGGGTAAATGTGCGACCAGAACTCTAATAGTATTTCAATAAATATTTAGGCGATTATCTAACACGGCAGACAACCGGGGTCCTCTCTGATATATTGGTACTTTTCACTTACATGCAGCCATGGCATAGCGAATTCCTCCAGTTACATGTATAGCGATCGGTTGAGCTTCTTTACAATGACACCCATATCAATCTTTGGGGTTACCAAAAACACAGTGAGAGTAAACTCACCGACTGCAATATTCATAGGCATCAGCCTGATTATCATAATATTCATCCGCCAATCCGTGCGTATAAGGTCGAGAAGGCTAGAGAGATCGCTAAACTGCGAGGTTCCACGAGACGAGAGCGATCGTTTTCGATTCGACATATTCGGCATCGTGAAGGCACTCGAGCTGGGATATCACTTCCACAACAAAAGTTCTCTTGAATATACCAATTCCTTATTCGGCCGATATGGGGAGACCTATGCTTCGTATATAATGGGATACCGACTTTTCTTCACCCATAACGCAGAAAACACAAAATATTTACTATCTACTGCATTCCCCGATTTCGAAAGCTCGCCCTTGAGAAAACCCTTGTTCGAGCCGATCACGCCCCATGGGATCTTTACACTTGACGGCCCACAGTGGAAGGTCAGTCGCGACCAGCTACGCGGACGCTTAGCAGATTTGAGGAAAATCATAGATTTGAACGTTTGTGAAGAGCACTTCCAGGCATTTCTCAAACATGTACCAAATAATGGCGGTCTGTTCGATGTTCAATCTTGTACGTTTGCCTTATCCTTAGATTTGCAAACTCTGTTTTCGTTGGGTGAATCTATCGATGCTCTAAGCTTTAATCAGTCTGCAGAAAAGAAGCAATTCTTTGATGATTTACTCTTTGTGAAGACTCGTATAGTACACGATGGCTTCAGAGGGCCACTGCGTCACTTATATCCCAAGGGTTCATTCCTTCGGGCGTGTGAGAGAGTGCGGGCGTTTGTATTGACACGCGCATCTCGTGAGATTCGGAAAAGAAAAAAGAACAGTGAAATGGTTGTCTTAGATGAAGATTCTGAAGAAATCACTCAATTCACAGATCAAGCTCTGAGCATATTGCTTGCCAATGACAGTATGAGTACCATACTCTCGGGGGTATTCTTTTGTCTTGCCAAAGATCAACACATCGTGGGCAAGCTTCGCATGAGTATTGTTGATGCCATTGGCCTTTCACCACCGACATGGACTGATCTGGGATCCCTCCAATACGTCCGCTGGGTGATTTATGAAGGTAAGATTCTTTGTCCAATCTGATATTGGCACATGGCTAATATTGAGGGGAAGCTATGAGGCTTTACCCCCCAGTCGTACTCAATGCAAGAGTCGCGAACAAAGTTTCCACCTTACCGACCGGTGGTGGAATTCATGGAATATCGCCCATTCTAATTCAAAAAGGTGAAATAGTGGTGTTTTCTACCTGGGCTAGGCATCGTCTTGGGGAAGACCTTGGCCCCGCGCCTCATGAATTTCGACCAGAACGATGGGCAAATATTCCAGGAGATGTTCCCGGCTTCATCCCGTTCAACAAAGGGCCTAGGATATGCCCTGGCCGTAAGTCCTTGATTCTACTCTATTCATTATCTTGCTTATGGTACTTCAGAGAATTATGCCATGATTGTACTCACGTACATTATCGCGCGGATGTTCCAAAGATTCTCGGTAGTGTCGGATTATAATGACAAGCCTTGGACTGAAAGAATCGCCATGACGTTGGAAAATGATAATGGGGTGCTAATTGGACTGGATTAGACACCAAAAGCTATCTAGGCAGACTATTATTGTCAACACCGACAAGTACTAGTACATGTTAGGGATACTAGTACAGAAAAAGTCTGCACAAAGTATTGGAGGGCAGGAGTTATCTATCCACTTCTAGTATTCACAAACTCTACCAGTCCTTATACAATCCTTCCTCTTCTTACCTTGAAGTTATCTCTCTTACTCGGTTCTATAAGCTTATCACTCTGAGCACCTACACTTACTCTAGAAAATACTCAGTAGTATTCTGAGGCTCAAGGCAAATATAATGATTGGCCACGTTTATTGTATAGTTTAAGTACGGCTGAGCGGACGGGAAGCCCTGTTCTTCACACCCTATGGTCGTATGTACTAGACAAAGCTGGAAAGGGGATATATCCTACTCATGTTTAGTTATAGCTAGAGAATATTCTAGAGTCAGTTGTCTGATCACTGCTAAATTTCCTAGGGGCCAGGTACTACACATTTCACAAAATTTCAGCCCGAAAGAACAATAATTGATTTCTGTTGTGTATTCTGAAGTTCAATCGTATTTTACGTGGGTTGCGGTCGGGCGGACAACCTAGGAGCTGGATAGCACAAACACCATAGTTAAGGCAAGAAATTCCATTTAAAATATCATGATCTCAACAATCTTTTTCCAAGTTTCCAGAGCTCTTAATAAAAATTTCCCAAAAACTAGTCGTATACTTCGGTATTTTCTGAATCAAATCCCAACTCAAAGGTCCTTATTTCGCATCCATGGCCCCGGGGGTTTCATTCCAAGGTTCCCGCAAGGTTCCACTGGCAAGGTTCTAAGGTGGAGATATATAAACAAGGGCTGCAAGTCGGAATGCAGAGAAATTGACAAGTTCAAGTTCTAAGGTTCAAGTTGAACTTTAAATACTAGTACAAAATTTGGAATATACTACACCCGGGCAATCATGTCCGCAGGTGGTAAGAAAGGTTTAATTTATTGTTTAGATATCATTGTAAATTGTTGAATTCATTGCATTTTGAGACCTCGGAAGCCTGAGGCCATCGGTGCTGAGTCATTCTGCGCACCATCCACATTCTATCCAGTCCGTCTCTTCAGCTATGGCGATGGCCATGAACGAGAAAATAGTGCCCGAGGACTCATATTCAGAGCGATCTAAACCTTGGAATGCGGGGTCGTATGGGCGGGATGCCTGAGGCCTGAGGCCCCCGGCTCTCTCTGGGTGATACAGGAAGTGTTTGCTCACCTCAGCCGTTTGTATAATTACCTGCCCACACCTAATTACACTCGCAAATCTATCTCCATTCTCCAGATTACCCATTTGCTATCTCTTTCTGATCTGCATACCGCCAACCAAACTCAAAGTGATGCACTTCTCCCGCAGAATGGCCCACGCTATCACCGAGATCGTCCTCTTCACTTTCCTCCTGGATGCCGATATCAAGTCAAGTCTTTCCGCCGCGGATGCTATTGCCTGCCGACAGGAAGGAGTCCGTGAGATACATTGGGGAAGAGTGGAAGGTGACGAGTCAAAGGTTCAGTTTCTTGCGAGTACGTTTCCGTTTCTGTCTTGCCTCTAAGCCTTGCCTGTCTACCCCCCCAGCAGAACTTAATTCCTGCCTGGTTCATCTTCCAGACAAAAGAAAAGAAGATACTAAACTCAATTACAGACTGGGCCGATATCAGCTACCATGAGAAATATCAACAATCCGGCGCCGACTACGCTACCGTGGGCGCGATCCTAACACCGACCCTTGCGGCAATGCCCATTGTTTTCCATGTTCATTTGGACCAGGATGCTCTGAAAAGTGTTCTAGATGCCTTTATTGTGGAGGTCGTGACGTTCTATGACATATCCGAGGAGACTGGAAATCGAATCCAGAGGGCACTGGATAGCCCACATGCCGAAGGCATTCCGGGCAGGGTAGTGCACGGTGCGGTGGTGGAGGAGCTTACACGGCCCGGGGAAATGTTTCAGGGAAAGCTTACTTTGCGATGGCCGGGTTGGAGTCGAGAGAGAGTCAGGGTCTGTTGAGTATGTTGGATCCCGAAATTGGGCGGAATGAGCTGGAATCGGCTGAGTTGCGGTATGTTCGGTTTGATAATTGATGATTTATGATTAGTTTGATTAGCTGTTGAGAATTGAATCCGGGATCAACCTGACATTGACGTCGACATTTGAGTCAGTGATTGAAAGATAGACTGTGCTTACTCCTGTCTCACTTGCAAGCATATGCTTACAGGCGCGAAAAGAGTATAAGTGACCCAAAGCTTCATTGAATAAACGACAACAGAAAGCTCACGCCGTTATGGATCGAATATTTCAATATGCTATTTGTATCCTCTTACATCTCCTCACTCTCACATCACTGGCCAAAGCCAACTTCTGTCGTTGCCATCCGGAAGATCCCTGCTGGCCCTCCATTAGCGCATGGAGCAGGTTCAACAACTCCATCTCTGGACGGCTGATCGCCACAACCCCGATCGCTAGTGTCTGTCACACCACCTTCGAAATATATGACAGCCGCGCATGTGCAGATCTGCGGTCCAGATGGTACGATCCTGCAACACATTTTGAGTCAGCATCGTCGCCGATGGCTTCATGGTCTACCAACTTCTCTTGTTCGCCATTTACAGAGCCAAACGCTTCGTGTACTGTTGGCCCGCTGGCTCGATACGCAGTCAACGTTTCCTCAGCAGTTGACGTGCAGAAGAGCTTGGAGTTTGTGCGCAAATACAATATTCGTCTTGTGATCCGTAATACAGGTCATGACTATCTAGGCAAGTCGACAGGGGCTGGCTCTCTTGCACTGTGGATGCACTACTATAGGTTCACTGAATATGTGGACGAATACAAATCCACAGGATACACAGGCCCCGCCATGCGTATTGGCGCAGGGGTGCAAGGTGGTGCAGCCATCAAAGCAGCCTCAGCACACGGATATACACTTGTTACTGGAAATTGCCCAAGCGTTGGTATGGCAGGCGGATATACTCAAGGGGGCGGCCACGGCCAGCTCGCATCGCGATTCGGATTAGCAACTGACCAGGTTCTCGAATGGGAGATCGTCACTGCAGCAGGCCAGATCCTAACAGTTTCACAGACGAAGCATGGAGATCTTTTCTGGGCTCTGAGTGGCGGCGGGGGAGGGACTTTTGCTCTAGTGCTTACTGTCACTGTTAGACTGCACCCAGAGTTGGAGACAGCGTCGGCAATGCTCGAATTTACTGGATCTGGTACCGATATTGCAGGACCCTTCTGGAGGATTGTTGCGGGCTTTCTAGTTGATATGCTGCCGCTTCTTGATTCTGGCGGGGTTGTGATTTGGTATATCAAACATGCTGGTGTCGGGACAGATCCTGTGTCAGATCTATTAACATTCAGCCTTGCGCCAGCAGTCCTTCCAGGAGGGGAAAAGGAGCAGTTACAGAAGTACATTGCATCTACACTTCAGTCTCTCCAGACGCACAACATAACTTACCGTGCGTATCTTCCCCACAATTTGAATTCTAACTCCTCAACTTACCATGTCAGACTACAAAATCAACACATTCCCAAGTTTTCACGACAGCTATTCTTACACGACACCATCCGTTAACATAAGCGATATATTTTTCGGCGGTCGGTTCATCCCCCGTTCGACGATCGAGTCTGGCTTGGAAGGTTTCCTCTCCGCCCTCCGTAGCACGCTTCAGCATGGTGCCACTGTTTCTGGATTATCTCTCAACGTATCACGAGCTGAGACCGAGCCGCCATTCGAAAATTCTGTTAATCCGGCTTGGCGTGAGACAACAATAGCGATTTCAGTCGGGTTGTATGGATTCTACCCCCTGACAAGCATACGTGTTTCATGTGGGCTGACAATATTATGCTAAGACCGGTAGATGATCTCCAGCGACAGATAAATGTGGATCGACAGAGGCTTATGACTCAAGTTCTTGTTCCCGGATTTGCAGGGGTGGCAGGATTTGGCAAGACAAATAGAGAAAGCGCGTACCTTAATGAGGCAGATGTCAACGAGCCGGATTGGCAATCTGTCTTTTACGGTGAAAATTATGATAGGTTGAAGATTATGAAGGAGAAATATGACCAAAATGGAATTTTCTACGGGAGAACCGGGGTGGGAAGCGAGCAGTGGGAGGAGCGAGCAGATGGGCGGTTGTGCAGAGTTAGGCAGTGAGAGATGTACTAGGTAAGTTGGCAGCCGAGGATGAATCTACCAATAGGGAGGGTAATAAAAGGAAGGATGAGAGATAGAGAGAGAAGCGAAGTTATTCAAAGCTATCTACAAGCAATGGAACAACGTGCGAGAGAAATCAGGCATAAGGTCTAAGGTTTCGCCCGTTTGATTCAGTAGGTTTGCTTATATTTGTAAGACTTAACATTGAGCACAACATCGACAGGCACTTTCTTTGCATTTTCTGTCAAACAAATCAGACCCGACCACCTTCATCTCTGCTTCTCCAGAAAAATATTCTATCAATCATCCTCTCCTTGCAACAGCCAGAATGCCCGTCAGACTCATCATCATCAGCTACCGCAAGCCCGGCCTCTCGCCTGAACTCTTCAAATCATTGTACGAAGATCACGTCAATCTCATCAAGCGTCTCGCTGTTGATACCTTTCCACTCTCTCACCAACGCAGCTACATCGCTCGTACGACGGTCTCTTGTCCTCCTGATGATGCCACCACTCGCAATCGTCTGACCCCAGCGACTGTGCCGAGAGGCGCGCAGTCTGACTTCGACTTTGATGCAATAGCGGAGCTCGGATTTGCCGATCGAGCGGCATTGGATAGGTTTTCAGCGAGGGTACAGGAGCCTGATGTGGCCGCAGAAATCGCAGCTGACGAGGACAAGTTTTTGGAGCGTTCAACTGTTGCGATTGCGATGATCGATGAAATGCGTGAGACACGTAATGAATTTTAGTACTGAGGCTGACAATTATCTGCTTACAACGGGATGTGTTGCTATTCTTCATGTTAAATAGAGGGCAGCTTGAGAGTGAGCTTTACGGGCCGGTCTCAACTGCTCTGTAATCCTGTCCCCGAGAAAGCCGACCCAGCAAGAGGCTCAAATCAACAATGAGAAGGATCGCATACAATCTCTATACCATCTTCCTGTTTACGTCCAGTGATATCAAAACCATGATCCTACCCAGTATCGCCTTCGCGCTTTCCCACTCAACTCACCTCTCCAAATATACCCTCGTTTCTCGCCTCCCTCTTATGCTATTATACACATGGATCAATCTTCTCGCATTCACAATCAACAACCAGTGCTCACACCGCTCCATCGCAGAAGACACTCTCAACAAACCCTGGCGGCCGATTCCGTCAGCAAGGGTATCTGCAACACACGCAAGAACGCTAGGAATCATCTCCATACCCGTCTCGATACTTGTCGGCGCTTTAATCGGGGGTGGAATTACTCAGAGTGTTCTCATTGCTATTTTGGGAATTTATTACAACTACCTTGGCGGCGGTAGCGCCCACTGGGTGATTCGGAACGCACTCAATGCGATAGGATTTGTTTCTTTTGCCTCGGGGACGCTGGAGGTTGCACTGCAGGCTTCAATTCCTTTCCCGATCTTCCCGTGGATTGCTTTGATTGCGGTACTTATTGGGTCGACTGTACATGTCCAGGACATGTATGACCAGATTGGCGATGCGGCCGCGGGGCGTCGTACATTCCCACTTGTGGTGGGTGACGCTGCTGCAAGGAGGTGTATTGCCCTCGTCATTATGTTTTGGACTGTTTCCTGTCCAGCTTACTGGGGTGCTGGGATTTTGGGGTTTCTTGCGCCTATGCTGATTGGGGGTTGGGTATGTGTGAGGACGCTGAGAGGTGGGAAGGATGACGTTGAAGGAGATAGGTTAGTATTTTGGGGTTATAACATCTGGTTAATATCACTGTATATCTTACCGATTACCTCGAGATTTTGAGTCTGCTGTTATAATTGTGAGAGAATATGATTATGATAAATAATTAGGAAGAGGGCAACTTGTTAGTATCAGCCCCGACTTAAGGACAGAAGTAGATTACGCATTTATTCTTCAGACGGCATACCTATAGCCGAGAAATGACACTAGCTATAAGAGCGAGCCTCCGTTGTTTCAAAATCGACAGGGTGAGATCGTGATGCTCACTTTTATAAGTATCTCATTGCTGCTGCCCGCCATACCCCGATAGTAGTACGCGATCAGAATCGCCGCTCCTCGCAACTCTAAATGGCACTCACGCCAAAGCAGATAATCATTGTCGCTTCGTCAGTGATAATGGTTGTTTTCTCCATCATTGCCTTTGGACTACGCTGTTATTCGATCCCTCTCATTCATCGGAAAATCAAATCCCACGATGCTTTATGCTTCATATCCCTGGTCACGCTATTGGGGTACACTATTGACATGTTAATCGGTGAGAGAGCTCCCCACATACTAGCATCGAGCGTATTCTCTTGCATGGAAATTCTGAGTCATTGCAACAGGAACTATAAGCGGCGGCATCGGTGTGCCCGTAACTGATCTCCCGGCCTCTTCAATCAAGATCTCACGCAAAGTAAGCTCACTATATCACAATATTGAGCTCAAGGAGTGGGTTTACTAAGTAGAGGAACCAGACATTTTTTGTCTCTCAATTTTTTTGGGCCATTTCTATCACCACGTTCCGCCTCGCAATGCTTGACCTCTACGTCCAAACCTTTCCCACACCAAGGTTCCGTATCGTCGCTCTAAGCACAATGGTTGTTGTGACACTGTTCTTTATAGGTGCCATAACAACAACGCTCCGCATCTGCCAGCCAATTGCCTACAATTGGGATTCCAGGATTAATGGTCACTGCGGAGATGTCGCAACCGCGGAGTTAATCGCCGCGGCGTTCAATCTGGCGCTGGATATCTTTATTGTGGCATTGCCCGTCTCCACAATTTGGGGGTTGAGAATGAGTGTTCAGAAGAAGTGGGCTGTTACGACGACGTTCGGATTGGGCCTATGGTGCGTATCCTCATTTTCTCTCTTAAATAAACAAGAAAATCACCCAGTGGAAAAGTGCACTGATCTATTATAGTATCTCAGCAATAAATCTCGCCCGTATTGTCAAGGTTCTCACCTGCGAGCTCGCTAGAGATTTTACCTACTGCACTGCTGACAGTCTAATCCTCACCGTTGCCGAAATGGCTGTTGGAATCATCGTTGTCTGCGTGCCAACCTTCGGTCCCATATTCTTTCCTTCACGCCGGAAGCGGTTCGCTGGGAATAGAGTGCCGCTGACAGAAATGAAACACACACACCGTGGAGTAAGAGGTGAGTATTTGGATGGTATAGTGGAGGGCCCGGCGGTTAGGGCAGGAGCTGGTATCTCTGTACAGAGAGAGTTTGGGGTGAGATTGGTCGGCACTGCTACATAGTTGTAGATACTAATAGGGGTTCTCTGCCGTAGTTTTGTGGGCAGTGATTCAGCGACGCATGAGGACTCTTGAAGCTCATCTGAGGGTTGCCCAGGTGCGGCTAAGAAAATTTACATTTTTGTGGTCGCATACACTGTCAAAACTAGTAACCTTCGAATGGTCTCTGTTTAGGTGTAGGCCTCAGCATCTGAGTCACCAGATCGACATACACTAGTATAATCCTCCCTCCTTGGTCTTCATCACACAAGACTTTCAAGTTTCATCATCTCCCGAGGTCGTCCTCCTTCCACGTAGGCCGCAACATTCTCTAAGGCTGGATAACAAGGGTTTCATTCAGAATATAGAGGACAAGGTTACTAGTGATATTGAGAGATTCCGAAACTTGAAAGCTGCAGTCGCTCTCAACCGTGCTACATTGTTGTCATACCAAGCAGGGTTGCGGAAGATGCCACTAAATACAATTTGGAACTAGCAGGACGCCTGAAATAGTATATACATATACTGCTAGTACTGTGAGCGTCTATATCATTCTTTGAATCTTGACTATTCTCACATAGAAACGTAAATATGGTATTCAAAGAGCCTCTCTCGGCTACAGCCCTGGGAATCCTTGTTCATCTAGGGATCTTCATCCGAGGCGAATGGCATCTCCGAGCCCCAGCCGTGGTAATTGTCCATGCGGCTGCTCTCGCCACAGGTTCCACGATCTGCGCATACAACCGAGTAATGAACTGGTGGATTAGAGCAGGACTATGCGTCGTCTGCTACATATGCGGCCTGTTCACCAGCATTATCATCTACCGGCTGTTCTTTCACAGAATACGACACTTTCCCGGGCCACGACTCGCTGCCATGAGCAAACTATGGAGTGTCTATAAATGCCTAGACTATAAAAATCACTTGTTCCTAGAATCGTTACATCAGCGATATGGGGATTTCGTGCGATCAGGCTCGTAGAGCCCCTCTCATTCCCCAGCAGTGGGTTAGTTCGTACAGAAAGAAAGCTAACAATACTAGGTCCCGAGGAAATTACCATATTTCACCCTGTCGGATGGTTGGCCCTTGACGGAAATGATAACCTCAACAGTAGATCAGACTGGTACGACCTGCTCCGTCCACGTGTCTCGCCTATTTTCTCTCGCAACGAGAAAGACCACCTAGAGAGGCGCAAGTCATGGAACCTTGCGTTATCTACAAAGGGTGATATCACCCGTAGTGATTCTTCTCATATATCTTGCTAAATATCAAAATCTGGCAGCAATAACAGAGTACATCCCCCGCATCATCTCCCAAATCGAAACCTTGCACACCATTATCGCCTCCGCCGCCACAAATGCCACCCCGATTCTCCTCAACGACATCATGCTCTGGTTTGCCTTCGACTCCATGGGCGAATTTGCCTTTGACCAGTCCTTCAACATGCTCAAAAATGGTACATGGCACCGCCTCGTGATTCAACAAAGGTCAGCACTCGCCCTGCTTGGCTCTTTGGGCCACACGGTCTGGGCCATTCGAATCGCATTTGTATTCTTCTCGCGCTTCTGGCGCATCAGGGACTGGATAAATATGATATCGTTCTGCGACCGGCAAATTGAGCGCCGGTTGGCAATTCAGCTTACATCACTCGCTCCCACACCAGTAGATGTATCTGGGTACTTCATCAAGGAGTACGAAGCGGGAAAGACGGCGGAGAATGAGCGCGCGAAATGGAGTCTCCTGAGTGGAAATGCAGTTTCCGTTATTATAGGCGGGAGGTATAGCTTTTTCCTTTCTATAATTTTATTCTTTATTTTTTAGTTATCTACTTTCTAATTCAGGTCTTCTGCTGGCAGTGACACGACTGGCTCAACTCTAATAACCCTTTTCTACTTCCTTGCCCTCCATCCTTCTTACGCAGAGCAAATCCATGAGGAACTAAGCTCCACTGAAAATCCGACTGACATCACTGTACTTGCAAATATGCCAGTTCTAAACGGGTTTATTAACGAGAGCATGCGTCTCATTCCCGCAGCATTGACTATTGGATCGCGTCTTACTCCATCGCAGGGACTAACCATCGACGGCATCTACATCCCAGGAAACATCAAGCTGGTTGCCCCCAAGTACAGCATCTACCGCCGTGGGTCAGTCTTTATTGAGCCGAATACGTTTATTCCAGAACGATGGTATAGTAGGCCTGAGCTGGTTCGAGATAAGAGCGTTTTTGCCCCATTCGGGATTGGTAAGCATCCCCTCTCCCTCCGTTCATCAATTTCATTTTCCGTCTTTCTTTTGTCTATCATTATAGTGGGACCTGTTGCAGGGCAAAATTATTTTCTAATTTGTCCAAACATATACAAAAGGGCGCAGAACCTGTGTTGGCAAAAACCTAGCTCTAACCCAGATCCGCCTTATACTCGCCCGGCTTCTTCCATTGTATACAGTGCGCTTCGCACCTGGTGAGACAGGAAAAGCTTTTGAACGAGATTTGAGAGACCAGCTGACTGCACAGCCGGGGGCTTGCTGTGTTGTTTTTGAGCCGAGGCTGGGAAAAGAGCCCGTCGGCCGAGACCATGTACCCATAAGTTAGGATAGAGGAAGAATCAGAGATCTTCATTTAATTTTTCCTAGGCTTAGAAGCCCTGACATATCACTCGCAGTGTAATATGCGTGCGACCGTCAATGTACGGGTTCGGTGGAAGATACATTATAGGCACACGGAGTCCCATAGGATGTAGTGAAATACAAGCGGCAGACTCGGATGTATGCATATTACTAGCGGGTCATATCCCCCAAGTTTTCAACTGGGCGAACGGTGTTTGTTTTATTTGTTGCCTCATTGGCATGGTTAATGAAGGGAAGGTTACGCCGAAGGTGGCGCCACCGGGGGGCCTGACGCCCAAGGCAGGAGCTCCGGAATCAATAACATTCATTGTAAGCTCAACGTTACACTATTCCTCACTTTTACTCTTCCCCCACATTTAATCTTTCCCCATCCCTATCTCTCTCTTCTACTCCACTTCAAACTTTGCTACCTTCATTGTCAGCTCATCGAAATGCAGCCCCCGTTGCCTTCACTGACGGCGACTTGGCACAATGCCTCTTATCCATCTATTTCCTCTTCACGAAGCGAGCTGAGTGTCGCCGGCAAGACCATTATTGTCACAGGAGCTGTAAGACTACCTTGAACAAAGAGATCTTTAACAAAGCTTGACTTTGAAACTGATACCATGAACTGCAGGGAAGTGGCATCGGCCGAGCAACCGCCGTATCGTTCTCCCGCGCTGGAGCAAGCAATATTATCCTGATTGGACGCACAAAGTCCACCTTGGAAGAGACACAGAAATTGCTTGCTTGTGCTAGTTCTGTCTATGTAGCTGATATCACAGATGAAAAGCGAATCGCGGAGGTTGCTGCCTCTGTGGGCATCTGGGATATACTCATTCTCGCTGCAGCATACATCTCCTCTCCAGCTTCCATCCAGGATGCATCTGTCAACGATTGGTGGCAGAACCTCGAGGTCAGCTTTCATAGATATGCTATTCTTCTGTTATTCACCTGGATCTATTGACTGACCCTTGCAAGACCAACCTGAAAGGCAGTCTCATTGCGGTGAAATCACTCCTACCTACCGCTAACACGACCCACGCTACCGTGATTGGCTATACGGCCGCAATCACTTTTCCCGCTGCCATGCTGCCAGGCTTGTCAGCCTACGCTATTTCAAAGCTAGCCATTGTAAAGCTCATGGAATACATCGTTGCCGAGAACCCCTCAATATTCACAGCGGCGCTACATCCCGGAATGGTGGAAACGGATATCTTCAAGGCGTCTGGAACGGACCCTGCCGCTGTGCCTCTGGATTCTGGTATGTGTTTATTTCTTTTTCTGGTCCATTATTTCCATACCTGGCAACTGACTGACTATGGCCGGGTGCAGTGGAGCTCGCGGGCGATTTTGCAGTCTGGTTGGCAAGTAAGGAGGCCTCGTTCTTGAACGGGCGATATGTCTGGGCGAACTGGGATGTGGATGAGCTCAAGGAAAAGGCTGGCGAGATACAGTCCGGGCAACTGTTGACGGCTAATATCCAGGGATGGCCCTTTGGCTCAGCCTAGCTAGTGTCGGTCCAGTTTGTGTCTAGGATGAATTATGCCATTGATCGAGACTAGTTCAATTTGATTCAATTCTAGTGTGCGCGATGAACACCGAGTATATGAAACAACTGTCATAAAGCGGAATATCGCCCATGCAAAATGAATGCTTGCCATACACCACTCGAAGGAGCGCATTAAAAGAAACAATGGCGTATTGGCCATCAAGGTGACGTGCAACCGTGGATAGGAGAGGTGGGACTTGGCCGCAAGGGGGAGCGTTGCGTGGCAATTGACCATAGGAAGTACTCTTAACGTTTTGACGCGTTCCCAGCGCGTTATTCTTTCGGCACCACGCTATTTTCCTTTGTTTTGATTACTGCTGGGCGTGGCGTTTGGCAAGGTCTTGTTTCCGATGGAGGAAATTTTTCTAAGTTAAGTTGCATCAGGTTAATCGAGGGTTGAATTGGATTGAATTGAATTGAATTGATTCGATCAGGTCTTAAATACCAAGCGCGATGTCCACCGTATACGCAGTATACCGGGCTAGTTGGGATTTTGGGGGGAAAACCAACAAGAGCTGTAACCTCATTTCTGAACTAGCGCACTGATCGGTAGGGTTCCTCCAATTTCTTGCATATTATAGGCCAGTCGACCCGGCGTTTCCAAAAAGATATGCTGCCACATGAATGTTCTGAGTGAATTGGAAGACGTCCCTACTTCGTCACCTTTATCCCTCGCCATTTGTAGTTGTTGACTCAATCCTGCTTCAGCCTCTTCTAAAAGTTGATTCACAAACAGATCGGTGTCTTCTGGTGTTTTCTCTCCTTTCACTGGGTATGCATAATGTTTATGAAGAGCATAGCCAGAGAGGGCAACTTGGTCATGATCAACGAGCCGAAAACGAGTGCAATGTTTCTCGTTATCACCGCAGTCAGCGTCTAAATGGAGAGTCGCGATTGAGGATGCATAAAGGTAATCGACCAACGGCCCATCAATAGAGTTACCACAGATGACCAAAGACGGGTCTGTAGACTCGTCTGATATCAATTGGTCGGCAGTTACTTGCTCCAATTTCCACTGGAAGGGCTTTGGGAGCATGGTGGACCCGGAGCAGGCACTTGTATCGATGGTGACTGTGAAGTAGTTGACGTGAAAGGCTGAGTTGGTGTTAGCTTATGAATACCATTTTACTCGGCTGGTTCAGAAATCTTACAGGTTGCGCTACAAAAGCGTTTGACTGCGATCAAAATAGGAGGCGGCATCTGAGTCCAAAGCTGACGCAAAGCAATAAATCCAACGAAGCTCGGTATGGACGTCAATCCTTTGCGACTGGACTGTGTTGTACTCTCCAGTAGGCTGCGGGGAGCGAGAGTTAGCCTCTAAATCAAAAACCCAATGCGGGATGGGCTATTCCTTTTTGTTTACCTCTGCAGTTTGTCATTTCGCTCCCGTACGTGTGCTAGGGACTTCAGCCATGCACAGCTCAGCTGTGATAACCAGACCTGCATGCATTGGAAGTCATGCTCAACACGCTTTTGCTGGGTCCAATAAGGGAAGACGGGGTTCTTCGAATTGTAATCAGACTCCATGAGTCGAGCGGCGTATTGTATTGGGATTTCCGGGTCCAATTCAGCTCCGATTATGTGCTTTCGCCGGACAAATGTTTTGTATTTCGAAAGGACGTAGCTGTAGATGAGGAGACGAGCCACCTGTTGGAAATTGTCTGGATCCCATTCTTCTATAGATCCCGCCGATCGCGTCTCGTGTTCGGTGATGGGCTCTACCCATCCAAGCTTCATCAAGAGACTGCATCGCGATTCTCCTGCCCGATGAAACCCAAATTTTTCAAAGTTGGATCCTTTTGCGGTCAACATGCGACACGAGTCTCGCGCTCGGGTAATAACATTTTGAAGTGCATCTGCCATAGAAGCAATATGTCGTTGAAATCGGTCAGCGCGCCCATCCTTCAATATATGCTGTCTGAGAACCATGATCATGAGAGCACGCAACTGGCAAGCGGTATCTCCGACATGGGCATCAAATGCCATGTAACCTGTAGAAGTCGGTGAAGCATGATCCTCCTGTAAGAGCTCGCTGAACAGCTCCAATGCATCGAGAGAATCAGATGCTGCACATACAATGTCACTGAGTAGACTGGGTATATGGCCGGCTTTCAGTGTGCATGTGTATTTGGTATCGGGCGGGTTTTGGGCAAGGAAGAGAGCGGTCAACATCTTGAAACGATTGATGATAGTTACATGGGAATTAAGCGGTTTGACATGAGCTAGAAAAGAAATTGAACTCGAAGCCAAAGTTTCATCTTGTTATATAAGAAATGTTGCAATATACCAAGCCAAAACAAAGATATAGACGTATTAGAGCTGAAGGTATTTTTTAACCTAGTCATGCAATTCTTACTGGTGAAAAATATACTCGCCGATGGAAAAAATATGCCGATATGACTTGCAAATACGCCGATGGCCGAAGGAATACGAGGATAACTAGTGGTCGCCACGTGGGACTTAGAAGAATATTGATGGAAGCTGAGATGTACGTCCGGGAGGGGTGATAAATGTAAATATATGTGTGTATGTGTGCCCAGGTGATGACAGGATATTGAGGAGGGAAACCTTGGAAGCAATTGAAAGGTAGGTAACCCTGGTGCCTGAGGCACCCAGTCTCGACAAATAGGTAACTAACTAACTAACTAACTATTGACTTGAAAGTAAAGATTTGAAGATTTGGCATTAATTACTGGTAAAGGCCAGTCCCGCCCAAGATCGAATTTTATGTCACCTTTTTTAAGTAATTCGAAAATAGTTGTGTGAGCTAGAATACTAGCTTATTTTAGCGGAATGGTTCCCTGGGAAAAGTTAATCTCGACTCCAGCTGTGAACCGTCGCATTTTAACATTTAACTAGATCAATCTGGGGACCCGTGGATGTGTACCTACTTTTGTAGGAGTGCCACACGTAATAGCTACTTGGCTTTATCTAAGTCTAACTCATAATATGAAATAAAATCGAATTCCCGTGTTGAAGCGGTACTGCTAATCCGAGGTATACTTCAATAACGATCAGAGCCATCATGCATTCGGATACAGGTTCACTTGAAGACAGTACCGTGCGGCTGGAAAGGCGCAATAGAATGCTTTAGTAGTATAGGATTGAACAAATATCATTCCCCTTAGTCCAGCTCCATGATAATATACGAGCCTATAAAATCTAGAAAACGAAAATACTATCCGCCGATGATTCGCTTGTGGGTCTCACTGCATAAAAGCCGAGATGCATTTCGGGGCGGCCTTTTCTCGTCACAGGGGCCTTCATAAAATACAAACATGAAATGAGGGAAGAGGGTTGTCAGCAGCGGCAATTTCTGATAAAGAAATTGAACCACATTCTGACTCGAGTGCACACCTACCCAATTCCAGGTGTGATTGCAGGAGAGCCATGCACAAGATGCCGTAGAAAGGGACAAAAGGACGCTGATCACGTATTACTTGCCATGAACCTCCTCCAAATGTATCTGGACCACGCCAGATATCAATTTATTCGTTTGGTTCTTTTCGTTCTTCTCAATTCCATCACACTGTTCAAAAATAGTTTTGGCGTAAAACTCCTAAAGCCGATACCCGCCAAGACTTCTACTCACAGACCACGCTAAGGCTCCAGAATCAACATTCACTCGTCGATCTGTTTGGGGCGCATTTGTTGCTGATTCTGTCCCTTCGATGACAAAATTACGAGTGGACCAATGAAAGGTCGTTAGGCGCGGTCCAGGCCGACGGTGAGGCTGAGCACGCCTGAAAATATTCCTGCGAGAATAAGATTATGCGGGTTAGTCCAATCGGGTTTAGGCTAATTAATAATATACGGTCTAACCAATCATCTACTCCCAAGGCTTCATGCTTCCCATTATGATGGCCGCAGACTCATAGTCCGTCCTCCAGTCAGAGAGATTGATTCACGTCCTACTGCTCCATGGCCCCCAATATTAACGTGTTCCAGCCTTATTTGGCTCCTCTGTCCGTATTCGTTGGTCTAGCTAATTTATGGCAACTAGGCATTAACGAAATGGACCCGAATCTGCGTTTGGCTCAGCCTTCCAGGATCTGGTTCTGGCTGCAAGATAAGTGCTTATTATTTCGAGGACCAGGCTTGGAGACCGTAAGACTTGCGACATATATAAGTAGTCGATTTATCATTCCCGTTCTCTGACAATTGATAACTACCAGTACTTTTCTCATTTCTATCAGCAAATTTTTCTTTTGTTCTTTAGTACCCAAACGTCCCTCTATTCGTTTTATACTCGATTTCTTCTCTCAGAATGTCTTCCAAAACCGAAAAGATCTATGAACAGCTTTCTGTTGGCTGCCATGCCTATCGCGAAGGCTTCCACAGTTCATATGACTATATACCGTCAAAAGGAGCTGGTATTGCATTCTGTTTGCTGTTTGGAGCAACAATGATTGCACACATTGTCCAATTTTCTTGGAAGCGAACATGGTGGTGCTGCGTTTTTGCTATCGGTAGCGCTGGTACGAATCTAGCGCACATTCTTCTTAATTCTGGGAGTCTAATCAATAAACAGTGGAAGTTCTTGGCTGGGCCGGGCGTACGTGGAGCTCTGATTGCCCATACAATAGTACAGCATTCATGATCCAGATCTCGACATTGATCATAGGTAGGCTTCAATACCGCCCAACATTGATCGAAGGAAACACAAGGCTAATAAAACTATATCTTACCACAGCTCCGGTTTTCTACACAGCCGGTATCTACATTCTACTCGGTCGCTTCATCAAAATCTTCGGCCCGGAAAGCTCCTTCCTCTCACCCAAGCTATACCTTTGGATATTCTGCACTTGCGACGTCATCTCCCTCGTTATCCAAGCAGCGGGAGGCGGCATGGCATCGTCCGCATCAAACGGAAAAGGTGACACTGCACCGGGCACAAACACAATGGTTGCGGGTATCGTCTTTCAGCTTGTCTCGATCAGTGTTTTCGTATACTGTGCCTTTGACTTTCTTCGCCGCACGACCCGTACCGGCTTGATTAAGGTGGGAAAAATGGACTCCATCAATTTCATGATTCTTGCGATGATCATCTCGGTCGTTTTCATCTACATCCGGTCCATTTATCGTGTGGTTGAGCTTTCTCAAGGCTGGACGGGATATGTTATGACCCACGAAGTCTTTTTCATTATTCTCGATGGTGTTATGATGATCGTCGCGGTGGGAGTTTTCAATATCTTTCACCCTGGCTGGCTACTGCCTTCTGATAGCGCCTTCACGCTGCCCAAGTATCAGGCTTCCCATGAGATGAAGACACAGATATTTCAAGCCCCCGAGAGTACCGAATATGGGGGTACTGTGAGCCGCTAAGATGGGCTTCGTGGCTTTTTATTGCTACCTCGGCGCAAAGTGGTTTATTCGCTTCTTGTAATTTAGTTGCGTTTCCTGTTTCATGATATCTCCGATTTTCCTTCCTTTGAGATTCTTGAAGATTTTTTCTTTCCTCTTCTTAGAATTTTAGAATTGTTTGCTTCCTGGTGCTTCCCTTAAGATTAAACCCGATTCGAGGCTTTGTTTTAATGGAATGCTGTATGTGCATCCTCTGAGTAGCTCGACCTCTATTCGAAATTTTCGTTTAAGTGAGAAGCTTACAACCCAGCTTATTAAATCCTATCATTCCCAAGATTTATATATACTAGTATCTTTTCAATTCGATAGTACCAAGGCTCCGAGTCATCTGAGGATATGCTACTTGGTTCTAAGGACGCCGTTCTTTGATGCAGCTGTCCTCGTAAACTACTGGAACGGTTCCTCTAATCAGGACCAAGCGCTGTATAGCTTGCACGGGTGTCTACTTGACCTCCCGACCGGATATTATAATTTTGGATATTTTCCCACTTGAATTGTTTCTTAATCATAGTCCCTCAAGGGCATCGAACGGGTGCCTTAAACCTGAGGTGATTGTCATCAGCGCCTGAGGCACTGAGTAGGAGCCCCAGGACCGGCTAGTTTGTAATTGTTAAGCAGGACAACTACTATTTAGGCCAACGGCGCCGGATCAGGCGCCCCTCTGGATCGGGTTGGGAATTAAAAATGGAACGATCTGAAGTGACAGAAATTGCTAAGGGAACATTTGAATCTTTGACCTCGGGAATCCATACGCTAGTTATCCAATGGCGTGACTATTTCCTCATTTGAACGACACAAAATATAACATGAGATTGATCTACAACGAACAATTTGCCCAGATGTTTGATCAAGGACGTTAATCGATATCAAGTCAACAATTTCATAGTAGATTGTTTTTTCTTCTAAGCTAACCTAGCTCCTCGCCACCTCTACTCATCTTCCTCACATTCCTCATCCTCACCATCAGTTTCGCAGATCAACGGGGCAACACAAGAAGCATCCCGACGGAACTTCACACTGCACCCAGGCACAGAAGGAACATTCAAAGAACTAGCCCCGCTAGCCGGCAAAAGCTCCATATCCCCATCCGGCTTCCAATCCACACTCCGACTATTATCGTTATTTATGTCAATACTAACAACGCTAGTAACATCCTTATTCCGCTGCAGAGTAGGAAACTCATAAGTCCGCCAGACATTGATACCAGAAGTAGTCGGAGTCTGATAAGCACCCTTCCCGCCACCTTCACCATCATAATTCTTCACAGCAAAGAAAACCTCCCCAGACGCAACCGTCGCCATAGCCTCTGCAAAGCGCGCCGTGTAAACGGTCAAACGGGTAGGGATATCCAGTCGAAAGTCGGCAAAGCGCTTTTTGAGGACCTCGTCGCCGTATTTCTCATCCAGGACATCGTTCCACATGATACCGCGTGGGTCGAGGGTATCTCTAAACCGAGTGCGAACTTGAACGGTGGTTGCGCCGAAGGAGTAGAAGATTGTCGGGCCAGTGCCGACGATACCGCAGGTTCGCATGTCTGCTGCGAGACATTCAACTGTTGGGAAATCGATGCTGGGGTCGGCGCAGGCCCATTGATCTGGTCTGTTTTTACATGTTGCCCAGATGCTGGCTGGTTTGGCGGGGGTGTTGTCGTTGGGGTCTCGGGGGAGTGAGAAACAGTTTCCTGCTGATACTGGGAGAATCTGGATTCCCAGAATGAGGATGAAGAAGACTAGAGTCTTGGGAAGTCTGGAAAGCATGGTATGGAGCAGCTTTCTAACTTACTTCCAATATCTGGCAAAACAGTAAACATGCACGAGTATATCGAATCCCCTGACCTCAGGCTCTTATATGAGCCAGCCAATTCTGTAAAATTTATTGGAACCGTCTTATTTCTCATTCCTATCTTAAAGGCCGAGGCAAAACCCCTGATTATTTCGCCCCTTGTCTACTATATGGGGCTAAAAGCGTACGTACTCCATGGGGCTAAAGCTTACTCTATGGAACTAAAAGCTTACTCTATGGGGCTGAAAACGTACCGATACACACTGTAATCGGCGTTGTCTGACTGTCAGATTTCTTCATGAAGTTTAGACCAAGACTTTTGGTCGTAGATCTGTTCCGTCTTGAAATTCTCACCAGAGATTATAAGGTCGGGAACCACTCTAATAGCCATTTATAGCAGACAACCTATGAAGAGTGGTTCGATGCTCATGTTAGCCAATGGCGATTCTCAGTACTCACTTAGCCACTCTGATTCTAGTCGCTGCTTACACTTGATCGGCTTCGAAGATAGCTTTAATAGATATAGAGTCAGATATCCAAGATCGAGAAGTTCGTAATAAGAACACGCTTCAGCTTAATTGTATTGCCGAATAAAACGAAAACAATTTTAGGGAAATAATTTTTCGGCCCTAAGAGTGTCAAATTATCTCAGACCTGGCCCCATTGTGAAGAACGATAAGGCCGCCGACAACTTGAATGGGGGCAGGGGGCTACAGAAAGAAAACTTAAAAAATGACCCTACAAATGTGGGCCAGGCTCCATTTTGCCTGATGATCTCGACAATTAGCCCCCACGTTGATACTGAATTTACCACTTGACTACATGTACCTTGATGCTGACGCTTGAAGAACCACCTGTCTGAAACACGTGTGGGCCCCAATATTGATCACACAGGAGGCCCATGTGGGGTCTAATACTTTGCTCACTATCGACGAGAGTACTGAATCCATCCGAAGACCAGCCCATACACACTCCCATCATGGAACAAACAAACAAGCAAGCCATACTAAACGCCTGCATGACCGGAAACCTCGAAACCCTTCAATCGCACTTTTTATCCCAAAACATCCAGCCCGGCTCAAAGGTTCTATGGCGCGAAACGGACCAAAGCCTCCCGCCAACATGGACTCTTCTCACAGCGGCGATTAAGCACGACCAAGCCACGGTAGTATCATATTTACTGTCGATATACACTGTCGGTGACATCAGCTGCGAAGAAATCGCCTCGGCTATCATCCACCACCCGAATATCGAAATCATGCACTTCCTCTACTCCCATTCTCCTGATATTGTCAATCTCGAGATGGATCCTCATCGGACTTTCCTCACAGAAGCTTGTCGCGGTCCGCAAGGCTCTGTTTCTTCAGACTCGAAAAATGAATCGGCTCTCCTGCTGCTACATTTTCTCCTCGATCACGGCGCTGATCCCCGTGAAGGTGGACTCGGTGCTAGTGGAGCACTCTTGCCAGCACTTGAATCTGCGCAGCCACTGGAGATAATTGAGAAAATACTTCGGTGTGGAGCCTCTGTGAATGTTCTTGTTTTCTGGACTGCTGTTCGAATGGAAAGGGTCGATGCCTTGCGGACATTCTTCGGGAAAGGGCTATTCAGTTCTGTTCTTTCGTCTGGGAAGATGCTAGAAATTGCGCGAGAATCCAAGGACGCGGAGATCATCTCTTTGGTTGAAAAGGGATGTCTGGAGATGGAGAGGTCTCAGCAAGGCACCGATGGAAATGCAGAAACTGGAAGGTCCAAGAGCTGGTGGAAGCTTGGAGGTCGAGCTGATCGATAGTTTCTACATTATAACCTATACATCTGTGTAAAGACAGGTCTACAAGCGGGGAAGAGCAGTCAGTGCTTTTAAAAGCTAGCAAAAGCTGGGATTGAGTATAGCCATTTTCGGCGCTATAGAGGACAGGAGGGCGCTGTAGTAGTTAGGGGAGAGAAAACTGCTTAGTTTGAAAGTGAGCAGAAGCGTATTGAATCTAGCAGGTCCTGGGTGTCTAGGCACCAGCGGACGGTAAGGGGCTGGCATAACGCCGCCTGTTACAGGAACGGGGAAGTGCGTGGCCATGGCTAGACGGGTGTGTGTGTGGAGGGTGTGGTGCCGAGACCGCCATTTTCGGCGTTAAAAGGGGGAGGTTGCCGTGCTTCCGTCCTTCTAGATCGTTTCCTCTCTCCGCATGCACCACCAATATCACACTTTCATCCTTTCCCATTCATCATCTCCCAGTAAAAGCATCTCAGATCTGGCATCATTCCATGTCTTCCGGCCGTTGGGCCATTGCTTCTCCAGTTATTGTCAGAGTCATTTTCTCGACCCCACCACATTGCCCGCACGAATCATTGAATGGGTATTAAAACACCAAGTTCAAGTTTCAGTAAATATTGGTGCCTGGAAATAGCTCAAGTCTATCTCGAATTTCATTGGCCTGACGATCCCGCGCTATGCAGGACACTCATAGCGTAGAGTCAATGCCAACTAACTATTCACTGTTCTTCACGCTGTTAAAATCGGGTTACCCTGACAGAGAATGCCCTTGGAAAAGGGATGGGCTAGAAAAGTTATTCGGACTATGTGAAAATCTGGGAACTCGGTTTCGTTCCTCTGGGATCGTACTAATACGATTTGACAAACCTTCAGTTCCTAAAATGGATAGCAACGAAACCCGCAGGATCGCTCTTCCATCCATCTTGATAAACTTCCATTGGTTCATTGCTCTTAACCCTGGGAATTGTCTTGCTTCAACGAGCTAGTTGCAGCAACAACACTCCGAATGAGGTTGTGGAGATGGCAACTGCTTTTGCTAGCGTGGAAATCCTGTTCTCCACCCTGCACCACTGGTCACATCACTGCAGCCCTGTAGGGCTGAAGCTTAGCCTGCAGACCAAGCGGGCACTCCTTGGCTCATATACGTGTGGGAGTGTCACTCCTATTAACTTCATTGGCGGGCTATATATGGCCCTAGAGAAGTAACACAAGCATCGTCACATTATCACTTGCGGGCCTGTGATACTCTCGCCCAACCATATCATATAAGTAAGCGCCATCTAAAAGCCTTTTCCTTGCGATGAACTGAGCCCTGCTAGCAATCATATTCAATGCCCCCCCTTACTAAAGCTATAAATCCTCCCAGGGGGCCCCGTTGGGCTTGCTCTGTGTTTCTCTACAGTCAAGGCTATCTAAACCCCAACTTCCAATACCGATTTTTCATTATTGCCCTGTCTTCCCGTTGGCTACCAGTGTCATTTCATCATGGGTCTCATCAAGATTCTTCTTAAGGCCATCATTATCCCGATTGTGCTGGTAATTGTGATTGGTGTCATCATTGTCTTCGCCGTCAAAATGCACCGGGAGAAGAAGCAGAAGAAGAAGGAGATACAACAAAACTCCTTTCAGCCACCCCCTATACAGCAGTGGTCTTATCCTATTTCACCCGGGATTCAGAAACCCGCAGCGGTCGCTTCATATGGCGTCAATACTCCGAGTCAGATGGAACAGGGTGTTGCCCGACCATAGCCTCGCCCAGGTATGGGAGAAGCGTGCCTCCTAGCCTGCTTTTACTAACTATATAAAGACCCCTTCCCAGAAATCTATTTTCAGGGCCTTATGTCGACCATGCTGGACAAGTCGCGAATCGCTTGGATGGATAATTGTGTTGTTGGAACCGAATCATGACCATAAGCGCTCTATAAAGAGAGATTTTGCTTTAGGAATTGAACCTTTATCTGTTTATTTTTTGAACTGGAAATTTCGGTTGCGGCGTCTTATATGTCTATAGACCATATCTTTATCTAGTGGGACGACAGTCTCGAGCTGGGGCTACCCATGGTTTAATTTTCGATGGGGCACCGCTTGTGAGAATCTCTCTCCAATCTTCGCTTCCAGGCAGTGCGGGAATCCCGGCTTTCTACCACCCCCAAAGAATCCGCACAAAGCGTCGCATATTCTGAGATTTTCCGCCTATTTCGTGCCCTTCTATCTCTAGAAGTATTTATCACAATCTTACTGCCAGACTGCGCTGGCAGGGGCGCGTTTTTGCATGGATCTAAAATCACGGTCGGCATGTAACCTCGATATTGCCAAAATTAAAGATATTGTGATGTGATACAGGAAGGTTGGTGACTAGGCAGCAGCAAAACCCAGAGGTGATCCCTGATGGTAATTGAACACCGCAAGCCGCGAGGTCTAGTCGAGTTCCATTTTCCTAGCCTGTCCGCTTTCTTCTCATTCGAAATTTGAACAGAGTCTGCGGGAGTCATCGCTGTCAAATTAAAGGCGGACGATGCCATATCAATTTTTTTTTCTTACGAGTCTACGGCGCTCCCTAGTCGCAATCAAACCAGTGTCAGCCTCCCAAAATCCCATTAGTATAGTCAGTGCCAGAAAGAACTTGGTTACAACTTGTGATGCTGCGAATTTCAGCTTTCGCGTAATCTCACAAATGATAAATTCTTGTCTGTGATTCAAACATTTGATCTTGAATATGCTCAAAATCGCACGACTCAATAGAGAAACCATAACTAGTATCGCACTAAGCGATGCTCGATTTGGTTTAGTGAGGGCAATGCCAACGATCGACTACAAAATACGAGAAATGGCCCTCCGGCTATTTTCAATCTCTCTCAAAAGCACCCCTCCCCAATTTTGTTCAATCTTCTTTTTTCAAGACAGTGAGGGTCTTTCTGCAGTGTGGATCCATTGTTGAGGTATGGTTGTCCCAGGCTTAGGGGTTACTGTGTCTTGTATATCATAGATAAGCTTCGCTTTCTATGTTTACGTCATCTATCGCATTTTTGTGATTTTGTACCGTATCCTCTCCATACTTATCAAGCCTCTAACTAAGTCTTAAATGGGCTTTTGTTCTCGGAGACACAATTGTCTACACTTTCTTCCACTTAGCGGATTGACACTCTTTGCGATAGACTAATGGTGGGATCCGCACCTGGGAGTCTTCTTTTAGTGGCCCATAGGGGAAAGGGGTAAAGTTCTTCGTGCTGATATTGGGATTGACAATTAATACGAGAAAAGTACTACAACAATAGCTGCCGTTATGGTTATTTGGCGGGGCGCCAAGGCTACTATGGGTCTATGCGCAGAGGTATACGACTGGGAGTTCTTTTTCCGTCCCTTCATTCCGCTCCGAATAGACTGTAGAAGTCCCCACCAAGCAAAGCTCCGCTGAATGTATGATACTCCGTCTCGTATTAGACTACAAAAGAGCCGAATATTCAACCAGCTTAACAAGTCCGCTCAGTGCAGGCACGGATGTCGCTTAGAAATGTGAAAACGGCACGATACGACTGGGACTCATAGAGGACCCCTTTATAGTTCAGGCCCGCAGCTTTCTCCAGATGTTTTATCACACTCACTTTCTACAACGCAGCTTGATAATTCTCAGACATTCAGCTCTTCCTAAAAGACCTACTTTTCGCATAAAGAAGCAGGCCCAAACAAAATCATGCGCTTCCTCTCTGTTGCACTCGTGGGCCTCGCCTCAATTTCCTTGACCGCTGCCAGTGGTTTTCAGACCTGGGATGATATTGTCGGAGACGTTCTCCAGTGTATGAAGACTTGCCTCGGCGACTTCTACAACAATTCCGGTCTTGAAGGCAAGTGTGGAAGCAGCGATCATACCTCTGTGGACTGTCTCTGCGGCGTCACATCATTCTCCTCGGTCCAGTCTTCGGTAGACGATCTGAGCACCTGCATCCAGGGCGGGTGTGATTCTGGCGATCTGAGTGAAATCTCCTCAAAACTTTCCGACTTCCAAGAGAGATTTTCGGATGCTGGGGATCAATGTATGAGTGAAGGTAAGCTTTTCTGTGGATATCGTTTGTGGACTGGAAAGTAGACTCACAGCGGAGTGATTTCAAAACTAGACTCAACCTCAAATGACGACAGTGATTCGGAATCGGAGACAGACTCGGACGACAACAAGAATGCTGCCAGGACTTTGATTCCTGGATTCAACGCTCTGCATGCCTCGAGTGCTGTGCTGCTCTTTGGTGTTGCTTTGTAACGACCTGTTACTTTGAATTTTGAAATTCGATTGCATCAGCTCGTTCATTCTGGCCATAATATAACAATATAATATTTTACAATTATCATTGCATTGCACTTGCACTCCCATGGCTTCAAACCTATAGACAACCTATACTCATCTGGCAGATATTGACTTGCATTATGCTGGCTCAATGTTACATCTAGGCCCGCATCTTCAATCTCCTTATTCCTTTATTTCTGAGTCGGAATTAAATTCTAGGCCACGATCCTAATCAGGCATACCCAGCATAACTCTGTGTGTCGCTCATCAGTATGGTCTGCTGCCGATTATTGAGGCACCATTGGCATAGGCCCCAACGAATGCTCCCGTGCGCGGGTGCGAGGGTGACCACTGCCAACTGCCCAGGTGGCAAGTCTCCGGCCAATCTTGCTTTACAAGACTGCGGTGAAGATAATTATATATTCTTCTTGCTTGAGTTCTTTTGCGTTTCTAATTTAAATTGGGGTAAAAAGAAAAAGCTAGTCAACGAAAGGTGAGCCTTTCAATAGTCAAACAAAAGTCCCGAAGACACCGCAGGGAACTAGTCTGGAAGTATCGTGGTGAATATGGGGTGTTTTTCCATTGACATCGACTCTCTGGGGTCCACTAGCCAATATAGGACCGACTTCCGTTTTCGCCCCAAAAGTCTGTTCATCTGCATATGGCCCCCAATCCCCAATCTCGTTCCCAAGAAACATCGAGCTTTCAATAACCACTTGCAGAGATTTTGCAATATGCTGCCCAGCTAGGTATACATCTTCAGACACCCTCCAGGGCTTACTATGCTAATTTCGCCGTATATATTATAGACTTCTAAAAGCCTAGTGTGGATATAGGACCACTTCGAGTTTGGTTCTCTTGGTAGCGCAGCAGTAGCCCCAACACGAGGCGGAGTCGTGCATGAAGACGGCATAGGTCGTACTTTTGCTTCGTTTTCCAACCCAAGGCATTTTTTCAGTTTGGATGCACTATTCCTAGGCTCTTCTAAATGAAGACAGGTGTTTTTAGTCTGGACCATGAGCATTCTTTGTAGAGTTTGACACAGAGTTGGATGCTCTTCGCGTGAAAGCTTCGGGCGCGGGGCTCCTAGATTCCCAGGGTACATGTGAACATGTTCGTCCTGCTAGAGTTGATGCAAACCCCTGTCTGGCCCCCAACAGATTTGGATAAAACCCCTGCGAGAGCGAACAAGACCAACATGGATTTCGTTTCGGCCCCCGGTCGGTGTCTAGTGCCAGTTTGATGGTTTTATTTTTTTTTTTCTTATAGCCCATGACCTCCCCTCTCCCCTCTCCCATCTCATATCCCTGTGTAATGTGTATATAATATTTCCTGCGGGTAAGGAGAAGAACATACCAAAATGCATTTCTCCATTCTGATGCGACTGTTTTGCTTCGGTCTTTTTTGTGTCTCTATCAGAGCCCTTCCCCCAAAGGATGTGTCGTTGCAAGTCCGGAACCCACCTGGTATGAAAAATGCAGAAACACTTAATATGCTTGGCCGAGCCCTTCATTCAGCCAGAGCGGACTCGAACGATGGGGTTTACTCTATGAATAAAACCTCTCTTGACAAAGGCTGGTCGGGCGCAACTCTATTTCAGTATAGCGATAGGTGAGATTACCCAGAGCATATGGCGGCTACTTCTCAATCAGAAGCACAAGTCTGACAATATAATAGCTCTATTGAGGTCAAATGCTTGACTTGTTATGTTAAAGGAGTGGTGAGCGGTGCTCTGACCATCTCTGGAGACTTTAACTTAACTGAGACATTGGATGGCTTCAAAGATGAGGTCACAAATATCACGGGAAGGGTCGTTGATCAAATTGAAGAATATGCTGAAGACGTTTGGGACGATCTGAGTGATGAAAGTTTCAAAATAAAGGCTTTCCCAACGATTGACTTCGATTTGAATCTTCAAAATCTTCCCAAAATTCCAGAGGCTCATGTTCATTTTGATTTCGATGACTTGGAACTATATCTGGACCTTGATATAATTCTGAATACAGGGGCCACGTATAGTCTGAATCTTTTTACATCGGAGACTCCTGCAGGGTTTTCCGTTCCTGGGCTCACCGCTGGTGCAGTGTTCAGTGTCGATCTTATTTTAATCGCGGAAGCTCAAGTTGACATCGGAAGTGGAATCCATATTAAACTTGATGATGCTCTCAGCTTTGACCTGGAACTTTTCAGCAGCAATCTCTCGAGTATGACGCTGTAAGTCATTGATTTTCTCAATCCGTATTATCAAAACTCTGGGATTCATCTCACAGATTCAACAGTCCATCGGGATCCTATGAATTTCTGCCTGTCACGATAGAAGGCCAAGGATCTATCCAGGCGATCTTGAGTCTCAAGACAAGTGTCGGGTTTGAATTTGCGTCTCATGATTTGAGAGTGCTGCCAAGCTACAGTGCAGGTGTTAGTGCCGAGATTTTCGCCTATGTTGCGGATTTCCTGATGAGTGTACAAGGCTCATCAGAGGGAAATGAAGATGATTGCGAGCTTGCAGCGCTTGCAGAATATACTGTTGCAGTTGGAGCAGCAGCCGGTGCTACCGTCGCAGTTGACGCCTACTCCTGGGGCCCATCACCAAACACAACCGTTCCTCTCTGGTATACCACGCTCGCCAGCACATGTGCAGAGAAAAAAATCGACTACAGAAGCATCACAGATTACAGATCGCGCTCAGATTCAAAATCGAAATAACTTAATTACGACATCTGTCACATCTGAAGAATCCTACACAATTGTGAGATGTATGTCATCTGGCTTGCCGAATTGCCCCGCAAACCTCCAAAACACAACTTCTTACGAGTCTACCGTGACTTCTATTGTGACTGTTGAGTCTGGAGTCGAACCTACCTTTCCGGCAAAGACACTTGCTTCCGTCACAAGTGCAATTCCATTTGGGTCGAATGTCAAGAGACTGTATTCAACAACAGGAGCTCCAACACCCTATACTCCCTCCGCTACATCTAATTGGAAGAATTCTCTCGATGCTACGACTCACGGAACAAACAAAAAGCTCATAATTGGTCTATGCGTAGGACTGGGGCTTCCTTTTCTCATCCTATTAATATTTGGAATACTGTAAGAGTGTTTCTAACCCCCCCGATTGTTTATCAATTAAATTTGCTAATAATTTCTAACTTCTAGGTTTTGTCTCCGTCGTCGCAACAAATTGTCTAAGCTACATCCTCCTGGGCAGAATAGTCCAGTAATGTCCGAGGGTTCTGGAAATACGCCGGAGCAGGTGCAAGTGATCCCTCGAAAACCTGTACCTCAATCGTGATATGCTAGGGGAATCGACTTGTGCGAGTTTCAAAGATCAAGGCTATAATCAAGCACATAATTTTGATTTCATAGTGTATACTCAGACATCAATCGCACTCAGCTAAAACACATTTCCCTTAGTCTGGGTCATTTTCTTGACATTCAAGTTCCTCATCATCCCGACCCAGATAAAGCCGAGGGCCATAAACACGGTTCCAGCAATAAGCATTCTTGGTTGAGCATAGCCATAGGCTTTGACAATGGCGTCACGCTCAGGGCTTCCAACTTCGTAACTTAGCTGCACAGGAAGCTGTGAGTAAATCAGAGCCAAATTCGGCATGGCAGATTCGGGAAGATGAAGCTCTAGTTGCTTCAAGAAAGTGTTCGTCCAGATGGCTCCACATATAGCACTTCCGATAGCTCCACCAATGCTACCCGACACGAACACAAGTGCCAAAGCTGCAGCGACGTGTTGGTGGTCGACCGAGGCAAGGGCAGCTATCTGCACGCAAAGAATGAATATACCACCAGACACAGAGAAAAACACTTCACACATGACAATGTAACCGATATACCCACCTGGCTGACGGAAGTGGATCATAAGACCCAGCCCGAAGATGTACATCGGAACGCATACCCAAAGGATCCACTTGAAGCGACCAGTCCATCGAATAAGCCAACCAGCAATGAACAAGAAGACAAAAGAAACCACGCTGAAGGTGTTTCCAACGTATCCAGCAGTGGCCACATCCAATTCATATACCACTTGCAAAAAGGATGACAGATAGCTGCCATAGCAATAATAAGAGATCTGGTATGTCATATCCAGTAGGCATGCGCCCAGAATTGTTCGATCGGTGAGAAATTTGTAGTCCAAGAACGGCCTTGAAGCAACATAGGTCTCGTATAACCCGAACACTATGATAGTGACAAATCCCACTACCATCATCGCAATGATGTATCCAGTTTTCCATCCATCGGGGGCACTGCTGGCCAGCGTGAAGGGCAAAAGAAAAACGACGAACCCGCCAGCAAACAATATAACGCCTAGGACTAGAGAGGCAACCCATATTAGTATTTTTCACACTTGCTTTTCACAAAATTGATTCCAGAGGGCCTCACCATCAAACTCGATAACAATCCACTGGATGGTCTGTAAATTGAAGCTCCATGACTTCTTCTCCTTGAGGATAATTCCTTTTTTCTCAGCTTTTCGCAAACTGTATGCCAGAATAATGTAGATTGGTAGAGCAAAAAATGGCAAGATTATTGCCCAGATCCCATAACCCCAACGCCAGTCGACGTGGAGGAGAAACTCCGCGGCGGCCTTGGAACCTGCAAATGCCGAGATTAAAGCTGGGGATGAAGTAAAAGCAAATGCCAAACCACGGTTTCTCAGATTTGTCACATCTGCTGCAAGAACATCCCAGCTGTAGGCAAGTCCGCCAAAACCGACAGAGTAGAACACCTATTTTAGACTTAGCACACGCACCCATGAAGTAATTCGTTGTAGCCCGTGTCTTACCTCTCCAGCACAGTAAGTTTCAAGGTTTCGCGACGTAGCGAGAAGAATAAGTCCGATCATACAAAACAAAGTCATAAGAAGAAGACCCTCTGCGCGTCCCCAAAGATCTAATGCTTTGGCCATGGGGATGTAAACGGCAGCTGTCATGGCATTGGCGACGATAGTGATGACTGTCAAAAGCGAATGGCCCATAAATGAACTCGTGGCATAGGCAGTCAAGCTATAGACCATAGAGCTTTTCATGTTATTGATGAGGGTGAGGAACCAAATACTGTTCAGGTCGAGATATTAGTATTCTAGACACTTGGTGGGATGAGTAGAAACGAGTAGAAACGAACAATATCAACACCGTGAACACGGACCCCTTGCCCCAGGCCAGGGTGACTGCCTCAATTTGTCTCACGCCAACTTGCGCATCTTCAGTTGGTCTATCGTCATCATTTTTGGACACTCCGGCAATTTCATTCATGTCATGTGCAGCCTCCTTGTCATTGGCCCTCATCTGGACGACATTTGGGTCACTCGTCGAAGCTTCATGAGAGTCCGCAGCAGGCTTTTCACCCACAATTCTGTGAAGCTTGCTGAGAATGGCCATTGTGCTCGTTGGAGGAAAAAGCGTGCATTTTCAAGCACGACTATTATGGCGAACAAGCGGCTATTTATTATTGTGTTGGACCAGTGCTGTGTCGTAGGTCTAACTCTTTCGGGGTTAACCAGTGGCCCGATTCTCGGGAGTGGGGAGATGAAAATTCCATGATTTATTCAAATAGACAGCTTGTAAATGCGGAATTGGAAAGAAAGCAAGAACAAAAAAAACATAATGTAGAAAGGGGCAGTAAACGGCGAGAGCCAGGTTTCCTGCTCCGCTCTTAGTGTTACCGCGCAATACAGTACAAGGGGCCCTGGTCACACCTGAGTACTAATGCCAATCCTTGAGATATCTGGGCTGTCTTGGTATCCTCGGCTATGAGCCATAGATATTCGACAATTGATTGAATTTTATTAATCCGACAGGAGAACGCAGTGCGGTTTTCGGGGGTTTCACTCCCCTACTTCGTTGTCTCGTCTCTTTTGTCGAACGAGAAATATCGGCAACTCGCGGTTCAAGCTCTTTTATCAAGCCAGAGAGTCACCATACGTGGTGTGGGCGACGCGACTCCGAATATTTCCTTCGCCACCTGGCCAAGCTTGGACGGCTGCTATCTGTCCGTCAAGAGCGCTTCCACGAATATCATGATCCATTGAACCCATTTCGAGTAAAACAAATCCATCAGCTATCACCTGTGCACGGATTAATTTGGCAAGTACTATCTTGAGCATCAATATATTTTGTATGGATAGCTTATCCCTACCCAGCGAAGAACTAGCTCCATCCGAAATCATAAAGCCAAGCCAATTCCTTCTTAATTCTTATCAAGACCCCATTTACCGTATTTCATAGGTAAATTATATTCTGCTGGCCAAGGAAGAGACCTCGTACAGTTTTTGGTGCCCACTTGGGACTCGGAGCCTGGCCCGGCCTTGTTACATTTCCCGGTGGTAATTGGGGCGCATATCCAACATCCTGGACATCCTGCGTGGCAATTTCATTATACATTAAATGGTTCCATTTATTTAACAGTGAGCAAATTAGAGAATAATTTTTGAATGAAAATCCGTCCTGATACGATTTTATCAACTTTGCAGAATCAATGTATAAACAAAGAAATCGGGCCTGAGGAAGGTAAATACTAGGTAGTCTAAAATAGTACAGCATCACAAGGCAAGGAACTCTAGACTCGTTCATCTATGATTTTAATGGAGGACCGCCAAGGCGAGAAGCGAAGGTGTTTCCAAATTTGTGAATATTTTCAAATACCATACCGAACAATACATGCTGTATCAGCCACAATCAGGATCTGATTAGATTGATTGAGCGGATTGATTTAGGCCAACTCCAAAATGCTGCGACACTAATCCGATTATGTCCGACGCATTACCTTGCTTTGACTGTGTCTGGAAAAGCCCAGCTTGGCCCGCATTTCAAGCCCCCATATCGCTGTGAAGTATGGTATTAAAGTTTGAAGCTGAGTACTCAGACCAATCGCTAGACATTTGGGTCCAGTCGATTTCCTCTCAAACTAGACTGACGCCCGATCATTTCCGTATACTCTTCCACGACTGGGTATGTCGAAATTTCTGTTTTCAAATGCCAACGTTCCTCGCTTATATGAAATTTAAATTTTACGTACAGAAGAACCTATTGTGTGTAACGCTCTCACAAGCATGTCGAAGATGCCTTTATTTTTGCCAAGAGAATCTAGCAGTCCTCCCATGTCCAGTCCTCGAAGAAGGTTATGATACTTCGACTGACTGAACATGGAGTAATACTTATATGGTCCTCCTTGAGAATTTCCTCTGCTTTAACTCTTCGTATCCCCTTTGAACCTCTCAGCATCTCAGAAAGACCGAAGGCACTGTCCGCCATCTTCTGATCGGAGGCTGTCTGTACTCTCTGCTCATATTCGTCAAGCGATTCATTATCCCACCGGGGTGGAGTTTGTTCAAATGAGCCCCAGAAGATAGCCAGCGATGGTAGCGAGCCGTTTTTGACTTGCCTGTTTTCGTTTTCCAAGAATGTTTTCGCCTCGCTCATTATGCACCTATCATTCCACCAAATCGAGGGGCTGGCAACCAAATAGCTATCGAACATAGTGGGGCGCGTGAACAAGGCGTGGAGCACAAAGATGCCCCCGTATGAATGGCCATAAAGACCTTCTCGCGAGACAGTTATTTGCGGGTAGCGCGCTTTGACCGCGGGCCGAACACATCCATCAATAAAATCAAGAAAGCCATCGGCTCCTCCGTGGCCAGGAATTGGATTTTTTGTTGGTGGGGTCAAATCGCCGTTCCGTCGTTGAAAATCATATAATTTTCTAGTTAACGGATACCCAATGGCGACAATTAGACCTCCCCCAGTGTATCGTGACGAGAGTTGGCGACGCCAAGAAGACTCGGTTGCAGTCAGAAACGTTACGTTCCCATCGACCATATACCTAGCGAGATGGGGTAAGTAAGCTTGGCCCCTTGGAATTTTTGCTAGTGGCATACATGATAGGTAGAGGTTTGCGAGCCGAGGCCGGACCATCTCGCCAATTCAACGGCCAAGATACTTGAATCAAATATTTTTCGCCTTGATCATTGTCCAAATAAAACTGCTCGGAGTTTGGAAGCGCGACCGCGGTCGGCTGGTCGCTGTTTTCGACAAATTCGCCCATCCTCATGAGATCGAAAAATCCAGCTGAATTGTCTCCAATGAGGTGAGGTGCAAGGAACGTTGTATAAGACGTGTACGACAAAAGCCGAAGGAAGTTTCGGCGATAACACTGTGGGTCACAAATTGATGATTTGGGGTCCCGATCTCGGATCGTTGCGAGCGCCATGGGCCCACCGGTACAGCCCAACCATACAGCTACGAGCTAGCCCAAAGTAATGCTAGCAATTGAAGGATAATTTGACCAGGGACACTCATGGGGATAGCACGCAGTTGAAGATTCTGTAGCTCTCGGCAACATAGACATCGTCTATTTAATACTACCATGACAAGAATCTCAGCATATTCGTGTCCGTTATCGGAGTACTAGTAATATTGTCCAAAGTCGAGGCTCGGCTCACAAGCAACGCTTTTCGTTTTCGACCTTGAGGCTAGAAATGGATCACATTCCTAATTTTCTGTACTGATTGGGCTTCACATGCAACCTCGGAAGGATGAGTTATAAGTATTTCTAGGTAACTTAGCATGCAAGATTGGAACCACCCTTCTTACCCGTCCGAGCATCCAGAAAAATTGCCCTTGCTAAATAAAAAGTGGCTACGAACATTTTCTTATTTTGATAAAATATGTACAATACTAGTAGTATTCGTGTAAGATCTTCAGCGCACGCGAATATATATTTAGTAAATGTGAGCCTGGGCGCTTTATCCAAATATTCTAAGGCTCTCGCTCAATTACCCTTATCCTATCTAATGGACAAAAAGGTGGTCTGCGACGAAGACTGTCGTGAATATGATTTATGCGGTCTCTGTTTCCCTATTATCTTCTCGCACTGCCCTAAAAGCCCCCCCCCGGGCCTAGTATTGATGGTTATGTTGAGGTTGAGGTTCGAAGGTCAGTTTATCCCGAATATTGCTAGTACCTTTAAAGCAGTCCTCATCCAGCTCGGAGTATTCAGAGCCTGCAAAATACACGAAAAAAGAAAGAAAGAAAACTAGTAGGTAAAAAGGAACAAGCTTTAGAATATCAATGAAGTCTATTATATTGTTCTAAACGAGAAGCATCCAACGCCATATGTATATTTGTGCCAGATTCACCCTTGTCAAGCCAAAACTCAAAAGTTTGTAAAACATCGAAAGCCGAAAATGATCAATAAGAGCAACCATAAGAATGTATGAAGAGAAAATAATATCCAAGGCAAATCGCTGAGCCCAGGATGAGTAATAGTGTCTATGTGCGAAGAAAGAAAAACAGGGGGCTGAGGATGATCCAGAAAGAGAAATTAAACCCATGAGGATTTGAATATCTCATTAGTCCAATTTCTTGGTCATCATAGGCTTGGTGAAAGCAAGACCGAACCCTTCTTTCTCGGCATTGCGACCGGTGCCAATACTCGGTAGGCAGTGAATGGTGGAAAAGTCGTAACCAAGCGATTTGGCGTCATTTAGTCTCGCGCGGATAAGTGCCCGTTGAACACCGCGCCCGCGGAAGTTAGGGGGCGTGCTATCGATGTAGAGATGTGCGATCTTGCCATACTGGGTCTCCATCAAAGCCATGGCACCACATCCCGCGATCTGCCCGTCGATCTTCGCAAAGTATAAGATTGTGTCGCGTCGTAGCACTGCTGACTCCGCTAGGCTTGCGAGAACCTCAACTGACCGTCCGTCGTCTTTGAATCCAGCGACCGAGGCGTGAATGAATGTTGAGCCGTTTTCTTCGTTTGCTGCACCTCGGCTGACGATCATTTCGGGTCCAAATGTAAGGTCCTCGGAGAAGCTCATGTAAGGGTCAATTTCGACTTGGATATCGTGTAGAGAGCGTGCATAGATGTTCAGGAACCCGTCGAGCACATAGCTGCGCATGGCAAGTGCTTGCAATGCACTCTGGTCTGCATATGGGCAAAGCAAGATGGAAGGTGTCAAGTCCGCAGTAGTGTGCAAGGCTTCGAGTTGTTCAATATCGTTACTAGTGACGAGGCCCTTCATGCCCAGTCCAAGAGTGCAGTTGATTTGCGAGCCGAGATGGGCCTTGGTGAGGTAGACGACGCCACCAGCAGCCACGGGGTGCAAGCTGATATTGTCGCGAGGAAGCAATTGCATGAAGACTTCGACTTGTCGTGAAAGATGAAGAACATGAGCATCCTCGATGTGGTGAATAGTATCGAGTTTGTTCAACAATCGAGGAGTCATTTTCGAGGTTGGAGGTTGCACCGGCTTGGGGTGATCTGTGTGGATAGCGCTGGTAGGAGCTGCGTGCAACATGATGTTGATTTGACTCAGGAGTTTGGAGATTATGAAGATGGATAGATAGAGAATAAATCGTAGGTTTAAACAAAGAAACCTTCTTAATTTATGGTTTAGAGCTATAGAAAGGTTGATTTACTCCGATTTATTTGATCCCTGATCTATGCCAAGAGATATCCCATACGTGAGTCGCTGCACTCCCTGCATTCTCGGCCCAGTTGTGCGTACGTAGTCTGCCGTTCCGGAATCCAGATCGCTCGCGAGAATACGTACCCCAAGTATCTTGGCAGTAAAAAGTGGAGCGATTGTCAAGCAGTCAATGCTGACAGGACTCTTGACCATGCTCTGAGATTTGTTTCAGATTAATGCTCGTGAAATTCAATAACGATTACGCATGCGAAGTACTGATCGACCACTCGGATGATCATCCAAGGAAACTATTGTGACAGGCCCTAGCTTTGTCCTAGAAGGCGGAGTCGATCCTCTCCACTCCGCCCCTTGCCCTGAAACGAACGAGGAGAAAAAAGGGTCTTCCTGTGTTCGGATGAGCGAGCCTTGTTGCCTTGGTGTTTGAATCTTCATTAGGGGTCAAATCATTAGTCAAATGACTCCTTTTCTCACATAATTTGGTGGGGTATTTTGCTAGTTGGTAGATCACCTGTGTGTTTTTGCGTTCTGCCTGTTTGTTCAGCTAAATCTGCAAGACCCACTCTATTTTTATTCCCTACCTTTTGTATCTGAATGGCTCATCAGCTACCGAGCACTTGCCTACTCGTACTTCCTCATCATTCTGCAAAGGGTTTGCTTATGCGTTCGCGCCACTTTGATATCTCATGCGGCCCTTCCCGCAGCCCTTCCCGCCGCCCATCCCCTTAACAGTCGAAACAAGATTTGACTTCACCTGATCCAAGTGTCTAAATTGCCACTAGTCTCTTATTTAGTTACAATTTAATAATATATTGCTTGACCCCAATATTATTCGTTGGAACGCGCATTTATTGCTAGGACATTCATTCGCCGTTTGTCATCCGTGTAGCTTATTTTAGTGGCCGTTCTATATTCTATAAATGCTTCTCTTCCGCTTGGACCTCGCGCTTATCCATCACACGGGCAAAAAGAACCTTGTTTCGACAACGCAGATTAAATATGTCACTGAATGTAGAAGAAACTTGAATGCCTAGCATCCATGGATATGCATTCTCTTGGATCCGTAAGTATTCTAGAACTTCGGAACTCCTCCAAATGACGTTGGGGGTCAAAGGGGGGCACGCCACCTACGTTGAAAACTATACGGATGGGCTTGGCCAAATCACCGACCAAGAAAGATGGAATTGCTTATCCGAGAAAATGTTCCAAGTTATGAAGCATGTCATTTTTAAATACTTAGAGCGGCGCTTGTCCCGATCGGATGGACCGAGTCAAATTTGACAACTTTGCCGATTGCCACCGGGAAGATTAGTACAATGCAGGATACCTCTGACTTGGGACAAAATATATTTTCCCGAGGTCTCCAGGTGAGCACCTGGGCAGGTCCACTGACTGTTCAGGTCACAATACCGGTCCAGACTCGAAGTTTCTAAAATTAATACATTCGAACGCAGGTGGCAAGTCCATAATTGATCTACTCGGGATCACCTCTCGGTTGATCTCTAACTTGCTAGTCCTACTGGTACCTTTGATGGCCGTTCACCAAATTGACCCTTTTTTGAACTCCTATTACTCCTATTTTGATGTTTCAGGGTCTTGAAACGTGACGCGTGTAAAGTTTGACAAGGCCATTATTATCTGAAAGTTAGCCGATAAACTAGCAATTCTTGGCATTGAGGCTCATCTGCGTTGAAGATGTACGTTTAAGGAGAGATTATCACGCCATGAAAACCAGATCTTTGCTTTCTTCAAACAAAAGACGAATAGCATTCTCAAATCAACCCATCCCAATAATGGCCTTATCGAAGAAATGCTGATCTTCCCTGATGTGTGGGCGGAACTCCGCGCAAGGGATGAACCCCATCCCCTGTCAGGAACATGTCGCTACTGCGCCAATGAGATCTCTTAGAGAGATTCCGACAGGCGAGGACATCCCTCGGCGTCTGATGTCATGATCGACCAGAAATGCAAGGCAAAGTTTTGATCCGCCAAGCATCCACATATTCTCACATTTGGGTATGTTATACACGGAGTACACTTGCTCTGTCTAAACCCTTGTCATACTCGATCTGTGGCTGGGGGGTAGAGCACACGTACTCTCACACGTACCCTGTGAACACACGTACCTTCTAGGGATTTTTAGCCAGGGGGCAAAAGACTATATTGAATGTAGAAATAATGAGCTATTCAACACTAATTCTATTCTCCAACTCTCTTTCATTTCTCTCATTTTGATACACTCTTTTTATCACACATACACTCTTTTACAATCATGTCTGAAAAGACACCACAGGAGCAGATTCCAGATGGCCCACACGTGGCAGGCAGAGATCGCCTATCATATATCATTACAGCATCTAAAGAGACCATTGACTCGACAAACAAGGAGATTGAAGATGTTTACCCTGAAGGTGGACTTCGAGCATGGCTCGTAGTAGCCGGCGCCTTTGTCACTCTATTTTGTTCCCTTGGAATGCAGTCTTCGGTCGGTGTTCTCCAATCCCATTGGGAGAAAAATCAACTTCAGTCTTACACTCCGGGGACAATTGGATGGATTTCGTCCGTCTTTGTTTACCTCAACATGGTCCTCGCCGCGCAAGTGGGTCCAATGTTTGACAAATACGGTCCACGCTGGATTCTGCTCATCGGATCTGTGCTTTTCACCCTGACTATGTTCCTATTGGGATCATGTAAAGAGTACTATCAGTTCATGCTCTGCCTCGGAGGTCTAGGTGGATTGAGTGGTTCCTTGGTCACGACTCCATCGATGGTCGTCTTGTCGCACTGGTTCAATCACCGCCGAGGCATGGCGACTGGTATTGCAATGGTCGGAGCAAGTCTCGGTGGAATTGTCTTTCCTTTGATTCTAAGAGCAACTCTAGACTCTCTTGGTTGGGCCTGGTCGCTGAGAATCATTGGGTTCATCTTCATGGGGCTTCTTTCCATTGGCAACATTTGCATCAAGACTAGACTTCCTCCCAAGACACGAAAGGGTGGTTTAAATCTCCGCTCTTTTCGCGATTCCCGACTTGTTTGGTTCACAGCAGCACAGTTTTGTATGTTCCTCTATCCCTATCACCGTTTCAAAAGTCATGAACTAATTGGTCCTAAAGTCGGTCAGATTGTCCTCGTCGCGTCTCTCGGCCTTGTTCCCTCATATGCCATCGCGCAAGGGTTTAACACAGAAACAAGCTTATACTTGATGTCTGTTTACAATGCGTATGTATACGCTTTTCTACTTTTATCTGGTTGAATTCTAGCTAACGCGTAATTTAGTGGAGCTGCTGTTGGTCGGGGACTTTCAGGATTCGCCTGCGATCGGTTTGGACGTTTCAATACGATGGCAGTCATAATGGGTTTTACCACGGTCTTTATATTCGCTCTTTGGTACCCATTCGGACATAACGTCGGCGTATTATACACTTTTGTTGTTCTTATGGGATTCGGAACTGGTGCTATCCTCTGTCTCATCCCTGTCTGTATTGCCCAAATGTGCAAAACGGAGGAAGTTGGACTTTGGCTAGGAAACTGCTATCTTGTCATCAGTCACGGGTAAGTCTGGCTTTGTTATTTCTGGCAGTGGTGCATCTATTAATCCTCTGTCATAGATCCCTCGTGGCCATTCCCATCGGTGGTCAGCTCCTGAAGATCATTGGCCCGTCGAATCTAGTGGCTTTCATTGGCGCAATGCTTGCAGTGTCTTTTGTGTGCCTACTTGGCGCGAGATGGGCTTGCTTAGGTTATAATTGGAAGTGGTTTATCACGATGTAAAGGCAGAGTACATTCTTTTTTGGCATGCGAAGGAAATGCACGCTTTCAAGTCCATGATCTTTTTTGTATTATCAAAATTTTCGGCCCAGTACTTAGGGTACTTACATAGACTAGAAATTCATTTTTTTCCTCTTGGAATAATCTTATCACGATACCATGGTGCTATAGTCAGAGTACCAAGCACTATATAAAGCCCTCCAGGGCTCGGAACGAAAATATTCCACCGCTGTGCCACCTTGGAACTTTGGAATAACCAAGAAAATTCCGAGTCCGAGTCGCAAAATAAATTTCACCTGCCCAGGCGGCCATAAAGGCTCTTCGATAATACTGAACTCATACCAACACTCAAAAACCCCGGTCGGAATGCTTCGTAGAGGTGGTCAACTCGCTTGCTCTACTCGACAAAACGGACGAGCGATATCGGATTGGTGCTTGGGCGGTAGCACCCCTGGAGGGTCGAGCAACTACTAACCAGAAATGGCCTGACCGTAGCAGCGCCCTGTGCAACCAACCAACCAGAGCATCACAACGCCCGGCAGCGGGGCCCAGGGGGCCTTACAGAACCCTTTTTTTTGAGCACGGGGCTGACCCGTTGGCACGAGACCTCCAGGGCTTCAATAAAAGACCGAGAGGCCGCCAAGGATATTATCCTCGCTCCATCCCTTTTCACCTTTCTTTTTTTTTTATCTATACAGCCTCTCGGTCAAATCAAGAATAAACAAACGAAAAACGGCTCACCGCACCCCTATCCTCAAAATGAGCGCCTGGTACACACGACCCTTGGAGTGGATCTACCTCCGAAGAGGCAAGACCAAGAAACGCAGCTACCACCAACGAGTCCGAGAGAGGGAGCGAGAACTGAGACGCGCGCATAATGGCGAAGCTACTTGTGATAAGAAGATGTACTTTGAGCCTTTTGGTCGGCGGAGACCGCGCATGACTTGAGTTAGCCTGCTCTGTTTCAAGTTCAATCAATTTCTTTACTTGGCTCAAGCAGAGTTGAGACTCAAGCCCTTTTCAGGCTTCCCATTGTCCCGGCGAAACTTCAGACGATGTCCCTTCAACTTGTCCTTATCTCGTCGAGTCATAAAAGATCCGTGTTTTTCAGGGCCGCGAAGGGGAACCTTGCGACGACATCAAATCGTGTGATTAATCACGATCGCATGTCCACCCTGTGTCGATCCTACAATATCAACATGATGGCTTTACGAAGATCGATCTATTTCACCAAAAAGATCGAGAGACAGAGATCTTCAAACAGGCACAAGCAGGGTCTTCATTTCTACTTCATCTGTGTCCTGTCTCGAGCTCAACATCTGGGCATTTTGATTTCAGAAGTAGCCGTTGTGAGTAATAATGGCGGCTTTGCAATAAATCTATACTTCTCCGTGCAATTGTTTACAGTTATGTTGAGGCGGATTCAATATTAGTTTGGAGAGAGAGTTGCTTCTGAGACTGCACTTCTAGATAGCCATCTCGCATCTTAAAATTTCTATCAATTTCCAAGGTTATCACCTCTAGAGATCAACTTTGGAACGCAACCATCGTCAAAACAAAAGATACCCTTAGCCATAACTAGATATCCTAATGCTCACAAAGATTAAACTCCCCAACTTCAAAATTCTCATTCCGTTCCGCAGACCTCAAACTCCGCTCCGCCATAAGTTCCAACCTAGACTCTTTCGCCTCATCCATCGACATCAACTCACCCCGACCCGGGCCCGGCCAAGGGGGAGTATCCGAGTTCAGTACCACTTGTTCCCAATCGCTACGATCCTCCCGCCCCCGCTCCGAAGGGAACCAATCCTCCCGTTGCGGCGGCACATTCGCAGAAGAAATAACCCTCCGATGTGGATCGATCAAGAAAAGCGCGAGAATTTTCCGATGGCCGGACTTGGACTTGTCTGCGAGTTGAAAAGGCGATACCCGATGCTGGAGGGTATTGGGGAATGTAATCAATCGGCCTTCGTCGCATTTTATGCCTCCGAGTTCTTGCGTGATGTTTGTTCTGCCCCGGGTATTTGCTTCGTTGAAGCCGTAGACTGCTTGGATGAATTCGTGTCTCTCTTGTTCGTAGTCTGGTTCATAGAAATCGCTTCCGGCGCGTTGGCGGAAGGATAGATTGCTTGGTGTTATGTTTTCGTTGTCGTAGTAGTAGATTGCTGAGGCTGCGATTCGTTCATTCTGCGATTTGTTAGTTTAGTCTTATCCAGTGGTCTTTGTCTTCTTCAGGTTATAGATAAACCTTGGAAGTCACTGGCAGACCTCAAACTTGAAGCATGCCCAGGGAGAGTGGATTGGAGGGAGGGTTTTACCAATTGTCCTTCAATGTGCCAGCTACCTCCCTCATACTCAGGGTTATCGGGAGTAAGTTCAATATTAGCCATCTTGACAATAACCTGCAATCTTTGACCGGGAAATTTCTTCCGGAGATCAACCCGATCCCACCATAAGTTCGTTCTAGGCTTGAACTCCCCGGGTTCAGGAAGTAAAATAGGACGAGTCGCAGCCCATCCATCCACAATTTCACCCCAAGCATCTTCATCAAAGGTCTCCCACTCCGGCGCCTCGTCATCCCAGTGCTCACCAGGGTGCTGCGGTTCCGGCTCCGAATGCTCGCCATATTCCACCCGCTTATAATGGATTCTCCCCTTGAACGGTCTCGGTTCAAGACTCTTGTTCCAAAGCGGAATCGTCTTGGAAATAACTTTTTCAATAAAACCATACAGGTCTCTATGCTTTTCCGGATGCAGGTTATTGATATAAGAGACGATCTTGCACCTTTCCTCAGTGAATTCCACTTCACAGGGTAACCACTGGAAACTTTTGCTAAATACCGGTATCGACATCCTGTGTGGCCGAAAGCGAGTGAACTGAAGAATTTGCTCATCTGTTGGCTGGGGCACTATCGAACCATAACCCATAGCTTCGATACTGTCATCCAGTCCGATAGTTCTGTCCGGAAGGACGCGCGTTCGACCATAAATGACGGGGAAAAGAGAAGGGTGGACAAGATCAACTACCTTGTTATCCGAGCCCGGGTGGTAATCTTTTTCGGCGTCTGGGATATTGCTAAGAGGCATCGACGCGTCTTTTAACGCCTGGCGCAATTCTTGCGAAATTACGGCGTCGGATTTTATCACACCGGTATCGAATACCTGAACGTAGCCTGTTTCGTTGAAAATCCCGGCTTTCCATTGTAGTTCTTTGATTACCCAGTCCATCATCCGGGGTGTGATATCTTGGCCACTGTTTGTGATCTCATCTCGCCATTTTGACGTGATGTTGAGATCAAAGACCTGTAGATGAGAATTAGCTATGTAAGACACAACCATGAAATTAGTATGAATATGGCCCAAACCTTTCGATCCCATTCCGGTTTATCAGTAATCGAATTCATAACGCGCATCATCAAGATTTCCCGATGAACATTCAAAGAACTAAAAACCCCGTTAACTTCCATTTCTCCTGCCAATCACCGTCTTTTCTCCCCGAAGCAAAAACTCACTCCACGCTCCCATGCTCCAAATGAGTTTCATCCAACCCATTGGGAAACCCACCAGCCATCCTAGAGTGACCAATCTAAATTGACAAAAAAGTCCAAGCTCAGCAAAAAAAAAAAATGAACCAGGCCGGATCGGATTCGGGTCGGGTCTCACCCCAAGCGTTGCGTTCAGAGCAACATTGAACCCTGGCATTTGCAGGTGCGCAGGATTCGTGTTCGTAGATAAAGACATTCTCGGTCGGGTCTTGGGTGTAGAAGTAGAACTCTCCTAGCTTTTAGGTTGTAGGTACAAAATATAGAGGATGAAGAAGGGGAATCCGAGTCGTTTTAAAGATGGCATCTGCCCAGCGCAGAAAAAAAAAGGAGGGAAAACACGCCCCCAACTTCAAGTTGGAAGCTAGACTACCTAGGTAGGCAGCGCCAGGCAGAACCGGGACTAGTTACAAGGCTATACCAATTTGACCTCGGAACTGACTGGAATCTTGCAAGGGCTTGAGGGTCTATTTGTCTAGATCTTCTAATACCCGGGCTGGTTAGTCTATTGGCATCTACAACCTTGCTGCACGCACACCTACAAAGACCATTTCAAATTTAAAGTAATAAAATAAAATAAAATGACTTCGTATTTCGTATATGACAATCATCCCACAAAAGAGAAGTATTAAAAAAAACAATTGTAAAGACATAACCATAACCCTAACATAGTAGAAAACACATCAATCATAAAAGAGTCTTCTTCATAATAACTCAAAATCTTCCCCCCAAAAATGAACAAATCCAGTTCAAGCTTTTCTGTGCTTCGCTTCGCTCCATTTTAAGAAGAACCAAGATACTTAAGCACAGACTCCCTCTCCTCAACAGGAAGCATAGAAAGAACCTGCTGCACACCACGCAAACCACCCTCCTTATTTCCAATAAGCAACTGAGCAACCTCAGCCGCAACACCCTCAGTCCGAAGAGCCTCAACCTTGACCTGAACAGCCTTCTTATTCTCCTCATACCACATAGCGACCTTACGATCATCATGCTCAAGTTCATCATCCAACATTCCAGTCCAAGCGTGCAGAGTCTCCAGGTGCGAGGCGCGGGTCGCTTGGGTAGGGACCTCAGCACTTGCACCAGTGCCGGCGACGGCGGGAGAAGCAGACTTGGCAGCAACCATGCGCTTGACGATAAGTTCCTCGCTCAGACGGCGGCGTAGACGCCAGTAGAAGAAGCGACGGGCGTTTTGCCAGCGGAGGGGTTGACGGATTGTGTTCTTGGCTTGCATACGGCCGGCGCGGTCGTGGAGGTCGGCGAATTGTAGTGCAATTTGCATGTACACGGGCAAAAGCTGTTCCTCGCGCTGGGCCATCTTGGTCTTGATTTCGGATAGCTGCTCCTTGCTCAGGTAGTGTCTTCCAGGGAGCGGCGCAGGTCGCCGTAGGTCTGGTCCAGGCGGGCCATGGTGTCCAGCTGCTTGTCGCGGCGGTACTTGATGTTGACGATACCTTCTGGTTCGAGGACACCACCGCGGGACTCTTCGTCGGCGTACATCTCCATTTGGTCTGGGTTGATGGTCGGGTCGATGACGACCCAAGATCCACCGCGGAGTTCACCGTGCGGCGGGATGTAGACGAAAATGGGCTGTTCGTATTTGACGAGGGCGTCGACGATGTAGGAGCCGTACTTGAGGACTTCGTTGTACATGTCGCGCTGGCCACCGGAGAAACCGCGCCAGTTGGCTAGGATCATGACGGGGAGTTGCTCGCCGTTGTTGAAGTCGCGGAGGGCTTGGGCGGTCTTGTACGCTGAGTTGGGGTACCAGACACCGCCGGCTTCCTGAGAGATCATCTCCATGGAGTCGGGGTTGGCGGGGTCGGCAGGGGTGACGTTCTCGACGGAGCGGGTCTCGACTGCGATGACTCCCATGGGGATACCGCCGAGACGGGCGCGACCGACGACGACGGTGCGGGCCCAGCCTCCGAGGGCCTCCTCGAAGGAGTCCTTGTCGAAGAGACCGGGTAGGAAGCCTTCCTCCTCCTGCTTACCGGCGATCAACCAGCGAGGGTCGTAGGCCTGCTTGGCAGGGGGGTAGTAGCCGATATCACGGTCCCAGTCATCGGACCAGGGGCGGATGGGAATGGGAGCACCCTTCTTGTCGGGAACGAAGCCCATCCACCCAACGATCTTCTCAACACCCTCGAAGTCATCGTTGGCAGTCATGTGCGAGACACCGTTCTTGTACATGATCTGGGTACCACCAAGTTGCAGGTTAGAGGTGTAGACCTCACGACCAAGCAGCTTGTTGATGGCAGGGGCACCAGTCAGGATGATAGGCTGACCCTCAACCTGGATAGCACGCTGGCCGAGACGGACCAGGTAAGCACCGATACCGACGGAACGGCAAGTAACCAGGGTGATGGTAAAGATGTCCTCGTAAGCCTTGGAAGTGGCACCAGCAATGAGACCAGAGCCCTTCAGACACTCGACACCAAGACCGTCCTTGGCACCAATGACAGTGGTGATCTTGTGGCGCTCCTCACCCTCATCGTGGATGAGCTCAGTGATAACCTCCTTCTTCTTGGTAGCGTCGAAGCGCTTCTTGACCTCGGGGGTGAGGTAGAGGTACTTGAAGCCGGCCTCGGGCTTGGAAGCATCATTCCAGGCAACAGAGAAGAAGGGAATCAGCTCGTCGGCCATACCGATACGGGCACCAGAGTTGGCAGACAGGTAGATGCGAGGAATGCCCAGCTTGCGAGCCAGCTCGGTACACTTGTGGAAGAACTTGTCTTCCTGGGGACCGAAGGAACCGATCTGGAAGGTGATATCGTTGGCGACGATGATGAAGCGACGGCCGCGGGGGTACTCAGGAGTACGAGCAGTGACAATCCAACCGACCATACCGTGGCTGTTGGTACCGGGCTCACGGGTGACCTCGATCAGGTTGTCCAGGTCATCAAGGACAAGCTCGCTGTAGTCAATGCACTCGCCAGTGGCGGGGCGCTGGCTAGCCAGGGAAGGAATATTCTCAACGGCACGATCCCAGCTGTTCTGGAAGGCCTGGCGGAAGAGCTCGGGGAAATCGTACACATACTGAGTTCCCATCAGGTGAGCCTTGTAACGCTTGGGCTGCAGCCACTCCTTAGTAGGGTAAGGAGTAGAGACAGCACGCATGTGCATGGAGCCCAGCTTGGTGGTGCCACCAATGCTCTGGAAGATCCACTCGCCCTTCTCGGACTTGCGCTCAATGTACAGCTCGACCTGGATAATGAAACCGTAGGTGTTGCTGATGATGACACGGAGAGGGTAGGGCATGCCGGTAGCCGGGTCGGTGCAGAGGATACGGATCTCAGCACCGGTGACACGGAGGCGCCAGAGACGACGACCGAAGCGGTCCAGGAAGCCGGCCAGAGCCTGCTCAACATCGGTGGGCTCCAGGTTGAAGACAGGGGAGAAGTTGATGAAGATGTGGTTCAGATCGGAGTTGTTGTTGCCGATAATCTCCAGGGCATCCAGAATGTCGTTCATCAGGCGATCAGCCTCCGAGATCAGGTACTCAGCAGTAGGGATGTCATCCCGCAGGCGACCAGGGCGGACGACAGCGCGGATGAAGTAGCGCTTGTCAACAGCCTTGTCATTCTCAGGACCCTTGCCAATAGCCTCGTAAACGTGGATGTTACGGTTCTCAGTGAAGACAGGCTTGATGTTGAACTTGGACAGACGTCCCAGTTCAAGCTGGAAGGCAAGAGCGGGCTCGCTGTGGCGGATAGACAGATCCTCCTCGTAGGCGGGGCCACGGAAAGTGAAGTAGCCAGGGTAAACACCCTCGCGACCGCAGATGAAAGTAACACGGCGGATACGGCGGGCGAGCAGCTCCTCCTTGTTGTCATCAAGCATCTTCTGCATCTGGATAACCAGCTGAGAGTCGTCATCCTCCTCAATGTCGCGGACGGCGATGTTGAGAACACCAGTGAGCTCGTTGTCGTTCTCAGTCTTGACAGTGGGACGACGCTTGCCCTCAAGGTTGGCAATCAGGCCCTGCTCGGGACGCTTAGCGGCACCGGCCTTGGGGAAAGCCTCCAGAGCGCGGGGCAGGAACTCCTCAGCATCCTCAAGGTACTGGACGGGCATGATAACACCCTTGCGAACAGGGTCAGTGTAGGGGTCGTTGACCATGTAGGACATGTCACTGATCGAGTTGATACGCTTGAAGGGGTTGATCTCGGTGGTAGGAGTACCGGGAGCAGAGGGCTGGGTGGAGGAGACAGATCCGAATTCGGGCTGGCCGAGCTTGCCCAGAGTGAAGTCCCAGGACAGGAAGGGAGGCTCATTGCCGGCACTGTAGTCAATGCCCTTGAGGGTGTAGGCACGGTAAGCACGGCGGACATAGACCTCAAGAGCGGCCAGAGTGACCCAAGGATCCTGGTGGGTGAAGAACCGAGGCAGAACGTCGAAGACGGTGTACTTGGAGTCAACAACCTCCTTCAGGGCACCGAAGTCGGGCTCACGGTGCTCCCAGCCAGTCTCGCCGTAGCGGGACTCAACAACGGAAGAACGGAGAATGTGCTCCATCTGGGACAGACGCTCCTCGAGGGAGGGCATAGCGCACTGAATAAGAACCTCACGAGCCTTGAGGGTGACCTTGGCGGCGGCACGGGCCTCAAGCTCGGTCAGCTTCTTCAGGATGGGCTTAAAGTGCTTGCCGACATTTTCAACGTTGGGCTGGTTGGGGCGGTACATATCCAGGATGGCGAGGACCAGGTTGTTCTTGGAGCCAATGCGGCTGTGGGAGAGAACGGTGTGAACAACGCTGACGATGTCCTCCTTGTTCTCCTCACGGAGCTTCAGGATAACATCCTCATCACGCTTGGTACCAGTAGAGAACAGCTTCTCAATCTGGTAGTACTGCTCGAGCAGAGCGATAAAGACATTGTACTCGTTGGTCTTCAGGCCATCGAGGTACTTGTTGATGACCTGGACGAGGGGCAGGATGGTGGCCTTCAGGATCTCAGCATCAGCGGGGTTGACGTTCTCCTCAAGGAACTTGACGATGGTCTTCTGGAGGGTCTTGGCAGGGAACTCGGCCTTGCGGGCCTTGGCCTTGTCGACAACGGTCTGGAGCTGAGTATCAAGCTTCTGGGGCATACGGGAGTGCAGAGCCGAGGACTGGGCATTCCACTCTCCGTAGGGAAGTTCGGGGTTGCGCAGCACCTCGACGAGCTCCTTGAGGGTAGCACCCATGATGACCTGGTTATCGAAACCGCGGAGGATGTTCTCCAGAATAGTGTAGAGCAGAGCGAAGCGCTGAGGAGGCTTGTTGCCAACAACGACAGGGGGCGCCCATCTCGGGCAGCTGACCAGTGAAGGGGTGGGCGTGCTTGACACGAGAAGGATCATCCAGAGCAAGAATACCGAGGATGTCACCAGCCTCAAGGGTGGCACCGGGCTGCTTGATGAGCTGAACGATACCGTCCTCCGCAGCGATCAGAGGCATGTACATCTTCATGACCTCGACCTCAGCGTAGGCCTGGCCAGCACGAACGTGCTCGCCGTTCTCAAGAGTGAACTTGACCAGCTTACCGGGGGAGGGAGAGCGGAGCTGAGTGGGGTCGTTCTCCTGCTCCAGGAGACAGGTCTTGCCGTCGACACTCAGGCGAGTGGCAGCAGGCTCCTCCTTCCAGTAGACGTTGTGACTGCGGCCGTTCAGCAGAACGAGCAGACCACCGTCAGCCAGAGCACGAACACCAACGGAGCACTTGGAACCGTTGATGAAGAGGTGGTAGCTGTCCAGACCAGCGCGAGTAGCGGTGAACTTGTAGCGGTAACCCTCGTAGATGAAGTCGACGGGGAAGACGGTCTTCAGGACATCCTTGGCGGGAACTTGACCCTTCTCGAGACCCTTGCGGTACTCCTCAACACCGGCCTCGCTGGCGAGGTGAGCCTTGGTGACAGCACCGCAAATGGTGGCGACATTGGGATCGGGACGCTCAGCAGTCAGCTTGTTGGAGATCAGCTGGTCCAACCAACCGGTGGTGATGGTGTTGTCCTCGAAAGCGGGAGTCTCAAGCAGCTTGATCAGGTACTCAACGGTAGTGCGGAAATCACCACGAATGCTCAGCTCCTTCAGCGCAACAACCATGTGTTTCCGGGAGGCGGAACGGTTCTCACCGTAGGCGAAAATGTGACCGAATTGACTGTCAGAGAAACTGTGAATACCACCGGCGGTACCGACAGAGAAGTAACCCCAGACGTTGGAGGGAAGAACGGAAGTTCAGCTCGTGCATAGTACCGCTGGAAGGCTTGAAACCCTCGCCGGGGTCCTCGGAAGTGATACGACAAGCGGTGGTGTGACCCTTGGGCTGGGGACGACGCTGGACCTTGAAGCTCTCCTCACTAGAGAAATCGAAGTCGATATCGGAAGAGGTGTTGGGGTCAACTCCGTACAGCAGACGAATATCGCGGATCTGGTGCAGGGGAATACCCATGGCAATCTGGAGCTGCGCGGCGGGCAAGTTGACACCGGAGACCATCTCGGTGGTAGGGTGCTCGACCTGCAGACGGGGGTTCAACTCGAGGAAGTAGAACTTGTCGTCGGAGTGAGAGTATAGGTACTCGACAGTACCGGCAGAGACGTAACCGACGAGACGACCCAGGCTAACGGCGGCCTTCTCCATGGCCTGGAAAGTGATGGGCTTGGCGATAGTGACGGGAGCCTCCTCGATAATCTTCTGGTGACGACGCTGGACGGAACAATCACGGCCGAAGAGGGAGATGTTGTTACCGTACTGATCGGCCAACAGCTGGACCTCCAGATGGCGGGCATTTCCAGCCAGCTTCATGATGAAGATGGGGGATCCGGGAATCTCGTTGGCGGCCGCATTGTAGAGGGAGGTGAACTCCTCCTCGTTCTCGACCTTACGGATACCCTTACCACCACCACCTTCGGAGGCCTTGACCATGACAGGGAAACCAATCTCCTTGGCCTTCGCCAGACCCTGCTCGGGAGAGAAGGTACAACCCTTGTTATAGATATCATCCTGAACAGTCACGATGCCGTGGCTGTCAACCTCGACGTCGTCGACACCAGTACCGGACCAGGGGATACAGGGAACACCGGCGTGCTGGGCGACAATGGTGGAGGAGATCTTGTCACCGAGCGAACGCATGGCCGAAGCGGGGGGGACCGATGAAAATGATCCTCTTCGGCGAGGCAGCCAAAGACTCGGGTAACCGAGGGTTTTCGGAGGCGTGACCCCAACCGGCCCAAACGGCGTGGACATCCATGCGCTCGGCAACATCGACGATCAGCTCGACGTTGGCATAATTATTATTATTGGTTCCACCGGGGACTTCGACATATTGGTCAGCCATGCGAATGTAGTCGGCGTTGGCATGCAGATCCTCGGGGGTGGCCATGACGGTGAATTGAATGGCACGCTCGTTGCCAAAGGTCTCGTAGGCCCATTTCCGCACGGAACGGATCTCCTTGACGGCAGCGATACCGTTGTTGGCAATGAGGACCTGGCAGAGTTAGAGAGTTAGCAGAGTTCTCTTGCTGTTTGTATTGCGGGTGGATTTTTCTTCTCTTTTTTTTCGGTGCTGCTTCCACGTGGACTTTCACTTACAGAGGTAATGACGGAGTGACCGCCATGTTCCACGACGAAATCCTTCACACTGCTCGGGGGTGCTTGATCCAGGCGGTTGCCGCCGATGAAATGTGAGGGAAGTTCGTCATGTTTGGTAGCCATGGAGCTACTGTTTCCATTGGTGACGCCCATGGTGTGTAATGTGTGGTGTGGTGAGATAAGATGGATGCAAAGTGGTAATCAAGCGAGTTCAGCTCTCATGCAGTGTCGGGGGCAGGGCCAATGCTCGGAAGGAATTAAACAGCGCTGCTGGAAGGGAAGTATGGTAATGTACACGGAGTTTAAAGTGGCGAAACCGCGCGGGTGGAAGGTTGAAATCGCGGGGCAACGAATTGAAGGGAGGTAGAGAGAAGAGGGAGAAAAAAAAGAGGTCGAAAAGGGGAGGCGTGGAGAGTCAATGAGGATTTGCCTGTCCGGTATAATAAATCGTCAGCAATCGGAAGTCCGGCGTCTTGGTATTTTTTTTTTTTCTGGTTAGGCGCGGTGGGTAAGGGGAGTAGTAGTGTCAAGAGTATATAGCTGCAAACGGACACAGTCGAAGCAGGGAAGTTGAAAGGGAAGGGAAGGGTTGCACTCACGGGGACCACCAGAACCCGAAAATGAAGATGAAGATGGAAGAGAGTATAGAAAAAATGGGGAAATTGAGGGGAACCACGAGTAGAAAAAAGAAGAAGGCCAATTCAACCTCTCAAAAAATGCTGAGGAAGAACTTCCTTCCCAGTGGGGGGGGGTCCCAACTACCGTTCCTCACCGCCTGCGGTTTTGGGGGAACTTCACCAATGTTTGTTGGGCGGTTCCACTGGTGAATCTCCCACCAATTTCCTAAAGGTTCCCTGCTCTCAATTGATTTGGGGGGGATCCCATGTTGCAATCTGCCAATCAGTTGAGTGTTAGCGACTTGGCGCCCGTGCCAGCTGGGGCAGCATAGTAGTATAGTGCCTGCGGCACTATACTATGTCTATACTCTAGTGACTACGAGTATGTATCACTACTGTCTACTCTCTACTGCTACAACTACAACTACCATAGTATAGTTACACTGAGTCTGATATACTGCCAAGTGTATCCATACCGTACCGTACGGTCAATAGGGCTATGCAGATCGGACTCCGACTCGGCCTTGGCCTTGGCCATCCAGCCTGATCGGCTCGAATCTGACATCCCGAGCCACTGGCACCACTCCCCGTCGATTTAATTTATCTTTCTGCATCGACAAGCCACCTGTTCATACCCAGATCACATGACCGCCGGAGTACATAGTAGATACCGGAGAATATCTTTTTAACACAACCTATTATAATTAACTGCTATATTGACTACTACTATATAGTGGGCGTAGAAAAACTCGCCGGTCACACTTGTAACTCATTAATTCACTCCTATGAGACCATAAGACCCTGAAACGTGGGATCGACACCCCCTTTTGCAACGGACCGCTGTGCCTGGTTCCTGAGGCTGGGCGGGCCTGGGCGGGTCCCACTGGTGTTACCTTACACTTTACAACCATATCGCCGGAAACGGATCTATGAACTACTACGTACAAGTATGCCCACACTACTCATAACTTGAAATATACTTGACATTCACAGGTCTAGACCGCAAGGCTGAGACCGAAAGCCTAGACTTGAAGACTATGTCATAGAAAACCCCATTTCAGCTAGACAAACCACTACAGACAACCCATACAGACAACCTACAGAGTGCACACTGTATCAAACATAAGATCGGGTATTATGAAACGCCTCGCGACAGACAACGAGAACAAGATGCTGAGACACAGCTTAGGACGCCGTGGACTCTATCCACAGCTACAAAAAAGAGGTGACGGGGGTATGGAGTAAAAGAGTAAAAGGGACTCATCTCATCGAGAGTGGTCAACTCCCAACTCCCCACTCTCTCCCTGTCAGACACCAGAAAACTGTACATGGGCGCCGATACAGGAAGTAAACCAAAGCAAAGCAAAGCAAAACCAAACCACTATCCAGGTGGTCGCAATGCATGCACAGACAACACTCAAACAAAGAATCAGAAATATGGATATGTAGAACGAGAACGAGAACGCAAATCCCATCCCATCCCGTCAAGTCAAACCCCCGACTCCTGGTAATCAAGTCGATTGGAAATAGTGTGAAACAATTTATCCCAAAATAATATTGTAGACAAGCGCGAAATGAATTTCTCTTCCTGTGGAAAAAAAGGTCTGGTTTGATCAAGTCAAATCAGATCGCATTCTAAAAAGTCTCGCCGAGATCGTTCACTTTTGCCCTGCGATCGGCCGGCGGTGCCATGCTTGACCCGGGCCCAATACTTGACTTGAAACTCCGGGGTGTGGGGATAGCGGAGACACCACTAGTCGTGCGCTTCTTGAGCGTGCCTGGTGTTGCTGTTACTGCGGCGGAAAATGACGGTCGGCGCAGATCCTGCGGGATGCGGGAGGTAGTCGGGGTCGAAGCGAGATCGAGGTCCTCCTCAATATGGGACATTCCGCCGCCAACCGACGACCCCTGTCCGGCATGGTTACTCAAGGAGGAGCGTGGGCGCCGACTTTCTGTCGTCGGGTTGGTTGAATAGTGGCCGAGTGGGGTTTTCGCGCCGGGTCGGCTAGATCGACTTTCAGGACGAGCGCCGACAGGAACACCAGAGTGAACGCTTTGGCTAAAGGAACTGCGGCTGGAGTAGGAGGTTCGACTGCTGGGGCGACTGTCGCCACCGGTTCGAGCCCCGAAGGACTGCCGGCTTTGCGGGAGGTATGATGGTGTGCCGCTCTCGCTATCTCGCACGGACGATCCAAAGCTACTGCCGCTCAGTCGTTTCCGTGAGTTTCGTCGCACTGTGATGTTAGAGGCGACGGGGCTATCGCCCACCACAGATCCGGCCCGGGAATGGGGGGACCCTCGAGATGAGGTTTCGGAAGGTGCAGGGAGTCGTGACTTGGCGGACTGCACACGTTCCTCGAGTTTCTGCATCTTGCCGATCAGACCTCGGATTTGGTAAAGAGAGCCCGATTTAGGGAGTGTTGGCTGACGAAGAGCATTGCCGCTTGTTCGTGACAGACTATTGCGGGAAGAAATTGAAGGAGTGGAACGGCCAGGGTTGCTGTAGGCCAGAGAAGAGGTCCGAGAATGCACGGGGCGAGGTTGCGTGCGAGCATTGTGAGCATTGTGCAGCGTTCGCGAAGTAATCGCGTCTGCACCTGCTGCTCGCTGGCGAGGGAAGGTGGGTGTTGCGTTAATCGATCGACGCAGGCTGGACGACGACTCGGAGATGGGAGGCGAGGGGGAGTGGCGGTAGAGGAAGCCAGTGATGCTTTGGCTGGTGGAGTAGCAAAGACAGGCGAAGAAGTCGCCGTGCCTGGGGAACGATCGAAGATTTCCAATGAATGCGGGGTGGATGGACTGCGATAGAGGGGGGTGGGCTTCCGACGACGGAATGCATGTCCTCCTTCAGCGTTGCGCAGCTTCTCCTGAACGATCTCTGCCTCAACCTTGAGATCGGTGAGTTCATCCCGTAGTCGCTGATTCTGAATGCGCAGACTCTCTCGCTCTTGCTCCCCCTCCCTCATCTCCTCCTCGAGTAGCACTCCACGCTCGATGGCGGAATTATGTTTGTATTCCATGTCCTCCAGGGACGAAGTGGTATTCCGGGCTTGCCGTTCATAATCATCATTGGCAACTTCAATGTCGCGCAACTTCAGTTGCAGAGTGCGGTTGGTATCGCGGAGGGAGGTGATCTCCTTTTGGAGGTTGTTTTGCGCCGAATTGCCTTCCGTCTTGGACTGCTTGTATTTGGTCTGCAAGAACATGAGTTTCTCTCCCCGGTTGCCTCCAGTATACCAGTAGTATATGGTAGGTAATATGGGATCATACCTTCCACTCTTCCACCTCGTACCGTAAGGTATCGACCTTCTCCTTTAACTGGCGCTCCCGCTTCTCCGAGGCTTCGATATCCTTTTCTAGTTCGGTCTCCAACTCCCGACTCGAGACTTGGAAATCGGCTAGCTCTGCCTCCAGTTGTTCATACTGAGCCTTATAATGCGCCAGCTCATCTCGGTATGAACTGCTGCTAGACTGTTTCTTTTCGGTGGGCGAATCATCGGCGACAGGCATCTTCCCACGTTGGGCACCCGAGAGCGGGTCGCAAAAAGACGGTCGCAAGTTCAGCGTCGGTAAATAGTGGAAGCAAGAGAAATGAAATTCCAAGAAAAGAGATCCTCCAGAAGATTCGCCCAACCAAGGCTGGGGTTCTCTTTTCCTTCTTTTTTCAAAGGCTCATGCAGGTTGGGGTGGGCGTGGGGGGGGGCTGGCCAGCGTTCACACACGCACGGTGGTTTGGGTGGTTTGTGATGATAAGGACCCCTCGGCGAGGCGGTGACGCAGTGTCCGATCGGGGATGAATAGAGTCGACGGGCACCTCCCACCGAGAAAGTAAAAGGGTAACGAGGGGAGAGGATATCCGAGTTGGCCGATGTATCGGTAACTTGGAAACTTACCTGGGGAGGGACTTTGTCGGTGGAAGGTGGTTGTCGCAAAGGTCAAAGGCAGGCCCACGATTAGATCTGTTGATGTTGATGATGGCTGATGTGTTGGTCGTCAGGGGGAGGCCACTAACCGGATATGGTTAGTCTGTAACACCGTATACAACATGTGATGCCTGACTGCCTTGCTGCCTTGCTGCCTTACTGCCTCACTGAACTTCTCTACTGTACTTCCCCTACTTCCCCACTAACCCCAAAGAGCAAGTCACTCGGATCACTCGATCTCCGATTTCATCCACCATCCACATCCACCGGGGCTCTTGGGGTTTCGTTTCTGGGGTATCCCATCGTCCCGTTGGTGAGTTGTCGTCCTTTGCTTCCTGCCTTTCCTGTTTGGGATTTATATCTCCCCTTTCCTACTGTTTATCCCGTCCCTTCTACCGCCCTTCCAGGATGCTGCTGTTATACCCACGCACACCTTGGGATCGTGGCTGATCGTCTCCATTTGCTTCCACGCACTTGTTTACCTCTCGCCCCTCCCCCAAGTTCCCACACCATCTCCAATAATCCCACTGCCCGGAGAGCTTCCTATACCCTCGTTCAAGCTTGTCGCAAAGATAACCTTCATCGTCATGACCATGTGATCCCTCGCCAGCACCGAATCCTGACCTTTGATCATCACAGACTGTTCACCGGTGAGCGCGCGCACGCGTGGCTCTCTTCTCGATCATGGCCGATCCTATCGATCTCAACCTGGATGCGCCCAGTGATCTCCAAGACATTCCGGAACTGGCTACTCAATTGATCGCGCCTCCCGAAGGGACATACCCTGATAAGTAGGTGAATCCCTGCACCTCCCTCTCTCTCCGCGTCTTTGGCCCCCACCCATCTAACATGCACTTTTCATCCGTTCAGGAATACCTTACTCGCAGCAGTCCAGGCGCACGGCAAGACCCACGGCTACAATGTCGTAGTCAAATCATCGAGTACACCCACAGAAAAGAAACCAGGTCGAACAGCCAAGGTATGGCTGCGATGTGATCGCGGTGGTCACTATCGCCCGCGGAATGGCCTCACGGAGGAAACGCGAAAGCGCCGACGAACTTCGCGACTGATGGACTGCCCCTTCATGCTGGTTGCAGCTGGCTCTCCCGGTATCTGGAGTTTAACCGTCTTGAACCCGACACATAATCACGGTCCCATCATCGAGAAGCCTCGTCAAGTTCCTCACCATAAGGTTCGCAAGGGCCAATTGCCCGCACTTCCATATGACTGGCCTCACGATGCTTCCTTCACCCCATACACAACTGCGTTAGTCATCATTGATATGCAGAAAGACTGTAAGTTTTGAACTGATATTGTTGTTGTTTTTGTTTGTGTTACTACCGCGGCTGCTGTTTCCACGCATATACCTAATGCATGTCATCTCTCAATAGTCTGCGCCCCGGGTGGATATATGGAATACCAGGGCTATGACATATCCGCCGCCCAGGTTCTCATCCCTAAACTTCAGCAACTGCTGCATGCCTTTCGCACGGGAGGTTTTCCGGTCTATCATACACGAGAAGGTACGTCATCGCCCAACATACATAGAGGTCCCGAGTAGGAGAATTACTAACTTGATTGATAGGCCATCGGCCCGATCTATCCACACTTTCAAGTCGCGAACGCTATCGCTCCTGCAATAATAGTACCGGTCTAGGAATTGGGTCCCAAGGTCCAATGGGCCGTCTACTCATTCGGGGAGAATTGGGTCATGATACTGTGGATGAACTATATCCACTCCCCAACGAACCCGTCATCGACAAACCAGGCCGAGGAGCCTTCGCGCATACAGATTTCGAACTCATCCTCCGAAACAAGGGTATCAAGAACCTCGTCGTCGCAGGCGTTACGACAGATGTGTGCGTCTCGACAACTATCCGCGAAGCCAATGACCGTGGATTCGACTGTGTGCTCTTGGAGGATGGGTCCGCGGCCGCGGAGCCGGCCCTCCATACGGGCACTGTTGAGTCTGTGAAGATGGAGGGTGGCATCTTTGGCGCCGTCGCTAAGCTGGATGATGTCATTCACGCCGTTAATAACTTCAAAGCTATCACCATGAAGAAGCTGGCTCCTCAGATGACGGCTTGATCTCGTTTTCTATTTCATAGGTTCTTTTAGCGGGTTTCTGTTTGGGTTATTGGGATAGGGAGGAATTCGGCTGGCTGGCGTTGGGTTTAGGACTGATAAATCAATCCACAATCCGTACTCTTTTTCCCCTTCTTTCTTCCTTTCTTCTTTTCGTCTCTTTTTTTTCTGAGCTACTTGCTTCCTACCTCCCTCTGCCCTCCCCCATCTTTTTTCTTCTCTTCTATTCTTTTTCTTCGGTTGCTCTGAACAGCGCGGTTCAACCCGTATTCCGGGCCATGTATCATTTTGGATCATCTCTCATCTCTCTCCATTCATCTTCATCTTTCCTAAACTCGCCATGATCCTCGTTCCGGCAAACCGGCCAAATTGTGATTTCTTTCTGGGGTAAGATCCTACCCAGACCAGACATTTGGAAAACATGAAAACATCCATCCGCTACCAATTTCCTCCCCGGGTAACATACAAAACGATGCATTATCCCATTCATCTAACAGGTTCTGTGTAAAGAAGGCAAGGAAGGGCCCGGATCTGGGTATCCAACAGAACAGATATTGTTTTGGTATTCGAGACCCTTCAGTTCGAAGGGTCACATAACTAGCATATGCAAGAAAAGAAATAACCCGATTTCTATAACAAAGACATACCTTTAATAACCAAAAGATAACCACCAAAATTGACAAGAATAAAAAGTGTGAGAAGAAAAAAACGAAATGCAATATCCCAACGCCGCGCTCTGTCTTAACTGAAAACAATACTGTACACAAACAACCAAACTCCGAGTCCAGAGTTTCAATAAAGTCCACGGGACTCCTCTTCCAAAGAAAGAAAGAACAGCCTGAACGAAGAAACCCAACCGATCCCAACCCAAGCATACAAACTCGAATCAAGACAACAAAGCCCTATCCAAGCCTACCCTCACATTCCCCATCTCCCACAAAAAGATCACAACCACTTTTTCCCAGCCGCCGTAATCTTGGACCTAAAAACCGGACTCCGAATCTCCATCCCCTGCTTATAAAACGGCGACATAGCCGTCTTAACAAAGCTCTCATAAACCTCACTCATAAACTGACGCACCGCCTCCTCCGTCTGCGGAGAAGTAGGATTAGCCGCAACACTACTCGACGAAGCGCGCGTCGTTGACCCCGAAGAACCCAGTAACGATGACGCGCCTAGGGTGCTGGAACTGCCGCTTGATGGGAGTTGGGGCGGTTGGTGGAGGAGGAGGAAGCGGGCGCCGCTGGGTGTTAGGAAGGCGGATATGTAGGCTGAGGCTGGGGGGGTAGGTATCGATGTGTTTTAGGTACCTGGATGCGGGGGGGGATGATTAGCTTGGTATAGGAGAGGGGAGGGGTGGGGGATAAGGGGGGGAGGAGGTAGGGTGAGAGGCTCTCACATTCCACCGTTCGTCCACTGCGCTTCTTCGAGGATGTCTAGACTGGAGTGGATGATGAATTGGTTCATGTATTGGGCGGTGTCGGGGAATCGGAAGCGGGCAATGCCATCGCCGCCGCCTTTGGAGGTGCCGAAGGCGATGTTGAATATGGGGGTGTCGGTTGGTGAGAGGATGGTGAAGTAGTAGGACATTTTTGCGGCGGGGGTTATTTGGGGGGGTTTGTTTAAGACTTGAGGTTAATTACGGAGTAGAGGGGTGGAGCATTGATGGTTGTTGCTCCAGTGGACACGTGATGATAGGGACACGCATGGAGCTGACCTTAGGACTAGAACATTATCCTGGTGGTATGCTTTGGTTGTTTAGTTTTGATAGAGAAGAATTTGATAATTAGTTTTAGTAAGCAAGCTTGAATGGAATATCAGCAAAATCAAGTTCTGTGAGAAAAAACCCGAATGCCGACTGGAACTTGGATTAGTAGGACAGTCGAAGTTCGTTAGCAAACTATATATATGCTCTCCAGCTACCAGGGAAAAGGTCAACAGACGCGGGGCTTTTTTGGAATTGCAGTCAATTGGGCAACCTTATAAAATGAGTAACCTAGGAACTTGAATTGTTTTGAAATTAAAAGCATTCCATCTAATAAAAATGACAACTTCAGTTTCATCAGAACAATTTCTCTCCAAACCTGCAGCATGGCAGTTCCCCGCAAACCAAGCCCAGCCAATCACATATCACATGACAGCCCTGCTTTATCGGCGCTATCGCATCGCAGCTTCCCAATTTTGCCCAAGACGTCACAACTTTGAACTTGAATCCACTCAATCGCGGTCGGCCGGCCTTCTACTCTCACCTTTAATCCAACATCTGTGAATCTACATAACATAATCTCAGACCGGCGCGACCATCCTAGACCCCACACCATGGCGCCGCAGTTCTCGACCGGCCTCAATCTCCCCAACAAGAAACCCGGCCCAAAGCCAGGAAATGCCTTCGGACAGAAGCGCAAGAACATATTCGACGACGACTCAGGAGATGAAGCATCCAACAATGATGGCGCAGTAGAAGTCTCAACCCTGGGTGGCGTAGACGCGCCAGCTCCGAAACCCTCCAAACCCTCTAAACCATCCTCCTCCTCTTCCTCTGCCGCAGGCCCGCCACCGAAACGAAAGATGCAATTAGGACTTGGAACCGGGAAACCAAACATCAAACCACTGAACAAGAGCTCAATTTTCGCCGACGACGAAGATGAAGATGAGGAGAAGGAAAAAGTACAACAAGGAGAAATGCACCTGGGCCTCAACCAATCGAAGAACTCGAAGCCACCAGTACCCGGTCCTGGCAAAGAATTCACCAATCTCTCCGCACTACACAGCAGCAAAAAGCACGCGAAGGAAGCCGAAGAACTGGATCCTTCAATTTACTCCTACGACGCCGTATACGATAGTCTACACGCCAAGCCCGAAAAATCCAACACATCCGCCGAAGCGAGCGAAGTACCAAAGTACATGACGAATCTGCTGCGTAGTGCGGAGATCCGGAAACGCGATCAGACGCGCGCCCGGGATCGCCAGCTTGCCAAGGAGCGCGAGGCGGAGGGTGATGAGTTTGCGGATAAGGAGAGCTTTGTTACGGGCGCTTATAAGAAGCAGCAGGAAGAGTTGCGGCAAATGGAGGAAGAGGAAGAAAAGAGAGAGAAGGAGGAGGAAGAGAGACGGAGGAAGAATGGAGGTGCGGGGATGGTGGGCTTTTACCGCGATGTATTATCTCGTGGAGAGGAGCGGCATCAGGAAGTTGTCAAGGCTGCTGAAGAAGCGGCTAGCCGGGTCAAGGCTGGTGAGACGACTGAGGATTCGACGAAGGAGAAAGATGATAAGACGGAAGCTCAGAAGGCGGCTGAACTTAATGAGAAGGGAGGTCGTGTTGTTGTCAATGATGAGGGCCAGGTGGTTGATAAACGCCAGCTGCTTACTGCGGGATTGAATGTGGCACCGAAGCCTAAGACTACAGCTTCTGCGGCTCCCAAGGCGGCAGCGCGACCTGCTGGACGACCGGGTGCCAACTTTGGAGCTCAGGGTCGGGCTGGACAGCGTGCTCGCCAGACTGAGATGGTTGCCTCTCAATTGGAGGAACGTGCGCGAAAGGAGGAAGAGGCCGAGGCCGCGAAGCAGCGGGAGATTGCCGAGAAGAATCGCAGTGCCAAGACAGCTGGAGAAGTGTTGAGTGCGAAGGAGCGATACTTGGCCAGAAAGCGGGAAAGAGAAGAGGCGGCGGCGAAAGAGAAGGGGGATGCGAAGTGAGGTTATCTTGTGTCACATATGGGATTGATGTATTATACATTACCATGGGCTGGATCATCTAATTATATCAATATTAGAGCAGATCAGTCACTAAGCTCGGGTCACATCTATGTATCCATATCTGTATCTATATGCCCCAGGGTGGCCCCGATCTATATCCATCCTAATCGGGGCTAGGGTATAGCATATCTCGAATGATGACTAATATCACGGGACTACCTAAAGCGGACCCCGCCAGCTTCTGACCCACGTGACTTGACTCACGCTGACTCACCCCTCCAATCACCTGACCAACTTGCTGACGGCCTCGCTAAGCCGCCCCACACAGTCGCACTTCGCAAATTCGCAACCCTATCGCCGTCCGCGTCCGTCTTGAACTTCATCGCCCTTCCAACAACCACCGTTATTCCATCAACAGTCATCCAACATGGGTAAGGTTCACGGATCTCTCGCTCGTGCCGGTAAGGTCAAGGCCGCCACTCCTAAGGCAAGTGTCCCCCTGTTGAACCTATGAACTTGTGCCTCCGTGAACCCTTTGGTGGCGTTATACGGAGGCGTCATGTTCATCGAGAGAGTCGCGAGAACCCTCATCCTAACTGATCTTCCGAGTACAGGTTGAGCCCCAGGAGAAGAAGAAGACCCCCAAGGGCCGCGCCTACAAGCGTGTCCTGTACACCCGTCGTTTCGTCAACGTCACCATGACCGGTGGCAAGCGCAAGGTACATACCGACTGAATCTATCCATCCCACAATTCACAGCCCACAAACACAAATCTGCGACACAAAATCCACCAGTGATTTCGATATCGAAGTCGGTCATCGAATTCGACAATCGAATCACTTACCACCCAACCCACACAGCACGACCCGAGAAGGAACAGGCAGGCTAACAAGGCAACCCACAGATGAACCCCAACCCCGGCCAATAGATTGCCCAACAACGTTAAAGAAAACCCTTGAGTCGTGAACGGACCGGTTGAATCTACGATGACGGAACAAAAACACCAAAATTCGCCAGAACATCTCGGCACCGACACGGCTGCAATCGAACGAAGGCTTTTACCGGCCACGGCTGGCTATTTGTACGGATGATATCATGCTTCGCGTTTACCTTTGAAATTTTCGGCAACCGGTTCTTTTGAGGGGAAAATGGATATGGATATGGATGCATCGCCGCATGCTGGTTGATGCAGGGTTGGAAATTTGCTTTTGGGCCGGTCCGCGCGCCGAGTCCTGGATAGTCGCTTTTGAGTCGTACATAGGCTATTCCATGAATTGCTTTTCCAATCCTGAAGAGAGATCTTTTGCGTTGCGTACGATAGGGTAGTGTTTGGGCTGCTGAACCCTGGAGTTGGGACGGGAATTTTCTTGGATCTTATTCCAGGGTTCGGAGACCGGTTATGGCTGTTTGGCTTTGTAGACCCATCTTGTGCCTTTTCAACGATTCGGTTCACTACGGTGTGCTCATTGTGAATCTCATCCCTCGCATCTTGATACTGGACCATCCACGCCATCCACGCCATCCACGCCATCTACGCCTTGATAGTCATTGAAGAATCACTGAAGTCTATAGAGTGTCTTGGTGACGAGGTAATATGATAAACTCAGTATAGTTGACCTTAACATACAGACATTCCGCCGCTGCTCAACTCACTCATAGTCAGGATCGAAGATCTTCGCCTTGTAGAACTCCGCATCGCCCCATCCCCTCCTATCAGTCACAGTCTTCGGGTCCTTCTCATCACTGAAAGACACATATTGACCCAGCTCATTCTTCTCCCCTCTCACCCAGGCATATTCACCCGAAGAATGCTGCACAAGAGACTTGATTTTAGTAACCGCCATGAGAGTCTCGAACACCCCAGTCTTGATGTTATAAGCAAACGCCCCACCAGTATGCGTTACCAACAAAACATTGGGATCCTTATAACTAGCCGATAAATCATGGCCATTCTTCTTATGACCGGGAATCTTCTTCAAGGGGATCCCCTCCCCATCCAGCACCAACTTGATATCCTTCCCCTTCCCCACAACATCAAACTTATAAAGATAGTCCTTCCCCGTCGCCCAGAGCTTACCGCTGTGCCACAAAACTCCATGCGCCATGTCGAGCTTATATTCATGACTCTTCTTGATCTTGCTCAGATTATTCACATCCGACGCATCAGTCGGCACGTATAGGGTCAATTTACCCGGGTCAGAGCTAGACGCCACAAATGCACCCAGGTGCGGTATTCGCTCCAGGGAGTGCGGATTGTCGCCCGGCGTCGCTTCCCAGACAACATCGTCCAGGTCGGCACTTTCGTGCCCGGCTATGATATTGACCATTCCGACTTTGCCCCCCCGAGGCAGCTACTAGGGCGACATAACCTAGATCGGCGGTCTTGCGGATCTTCACGTCATCTAGATCGGCCCAGTCGTCGTGTTCGAACCAGCCCACGTCCGGATCTGCTGTGAAGGACCAGTAGATTGCGTCTTTGTTCCATGTTGCTGCGTCGCGAGGGAAGACTCGGACTGTTTTGGTGTTTTGGTCGACGACGGCGAGGTGGTAGGCTGTTGCTGTGGAAATTGCCAAAGAGAGGGAGAGGAGGGCTTGTTTGAATATCATGGTTGTTATGCCAATTGCTGGCTGGTTGCCAGGCTCACTTGATTGATGATGGAGAGAGTGCTGAGGAGGAGATGGGACGAAGGGCGCATCCCACCGCGGTTATTATACTAATTTGCAGATGAGACGATGCCGTTTCTGCATTTCCAAATCGCTAAATATAATTCCTCGCTTCATTACTAAAGGATATATGATCCCTGCCAAGCTCGTATCTATACCAGCTTCACGGGCAACAAGTTCTAAACGATGATGATCATCCCTTCTTCGGGCTTGTTCCTGTTAGATGCAACCTAGCGAGAGGTTCATTTAGACTTGGCAGGCTTCTCACGCGAGATGCCGCCTCTTTAGGTGAAGATTGCTATTTTTGGAGCCTCGTATTGGGATGGCGTCAGGGCGGGTTAGGGCTTGGCGATGGGGCGGCCCCCGATGGAAGAAGGAAGGGGATGTTGTAGATACGAGGTGTGCTAGAATAACGATTCAAACAAAGTCAACGCTAACCTTGGAATATAATGTATCAAATGTGAGATAAAAACAACATTGGCATCTTCAGTCACTAATCATCCCCAACACCGTCCTTTGTTAGTTCGTCAAAAGTAGTCTCGATCTGCTCACCATATTTCCTCTGATCACGAAATATAGACGTGAGCAATTCCAAAAATTTGAAAAAGTCTTCATGATTGTCCCCAAGTGTTTCTCGCTGGGTCTGACAGAGCTGGTAGGTAGTGGATTCGGCTTCCTTGTACTTTTGCTCGGCGCGGTATACATTCGCGAGGCTGTCCAAAAACCAAGCGTAGATGCATGATTTGGTCCCACTATCTATTCATGTCTCGTGAAAATTCAAGTAGCACCATACTAAACCTCGAGAAGCTTCCGAAATTTGATGAATGACCACCCAAGCTACCTCAGAGATTGCCAGGTGCTCTTATGATCTGGCCCGTGTAAGATATCCCGCCTTTTGACTACTTTCTAGTACTACTATTAGTAACTGTAGCTATATAAAATCCCAATGTGAACAAGATTATCTAGTAGTATTAATAATTACTAATCAAAAGCCTAGGCATTTCCTATTTTCCCTAGATAAACACCAGAATTTCTGCTCGCCACCTGGGCTCATAGCTCGACGTCAATACACTTCAGGGCTGTGAAGGATACTGGAAGAACATTTATGGAATCATATCAACCATTCTACCGTCCAGCAACCGAGGGGCATGGTGACCGGGCCCGAATTATTTCCTAAAAGAACGACCCGTTGGAACCAGCTTTGCACCTCCCAACATCCGGTTTCTGGTCGGAGGAGTTTCTTGACCAGACCCGAAATTAATCTAAATAGGAACCACGGACGTGAATCATGCCTAGAATGGCGATGCGAAATTATTTTCACGCGACATGCCGTGTAAATCTCATGTTATTCCGAGGTCTTGACGGGACAGAGGAGTAAAACATCTGTCTAGCAAGCGCGTGGCTTCCACATTCTTTCTGGCCGGGGAATGTCATGACATAAACCGCGACATTGCCCATTGGCTCGACGGATGTGCCCGCGTAGCGCAGAGCGACAGCCATGAACAAAGTAGACATGATCTCACAAAGCGGTCGGGAGCATCGGATAGAAACCGATGTCCTTTTGGAAACTGGGGAAATGATCTCACTGCAATACAAACCATGGATTCAAATGTAGCTCGAATAGAATCTGTTGGTTGATTTCAGTGAGATATGATAAACGGGGAAATAATTTCCACAATGACTAACAGCCGATCGTCCACTGAGAGGCGACGTACATCTACCTCGCGTTGTGGGGAGAGGGAGTCTTTACGTCACAACCCGCCAACTTTGCATCTACATCGTTCATTCTCATGTTTAGCGTGTCATTGTTTCTAATTAGACTCCCTATAGCACATAGAATTTAACAGCAATTCCACCTTCGTCATTGACATATCCATCTTATTTCTATAGGGATATGTCTGCATTATTGAACAGAAAATACATCTAATTGATTTATGCTACCATTGATACGTATAATTTGAAGCACTATAAATTTTTCAGTCGGTTGACAGACCTATGGTATTCCAAAAGACCTTTTCTATGGTAATAAGAAACAGCAGTAAAAACACAGTGACGAAACCCGAAAGCTAATCTGTATACAAAGACATCACCTGGCCGCAAGACCCACCTATCCCCTCGATCCCATCCATGCCCTCCATGCCTTCGAGCATCATCGACTTCAATTCACCTCCTGGTACCGGCTGAATCAGCGTCCAATATTGATTCATCCATCCGCATGCGGTCCTTGGAAACAGCTTCAAATCAAGGCGTGGTTCACTCCCGAATGGATGAAGCCGAAGTTCCACAAATATACCCCCTCCATGACTGTAATTGCCCTATGGAATTGCATAGGCACCTTTCGGCTCCCCGAGAAGAACCCATGATGCAATTATGAGGGGTAGCTCATTTAGCTATTAAGACTGCTTGAATGTGGGATAATCTGCTTTCCTTCCCCATCTACTATACTCATGACAACTGAACTCAACGACTATATGATAACTATTTTCTATTTTTAATCTTTACGACTACAAAATTTTCTTATTCTTTAACTCTGTTTCTGTTCTCGATACCAAATAACAAATAACACCATTATGGCTTCCCAGCAAATTCAGGCGGAAGCTCAAAAGCACGGAGAGAATATTGGCCTTCGTGTTGCCCGGAGCCTGGGCAAGCGCATGTCCATAGGCGGTGGCTCGAAAGACACCACAAGCAAAGAGCACACTGATCAGACTGGCACTGATCAGCGTGCTATTGATAAGGGCGAACAAATCAAACAGGGCACTGGCCAGAGCGGCATTGACCAGCAGGCTGCCGATCAAGGCGAACAATTCAAACAGAGCACTGGTCAGGGTAGCACTGGTCAGCAAGCTTTCGATAAAGGGCAACAAGTCGAACAAAGCATTGGTCAGAGTGGTATTGGTCAGCAGACTCTCGAAAAAGGAGGACAAGTCAAGGATGAAACCACCCAAGGGAAACTTCGGCAGTGCCAAAGGTCTCGCGGGAAAGGAAGAAAGTCCCAGAGATGTCGTTAGTGGAGGAGACACTGCCGGTGCTATCGGTGGTGCCGGATCAAATACGGAATACCTAAGCCCAGCAAGTGCTGAAAACGCTGGACGCCGAATGTTTGGCAGCGTTTCAGTCGGGCCACCGGAACCCAACGACGATATTCGAAGAGGTCCTATCTGGCCTGGACCCGGAGACCAGAGGCAAACAGGCAATACTGCTTCCAAAGGCGCTGGAAGCAGCGCCAAAGGAGGACTGAGCCAGGAAAAAATGCAAACCAGTCAGGCACAAAGTCAGGGCCAGGCTGTTGGTAGATCGCCAGGAATTGCTTGGGCTCAGAGCCAATCTGATTCGGGCCAGCAGAATTGGAGTCAAACCAAAGAAAGCACCACCAAGACCACCGACCAGACCTTTTCCCAGACAAGTGCTAAAGGATTGGGGCAAGATCAGCAGCAAGACCTGAGGAAAGAATCGAGCGTTCTTGACCCGACTAGCGACAATTTCCGCGCAAACGAAGCCGGAGGAATTAGCCCTACTCAGAAAACGATGGGCAACAAATCCGAAGGGCAATACGGCGCCATGAAAGATGAAGCCAAAATGGGCGATGCAAGTAAGGACAAAGACAAATCTTCCCAAGGCCATGGATTATTGGGCCAAGCAAAAGAGAAGTTCAATCAAACCCTGGGGGTCGGCAGCCAGAGAAAGAAAGCGACCTCCCAGAGCAAGTCCAAGCAAGCCAAGGGTGGAGCAGCAGCTGCAGGTGGAATGGCTGGAGCTGGACTCGCTGCACAAGGAAACAGTGCAGGCGGAACTTTTGGTGGTGGTGGTGACTCTATCAGCGATGAGTTCAACATCATATCAGGTATCAGTGACGATGTCTTCAGTGATGGAGCTGCTGGTAAGACTGCCGCCAAGGGTATGGGCCAGGGCCTTGCAGGAAAATCCTCTACCCCCAAGAAGAAGGGCGACATGGCCAAAGGAATGACCGCAGGGAAGACCCCACAGGCCTCCAAGCAGTATAAACAAGGTGGAAAATCAGTTGCCGCGGGCCAGGGTATCAACAAGGAAAAAGGAGCCTTGGGCCAGGGCACATCCGACATGTCCACCAACCCGATGAGCCAGAAGCTGTCCAAACAAGGCGGTATAACCATGGGAGGTATGGCCGCCATGTCTGGATCTTCAGCTTCTGACAATGGAGCATTTGGAGGCTCGGGGGGCCGAGGTGCTGGTGCCGGACTTGCTACCGGTGCCGCTGGCATGGCCGGGGCTGGAGCTCTTGGAACTGGTCTCAAGCAGAGTGGAAGCCAAAAGGGCATGGGTCAAGCAGGTATGGGTCAAGCAGGTATGGGCCAAGCAGGTATGGGTCAAGCAGGTATGGGTCAAGCAGGTATGGGCCAAGCAGGTATGGGTCAAGCAGGTATGGGCCAAGCAGGTATGGGCCTAGCAGGAATGGGTCAAGCAGGTATGGGTCAAGCAGGTATGGGCCAAGCAGGCATGGGCCAACGAGGCATCATGAGTGAAGAAGCCACCAGCTCGACCACCGGTGTCTCCTCTACCCGTGTCGTGCAGAACCTAAGTGGAAGTAGCCACCGAGTTACCATCTTGCAAGAGAAGGTTCAATCCGTGACGCAGAAATGCAAGACTCAACTGGGCCTGTCTGCAATCGAGATCACTCAGCGAGGCCCTACTGTCGATGCTTTCTTCGATGCTGTGGCTGCCGAGCGCCTGCGCTGGATGCCCCGCGACGGAAGCCGACTGGATTGCAGTCTGAGATGGGCTTCTCGTCTCGCCTATGCGGTTGATGCCCTGCGTGAATCAATCGGGGCCTTTGCACCCGGCGCCAATGAGGCGGCGAAGATGATATGGGGTTTCTTGATTCTACTTTTGGAGGTGAGATACATTTCACTCGACGGAACTTCAAAGGAGTGAATGCTAACGATGAGATTAGTCTGATATTGACAACACCGACCTCTTCGAGAGTGTCTTTGGAAGATACGGTCGTGTGGCTGTTGGCATTCACCTGCTGCTTCAATATGAAACTGCTTACAAGTCATCTCCCGAGCTTCAGCCAGAGGCGGCTGCCGTGTTCGCAGATCTCCTCGAGATGATCTCCACCACCTCTTCCAGCTGTATTGAAGGCTTCAAGAGCAAGGAGTCTGAGCATGTCACCGGCCACAACGTGGATTCTGGTTTCGTGATCTACGCCAGACGTTACTCTACCCACTGGAATACCATTGTCGAGTCTGCTACCTCCAAGGTTGTCAGGCACAGCTCGTTGATCTACTCGAGCCCTGAGCTGGGAAGTCTTCGACAGTTCCTGGGAGTACAGGATCGCCCTCTGCAATTCATTCTTGATTCTCGCAGCCACACTTTGGTCGATGGATCATTTGAATGGTTCAACAATACTCTTTATGACTTCACTATTGGAAAGTCTCCTGTCTTGCTCATGACTGGTGGCCCTGGAGCTGGAAAAAGTGCTATGGCACAGTGGACTGTGGAGCGATTGCAGGAATCGGCCGAACATGATAGTTGGAATGTCATTCCCTACACCATTCGTGAGTTTCATCCAGATCAAATCATCAGATCAAATTACTAAACTTTTCCCAGGCGCTGATATTCCGGTCGCAACACTCCCTCTGCGCATCCTGAAGGGCGTTCTCCATCAAATGCTAGATCACTCTGTCAGTGATAGGAAAACACAGGAAGCTATTCTTGTCCAGGTCGCCCACGCTGCTCAAGCTGCCATGGATGGTGCTTTCGAGTCGGAGGTAGAGGAAAGTCTCTGGAAGGGTATTCGCGCTGGACTGGCTTCGAATATCCAGTACATGTTTGTCGTCGATGGTCTTGACCAGATTAAAGGCGGCGATTCCGATGCGATTGCCTTCTTGGAGAAGATCACGGCCGTCTTGGACGAGCAGAATGCCGGCTCAAAGATGATTGCCTTCACTCGTCCTCTCAGCTCGAAGCTCAGTACCAGAAACATTGGACAGTTCACGATCCAAAGCGCCCAGACTCATACCGACCTCTCCACGTATGTCCACAAGATGCTCTCATCTGGCTCCCACTTCGAAGAATCGAAGAAGAGTCAGCTTCAATCTGCTGTATCTGCCATTGTCAACCGCTCCCAAGGATCCTTCAGCTGGGCTGAGATGGCAATTGCTCACGCCGGCCAGCAGAGAAATCCGGCGCAGTCAATTTCGTCTATCCAAGGCTTACCTCAAACCATGCCGGAGCTCTTAGACTTCCACATGAAGAGTCTAGATCTGAGCCAGACAGAGACCAGGTCAATCATGGCCTGGTTGGCTGCTGCCGAGCGACCCTTGCTGGTGGAGGAAGTCGAACAGCTCATGGCTGTCGATGCAAAGGGACCAAGCTTCGTGTCGCGTGCCTCTCATGTCGACTCTGCATGGGCCGCTGCTCTTCGACCTCTAGTTATGACCCGCGATGGCGTTGTCTCTTTTGCGCATACGTGTATTCGCGACCATGTCATCAAACAGGTCAGATCTGTCGGTGACAAATCACCACTCACCCTGAAGGAGGCCCATCACGATCTTCTGACAAGATGCCTGGCATGGGTCCAGCTGAGTGTTCGCGAAGAGAGTGAAATCTCAATGGACAAGCTGAGCATGGAGGAGCGCAACCGTCTGTTTGATAAGTATGCTGTGCTGGAATACACCGCACGCTATTGGATGTCGCATCTTCTGTCATCGCCTCTAGTCACAGACGCCGGCGAATTCCAGTTCACTGCCAGCTTCAAAAAGCTTCTTCCTGTGACTGTTCTGTTTGCTCGCCTCGAGCTTACGTGCAAGGAGTCGCAGTTCACTCGGTCCAGTGTCCTTGAGCTATACCGTCTCGCGACTGATATCCGACGCCTGGTCCTTGGTGAAAAGTCGATGGCACTCCTGCAAAGTCTGCTACTTAGCGCTCGTGTTTCCAAACTGGCACATGCTAGTCATGCAGAAGAGCACTGCTATGATGCTTGGAGACTCAGTCAAGAGCTTCTGGGACAATCTGACAGCATCACTTTGGCCTGTGCCGAGATGATGACACAGTCATTTACCGAGAGTGGAACTATGACTACCCAACAGGAGGATATTATGAAGTATCTCATCCTGACCGACACGGAGATCACTGGCGTGGAATTCAACCAGCGACTAAAGTACCTCGGAATGATCGTCACTACATACAAGTCGCGCAGCGACAATCACTCTGCTCTTCTGATCTCCCGGGAATACTACCAGCAGATCCTGGTTAAGTATGGTTCCAGCTCTAGACAATCGTCTGAGACTGCCGACTTCCTCACTGGTCAGTTCTCGAGTACTGGAAGTGACGAGATGAGTCGCGATATCGCACGTACCAAGTATGACAATGTGGTTCGCACCATGGATGTCACCGACGAACGCCGCATCAAGTATGCTCTGTACATGGCTCAGCTCTACGAGTCTCAGGGCGAAAAGGCTCAAGCTCAGGGAATCTTGTCAAATCTCTGGACCGGTCTGAACTCTCGCGACATCGATTCCGTCGATATGATGGACAAGAAGGCCAATGTCGCTCTCGTCTACTACCAGTTCCTGCGTCGCCAGGGCCGCAATGATGAGGCTGAGGTGATCATTCGTGAATTGGTCGCTGACCTTGAGATCACTGGTATTCATTCCAATGAGATGATGCAGCGCGTGCAACTGCTTCGCGCCGAGACCCAAGAGATGCACATGTACAGCCTGGATCGGTCCTTGTCTATCCTGATGTGGAATTACTACAAGGAAAGCAACCAGGAATATTCCTCCGATGCCGTCGAGCTTGCTATGTCGCTAGCCGAAGGAATGGCAAATACCGTGTCTATCGAAGACAGTACTTCTCTATCTGGTCGCGACCGCAAGCTGATGGTTGAATTGTTGGACTCGATTACCTCGTCACCCAGCAACCTTTCCGTCTCCACCCTCATTCTCTGTCACAACCTCTCGAGTATTTATGTTCGTGAGGAAGATTGGTCGGAAGCTAGCGATTGCTCAAAGGCTGTCCTACAGCACGTCTGGCCTACCGTCGAGCAGGCCGGATCTCACAAGAAGCTTCCAACTGAGCTGGCACCTCCCGTGGCTGATCTGGCTCTGGTCCTGGCATATTGCCATTTCCGCAGACTTCATCTGGATCAAGCTACTATTGTTTATGAGAATGCCTTTGGATCACTTGTTGCATCTGAAAGAGTGCCCGTACCTTCGGTTCTTGCTGTGGCAAAGGCCGTCGTTGAATTCTATGAGACAACCTTCCAGTTCACCAAGGCGTTGACCCTGCTCCATTCAGTTAGCAATTTCCTCACGAGTCGTCTGGGAGAAACTCACAAGCACACCATTGAGAATCTATACTTGGAAGCTGCCCTGGCAACCCGGTTGGAGATGAACCATGAAGCCAAGAGTACCTACCAGCGCATCTACAATACAACCCTGCGCGGCAGTACCATCGCACCCGAAGGAATGGAAGCAGCACTTGCTCTCATTGTTCTGTACGAGAAAGAGCTGCAGTGGGACTCTGCTCTTGATGTCTACCGCCATGTCTGGCCTACCCTTGTCATGCACGAGCAAATGTCCGTATACGACAGAATGCAGACCGAGAAACTGATTGAGAAGACCTACCTTGGCTACATGAATATTCTGACAACACGGACGAAGAGTACTGAATTCACCGAGCGCTACAAGGTGGCATCTGAATACGTGATGACCTGTGAAACCGTATACGGTCCCACGCACCAAAAGACCCTCAGCGCAACCCTACTCTTCGCCGAGCTATGCGAGTCCAACGACTCGTATATAGACGAAGCCATCTCGCTGTACAAGAAGCCCCTGCAAACAAGCGAATGGGTTCCTACTTCGCAATCTGCAAAGGGTCTCGACCAGATGACACAGCCTCTGCCAATTACATTGAAACACAAGCTGGCTCAGTTGTTCGTTCGCAAGCGTGATTCTACCAGTGAAGCTCGCTCGTTGTATACTGAAGAGTATCAGCTCGCCAAGAAGACCCAGGGATTCTTCTCAACAACCACCCTCTCTTGGCTCCGCGAACTTGCTCTTGCACACTCGCGCCAGGGCACGCCTACCTCCGTGCAGCAGGGTAATGCCCTTCTCCACACATACGTGACAGACGTCCTTCACGCCGGCGGTGAAACAGACATGATGGCCGACTGGGCTCGCAAGATCGCCGCGATCTACCTAGAATGCGGCTTCATCGAAGGCGGCAACAATGTCCTGAGACGAACTGCGTCACCGTGTCGTCTACGGATCTGAAACAAACGCCATGGCCCTGAGTGATCGCCGCGACGCTGTCTTCGTATCAGCATTCGAAGAATCATTCGGACGCCGCGCCAGCTCCACACAAATTATGACCGAAATGGCCCGCGAGATGCAAACCCAACAGGCATTTTCGAAGAATCTGTCCGGACATGACTTCGTTCCAACGCTCATTGCTGGAGATCGTCTGGCTCGTCTGCAGATGCAGCAGAATCGTACTCGTGCGGCGAAGGATACAAATAGAAAATTGTACGAGTACTTCTGCGCTACACTCTCTGCTTCTAGTATTTCGGACAGAGATATCGTGCAACAGTTCTACGGCATCTGTCTCCGTGAGGTCCACAGTGAGAACTACACCTTGAACATCCTCACAACGACAACCAGCCTTGTTCGAGACCTCTGCAACGAATCTCACTTCAGCGACGCAAGCGATGTGACCGGTGTCTTGCACTCATTCCTCCATCTCACCGACGGTCTAAACAGCTACGAGAGTATCCTCGCCGCGACACAGCTCTGCCTATACCTGAGCGGCCACAACGCCACCCGTTGCCAGAACACAACAATGTTCAACGAAATGTCCGTAAAGTCAAAGCTCCTCCTGCAAGAACTTATGACGGCATCAAAATCAATCGGTATCGAAATCGTCGATCTCCCATTCACCCAGCTAAACGACATAATCACCCTCCTGGGCGAACACGAAATGTTCGACGAACTAGAAGGCATCCTAACCCAACTCTGGACATCAAGAATCGTCCAACGACTCTGGACCCCGGACGTGGTTGTATGGATTGGCCGACGACTCGTGGAAACGCGTTTCTGCCGCGGCTCCGTCGACTCGGCTATCCAGCTTTGTCGGGATATCTGCTACAACTTGCGTCAAGTTTGGGGAAGTTGTGATCCTGTCACGCTGGAAATGACGAAATTGCTCTCTGGGCTTTTCACTGCGTCTAACGATCATCAATCTGCCGCAACGCTGCACGAAGGCGTGCTGTACGATTTGCTCAGTGACTCCGATGCGAAGGACCATCCACGTGCGGCCGATACGGCGACGCAGCATATGGAATTGATGCGTCGGGCTCAGGAGCGTCTTGGTGGTCCGCATACCTCTACTCGGGCTTCTGCGCATGCGGATTTGGTTTCGCAGGTTACTGAGCGCTTCGGAGTTGACTCTGAGCAAATCAAGGGGGTCGGGGAGGCGAATGGTGGTGAGAAGTTTGGCGTTTGGTCGAGGCCTAGACGCTTTAGTATTGATGTTGAGGATTTGGAGGATGAGCGTCAGAGTGATACGCATCATAATCATCTCCGTGAGTCTAGTGGGGTTGGTTTAATGAATGGTAGTGGACATGTGAGGAGGATTTCGGTGCAGGCGCTGTGAGGGAGAGCCTGAGGTATACCAACTTGAAGTTGTTAACCCTTTGATTGTTGGGTGCGAAGGATCTGGAGTTTGGGATTTTTAATTAAGATATGTTTGTCGGAGACTAAATTGTCATGAGATCTCCTTAGTCTGAGTTCAGTTAATGTCATTATTTCATGAAAAATACTCGTGCATCCCACTAGTGTGTAGCATCAAGTACGGGTACTAGCAGAGAGGGTAGTTGGGAAAGAAGAGATTTTGAATAATAATCATAATTCGTTTAGTTGAGTATTGACAACAGCTATAAACAGCAATTCGAGCACACCGACGATCATGTACCTGGTCCACATCCTGTACATCATTTTAATGAATCAAAAGGTGTATGCACTTCTGGAATTCCAGCAAAAAGGATACAAGAAAAAAGCCAAAGCAACGCCGCAACCGTCTTTTTCGTGATTTCTTATGCAATGTGCAGCGCCAATTTGTATGCAAAAGGAGTGTCATCAATCCAAGGTAAGGCTGTTTAGGCTGTCAAGGCAAAGCTGACGCCCATGAGTCCCATTCCAGCGACAGCAAATCCAATAGCCATGCTTCGGTGATGTGTCAAGCCTAAGCCCTCGCTGAAAAGTGATAGAGCGACAGATGTCATGACGCCGGCGGTAGCAGCAAACATTCCGCCATAAACACCCCAAGATGGGCCATGTGCGTCATGGCTGCTGCGTCCTGCTCCCCAAATCCACAGGGCGGCGAGACCGGCGCCGGCGGGCTGGCTAATACCGCCGAGCAGACTGGACCAAAATATGGCTTTCCAGCGAGAGTTTAAGGCAAGGTATAGTGGTAGAGCCATAGCAAAACCCTCCACGATATTGTGAATAAACAGAGCCAAGAATACTGTAAGACCGAGGGTCGGACTGGCGTGGTTTGTGGCGTATGTGATGAAACCCTCGGGAAGTTTGTGCAGAGCAATCGCGACGACGGTCTGCAGACCAATGGACAAGAAAGCATTTTGCGGAACGTGATGATGGTGTGTACTGTCACCAGCAATCTTGGCCAAATCTGGGTCAGCGTGATCATGCGTATCGGAGTGGTGATGGTCATGATGAGCGTCTACATCGACATGGATGGTATGTTCAGACTGAGGTTTTTGCGGCGGAGACGAGGAGCAGGAGCTGGCGGTATGATGGAGCGGGTGCTGAGAAGCAATCGCGTCGTAATACCCGGTATCAGAGGTAGTTATAAATTGTTCGGAGGTCGATTCAGCCCCATTGGCACATTCCGGCTCTAGCTGTACACTGATGCTTCGGTGCTGTGGCACCAGCGAGGCACGCGTGACTTCGTTCGCACCTGCGGGCGGCGGGCATGACTCCGGAGGAAATACCTTGGTGCATTCACGCCCACAAGTCTGGGAAAAGCCGTAGCATGGTCCATTCTCATCACAAAGGGGCTTCACACCGCCCACCAACGCCGTGATTCGCCGGGTGAGCATTGTCTGTAGCGATTCCCGCTTTACAGAGTGCGAGCCCACCGGGGTGCGCTGTAAGACTGCCGGAGTGGATTTGAATGAGTGACCCCTATTGGAGGGTCGCAAGAGGGGCGTCCGCTCGGTGTTTCCATTCGCATTATGGTGGTGGGTGTGGTGGTCATGGTGGTCGCCTCCGGCAGGATGGGTTTCGCCGCGCTCGGGATCAATTTCCGCGCCACCGTGACTATGCGCACAATCCACCACATGCGACGGGATGAAGCGATGAATGAAACCGGAGAGAAATTGGATGATAATCACACCTCCGAGGAAGAGACCGATCAAAATATAGGCCGAGGCAGACGGGGAGAAGCCGGCGCGCGTGAGGTAGTCTTTGGAGGTGGGGAGCATGCTATACAAAGAGGTGAATAGCTGGTGCTGGTTAGCCATGCAAATACGCTGGGGTAATGTCTCAGAAATGAGTTACGCACCATGACACCAGCACTGAGACATAATGAGGCCGACAGGAAATTATTGCTGTTGGCAATTTGGAAGCTCTTGTGGTGAGTGAGCCGCCGCATCACCAAGTCGACGCAAATGACCGCCGATCCAAGGACACAAGCTGGAGGGAGATCAGTCGCATACATGGAGAAAAAGAGTAGTCAGACTCACCGACGCCTGAGACGCCGCTCATGACCCAACCCCGCATATCGTTGGAAGCCATGGCGAGTGCGGATGGGGAGAAAAGAAGAGGAAGAGAAGAAGCGGAGGAAAGAAGGAAGGTTGAATGATGTCAACGCCCGAGGCTTGGCGGTCACGGCAGTACTAGTATAGAATACTATAGTATACTACAGTATACTACTGCGTATAGTTATATGGGAAGAAATGCAAGATATTTGGATGGGAGAAATGAGAGAACCTTGGAAACTCAACAGATCACCATTCTTTCATTCCCAAAGGATTATTTGATTGGGCAAATACATTGGCAACTCTCTCAAGGTCCTCAAAGGCCCCTCCGCATGCAGCCACCCCCCGCGCTTTTCGCGCTATCGAGTCAAATTAGCCCCTGTCAGGTCATTGGAATTACTAAAAGCCAAAAGGTAGATCAGGACCAGAGCACTTGATGGCTATTTTTATTTCTATTTTATTTGCTATGCTATCCTGACTCCTATATCTACCGTATGGCCCAACGTGGGGGCCTCTATGCCAAGTGCTCAAGCTAATACCACTGCAGATCATTTCATCCGTGGGGGCAGATAACCCTATTACAGGACTTTATTCGAAAAAGAAATACCTCCTCAGCCATCAAAAGCCGAGATTGATGCTGCTCGGCGCAGTGGGCTTAGCAGTCTTAAAGCCAAAGATCGTAAAGAACGACCAACATTCGCGTATTCACAGGATCTTCCACAGACAAGCTTTGACCTCCGAAGGCCATTTGGACGTTTTACCACTAAATCCTATGCAGCTTCTAAATTGGAATCTCCAGAAGATTCATTGAAGCCAAAGGCACGTGGCAGTCGCCCCGACCTTTCTAAAATAATGGCCACTAAACCGCGATTTGACTCAAAGGCGACAGCATGGGGAGAGGCAGAACTTCCACCTCTCCCGCCGAAGAGAAGGGGCGAGGGCTTGGAAGACGTAGTTCTCAAATGAATTTACCTGACATCTAATGAGCTAGCTTATGACGAATAGCATGTTTGGTGTGGATCTAGCTGCTTAAGATCCAGAATTAGCATGCGATCCACCAACAAAGCACCTCCATATATTCTCGTTTTTGCTGTGTACTCAGATAATTTCTTCTGTATCCCTCTTTCGCTACATCTCTAGAAGTCACTTGCGCTTTTTTGGTTTGCTCTGGAGGCTAGGAAGGATATAGCGCGATTGATTATATCCTTTCACAACCTTCCAAGGAACTCGGAGTTGACGAGGATCTTAGAAGCAATGGCACTCGTCCCCTTTCATGAAGATTTATCTCAGCAGAAACAAGTATTAGTCACTCTGTTCTTTTTCCTTGTACTCATGGCTCCTTTGGGGCCCAAGAGCCTTTGAATGAGCCAAAGTTAAGTCTCCCGCTGTCTTTATCATAGTTTTTCGTGGATCCCCATGTCCATCCCAATGGGCTCCGGCTTCTAGCGGTCGATCAACCACCTCGGCATGACCCGCTGTCATTGCAGCTTCGACTGCGGAAGCACCTGGAGGTTCGTTAACAATGTCAGGGCAGGCTTCCAGTATCTGCTCTACTATTTCCAGGTGACCACGTGCCGCTGGTAATTCGAGTAGAGTCACCTTACTCGGAATGTCTGACCCAGCAGCCATTCAACGTATTAGCTACCTTCATATGACCCCCTCTCATTGCTTCATGCAATGCTCTGTTTGGCGACTTGTCTCCTGGTCCGGATTCTTCGACAACTGCTCCAGCTGCTAGTAGCCGTTCTACTTCCTCCAATTGACCCTGTCCCGCTGCAATTTCAAGTGTAGCAAGATTCCTGATTCCAGTGGGAATTGACATCCGCCCCGGCGAGCCGTAGTTCCCGTACTACTGCCGAGTGGGCTCCCTTTAGCGCTGCCTGGAGCGCTGAGCAGCCGGACACCACGATATTCACATCTGCTTTGGATTCGAGCGAACGACGGATCGATCCAAGGCAGCCTGCTTCAGCGGCATAAAAGAGCGCATAGTCAGAGAGGTTATCAGATTTGATCTCAGATAGTATCTCATTTGTGAATAGAAACCGATCCTTCAATTTGCAATCCCTTAGGATTTGAATCAAATCCTCTTTTTCTAGCCTTCCTGGCACTCCTATACAAGAATAAAACAGCAAGGTAAAGTGACTCTGCTGCGTGATAACCTCAGCTTTGGATAGAGACCGACTAGAGTTTTCGCTCCATGGTTTATGTGCAACAACATCGGCGTTCTTCAAGCACCTACGAAACAAAGCCCACATATCCGGATTTTCGAAGGTCGCTTTGTTCGATGTATGGGAGATCCAATGTGCCTGAGCATATTCAAGGAAATGAAATTCATTCTCCTGTTCAGGGGTTTGAGATGAAGACATGAAGTCATGGAGTATTCTTTCCATATTCCTCCCCAGCTCCTGTGAGCTGGGATTTTGAATCTGACGATGATTCGAAAGCAACTTTAATGCTATTCGATTCTTTGTGCTCCTTGAATGAGATATCGATGAAATGCCAAACTGAACTGGTTGCAATCGAGCATTAGAAGACTTGAGTACCTTCGCCAACTGGCGCTTGAAGTCGGAAAGGTCCAAATAGGTCATGCAGAGAAGTCCGAGCCGGCTATCAATACTTTCGATGTTAAAGCCGTTCAAATGTGAGCTTACGGTGTTGAAAAGATATTTTCTGACACTTTGATGAACATAGTGGACAGTGCCTTCTTCCTCGTCCACAAACACTAAGCCACAACAGTCGCTCCAAACTTGATCCATGTCGTTGGGAAAGCTTCCACGATCAAGAGACTTTTGGTATGGAGAGAGGCTTAATAATTCTTGATACGCCATTACGGCCAGTGGACGCTTGAGAATACCGCAGTATTTCAAAGCCTTGAGGGCGTTATCACTGCGTTGCTGAACTCGGATACGAGAGATTCTTCGATCAAAGATATCTTGTAAGCTCCGAGGAAGGGTTTCCAGAGCAGCGAGGATGTCATTATCGCTTTGTTGGGCACAGAGATCCTGGATGGTCAAATGGGCCCAAAGAAACCTAATTGAGTAGCTTTGTTAGAAATATTTTTCCAGTGATATTTTGCTAGAACCTCTGACGCCATATTTTGTCGGCATATCAGGCCGGTTGCACCTTGATATTTCACTTACATGCCATTAGATCCATCGCGTAATGCGTCGGATATTTTGATTATCAGACCAGGGTCTCCTAACTTCAACTGCTCTTCCTCGAGACAACGAATGAGGATAGTCGAGATATACCGATCTATGTCTGTATCGACCTCTTGGCCTGTAATCGGGATAGTCAAGTTAAGTTTGTTCAAATTGAATAACTTGTTTTCAAGTTCAAAACGGCCTGCGCAGATCAGTTTAAAGGTTTGATTTTGGCTCCGACAAAGTGTAGCTAGACCTGATGTCAGATCTTTGAGCTCGTCACTTTCAAATTCCTCAACTCCATCCAGCACTAAAAAGTACTGTTTGCCGCTGCCGAGGTATGAGAGAAGCAGGTCAATAACCTGTGATGTATCGAGATTTTGAGTCATACTCTCGAGTTCTCGGAGCTTTTGAATGTTCTCAGTCTCGATTTGAGAAGAAAGCAATTGGCGGGCGATGGTCCCAAAGACGCTTCTGGCTGATAGGGATTCCGAGTTCTCCACAGAGCAGAAGCAGTAGGAGATAACATCATCGGGCTGTCTCGAGCTATATAGATGTGCCACTACATTAGACATCATGATTGTTTTTCCCGCGCCCATTTTGCCGGGACACCAGAGAATGGAGCTCTGTGGGGAATCTCTCCAATGAGAGAACACTGGTTCTTGCTGGAGCCATTCCGCTGTGGAAGGCACGCGCTTTCTTAAAGCCTGCTTCCATGGCTTTGCAAAGTCGAAAGCTGAGAGGTTATCCTTGACTGCAGATCTCAATTTTGCGTTTTCTCTTTTCAACCTGAGAAGCCGCCACTCGTTCGCATCTGCGTTCTCTTTCTCGGACTTTTCATGAAATTTCAATGCGAGTCGGCGGAAGGACGTGCTGTTATGACTTTCATGTTCCACTAGCTTTCTCATTTCTTCAAGGGCCTGGTTGGCGGCAAGCGAAATTTCCAAGCGCACGCTTTTTATAGTCTGTTCAAGTTGAATTAGGAGAGGCTGGAATTCGGATTCAAAGGGGTTGAAAACAGAGGATAGAATCTGTGAAACAGGGGCTCGTCGGCATGATTCAACAATTTTGATACAAAGACGAACAATAGTTGCGTAGTATTCGCATAGTTCACGCTGGAGGCCAGTGCATCCGGGGTAGAGTTGGCCAAACTGTTGGTATCTTGGACAAGTCTTGCCGATCTCCATAATCATGCTCGTCACTTTCTCGAAGTAGGATGAAATGTTGCTTGCCGAGAGGATAGCGAATTTGACTCCTCCCCAGACCAAAGCGGCAATCTGAGGATTGGAGCTGACAAAAGTGTCTACGATAGCAGTAAATTGCTGCGTCGACTCGAGAAAGGAATACAATCTCGGGGCAACACATCTCCTTGCTGTGCTGCTGTTATTCGCGTCGACTTCTGCCACGAATGAAATCACGCTCGCAATGTCCGGTTTGTCGTTGCTTGCAAGAAATTTCTGCTTTTGCTCCTCTGTGAGCACATCCTCAAAGGCCACCAACGCCCGTCTTAGCGCCGTTGTGGGGTCTTGTGCTTGAGGGTTGCCCCCGGAAGGACCTGGGCGAGATATAAGGTCGCTCATCCTGAGCCTGATTCGAGCAGCGACACAATGAACAACTTTCTTGCAGCACTCCGCAAAAGCTGAAAAGGAGTGTTTCATTTAACTCAGCTCTCTCCCAATATCAGGCTGACAAGTGAGGGCGGTGTTGTTGTTCGTATTGGTAGGAAGTGCTCTCTAATTGGCTGTATAGGCGCCTATGCAAGCACTGCTTGGAGGTCTAAGCCTCACAGTGCTCGACCTTGGAAGTTCTCTCATCCACTCAAAAGCTGAAGCTGACAATGTTTTTCAGTTTCTTCCGAGTGGTGTTGAATCGCCACTAAATTCCAACAGGACCCATCGTGTTGAGACTGAGATGCCTCATATGCCCCTGGCCTCTGATATCACCACCCGCCCAGGTGGGCATACATTCACTCTCTCATGCATTTCATTGTTCCGAGCCATTGTCACATACTATTTCTACTACTGGTAGTTGCAAGATCGAGATGAGTGTATCAATGCACGTACGCACGGTGAATAGTCCGTATTTTTTCATATAGTACAAGCTCATGTCTACTGGTATAATTCATTAACACTTCTAGAAAGATAGTACCATTTCCCACCAGGGTACAGGCAATACTTCCAGCTCAACACTGAAAAGCAACACCAGTCTTAGTAGCCACATTCCCACCACCACCCGCAAAGCCCGTCCCCTCAGAGCTAACCTCAACAAGACCAGGCTTAACAGCATCCTTATCCTTCTTCTTAGACTTCTTCTTCGACCCATCCGCATCCTTAGACTTCTCCTCACGAGTCGTAAGATCCGTCTCACAAACATAACACAGTACCAGCCCATGCTGAGCCTGTTCTTCCTTCGAGGCATGCGGATCCAGGACAGCGTGTGGAGTCATGAATTTCGTAACGCATGGTTGACAGATGACATGACCGCATGGTTTTGTGACTGCAAGATTTCAATTAGCCTTCACCCTTGTGCCCTTTCGAGTTGTTATAAAAAGGAATTGAGAAAGAAACTTACGCATAGCTTTCAACCCATTACTAAGATTCTTCTTACAACTCGGACAAACCCGAGAAACCGTCCCATCAGAACCCTTCTCCTCAGTAAAATGAACCTCAACCAACGACTTCAGCGAATAAGTATGCTTATGGGTCTCGGAGGACCCGGGACAAATTGGCGCCAATTTAACGGCTTTGCTGGCGGCGATTTCATTGGCGTCGGTATTTGGCGTTAGGGATGGAACCCAGAAAGAGGGTAGGGCGGATTTGCTTGATTCAGACTGAGATAGCGTTAGCATAGAGCTCCCCCCGGGGGACTTCCTCCGGACGGAATGAGCGTGGCCGCGCTTCGCGGGACTAACCTTCTCCTTCTTCAACTCATCCCTCAACCTCTCCCTCTCCTCCCGCGCAACGCGCTCCATATCCTTCTCATTTAATTCAAAAACCTTCCTTTTAACACCATCAACCTCGACCTCTCTCGCCTTAAATCGCGCAATTGCCTCTTCCTCCTCCTTCGCATCCCCACTCCCAGTCCCAGCTTTACGCTTCTCCCCCCACCCCCCAACCCCATAGAAACAAGTTCAAACTCTCTCAAATCTTTAGCCCTAGCCTCATCAGCCATGCGCTCATCATCCTCCGCAAGACGTTTCTTCGCCTCATCACGCTCGCGCTCGCCGCGTTTAATTTCCTGCCTTTGCGCGAGCAGGTCGGCGATGGCGCACTCGCGACAGAAAAGGTCGCCGTTTGTAGAACAGGATACTACTGGTGATCGGGCGGGTTGGAGACAGAGTTTGCAGGATGCGAAGGGAAGGAATGAGTCTCGGCCTATTACGCTGCGCTTTGTGCCCCATGTTGAGCGTAGTAGGCTTCGCTCGTAGGATGTGAAGTGTGGGAGGGAGGTGTTGCGCTTTGAGTGCGCCATTTTGTTTGGGTGGGTGGTTGTAGTTTTGTAGGGTGGTTCGAGCTGTTTGAAGGATTTGTTTGGATTGGATTGGATTGACGAAGAGCAGAGTTGAAGGTAAGTTGAAATTAAGATGGAATTGGAATTGGAATTGAATTGGAGACGGGACTTTTGCGGAGCTTAAGTGGAGTTTGTGTCATTGTGGGATTTGATTGGTGGAGATCTCCACCGCCTGGAGCTCTGCATCATCGGAGTAGAACTGCTCCAGTTGGAGTACATTCGTTAGTATCTGAATATCTACGGAGTATTCTTGGAAGATTATGGAATTAAGTCACAGTGACAATTGGAATAAGCTTTTCTTTTGTCTACTAACCTAAATCCTATTAGGAAGGCCAAACACGAATTGAGTGATCATGACAGAGGGATCGAGATACACATCGCATTGCACTGCATCACATCACATCACATCCATCAGATCGCAGACTGACTTGACTTTAGAACCTCAAACAAACTCAACTCAACTCCTACTCTGAACACCACAGATAGTAAAATATGAGGCGAAATCATAGACGGAACAAAACAAATTGTAATCGCGTCGCACCAAAATGCATTCCCATGCTTTCCATGCATTGCAATGCACAGATCAAATGAAACCCCGTCCGGACCGAAACCACGAAGAGAGAAAGAGAGAGGGAGAGGGGGAAAGAAAAAAGACAACCAGGCTGTGAGAATGAGAACGAGGATGAAAGTCAAAAAGAATCAGAGATTGATCAGTTCCAGCCATCGTTCAATGCAAAGGGCCCAACGGAAAATAGGAGTTGAAGTGGAAATGGGGGTATAATCGTCATAAAAAACAGGAGATCAAACGGATTTCGTGCTATACAATGCGTGTCGAGGTTCGAATGGTAATGGAAGGGGAGGGCCGAGAGCCGAGAGCCGTGGGTGGTGCTATGGGCTACACACCCACGGCTTGTTGTCGAAGGCTCTCCGATGACGGGGGCGCACCTAGGGGATTTGACGATGGGGACGGTGCGCTGTGGGGTGGGGTAAGGTGGTGGTGGTTGAGGATGATCGTTCCGGAAGGCGATTCGGGGGGGATCACTGGCGACTGTTTCGTCTGGAGCTACATTCTCAGAAGGTCGGGGCAGATCCTCGTGTGCATCTTTGAAGAAGTCGATTGGCTCGTCGTCACTGCGCATGCTGATCCCAGTTGTGGTGCTGACGCTGCGGAAGGATCGAGGCCGGCCGTCTGGGACGACCCCCGATCTCACCGACTCGCCGCTACTGAGTATGTTCGGCTCGGAGGCTCGGGGTTCATCGTGCGGAGTAGGCTTCCTTAGCTTGAGACGTTCCTCAGGAGACATGTTCTGCCACTCGGATCCGAAGGTAACAACGGAAGCCTTTTTGCCGTGCACGGTGAAGCTAGGTGTCTTCCGCGAAAGGCCGCCTTCATGGGTAGTGTCATCATCTGATAGCGGCCCAATGCTGGACACCGATCCGCGGTTCCTTTTGCTGTGGGTGTGCGAGTGGTGTCGGTTCATATGAATATGAGGAGATTCACGCAGTGAGCGATGCAGGCTGCGGCGGACACGGCTGGGCCTGTCACTTTGAGATACTTCGGATAATTCATCTGGTTTATCCTCGCCGTCGGCTTCCGGTACAGTTGTTGGTTGTTTCCGTGGCGGGGGAGAACCACTCAAATCCAACAACCCTGTTTCTCGCAGCAGGCGTTCCTCGCCCTCGTCCCAACTGGCAGGGGAAGTGAGTCTGGAGCCTCGAGAGTTGAGACTAGAACCATCAAACCGGCTAACGCGGCTAACCACGGAAGCCTCACGCTCAAGTTGCACGTCTGAATCAGAGGCCTTGCCTTGGTCGGAAGCGAGGGCAACTGAGAGCGGTCGGCCAACACGAGCAAAGTCAGATGAGGTAGTTGATGCGGGGAGACTAGGGCGGCGCATCTCATCGACCGAGGGCTGCTTGAGGAGGGCAGGGTCGAGGGGACTGTCCACAGCCGCTGTTGCCGCAGTAGTCTCTTCCGTATCATGGCTGGACACTGTATGGACGATACTCGGCGCTTGTTGGATACTATGCTGGATACTAGGCTCGTATTTCACCGATGGACCGGAGACCGATGCCATCCGAGCCGGAATGGAACTGGCCGGCTCATCGCCAACCGATGCCGCTCGCTCCGGAACAACACTCTCATCCTCGCCGAGGTCCCGAAGAAGAACCTCCCGGTAGCACTTGTTGCGCCAGATGTCTTGTCTAACCCACTTAAGCTTGGCGGCCATGCGACCCGCAGCCATGATGACACCCTCACGGGCACGAGGATGAACAGGAGTCAGTAATTGCAGATGTCGTGCATTCCGCAGAAGATCGTCAAGTTGTCTCTGCGTGACGAAGAGCTTCTCATTGGTTTCCCGAATCTTCTGGCTCATCAATTGACGACGGGCAGCAACAAACTCTGCCACAATATCGGTGTCGATGCTGGGCGAGGGAGGTTCCTTGTCCGATGACTGGTGTGACTGGACTGACGAGATAGAGTTCATTCGCTGGCTCTTGCGATACCGTTGACCCTCGTAGTTCGTAGCGATCATACCCTTAGTACGAACGCCAGTAGTTCGGAACGCGGCGGCATAGTTGAGCTTTGAAATCCAGTCGTTCATCTCGGTTTCGGAGGCCGCAAGGAAGATCTCTTCGATCGCATTGCGTCGCACAAACGAAAACGCATGCTTATGCTTCTTGTAATCCGTGTCCAAGAGCGCCACTGCATCGTTGGTCGACATGATCGCATCGGGCTTGAATTCCGCAAGGGGAGGTTTGAAGACCATAGTTCCCTTCCGTCCACCCTTCACGTACGCATCGTTTTGCGCCATGAGCGAGCGTACCCAGGCAACATTGCGGAAGAAGTAAAGCTGTGAAAAGGTGAGGACCGCGCCCCATTCCTGCCACGGAGATCGGGCTCGCTTCTTCTTCGGGTCTTTCCGCCAAAGAACACCGACCTTGGCGACTTTGATGTCTACCAGACCGGGATTGGAGTCGGCAGAAGTATCGACAACTCCTTGCATGAAAGCATCCGGGCGCGAGCGGAGAGATATGATCTGCAGAATGCCCGACTTGGTGAAAGCCTGGTGCAAGTCATCGATGTCAGGGAGCCCGTCGGTTCCAACGTGATTGTAGGTGTCCTCTAGTTCCATGACGTCTTTCAAGGTGGGTCTGAGGGAGCCGAGTTTGCTATCGAGAATGAGTGTATACGGGTCCACGGGCTCCCTGGATACCCGTGACAAATGCTCGGAACTTGTACTCTTGAACAAAGCTCGTCGTGGCTTGGCCAGATTGCGTTCGCGCAGATTTGCATCCTCGACGTGGATGAATGGAGTGTACGAGATATTCTCATAGAAGCATTCTAGAATGTCATCAGAGATGCCCTCGCCGCGGGTATTCTTCACATAATCGGGCTTTTGCATCTTCCGCTTGTTGTTCTTGTTGAAAACGTCGGTGTGAAGAATCAAGATCGAGAATGCGATGAAATACGCTTGGTCTAAATTATTGTTAGTTTGGGAGACAAGGGCTGGAATCGGGCCATGTCGCGGAAACCATACCAGTGGTTGCAAAGATACCTGGATTGCACTCGTGGTACCTATCTGCGAATGCTTGGAGGAAACGATCGATTTGCTGCGTTTCCTTTGGTAGCTCCACTTCCATCAACAGCTTCCGAATAGACATGTCAATAGGGTCACCAAAGTAGTGGAACCCTCGCATGTATTTTCTGAGCGCAACTTTGAAGAATTCTTGGTCCGACTGAGCAAGAATACCGGCGATAGATCCCTTTGGCAGATTTTCTTCTAGCTTTGTGAGATAGCTGGCAGGCGTGTCATCTTCCTCCCGCGAAGGGACTGGTGGTAACTCTGGCTTTGAAACTGGAGTCAATGATCCGGGGCCGCCAACACCAGGGGAACCATGTCGAGGGAATGGGGGCTCAGAATTCTGACGCAAACGCTGAGAAATATTGAAAAGATCACCGAAGCTCTTGCGGCCACTGGTAGAAGTCGAAGTACGTCCGGAAGATGCGAGATATGGGACGGGAGATAAATCATCCTGATTCTCGGCCACCGAGCCCATTGTTGATGATCGACCGCGGCCATTATGGGACGGATTGGAGCGCAAGGAGCGAGCGGAATTCGTGGAGTCATTACGGAAGAGTTGCGGGGGGACCGAGGAGGCTAGTCCGACAGAGGAACGTGAGGGGGGAGGGAAGAGGCGAGACCTGGTCGTGATCCACCGAGCCATCGGACTTGGGAGTATCGGCGGAGAACTTTGGGGCGGCGTCCAGCGCGCGGCTGCTGGGGGTTGGTTTCGGGGGAAGTGGGAACAAGGGACTCCTGTTGCGCTTGAGACGGGGTAAGCGGAATCGCTTGGCACTAGATGTAGAACCGTGGCCTTCACGAGGAGAGTTGGTCTGATATGTGGGTGCTTGATCCCCATAGCTCTGGTCTGACCGCGAAGATTCAGAGAATCGAGGGTCCACGGCAGAGGATCGATTAGAATCGACGGGTTGGTCCCGGCTGCCACCTCGGAGGGAGTTCGTCGAGAGTCGCCCGGGGGTCTCGGAAGTTGTTTGGAAGGTCGAAAGGCTCGAGTCGCCGATCTGTGAGTCGGTCGAGCCCTGGTTCTTGCGAGTTTGTTTTGATCTCGGGTGATCCGTCGAACTTCGTGATAGATCCTCCATGGATTGTTTACGAGAGGATGGGCGGAAGGAGAACTTATTCCGATGTTTTACCGGTTGATCTAATTCATTGCTCGTCGGGGCAGTGGTGATGATCTTCGGAGGTGGTAGAGAAGGCACTGGTGGAGCTTCTTGCTGGGCTTTCGTGTAGCTTTTTGAAAGCTGAGGATCGGAGGCATGGCGTAGTCTCATAAAGCTGAAGCGATTCCTCCGCATACTGGAGGTGTCGGCAGAGGAGGAGCCGGCAAAGTCGGACCGGTCTACCGCATGGCCATGGCCATGCGGTTGACCCCCCTGCTCGCCAGGGATCTGGAGCCCCCTCGCAGCATCGGATGGACTTTCAAACTCGGCTTGTTCGTTCGGCGGAGAGAGACCCGGGAGACGCGGAGTTGACTCGGAGTATCGCGGCTCAGTGGTCGGCGGGGAGGGGCGTGGGAGATGCTCGCTGCGACGACTTTGGGGTTGGGCGTAGGCTTGAGGGTCGATAGTGCTCTGGCGCTTGGAGCTACTATCGGCGACCAGCCGCAGGCCTTTCCAATGCATAGCAACGAAGCACGAGAACGGTAATCAGACCCATACGGTGTGCCTTGGAGAAGATTGGGAGAGGATGCGTTGGAAGGAAGGATCAATGGTGCATGGCGACGTGGAGGAGGAATCCAGAACGCGGTGGGATTGAGAAGAGTGGAGTGGGCAGGTGTGGAGTGGAGTTGCGAGGGTCCGAGTCGTCAGCTGGCGAAAAAGGGGAACGCGGCAAGGGGAGTCAAGTGGATGGACCACGGAGAACAGCCACGTTGGGAGGTCTGGACTGGTCTGGATGTTCTAGAAGGGAGTAGGCGAAGGTGCTGGTGATAGAAGGTGGTTGTAGAAGGTGATGGTGATGGTGAAGGTGGGTAGTACGGGGGGGGAGAGAGGAGAACTGGAGGAGAAGGTGGTGTGGGTGTGCCCAGGAAGGTACAGCGCCAAGTGCAGTGGCAGTGGCAGTGGCAGTAGAGTAGAGTGTAGAGTATACAATAATCTGAATATTTTATGTTTATGCCCAGGTGCTAATAAATTATTTTTTAATTATCCATTAAATGAATAGTAGAATTATGCCAGATACTAGTGAACTACTAACAGCTCAAGTCGTAACTTTATTTTAGTGTGGTAAACACTGTAGCCTGCTACGATAGTACTAATTATATACTGCCACTGCCATATACACTCTAGGTATACCAGTCTGCTACTATTATTACCTAGGTACTTTGGAAATAATACTACCTAGTAGTGGATATTCCTGCTAAAGCAGTACATTCATACTAGACTATAGTAGTAAATTGAAATATTATACTATATACTACCCTCACTACTACACCACTCTACAAAGTGATGACTACTCCCCGCCTTCTCCGCACTTCACCTCCCTCACCACTTCAACCTCCACCTTCACCACCTCTTCATATTGGAACTTGATCCTTCCACCCCCCCCACCATGCGCCTTCTTCCGGCCTATTTACTTTTGGCTGCCACTGGAATTCCTTCCATCCTCGCCATCCCCGCCGGTTCCAGCATTACTCCTCCACCTCCGCTACTGCCCGCTCACCAGCTCTCTCACCCAGACCCACGCCGTCCGTGGACCCGACTCCGAGACTGGGTCATCGAATCCGTCTGGGGTATTGAGCACTCCAACTGTCCCAAGCATGCCCAAAATCTTCCTCCTTCCAATGTTCGTGATCGCTATGAGAGTGATGTAGTCCTCCGCTTCCAAATTCGCCAGCCGGAAGAAGCGGACGCTCTGGCCGCCGCCTCCCGGGTTTTGCTCCTCGATGTCTGGGCCATTACCGCAGAATATGTGGACATTCGACTGACAGATAGCATGGTAAGTCATGTCTCATCGGATTCCTTCAAATTTTTCAATTCCTTGTTCAAGTTGCTTATCGCGGATATCCGGATCATAGATTCCTTCCCTGCTGGAGCTGCTGCCTGCTTCTCTCCGTACATCGCACACCCCACTTATGGATGATCTCGTCGATATGATCTATGCCACCTACCCAAGAACTCATTATCACCCTTTGCACCCATTACACCCCGATACAGGAACTGGATCCGCCCACGGTCGCACCGCCGAAATTGAGGATGTTTTTTTCCGCGAATATCAGCCCTTATCCGTCATTGTGCAGTGGATGCGACTGATGGCGTCAATGTTTTCATCCCATGCAAGCTTCATCAATATCGGTCACACCCACGAAGGCCGAGAGATCCCGGCTCTACGACTCGGCGCACGTCGTGATGGACATTCCTCGCCAAGCCCGCGGAAGACCATCGTCATGATGGGTGGTCTCCACGCTCGGGAGTGGATCAGTACCTCCACAGTCACCTATGTTGCTTATAATCTGATTACCCAATATGGCGAGTCGCTCGAGGTCACCCATCTTCTTAATGAATTTGACTGGATTTTCATCCCAACCTTGAACCCCGATGGTTATGTCTATTCATGGAAGTCGGACCGCCTATGGCGGAAGAATCGACAGCCAACGGGCCTCCCGATCTGCCCAGGAGTCGATCTCGACCGTGCCTGGGATTTTGAGTGGGATGGAGAAACAACCCGCTCAAACCCCTGCTCAGAGAATTATGCCGGTTCCGAGCCCTTCGAAGCATTGGAATCTCAACGATTGGCCCAGTGGGCGCAGAACGAGACTGAGAGCGGGCGAGCAGATATCATCGGTCTCTTGGATCTGCACTCCTACTCTCAACAAATCCTATACCCTTACTCCTACAGTTGCTCCTCCGTTCCTCCCACCCTTGAAAGTTTGGAGGAGCTGGCTTTGGGCCTGGCCAAGGCAATTCGAATGACGACCCGCGAGTCATATGACGTGACATCTGCCTGTGAGGGTATTCTGCCGAACGGGGAAGCGGCTAACCTGAACTCGGGCGGCAGCGCCCTGGACTGGTTCTATCATAAGCTGCATGCCAGATACTCTTTCCAGATCAAACTCCGCGACCGTGGCAGCTACGGTTTCCTCCTTCCTCGGAACACATAGTACCCACTGGCAAGGAGATTTTCCAGGCCGTGCTGACATTCGGACATTTTGTGTGGAGCGAGGATTCTAGCCTGACATCTGGTGAACCCGTGGGGCCGCAGCAGCAGCAACAGCACCAGCAGCAACAGCCGCTGGTTTGAACATAAATATTCCCACTTTCTTGTCTTGATTCTCGATCTTATACGATGATGTCTGCATAGCACTTTTCCAATTGGCGTTTGGGCTTTTTGACTTTTACCAAAACGACTCGGAGATTTTTCTACATACCGATCCTCATGGAGGCCGTAATAGTCTTTTCTTTTTATGTACTCAAATGTCAGATACGAACCGATATGAACAAAAATGGAACCGCAAAATTCAAAATTTCAAGTTGAGCTACACTGCAGACTGCAACGATACTTGTTTCCATAACATCCATCTATACCCAGATCAATCGTACATATCGTACTATAACCACTGCTCCCTCTACCTACTCGTTAACCAACTCTACCTAACCAGTCTTAAAATCCGCGGGCCCAGACCACCCCCTCAACCTCTTCCCAAAATACTGCAACGCAAGAATCATAAAAAAAGCCGCCCCAACAACCCCACACATAGTCCCCATCTGCTTAATAGTCCCCTCCTTCTCAGCCCACTCAATCATGAAATAACTAACAATAAACCCCCCACAAGTCCTTCCAAAATTCACCCAAGCAGCAACCTCCCCACTAGCCTCCGGATAGCTATCCAAAACATACGAATTGATAGCAACAGTCACAACCATGATGCCAAATACGTAAAGTCCCCAACCCAGCGCCGCAAGCATATAGTGATACTCGCGCTCCAGTGCGAAACCCATCAATATTAGTCCTGAGACTAGGAATGGCATCGAGAACCAGATTGCGTATAGTCGGGCCTCGGGCTCGAATCGGCCCCCGTGTCGGGTTGTGTAGGTTTTGGCTATGGCATCGTGCAGCCAGTGGCCGGCTACTTCGCCGAGAATTGCGGCTACGACGGGGGTGAAGTAGAAGAAGCCTAAAATTTAACACAATGGCAAATGTCAGCAATCTTCCCAATGTTGGATTTTATCAAGTCAAGAACTTGAAGAGGGAGATTGGGTTGGGTGGGTGGGGTCAAGTTACCGATAGCTTTAGCATCAAACCCATAAACGGGCGCCAAAAAGATCGAAAGCGTAGTATTAATACCAACGACCCAAGCAAACATAAGCAAATAAGCAAAAGCCGCGGCAAAAACAACAGGTTTGCAAATAATCGTGATCGGCCGCATAACCGCCTCCCCGAACGAATTCCTAATATACCCCGAGCGAACCTGCTGGATACCCAACATGCGCTGCCACCGGGGTCCATTGGGGACGAGTTCAGGTTGGACGGTTTTGCGATCGTAGTACGTTTCGTCCACGAAGATAATTATGGCGAATAGACAGAGACCGGTCTCGATTGCGTAGAGGCCGAAGGCCCATTGCCAGATTTGAGTATTCACTATGAATGAGGCGAGAAGTGGGCCCATGTAGGGCGAGAGAATTATGAAGCCGGACCAGATGTTGATTTTGCGGGCGTGTTCGTGGAAGAAAAACATGTCTTTTATGAACATTAGGCCGCCCTGTTGGATGGGGTTAGTAATTGATAGTGACTATAAATGACTATGCCCAGGTGGGACTGGATTCGGAGGGATGGGGGAGTTTGCGGAAACGTAATCTTGACATACACCTTGCGCGACAGTTGAGAAAAAGCCATTGAGGATGCGCGCGGCCTAGAAATGATAATATCATTTTAGCGTTTGTCTTAGGTGGACGGAAAGAACTTAAACCCTCTCTGTTGTATAACATAACGTGGGATATAAAAACATACCATAAATGACTCAAAGCTCTGAGCAGCAGCACACCAAACAGCCGTCGCAAGAGCAAGTAAAGCCCACCAGAACAGAATCGGAAATCGGCCAAAATACGCTGAAAGCGCGACAATAATGGGTCCAGCTGCACCAAGCATGAAAACGTTTCCGACCTGTGAGTGATTCACGACATTCGGGTCCATATTCCACTCTCTAGGGGCGCCATGATTGTCAGTATACTCAGTAGTACAATTGCTACCCAGAATCGACTGGGGAAAGGGGTGATAAAATTCAGTTGAATGGAAAGGGGGATACTGGTTACTTACTTGCCCTGCGGCACAAGGGTAACGGCACCCGTAGCACTTCCATAATCAGGCAAGAAAGCCGTGCAGGAAATAATAATCAGAACCAAGTGTTTGCGAAACGGGGTCCAATTGAGAGGATCATTGGGTGAGTCACTAGGCTGCGGGATGAGAATTGTCTGTCCGTCTTCTGCGGTCTTTAACCCTTGATCATGGGCGAGTGTCGCGTCATTTAGAACGTAGCCCTCGCGTTCACCGACGGCTTCTAGATCAACGGCTGGTTTGTTGGGCGCGACTTTCTCCATTTGAGCGTCGTGGTCACTTTTGGCGCTTTCGGAAGACATCGCATTCGTTCCTCCTTTTCTAAAAGAAATTTTGGGCTGACTCCCCAACGACCCAATGATGACGCAAGGAGGGGGAGATGAAAGTAGGGTAATACGACCTCAAATCCTATATTTCTTTCCCTTCTCCCAAACTATGGGGAGGGGCACAATTGACCCCTTTATACCTAGCCCCCAATGTTTGGGTGGCTAGTAGAAGCAATCTAAAACTAGTACTCCGTAGTAGTCCGGGGAAACCCCTTTCGGCAGAGGAAGTAGGGCTTCACAGCCGAGATATTCATCCCGCGGATGACAACGATCTTGATAATCGGGGTTTAATTGGGTGAGGGATGAACAGGCTGAATAGCTGCGCTACGATTTGTCACTTGGAACCCTCTCCTGTTTAAGGTATGGGGGTGCCAGACTCAGTGTTCAATCGCGGCTGTTGTGGGGGTGGATACGGGGCTTGGCTCCCCATTGTTGTTGGTTGCGGGGGAGAGATGTGGGACTCCACGGTTTGACTGGTGTCAACTTGGACCCTCGTGATTCCCCCGCTCTGTTGATCTGGTTTTGTTTGAGGTAAGTGGATTTGTGAGAGGCGGAGGGATTTCTGGAGTTGGTAAGGTTGGGTCGAATGGATCGCCCTTTCTTTTGCTGGGAGAGCGATGTGCAGGATCGACAGCTGTTAAACTTTCGATGAATTGAAGGATGTTCTGAAAATATTTCCGGAGCAAGGTTATTGATTTATGGCGGGGCTGACTGATTCCGGGTCTCATAACACTGATGTTTCTATCGGCATGAATTCAATTGATTGGCTACAGGTGGTTCTAGAGCCATTCGGTGCGAAGTGTAATGTCCACAGCCGTGACTATTCTGGATTTCCAGTGTCCAAACATCGTTTGAAAAGCTCAAGCCCTTGAAGATCACTAAAAATGACATTTCAATAGAATTCGCATCTCTCTGAAATGTTGCCGACTTCGAAATTCATGTTAGAAAGCTCGATAGGAAGCGACTGTCCGCCAGCCCAATCGTCAAGAAGATTCAATGCCGTCCGGAATCTGGTAACCTCAAGATAAAAAGGATTCCGTCCCAGGGTTGCACGTAAAGCCTGCACAGTATCTGAGATCAGAATGGCGCGCTCTGGTCCTTCTTTCATCGGCAAACGTAGGCTGAGGTTTTGCAGGACCGGAATATCCATGTGGAGTCTCTGCAGGTCAAGCAAAATTTCTGCTAGTTCAAAGTATGTATCGTAAAGAATGGAAAGTCTCTCAAATACCTCAGGTGAACTCGAATGTGACGCTGTTTGAAGCCTTCGCCAAGTTCTCACTAACGTCCCCGTAAGGGGTATATCTTCGGGGCTATGGGTTGCGATAAAATGCAGAAACACGACTATAAAAGACGTAAAGGATGAAAACGGTAGGGGGCTGGGTACTATATTAGCGCGAATGATGCTAATATGTGGACAGGAAAGTGAGGGAAGCCATGATGAACCTCACAAATTGACGTAGCCGATATCTGACAACTGTTTCATTTCTGGTCGTCACGAGAAGGGACATTGAACCGTTGCAAACTGGATATCGCTGCATCGAAACACCGAGTACTGATTTCGGCGGGTCCTGCTGAATTGGGTGAGGCAAGTAACAGTATCGTCTGAGTGGAATAATATAGAATATCTGCATTCTTCCCAGATAATTTCAAGATCGAGCATCTATCAATCCAACGTTTTTGGTTCTATATGTGAAATTAGTTTTGATTTTGAGATATTATGATGGCCAATGAAGTACAACTTACTTCGTGAAAATCGCCGCGCCATTGCACCACGTCCATATGACGCCCTATAATGACTTCTGATCTTTCCAAAACAGGAGTTTTCATACTAATCACAGAGTAAAGATCATTGTGGATTTGACCGTGGATTCTCGCTAACTTGATGCCTGGAAGGAAGCACTCATCCCAAGGCTGTAGATTGAGATCCGTAGAAGCTACTGGAGGCTCTGAATCAATTTCAGAATCCTGCATATGCGACGACCGTCCCAATAGGAAAGAAATTTTCTTGTCAAACACATATATAGTCCAGAATAGGCGTCTTGTGCTGTCTTCCTGTTTTGGTTTCATTTTTTGATAGCTCGTTTCACGATGATATCCGAGTGCTCGTAAGTGATTAGCGGCAGATGAAACCAGAGTGGAAGCCAAAAATGGCTTGCCTTCTTCCTGGGCATTTCTAATCTAAGTAAAGAGTTACCCTGTCTGATACTGCTCTTCTGCCGGTGACTCGGAGTAAAAGAAGCCACCTACTCCCAAGATTAAAGCGATAATATTTCCAAAAGAGGGCCAGACTAGGACATCGTATGTTTCAAGTCCATTAAAGAAAACTCGCTTACACTTAGCAAGGCTGGCTGTCAAGTCATATTTCTTAGAGACTAGTTTGCTGATAGCTTTGTCATTCTTCATGAGAAAGAAAAGAATGCCATGAATGCATGTGATGAAATCAGTACTGGGGTTGGGGCGAAAGAACACCTCAGTGGTCATATATTCGATAAGCCAGGGATCATTAAAGGCGTAGGATGAGAGAAATATTGGGCACCGGGCTACTGGGAGAGGGTCAGCTAGACATTCAATGTGGTGGGCGACCTGGAAATTATTGAGGCCTTACCGACCGAGGAACCGATGCGAGTCGATGCTGCTTAGGTTCTATTGTTCCTACTGGCTCATCTCTGTCCATTTTCACAATATGCGCGGATTCTACGCGCTTTGATTGTTTGTCGGAAAATTGATGTTGGCGGAATAGGGGCGCCCGCGTCTTCGGAAATGTGGGCCTTTGAGACGCGTTCCCGACGACCGCGGGTAGGAAAGTAAAGTAGCCTGACAGCATGACAACCACAATAATCGGGTTTACATGGAAAGATATTAGGGAATATCAGGGCACGTACTGATACTAGGGGGCCTAGGGGGGCGATGGTGATTGAACTATTTCTATGTTACTTTCTACACACGATCTACTGGATACTCCGGGTCCAACTTGAAGCTGCCGGGCTACGGCATACTAGAGGAGTAGTAATGTACTATTTCATCTACAGGTCTAAAATCTTGATTTGAAGGAGCCCCAGATACTAAGGCAGACACCGACCCGGTAATTAAGATATTATTTTCTGCTAAATCTACCATCTATTCTACCATACCTTCATTTACAAGTAGTGCATAGATCATGTGAAAACTATAGTTTATGGTGTCTACGCGTGGTTCCTGGCGAGAGAGATGGAAAGATGAGATAGAATATAGAGATAAATGTCGACGGATATATGCGATGGAGGAGGTAATCCTCACGCTATATCTATTTATCTAATGACAAACGACGTACGATCAATCAGTGTGCATCGGCCGATGAAAGAAATGAAATACATAAAATGATATACCCCAGTCATGCATGCCTTAAGTGTGAGCTGGCCATGCCGTTTGGCCCGAGGCCGAGCGGTCTCAGTATTTCCTACCCCACGATATAATTCAAGTGATTAGAAAATAACTTGGGACCCTCATTGGTCACTTTTGACCAGAGATTTTGAAAACCCGCCTTGGCCAAATTTAACCCCAAAGTCTCCTCCATCGATTGCCGCGTCGCTTGAGTTGAAGAGGCGAAGCCATGGGATCTACCAAGGGCTGTACCACGGGCTGTACCACGAAACTTGAAGAGGTCTGTGCTGGAAGAACTTGTGTCACCGACTTATACCAAAGATCGAAGTTAAATATTGGGTCGCAAGAGATGATTTTGAAATCCGGCAAGATTTGTGTATCGAGAACCTCCATTTGCGGGAGATTCAGTAGATGGATGAGATCCCAAGCCGCAAGAGACTCGCACTTGATCTGATAGTGTCCATTCGTTTCGTTTCGCTCGATATAGAAGCTCGGAAATCCAGTCAGAACGATACCACCATCGCCGGAGTCAGAAAGAGAGCAGCTGTACGGCAATTCTTGGCACCGTTCGTTTATTTTCGTAAAATGGGTCCTTCTCAGAGCGCGGATTTGGTGCTCGGGCTCGAGGTATTGGAGAAAAAATTTATCGTCCTTTTTAGATAGAGCGATCTTGACTTGTTCATCAGAATCTTTGGCCATGACGGTTATTATGGTGGAAGTTGGCTGAGAGGAGTGCAAGAAGGGAGTGAGAAGCTCAGCTGGGAGGGTAAGCAAACGTGGCTAGCTGAACTTTTGTCCGCCTGCAAGTGTACGCTAGATCCCTGTCGCAACCCACATTCAGCCTCCTTCTCTCCCTCCTGTCTCTCCCACCAAAACTTTATCAAATGGAAAAACCAAAAATTGACGCCGCGGATGCTCGTTCATGGGCAGTCGCCCGCCATCTTCACAGAAATGGATTCATTACATTAGTCTCGCCCCGACGCCATTTTGTGCCTGGCTGGCTTGACAAGTACCTAAGCGCGGCCAGAGGCGGGGCAACTGTCTCTGCCGACGAATATGGATACCGTGTAAATATCGCCGATATGCATCGCATGTACATGAGGTATCTTCAAGCAAAACTGGTACAAACGGCGATTACGCTTCATCCCAAAGAGTTCACAATTACCGAGATGGAATCGGATGCGTTGGAGTCTACATTAAGAAAGTACGGTGCGGCACTCCCTGACGCTTCATTGGCCCATAAATGTTGCAGCTAACACACACTTCTGTATAGTCCAATCCGTGCAAGACCAAGAATACATGGCCAAACACTCCGGCAAGCGGAATGACCCCTTCATTGCTTCCAGCGAGCGACTCCATGATCATTATATCCTCGAAAGGGAGATGACTCGGCAGGGGAAAATCCCCGACGACTTTGAAGCACTGAAAGCAACCGCAATCCTGACGGGTCCCTGGGAAAAAGGCAACCGAGCTGGCGCTCAGCCCATATACGCCACGCGAGCGGAGACCATGAAACGAGGCCTCTTCTCGAGACTCGCAGGCGCTTTAGTGGGCGGTGCCTTTCTTATCGGGCCCATGTGGTTACTCGCACTCGAGCGGGACTTGTACTTCCAACTCGGGTTTACGACGGGATTTGTCTCGGCGTTTGGATTGCTTATGGCGTGGTATCTCAACACGCTTGAATCTGTTTTTGCGGCGTCGATTGCTTATGCGGCTGTGCTCATGGTTTTTATAGGAGTGATCATGCAAGAAGCTGGGAGTCGGTAGTCTCCATGTACGACCTCGGGAGTTAATTTCGAAATTTATTTATTGCTACACAGCTTGAACACTAACGAAACATATCATAGCCACCTGGGCAATAAGCCGACCAGAACGACGGCTACCGCTCATCATTTAAAACAGAATACCCGCATCAAAGGATTTTCACACATCGGACTAGCAAGTTTGTGGTGTTGGTGAATAGGCGGCCATGGATTTGGTCTCCCGCAGCTTTCTTGTGCGGAGGCCCACTGTGATCATTGCGATAGTTGCAAGGACCTCCGGGAGAAACATGAGAATGACTCGGATATCAGTCTTCCCATAGACTGGACTGAGATCTTTGCGTTGCGTACAGACCGCGACAAGGCTGTATATGACACGGATTCCGATGAATAGAAGTGCGACAACCGCGCCTTGGAGAAGCTAGTATGGAGATATTGTTAGAAACATGGCATAAGAGAATGAAAAGCAATATATGGATTGGAATACATACCGCTGTGCCACCTTGGTATCCCGGAAGACCCTTCCCTCCTGAGTTGGAAAGTAGGGAGAATAAGGACCAAAATACCTGGAAAGCCCATGCGACAACGACGAGGGCTGTTCCTGTTTTCCAATGTTGTAGACTGTGCGGCTTTGGGTGACCTTCGAAGATATCCAAGGAGCCGATGACTGACAACGCCATGGCAACAGCCATTAAGGCTGAAGTGCCTAGAATGACAGAAATTCCGAGGAATCGACTGCCGGATGGATTGCGGTATGTACGACTGCTCAATTAGCGATTTGAACTATTAGACATGCTCAGTGGGGACATACGCCTCATGTACTAGTCCATCGACACCAAGAATCAATGGTGTAATACCAACACTTTGAATAATGTTGGCAGCTAGATTCTCGCTGTCATGGATACCAAGTATGCCGCCAATTATTCGAGCAAGACAAAAGACGGATAAGTAGTACCAGGGAAGGAAACCGGACCATCGATGAGTGACAAAAATATAGGCAACGACTGGAGCCAGGAGGAGATAGACCGCAAGGTCGGCGGGAAATATGCCGTTCATTTCGAATGCAGACAGGATTTTGTTCAGGGAAAAAGGAGAAGAAACTTGCGAAGACGGTGAAGAAATCGCGATGGAAAGAGGTCGATTTCAATGTGGCTGTTTGATAAAGAAATTCCTCTTGGGCTCACGCTTTAAATAAGGCTGAACTATAAAAATAATCTTGGCGCGTCGAGCAAGCTTATTCCAAATAACAAGCCTCGAAAAGAGCCACTCAGGGATCATCGCGCCCAAAGGCGAAGTCAATACGAGGTTAGATTGGGGGCTGAAAACTCCAAACCGTAGAATAAGCAGTATCGCCGCTCTTAGCATGAAACAGGGGTGAGGCTTGTTCTGTGAGGGGCGAAAGGACAGCCAATGAATCCCCCCCCGGCCCGCCGGTAGCTGCGGGGCTGCAGTCAGCATCTGGCCCGTCTTTCCATACTGGTTACTCTTGTTGGTTTAGCTTTAAATACTGAACAACCCACCCTCTTGCACTTCGCATTTCAGCCTTCCCTGTCCGATCTGATTACCCCTTTGGGAAACCAGCTCTTGGCAACTGGAATAAATGGTTTACAGAGGAAAACCTAGTCCCGGGTGTGGGTTGTGCCGTGCGCGGCGTCGAGCGGTATGCATATCCCCGAAATGACTCTAATACTTTCCAAGTACTCACCGAATAAGTGCGACCGAGGCCGACCATCATGCTCTCAGTGTCGAAGAATTGGCCGAGAGTGTCCTGGATACCAAGATCCCAACGCATTACGATTTTATGACCAGAGTGATGAGGTCGTTGCAAAAGCCCAGGCTCGACAAAAAACCCGCCAAAAGCCCAAAGAGCCGATTCTCCTAACTCAACTCGCGCCCTTGTCCTTGCAAAACATTTCCGAGTATCCTGAAGGATGGGCGACATCCTACACAATCGCATTTTACATCGGCACCACCGAAAATCGGGGTATACTGCCATTTGTGCCGGACCTCATAAGCAAAACTTCCTCCCCAGCTCTCGAGGCCACGGTCAAGGCCATAGGACTGGCAAGCATATCCAAGATTCATCAACTGCCAAAATTAAAATATGCTGCGGGGCAAGAATACGGCAAGGCTCTTCTTGCCACTAATTGTGCATTGCATGATCCAATCATGGCAAAATCAGACTCCACCTTGACGGCAGTCATAATGCTTGGCATGTATGAGGTAAAGTGTCATTCTTATCTGATATTCAGTTCAATCTAACATTGGTACAAGGTTATCGCAGGCTCCGGGTCAAATATGATGGAAGGGTGGTTAAATCATGTTCAAGGATCTATGAAGCTGTTGGAATTACGGGGCACAGGGCAACTGGAGTCCAGGAGAGGACTGGAGTTGTTCACACTGATACGAATGCAAATCGTGAGTCAAGGCTCCAGAAAGGTTCCCACAACTCTAACTGACATTAACTACAAGGTGATAAGCAATATCTTCTATAAGCGAAGGATCTCCCCTGAAGTCGCCGCGTTGTCAGAAATCGCATGGTCTCGACGAAATAATGAAACTCAGGCCCTTGAAGAGTTCCTCAGAATCCTAATACAACTAGGAGAGCTCTCAGCTGACATTCATGGGATCTTCAAAGATGAAAAAGATAGAGCTGCTGAGGATCCGGAGCCATTTATCAAAAGGGCACTTTACCTTGATGCTGATCTAGTCTCATGGTCAATGTCCTTGAGCCCTCCCTGGCGCTACAATGTTATCGCTACGCCGACCCACCTTCGAAGCAAAAGTGATGCGTATTCGTATTATTATGGAGACACTTACAATACTTTCAACTCTGTTGGGTTTGCCTCTGGGTGGAACAACTATTGTCAAACACGCATCGTCATACAGGAGATTGTTCGATCGCTTTGTATGCGCTCGATGGGATCCGTAACAGCAGATATCTCCCAAAAGACGATGATCCTGGCTAACACCATCAGTCAACAAATGATCAACTCCATATGTGCAAGCGTTCCATACCATTTCAATTCGGGAGAGGTTGGTGTGGGACTTGCCTTCCGGCTTCTGTGGCCAATTTTCATCACGGCGAATTGTGGGGCAACGACACCTGAGATCAAGGATTGGGCCATGAAAACACTCGACCTTATTGGAAATACTACGGGGATTCAGCAAGCCCTTATGATGTCACAGGCTGTGAAAAAAGGACACACTATGACTTTAATACCAGGGACTTGATTATTGGGAGTGGGCAAAATGAAGTTATCCCCAGACCAGAGTGAAGAAGGAAATTTCTTGTATATTTGAAGCAATATTATCCTCCTGGTAAAAAACAACACAATCAAAATTAATTCAATAAAACTCTGCTATAAATCAACGGGCCCCTGTTCCAATTAACCCCAACTTTGCGACGAGACGCGGACGTAGATTGAGTTTGGCGCCTGATGAGGTGGGTATGTGTTAGATTTGTTAATTGGTGGACGGAAAGGTCAGAGTACACACTTTCAATCAAAATTATCATGGTCTCCCCATTGCTGGGTTTTGTGCCTGCACTGCCGGGTACATTTCTCCCATTCCTGGGTTCGATCCTCCCGTGGTTGGATACATTTGTCCCATTGATGGGTTCGATCCCCCTGTTGTCTGCGTATATGGTGGTGACGACTGTCCCAATCTCTCTCCCGAAACAGGCCGTGGTCCTTGTGCGCTGGGGTCGGATCCTTCCTCCTTCTCCTTCCTCTTTTTAAGAAGATAAGGAATGAAGAAGAGACACATGGCAATGATATATGGTTGTCACTTTTTGATATTTCCGATTTTCAGCTTCAGAAACCAGGAGATGATTAACAAAGCGGAAGTAAAGACAATAGTAAAGGTAAAAAGTAGAAGAAAATGAGATTTGCAAATATTTGCGCTCAAGTTGAAGTTGTTATTGCAGCAAAGATTGGAATATTTCTGGGAAATCTCCCGTCTTTATTATAACCAGTGTCGAAATCCAGCCAGATTTCCATTTTCATGGCCCCCTTTATTTACGCACGAGGCTAGTTTGCTGATAGAGTGCGAGCCCCGAATCAAGAAAAGCTAATCCTAATTTGGTAATCGGTTCGCAGTTTGTAACCTTGTTGTAAGGTTCCACTCTCAGCTGAGGTCACAAGCCCCACTAGGGATGCTTGTCTTTTGGTGATAAAGAGATGGGGGCGGTTTTATGGTGCAGTCAGAAGTCATCAATGGGTATAATAGTGCGAAAGGCATTGTCGAAAGTGGAAATATGTTGCTATTTCGGTTTTATCGACTTCTACCGTTTCTCAGAGGGATAGGACGGACAATTGGTTAGGCATATACGGACGTTAGTAGCTACGGCCGTACCAATGGATCCCCTCGCGAGATAAATAACCAAGTTGGAACCCTCTCCACCATTTTGGAATTGGATTTCGCATAGCCACCATTGAAGACGCGTTGATTTTCAGTGATGATCGCGGCGCAACTTTCCAATGGGCTTCGTCTGCTAGATTACTTTTCACGGGTGTACCTTTCCGGAGCCCGTGCTCAGCATGACTGCCAGTGGCACATGTCAGATTTCCGGGGAATCAAGCCTTATACTGGCCATTTTTAGGCTCCACACTTTGATGCACGGAAGAATCCATTGAAGACTCCAGCCGTAAGCGCTTACTCCAATACCCACTTAATTGATTAATATCATGAGTTAGACAAGAATATCTGAAAAGACACCAACAATGCGGCAATGTGTTTGTCGCGAGCTAGGTGGTAAGATAGAAGGACCGAGAATATTTAAATCACGACACCTGAAGACAAAGTGAAATCGAAATATAAAAATGCGGAAGTTTGGCCAACTGAATGCATGGGAAAAGGCCACTTTTTTTCGCGGAGGAGAAGCGGAAGTCGAAGTGTTCACCACGCCTTTCGCAGTTGCCGCGTTTTCCTTGGCAGTACAGATTTTATCATAGAAAATCATCTTAGCCGCCCAGCTTATTGCTAACGTTAACACGGCATTTACTTTGCGTCATTCAATATTCTAAATATGTAGGAAAGACACGGCAAATACACCATAACTTATAATATATAAGAGAAACAGTAATAGAGAAACTATGAAAAGTAAAGTTCGAATATTTTACAGGCTACGAAGTGTAACCTGAAAGATGACTCAAGCCGATACTGCAAACGAGCCCTGTCAACGCTCAACGCCCCGATGCCTCAGGCACTAAAACGCCTTCCTCCGTTGCGTTGCGGCCTCTCTTTCCAGGACACTTTCATTTCATCCCATTCATGGTTCTGACCTTCTGTCAAACCCAACGGGCAGCTATGCGACAAGACGCTGCATGTTTTCAAAGAGCTTTAGCTTTGAAGGTAAGCCTTTGCCGAAGCTCCCCAGACAGCCGCTCGCTTATAAAAGTGGAAGCCGGGCGCATTTCCATTATTCAGTCCGTCTATGGCATCTGCCAGCTCATCCCCAAATCCTTCTTCCTTGATTTCCGGTAAGGTATAGAGCAAAGTCTTGAATGAAAACACAATTGCTTGGCTTCGAGGAAGTCGATGCAGAAATTGCCTCTCCACACGAACCCGAGCCTTTTACATGTCAGGGTGTCTTTAGAAAAAGACAATAAAAAGTTTCAACTTACAAGTTTGATATTAACCTCTTCCTGGGAAATTTTCTCGCCCTCATATAGGTGGTTTCCAGATGCGGTGAAGAGCTGATCTGTAGTCGTAATTGTCCACTAATCCCAAGTCAGCTTCGTCATTTCATTGAAAGGGACACATATACATTGGCTCTTTTTATAAACCTTCCAGGTTTAAGCTTCGCAAAGTATCGATCCATGCTTTTCTCTAGCTTCTCTTTATAGTTTGGGACGGGCTTGTGGATGTCCCGAAGCTTCATGTTCAGCTTTTTGGATGTATTAAAGCCATTCGGGAAACAAGTGACGAAGCCTTTCAAAGTGAAGCTGTCGCCATCTTCCGACGGTACCAAAAATAGAAAATCGTCGTCCACAAGGCCACCTAGAGCCCGAAGGGTTTCCTTTGGTGCCTCACTTGAACACATAGATAAATCTTCTCCGGTGACCAAGTTCCGTAGAACAGACGAGTTGCCACCAGGAGGAGATATTATTTGAAACATACGCGGATACCTTGTTGGAAGATATGTTCCAACGAGCCATGTGTAAAACTCATCGACAGCTGATTTGACGGAATCCTCAGCAGCTAGTACTGTATTAGTGTAATCCGCCATAAGCCTCCTTCGAAGCATGATACGGTCAAGGTAGTTCTTGTCCATTTCGATAAGCTCGTTCACCGTCGTTTCTTGAATGCCTTGCAAGATATCAGTGAAAGTAAATTTATCAAAGAAGAGAAGAGACTTACTCATCGTTAAATTGTATTTTGGTTTAAATGGTCGGATTTTGATGGGTTCCTTGGTCTTCCAGTCAAAGTCCAGAAGTGGCTCAACAGGCGGGTAACCATCCCCTGGAGCTGAGCCTGTAGATTGAAGTTTTGAAGTGGTCCTTAAATCGATCATTTTTGTGAATATAGTCAGAAGCATAAGCAAGCTCGAGATAAGGCTGACGCAACAGAAAAGTGTAGGCCACACTGGCGGCCAGTGCCACCGCGCGTCGAACTCCATCACGCTGAATGAATAGTTGATAAATCGAGTTCTTGGAGTGAATTAGGTAGATGTGTTGAGACTGATGTACAGGAGGTTGAAACCATTCCACGGTATAGCGCAACACACAACCTTTAAGGCTACGAAATTAATGATACTATCCATTCAGACTACCCCGCCGCAAAATTGGAGCACATAACTTGCATCCGCCTACACCTTTGTTTCCTATCTTCGATGGCATACTGCTCATTTGACCTCCTTTTTATGGTGAATCTTTTTATCATATGATGTCAAAATCAAAGGCAATTGGATGGTAATAACTTGATATGTTTACCCCGCACAACCTTATCTCCAGGTACTCATTCAAACTTCCTGATTAGGCGAGGGGACCCACATGAAACATCTCTATACTAGCCACAACGCATTTGCAATTGCGGATTTGGTTATAAGATCCCAATGATCCTCTGTAGGGGCATATCACTATTGGTTGGATGATGTTTCGGACTTTTCAGAGTTTGGTTCTTATCAGGTTTAGTTTTACTCAACGGTACAGAATGAGGGGTTGCACATAGCATATTTCGGCTATCGGCATGGATACTAGGGTTGTCACTCCGTCTGATGATTGCTATATATTGACCAAGAAGTCTGACCCCCACGGTTTGTATTTCAGAACCTCCCCAAGTTGGAAGATATTCGAGCAATTTCCTGATCAAACCTCGACTTCAAATATTGACATACGACCAGAATGTCGGATTCTTCAGCGTACATAGCAGACCAGGCGGACAAGAAAGGTGAATCCATATCAAGATATCCCAAGTTGGTTACAAGTTGACAATTGATGCATATGATAATATGATAGCCGAGGAGATGGGTCTAGCAGAGCAAGTTCCCATCAAAGGGACCATCGAATCGACGAATTTGGAGCTTCTAGGTCTAACGCAACAGACCGAAAGATCCCTTGGAACATTTCAAATCATCGGCGGCGGATGGAATATCTGCAACAGTTGGGCAGGAATTGTCGGCACTCTAGCCATTGGTATTAGTGAGGGAGGAACCATTCTGCTGCTCTACGGAATTGTCATCATGTTGGTTTTTGGGGGATGCTGCGCCACCACATTGGCCGAACTGTCCTCTGTTTACCCTACGGCGGGTGGGCAATACCATTGGACTTCGATTTTAAGTCCGAAGAAATACAGCCGCGTCTTGGTAATACGTGCTCGTTCACTTAATAAGAATATTTCGCAACTAATCAATTATCCAGAGCTACTGCTGTGGTGCTGTTAATATTTTCAGTTGGATTTCCATCAGCGCTGGTGTCACTATTCTACCTGCGCAGTTCATCATCTCCATGGCTATTTACAACAACCCGGAATATGAGTCGAAGACTTGGCATTACTTTCTCATTTACCAAGCAACTAACATCATTGTTCTTCTTTACAATATTTTCGCTATTCGCAGAACCTCCTGGATACATGACATTGGGTGTAAGATTTTCTTATGCAAATTGCCCTCCAAGTCTGCTAACTTACCTCACTAGTCATTCTTTCACTTTCATCCTTCAGCGTCATCTTGGTGACATGTCTCGCACGTACACCAGAAATTTCATCGACCGAATTTGTATGGACCACCTTTATCAATCAATCCGGATGGAAATCTGACGGAATTGCATTTTTGACCGGCATGATCAACCCAAACTATATTTACGCTGGAATTGATGGTGCAATTCATTTAGCTGAAGAATGTGGAAACGCCCCAACTGCCGTACCATATGCACTCATGAGCACACTGGTCATTGGGTTTGTCACTTCATTTGCTTTTGTCGTGGCTATGCTATACTCTCTTACAGATATCAATGCCGTTATTGAAACATCTACTGGGTATTCTAAACTGTCTCACTAAATGGAAAACTAGCGAGGCTAACAATTGTTGCAGGGTTCCAATTTATGAGATCTGGCTTCAGGCCACACGTTCTGGAGCTGCTGCAACGACTTTTATTACTTTATTAGCTGTCATTGCTCTATTTTCTCTCAATGGCTGCCAGCAAACCTCATCCCGTTTGACATGGGCATTCGCTCGAGATGATGCCTTGATATTATCAAAGTTCATCGGTCGCATCCACCCGCAACTTCAAGTGCCAGTATATGCGTTGCTAGCCAACGCGCTTGTTATATTTATGATTGGATGTATTTACCTTGCCTCATCGACAGCTTTCAATGCCTTGATTGGAACCGGACTAGTTCTACAGCAAGTCTCATTTTGCTTCCCAGTCGCGTTACTCATTTTTCGAAGGCGCTCATCAACATATTTGCCACCACACCGATTCTTTAACATGAGGAAATTTGGATGGGTGTCTAATATCGCAACGCTCATTTTCGGAATTGTAACTATGGTTTTCTACAATTTTCCTGCCGAAATGCCCGTCACTGGTGGAAACATGAGTACGTTTGCAACTTATTTAAATCAGGTTTCAATTTTTCTTTGAGCCAAGAAGCTAAACATTATCTAGATTATACATCTGTCGTGATCGGTACGATGGCTCTATTCTCGATGGGCAACTGGGTGTTCCATGCGAACAAAGGTTACCAGGGGCCAAGACTTCCCTCTGAGCTGACCTGAATAAGTTAGCAGAGAGACTGGGAGGCTTCCTTTCGGTTCTGATCGCAGAAATGGGTAGATGTGTTTTCTAGTATCTTTATCTGTAGTTTTTCAACTTTACTACTATTCATCTCATATTGAGCTTTGGAAGTCGAAAACTTCATCGAGAATGATCCACCTCGTACACAAATTATCTCCAACCCATCATGCAGTCCCAAGTAGTCCGAGCCTCTTCGTCACTGATTGGTGGTTGGTCAATAAAATATAATCCCTTCCCAGTCACATGAATGGCCCGTGAATGGAATTTGTCTGCCGTTACACAAAGACCTTTACTGTCGTTGATACCATCTTCCAAAACAATTTTCATGGCGACATCTGTGACTGCCTCGATGGGTATGAGAATATCTGCGGGAAAATTTGAAAGAAGCTCCTCGTTCAGAAGAGGCGTCTTTACCACGCCCGGGCAGATGGTGTTGACGCGAATCCCTTCCTTGAAAAGACGATTTCCGATAGAGCGAACAAAGCCTATCAATGCATCTGAACTTTTGTTAGTTTTGAAAAATAAGGCTGGTCTGACACTGGGCTCTCACGCTTTGAGCTTGAGTAAACTGGCGTTAACATGCAAGGATACAGCCCGCCGATGCTAGCCGTAAGAAGCAAACTTTGGGTTCCCTTCACGGACTCAGGCGATCGTCTGAAATAGTTGACGGCTAGGTAGCTTGCATAAATAGCCCCATTTAGGTTGATATCGAGAAGATCCAGCCCGGGCTTAGGTGGAACCCCTGACGAGGACTGATTGGCAAAGAGGTCGGTGTATTCCGGTATACCAGCATTGGCGAAGACGAAGTCCAATCGCTGGGCTTTGTTGAAGACAGTGCCAAACACTACGGCGAGTTCCTCATATTGGGATACGTTGGCCTTGTAGAAGCTGGTATTCAGGAGTGTCGCAGCCGCCTTCTGTCCTTTTTCTTCATTAACTCCAATGATGTTTATCTGCCAGTTGCGCAAATTGCTTAATGCCTCGGCAACAGAGAATCCTATTCCACTGGCTATAATTCAGGCTGTGAGTATAAATCCCCACATGTCGGGAGTTCCGAGTTCTCACTTACTGCCACCAGTGATCAATGCGACTTGGGTCATCTTATTTCTAATTGCGAAGAAAGCACCGCGCATGCCAGGAACATTGATGGCTTGGATATTTATAATTTGTTCCGGGTATTTTATCATCTTCACTAGTGTTCTTGCGAATTCTGTGTGCCATGGGCCCTTCTCCACCACGACCCAGTGAGAGCCCTGGAGGTTGCATGTCTCCCATTGGAGAAATCGTTGACACGTTAATGCAAGCCAAAGGTTTGTGGATCTGAATTCCAGCGATTGAGTCAATCGGATCTTGATTCCCCACCGATCGACATCCACAATGCACGCTAGCCCACAGGGTTACACAAGCCCCGGGAATTCATGGAGCTATCATGATTCAAGTTACAGAGAAAATGACGTAACTGCCTGTGCCCTACAATAGACCATTTCCGACAACGTTGACAAGCATCCGCTAACCATTGATTGCCAGACTCCAGGGTACGCTAAATAGAGTCCTCTTCGTCGTTATCCGTGTAAGGCGGACCCAATGGCTCTCCCCATTCATACGCCTTGCCTATCTGTGTAGATACCCAGGAAAGGGAGTCGCCAACTAAGCGCTCATTTGAAAGGCGTAAACTCTGTAAAAACCTTTGGCTTTCGCTGGGGAAACTTGACGAGAGACTTTCTTTCCTTCTAGACAAGCGTTTTCTGTTAGGCTATGCAAAACTTCTTCAATTTAGCAGGGGGGTCGCGCGAGTAATCGAGGGGGACATTTTTTGTGAAACCTCGCGATCTCTAACTCTGAGCTTTGAAAATCCGCCCAGGTGATAAAATCTGTTCGCGTTGCGCATCCACAGATGCCGGCGAATGTTGTCGCCGATTATTTCTTGGGTTCAACTGTCAAAATCATATATTCGGCATCGAGTCACGGATTGAATTTCGAAACTTAGGAGTAGGAACAAGTTACCTTATCAAGCCTGTACCCCGTCCATGATGAGAGGGTAGTTTTAACATCACTTTAGCATAGAAAATTAACGTATTGATACTACATTGTGTAAATCCTCCACTGCGATATTGTTTTTCGATGCCTTTAATTTGTTTACATGATAAATCCTTTCACCTTATCGAACACATGAGTGCCTGACTTTGTTTTGCCGTTCTCTTGCCATATTTTTTTGAGAATCTTGATCGCATAAAGTGTATTTCCAAATCCAGTATAGCCCCAGAGCATCCTTAGTTGTGACACCACAAAATCCCGGTCGGTCGGTGAGCTGCACTCAGTTCCGACGATGAAAAAGGGCCAAATCAGTATATGTCCCCCAGGCGATGCGGCATTAAATGAACTTGTTTCTGCAAGAAAGTCGTGAACTAGACGCGCAATGGTATCTTCCGGGGCATCTACAACTCTAACATGATATATATGGCTAGCCTTTTGGATTATATCGGCCAGTTTCAAGATTATCTCGTTGTACTTGGGGTGAATGTCAAGACAACTGTATAGAAAGTCGAGGTTTTCCTGGGGAATGACTTGCAGGAGTCCGGTGGCAACATTGCTAGGGTTGAAAGGACGAGCGTAGAGAGACATTCTGTAAGACAGAATCAGCTGGAATAGTTCAAAAACCGGAGTGTAATGAAACTTGAACGTACTTGCGAATTTGTTGAAGGAGAAATTTCCCAAGCGGCCTTTTCCCAATCATATCAGGCCCGCCTTGGGATTGAATGAAGTTATTTATCATGTCTAGTAGAAGATGGAAGTCATTGCCGACTGTTATCATCTCTTCTATTAGAAGTATAACCATGGTGCACAAGCTAGTACTCTGCTGTATACTTGCATTTTGACTGGGATGCACCATTTCTGTCTGCCGATTCAACCCATGAATCGCAGCCATATGATACTTTGCGGCAGCGGGCTTCCACTGAGGGTGATTGAGTGTGATATGAGAAGCTGACGCCGCCATTATCGCGTTTCGGATAGTGGAATCCTGTTCGGATAGAGGTAAGATCATATCGCGATAGCCATTAAATATGAAGTTGATGGCTACCATCGCTGGTGCGATATTTTCTGAGACTGAATATTGTTAGAGTTGTCTGATATTGATAGTCTCAAAAACTGACAGTATGACAGAAGAAACCTAGATTTGCCATCCAGAGGTTCCAAATGACGGGGCGGCTTATTCTGTGAGCCAGTGGGCTGTATCCGTTCCAGTGAAAAGTTTTCCGTGGATATAGAGGTATCTGAGGAGGTTATATCGTCTAAAATCAGGTTGAATGTGCCATCAGAGGTTTTGAACCTTTGTGTTGGTTGGTCATGCGTTGGTGGGCTGCATTTCGTCGATTGTGAAGCTGGGCTGCTTCAATGAATGGTCAGCCAGATCAACTTGAATATTTTCTAGATCGGTCGATGAGGTCATACCTGAGACCTGGGACAGGAATTGCCATGCCAGCTAGCTTGCCCCTTGATGCCACACCATTATTGAATCTATACCGCACACCTAGGCCGAGGCATTCCAGCCCCTTTTTGATACATTTCTGACAAGGTGTACCGCGGTCACAATTTATTCGACGCTGAGAGCAGTTGTAGCATCCTACAGTAGTAAAACGTGAGCATTTGTAGAGATACATATACCTGTATTCTAAATATTCACCTTTCACTCTTCTTGCACGCTTCTTTGGAGAGGGTTTGTCGGCCATATGAATGCCCTTTTCCTGGCGTGGGATTCGACAGAAAGAGACAGAAATAACGTAGATATCAATTTGACAGCGTATGACTGCTAGAGATCAAGCATATTCCTTCGTTCTGCCAGAAAAGCCATGTCTGAGAGGCACTGGAAAGATAGCAGCTACGGTGCAGGTGAAGGATTCGCCTATCGGAGGGGCTTCCCCGCATTGTGCGGAGTGGCAAATATGCCGCTATTCCACATCGGTACAATAAAATGAGCACTGCGATAACAGCTACAGGGTTGATTTCCACTTTCTGATATATCCCACTACTACCTGCAAATGAAGACAGTAAATGCATAATATTCGTCGATAAGTATATGTCCAGCTATCATAGTCATCAATACTCCTTCTCCGCGCAAATAAAGACTGAAACGAGTCAAATCATAAGTGCATGCCGCCACTCTAACAGCAGAACGCCTGTTAATAGAGAACAGCTGAAAAGCCATGGCACTAGAAGAGCCATGAGACGAAGGTTCGGTAGAACCAGTGAGATTGGGAGTGTTTGTGGGCCTCAGCCTCCTTCCGAGCAATGTAAGCAGCCTCCTCGCGATCAATCTCATCCTTGCCCGTCCAGAGATCTGCTGTAGCAGGATCGACTCCCTTGCAACGGGTAACTACCTTGTACCCAATGAGAAGAATGAAGTAGAGAGGAATTCCCAAGTAGGCAGTGATGAAGTTCTTGTAGTCGAAATTGCCCCACTTCGGATTGTGGGTGAAAACGTCGTAGTTCTTGGTCAGTGCAATAAGACAACAAAAGCCAAGAGCGATGTATGATCCGACAGCGCCGAAGGGGGCTACATAGGCCAAGCTGGAATTGGGAACATTCTGAGCCTTGCGCGCCCTCACGAAGTGGATGTGAGTGACCAAGATGGAAATCCAGGTCAAGAGACCGAACATGGAGACCAAGTTCACGAAGTACTTGAAAACTGTCCTGGAATCACTGGTCACGTTCATGTAGGCAAGCAGGGCAATGACGGAGCAGATTGCGAGGGCAAAGACAGGCACTCCACGTTTGTCGGTACGGGCGAAGATTTTGGGGGCCTTGTTCTCACGGGCGAGACCATAGATGGTACGTGTAGCAATGTACAAATCGGAATTGGCCGCCGAGAAAACGAAGAGCAGGATGCAGGCATTCATGATATGCGACAAGACTGGAATGCCCGAGTTCTCGATAGCAACAACGAATGGTGATGCCGCAGCCGAGCTACTAGCGCCGACGGCGAAAGCAAGCTTCTTGTCGTTGTAAGGTACAAGTGTTCCAACCAGGAGAACCGACAGAACATAAAAGAAGAGGATTCGATAGAAGGTCAATTTGATCGCGCGCGGAATGGTCTTTCGTGGGTTTTGCGCTTCACCAACAGTCACTCCGACCAATTCAGTGCCGAGATAAGCAAAGGTGGCAGAGACCATAGTGGACCAGAATGCGAGGAATCGACCGGCATCACCTTCTTTGATATATGTGTTGAAGGCACCTGGATTCTTCCAGTAACGGAATCCCTTGCGGTCATGGTCCGGACCTCCGCCGAGCATTAAGATGAACGACAGCAGGATGATACCGATAATCACCACCACTTTGAACGATGAAAGCCAGAATTCGAATTCACCGAAGAATTTGACGCCGAAGTAGTTGATACTGACGATCAAAACGAGGAAAATTGTAATCCAGACACCGGCGTTAACCTTCTCCGTGGGTATCCAGTACGATATCACGAGGGCTCCAGCGGTCTAGGAAGGTTATTAGGGCAACCATCAGAAGGGTGTCTCTGAATCTTACCAATTGATTTGGCGAGAGAATGATGTATTTGAACCAATAACTGAGTCAATATTAGCAACCACTTCTCGGTACGTCATTTCATGGGTAGTTCACTCACGTCCAGCCTAAAGTGAATCCGAGGGCAGGGTCACAGAATCGAACAGCATATCCAGTGAATCCGGACGGAAGAGGAAGCCAGGCAGCCATTTCACCGAGAGCGCACATGACTAAATAAACAATAAATCCGACCCAGGCGTAAGCGATCAAGATGGCACCGGGCTATTCGAGTCAGTGAGGGGTTTTCGGTACGGATTCGAGTGTACGTACTCCTGCTCTAGAGGCGACACGGAAATCAGCAACCTTGTATTAATGCGATATTTTAGTCACAACTTACTTTGCAAGTGCTTCTCCTGTTCCGATAATGAGACCAGTTCCAATGGCACCGCCGATGGCTGCGAGCTCTTGTTAAACCAAGCATCTAAAGCTGTCGAGGAAATATGACCATACCAATCATGGTGATGTGTCGCGCCTTCAGAGCGCGCTGAAGTTCGACATGGTTGGGATCCGACAGTCCACTCTCTTCAACCGTTCCGGGCTTCTCTCCCATGTAATCATGCATTTCTGCGTCCTCCGAGATGCCATGATGCTTGGAGTCCATCGCCGCCATTTTTCCCACTGGGCGAAGAGGTTGCCGTCGGCGGCAAATGAATCGGCGGGGGAGAGATGTATGGTTATTGGGAGACTCGAGAATGTATGAAAGGGAAGAAAAAAGAATTCGTGTGAGTTTACCAGATGCTGGCAGGGGCAAGATTCAAATGTAGCCTGGCGGAATTGCACACAGCCTTCTCCCAGCCAAGACAAACAAGACAGCCCAGTGAATGATAAGCCAAAACAGAAATCAGAGGCGAGCGAGAAAGAAGCTAACGGGGCACGAGACCAAATATTCGCGGAAGATAAGCTGACCGAGCTTCTAAGAGTGCAACCCAAGACCAAGGAGACTTCCCAGAACCGTGCGTACGGATTGCGCAGCACCCCGCTGTCCCTGGGAATCAGTCGAGTGCATCGGCCAGGATGCTTTCTCGCCTCTGACATAGCGCAGGGTTCAATACGAGAGCTCCAGGGCTTGTCCAATCTGCAAGTTGCCTGTCCCGTATTTCCCAGAAACATGAACGCCGGGGCTGTGCTCAACCTGGTTTCTGTTGACTTTCCACTTCACATAACTTCTCTGTTGCTGATCGATAGCTGATTACTGTATACAGTAACGAGGACGGATCCCCAGAAGGTCCATTTTTCCAAAGCTTTCTTGCGATAAGGGCGTGGGTAAGACCCCATTTTCCAAGACGCTAGCGGAGATGCCCAGCTGCCAAGATCTCCTCAGACAAAGACTATTCCACGGCGGGGATGGGGGGTAATAGAGACGCGATACAGTGAGTTGGCGTGTGTTTTTGGGCTTGACACAGTATCTTCGGGATTAGCCTCAGCTTCGAGAGGAAGATACATACCAACCGGTGATCTTGAAGGATGCAAAAGGGCGCATTCTCGATTGATTTGAGCTCCGTTGATATGGACCCTGCACCAGGTCCTCAACGCGGAGCGCGCATTTCGTGACCTAGGCCTTCACCTTGACTGGCCACTGCATAAGCAGAGAAAAGGGCAACAGTACTTGGCGATCAGCCATCTTTGCGCCCAGGTTACACGCCAAGATCCCCCCGCCCTGGAGCCAACAGCCAATCTCGAGGGATAATCTTCGAGGCTAAGCAAGCCCCCAGTTCCGGTTCGTGGGTTGTTTCTCTTGGCGAATCGTCAGGCGTGGCCTTGTACGATACCAAGCAAGGATGCCTCATATCTCGAACACGGGAAATTGACTTCTTATCTTTGGCATCGAGCTGGGCACTGCCTGCGACTTATGATGCTTCCATTTCCGGAAACTGAACTCTTTGAACAGAGCCTCGCCGATTCAAGCTTTGTGTTCATGCAGACAACAGGTGAGGAATGCAAACGGGGCAATGATGATCAGGAGTGAGGTTTCAGGGGTGGCCGGCGTCAGAGTTAAGACCCCGGGCTCGCTTTGATAAAGTACGAGTGGCAATTGAGGCCAAGGAAAGGCATGTGGTTTTTAAAATCGTCCGATAGATAGTCCGGGGGAAAGGTCTGCTTCATCAGAGAAGATAATGATGTTCTGCGGGCAGCTTCGCCGAGCCTGACAATATTTTCTTTAGCACCTAGAGGGCGACTTGTGCTCTAAAGCCACCTGGTGGTGAGAGGATCTGGTGGAAGCTCAAAGGCATTAAGTGGTGATGCATGTGAGATATGTGCGTGATGACTAGCAATCCAAGAGGCAAGGCAGCTTACCCTCGGAAGGCGATCTTGATGCCTGAGGCACCCTGGTGTCAACAATAACTATTGTCGAAGGATGTGATTGCACATTTTCATTGGCCGAGTGCTGTGTTTGCTTTTGTGAGGGCCCTGAGCCGGTTCAGACCCAAGGCATTGAAGTTTCAGGTGTTTGTCTAGACATATTTAAACTAAAAAAAAAGAAGAGAAAAAACGCCATCAATTTCATACTCGATTCGGAGATTCACCGCCAGAATTACATTCCATACCAAGGTTCCTTCAAGTACAAAATGAATTTGATAATGTGGGTTTAAATCACTGAGGATCTATATTGCAAAAATAATTTGGCTAAACTTCGAGGCTAATTCCTACCAGTAAAGCCTGTACTGAATCAAAAGGTGTACGGTTCGATTGGGAAAAAATCGAAAAAGGTTCTCAGTTCGTCCGGGTCAAACAGGTTATCAAAAATCCTCCAATTTTCGCTCGAGTCCAGTTCCGAAATCCACGAGTCCGTGGCTGGCTGAAGTGGGTTGTTCGATTCATGGTATACTCCCTCGCCCAGCAGACTACCGGGGAATTCTTCCTCGGTTGAAATACGTCGATCATTCGACATGTTAGCCGTAGGTGCTGTCTCACCTTCATTTACACCCGGAGAGAATGCCGGCATATTATCGGAGATGTGGACGGGGTTGTCCGACAACTGCAGAGAAGGGTCCTTTCCAGATGACTGTTTCGCCAGTATGTTGATAGTATGTCTCAAGGTATCTTGGCACAGCTTGTCAAGCAAATCTTCGAGATGCCTGATCGCTAGACCAGTCCATCTCTCTCTCATTACGGCCAGGACAACGTGAAACTTGCGCACGCATCTCGTCAGGATGTCCAAAAATTCGTCCATACCAAATTCCTTGGATAGTACAGCGGAGCTCGTCCTAGCTGTCACGATCATCGAGATGGCTGAGAATACGAGGCCTTGTAATAACATCCAGGAGTAGGGCAGTCGAAAATTTCGGATAAGGGTTTCATGGATCTCAATTACTTGGCAAGATGATCGAAAACACCTTTTCTGGAGCATGGGTCCGGTTCGGGGAACAAGAGGGGTGGGTCGAGTAAGCGCCGCAGATGTTGAGTAATATAGTCGATCCCAATACTCCACAGGGTAGGGTGACGCTGAATGGTGATGCATTTCATGTAGCTCTTGATGCCATTCGTCCAGCTTTTGCTGGAGCCTCTCGATAGTATCAGACACTGACGCATCGGGCTCCGACGTTACGAATGCCTTGTGCGATCTGCTTCGGTAGACGAAACACAGCATTTGCTCTTGTATTTTTCGATGTTTAATATGGTGAATGGCGAGTGCTGTTTCCTCTGATTTGCTAGGCAAAGGCGCATCAGCATCTTCAAAGGAAATACTGGCGGGTCGGCCCAAATTAAACGCCAGTGTAATTTCGATGGCGTAGGTCGTCCAGAACACTCGACGCCTGAGTTCAAGCTCATGCGTCGTAAATTTCCAGCCGTCATTATGTCGATGTAAACCTAGCTCTATTGTTATCTTTTCGCTTGGTCAGTTCATCTCTTCCCCTGTCTTTTGTGTGAGGTTCCGAAACATACACGCATAGCCATCCCCGCGATATGCCACTGTTCATTGTCAGATGGGCGATGGGAGGCGTAGATTGAGATCAGATTCAGAATCTGCACCAAAGATATACGAGAATTCAAGTTTGATGGCTCAGATGCGAGCAGTCCGATAGCTTTCCGGTATAATGCCTCTGATGAAACTCCATAGGCTGAAGCGTCGTTTTGATAATCCCGAAGACCGGTGTCATCCTGAAAATGATCCAGGAGGTGATGTTGTTCGGCATGAACAGCACCTATTGACATGACAAGATAGAATATGACAGTCATATCCCCGGCTTCCGGTGGTGGCTTGCTTGAATAGCTCATGGACTTGAGTGTTGTAATATCCCGAGACAGGAATAAAGGATAGCAGCTGTGGACCCATTTTAAAAAGCATCGTAACAAGAAATCAAATGCGGCTGAAGGTCTCCAGTTTGCGGAATTGAAAGGAACAGTGGGGCGATGTATAGTCCGAGAGTCATATACGTGTGACTGAAGTGTAGACCCTGGTGGTAAAATGGATCGAGCAGTATTTGCAATAAATCGGGCGAAAATGGATCCGCTTGATGCACCCAAATACCGAGCTCCGCCGGTAGCATTGAATGCCAAAAGGGAAATGTTGGGGTCGACATCAGGTGATTCGTCCTCTTCGCTCTGCAATGCGGAGGACTGAGCACCCGCGCGTTGCGCAGGGGCAGAAGCGACACGAGAAGCTCCAAGATCATGATGATGAGCGCGTAAAATATCTTGCCAACGTGGAAGCGAGTCAAGTGCGATTCCAGTGCTCACCTGGCGGACGTCAACATCCAAAACACGTAAAAGCTCATTCTCGAGCCAATTCAATCTCTCAGCAGTGGCCTGGGGCGTAACCGAAGGCCTCGGAGGTTGGCTCAGACTCAGCTCCGATGTGCGAACAGTGAACCGGCGGCGTCGCTCATGCGGTTGGCAAATTGTCTGTGCTCGCAAACAGTTCCGACAACTTGGTGTTGCTCCATCACACTGGTTTGTGAATCAGTAATCAGTGCAGGGAAGATGCGACATCATTCGGGGTGCTCACCTTGATTTTCCGCTCGTGGCAAAGGGCACACGCCTTGCGAGTCCCCCGGCGGGGATTCATCAGAGCGGAATCTGTGCGGGGAAATTCAAGCGTAGATGCATTAGCCAATCCTTTGGAACAGAACGCTTCGAGGTGGGGGATTGTTCGATAGTAACTCTCGGTGAAATGGGAACTATCATTCAGAACGGGGACAAAATTCGGCGTTTTGAAAGCCGAGCGAGCAGCCAACACACCACGTGACTGACATCCACCATTATACAGTCCTTTATCACTGACATCTTCGCAAATTGAGTTTGTGGGAGAATGCCATGATTATATTATTTGACTATTTAGCGTGAACTTTCCGGAATAGGTATTCCTTCGTGTTGTTGATTGCAAATTGGAAGATCATAGGGTAGGTCCGAATTCACCGAATCACCGAACGCCGAGGCATAATTCGCTTATCAGACCAGATACCAGGGCCTGCCTTATTGGGACACTAAACCTAGCGTTTAGTCCTATGAGCTATCTGGGGGATCTTCGGATCCAACCAATGTTATCTAGCAATTGCCGAAATGTGAGCCAGTATATGACTAAAGATAGCTAACCTTGGAACACTTCTCCCCACAATCCCCTGATTAAGGCTGCGGGGGTCCATGCAGTGTATTTAAACTCATAATCGCAATGGCGTCCACGTCTAGCAAGATTAATCGCATGGTTTGACTGCTGGATTTTTCCGATTCAAAATGTTTTTCGAGAAAAAAATCAATCCATCACCCCATTCCTCGCCTGCTAATAATGACATTGACATCGAAGTTGCTCCACACACCGCCAACACCAATAATGGCGATGGCCAAACATCGCTGAAGAGGGGTCTCAAGTCCCGACACGTCGGGATGTTTTCAATTGCAGGTGCTATCGGAACGGGCCTACTCATCAGTAGTGGAACGGCGCTGTCAAGAGGTGGCCCCGGCAGCATGCTTATAGCATATTCCTTCGTCGGGGTTTTAGTATTGAATATCATGTCTGCTCTCGGCGAAATGGCGGTTTTCATGCCCATGGACAAGGGCTTTGGTGGATATGCTTCCCGGCTGGTTGATCCTGCTTTTGGGTGAGTCCAATATCTACCTCGTGACCTCCGAAGTCGTACTGAACATGCACCTCGAGATTCGCCACGGGAATGAATTACTTCCTCAAATACGTGGTGCTACTGGCCAATAATCTCACAGCTTCGGGAATTATCATGCAATACTGGCTTCCAAATGTCAACGTGGCCGTCTGGGTTGTTTCATTTGCTGTTGTCGTGATTATTATCAATGTTCGATCCCTCTCATTTATATTTGACGAAGGCGCTAATTGGGTTGTCGATTTCATAGTTCATGCCTGTCCAGTATTTTGGTGAAACGGAGTTTGTTGCAGCATGTATCAAGACAGTTACTATTGTCGGTTTGATGATTCTCTGTCTGGTCATTGATCTGGGAGGCAGCTCTCAAGGGCGTATTGGATTTAGGTATTGGAATCATCCTGGCGCCTTCAAAGAGTACCTCGAACCCGATTCCACGGGTCGTTTTCTCGGTTTCTGGGCTTGTGTGACAAACGCATCATTTGCCTATATGGGCAGTGAGATGGTAGGTATGACATTTGGAGAAGCATCACAGCCGTGGAAGACCATCCCGAAGGCCATTAGTGCGACTTTCTGGCGCATTACATTTTTCTACGTCGGGGGTGTCTTCTGCTTGGGGCTAGTCGTATCATCTTCGAATGACCGCCTGATAGACGCTACGAAAGCAAGCACTGGCGCAGGTAAAGTTACTAAATGCATTATTTCCCCAGCGAAGGCACACTTGTACTGACCTAAGAAGGCGCTTCACCCTTTGTCGTCGCAATAATGGACTCGGGAATTGCCGTCCTGCCTCATATAATAAACGGATGTCTCTTGGTGTTTGTTCTTAGTGCGGCAAATACAGGTTCGTGTTGAGGCCTATTGTTTTCCAAATTTATCTTATACCACTTGCTGACCAAAGTCGGACAGATATTTATGTTGCATCGCGTACTCTTTATGGCTTGGCGAAAGACAGCTATGCGCCATCCCTTTTCAAGTTTACCAAACGATCTATTCCTATATTTTCTGTGGCGGCGGCAGCAGCATTCTTCCTTCTCGCACTGCTGAACATCAATTCAGGAAGTGCTGTAGTTTTTGGATACCTCGTATCTCTTTCTACAATCCTGGGATTATTAAATTGGGTCAGCATCTTGGTGACTTATCTTTTCTTCCAAAAAGGTATGAGGGTTCAGGGAATTCGCAGAGAAGTTTTACCCTTTACGGGACATTTGCAGGTGACCCGGGCTCGAATAACTTTATTCTTTACCGTGCTTATTATTCTTACCAGTGGTTAGTAAAAGAACGCCCCAAGAACTTATGATGAATTTACTGATACGGATTTCTCTTAGGGTTCTCTAGCTTTGTGCACAAGTTTGATCCTATAACGTTTGTGGTAAATTATGTTGGGATAGTACTTTACGTCTTTTGGTTTGTGTCGTACAAATTCATCCGGCAGACCAAATTTGTCGGTTTCTGTGAGATGGACATCACGACCAACATAGTAACGAAGCAATATGTCGAAGAGCTTGAACGTGGCATTTCATGATTGGAATATCTATTTTCGTTGATTATCTGCCTGAATAGCTGTCATGTATTTAAGATCAGTATCTTCAAACTCTTCCGGGTCTTGGCCCACATTACTATTTCTCTAACCCCGGATACATTATATGGCTGTGAAGACTCGTATCAGACCGGCCAAAGTGATATATGTACTACCAACCACTTAATTAATTTCTAAGTTTCCCATAATTTCCTAATATACCTATGCCAGATCTCAGAGGTGACGGAAGCTCAGGATCCCTAAAGTGTGGTGCATGCATGCGAGTATCCAGGAGAGAAAGGGAGTGTGGTAACTAGTTAACTAGTTAAAGGTAGGCGATCTTGCTGCCTGGGGCATCAATAACAACATATTTCGGCGTTTCGGGATTTCGGTGTTTACGCGCAGGCAGTAATTCTACCAAACACACGGAGACTTCGTACGCAATAACGAAATAAACTAAAACACAGGGCAATGGAAGCCGGCGATAGGCGCACCGTGACGAGGCTAGGACAAAATTAATCACCGAAGCGCCTATCTCGGCTTCTAAGCAATACTGCGCCGAAGGGACCGCCGACACTCAAGCTTGGTACCTAGGCAGTAGCAATGATATATAAGCGGCACCCTGAAAATGATTACCTTTTACTAGACGTCCCGTGTCAAATACCAAATTTTTGAACGTTGGAACAAGTCTGACCCTCATCATGGCCAACGTCGTAAACTCAACCTCTGCGAAATTAAAAATTTCTCCGACGCTGGAGATCAATGAACTGGTTTCAAAAGCTCGCGGGGAAGGCAAACATGTCGTCCATTTAGGCTTCGGCGAGGCGACATTTCCTATCCAGCGAGAAGTCCTTCACGCTCACAAGGAAGCATCCAAAGAAACAAGCTATATGCCCGTTGCTGGATTAGAGGATTTACGAACGGTTTGTCTCCTTTCAAATCCCTCGCCAATTGGAGATGTACTGATGCCGGAGTCTAGTCCATTGCAAGTTTCAATGCGGATCGTCTCGGTGTCAATATCAGTCCTGATCAGGTGGTTGTTGCTCCCGGGTCGAAGCCGCTGCTTTTCGCTTTATTCGATATACTCGATGGCGCTGTGTTGCTTCCTCGTCCCTCATGGGTCAGTTATGAGCCACAGGTTCTACATGCCGGGAAAAAGCTTTTCTGGGTTGAGACGGATGCTGCCGATCGTCACACCATCTCCGGTGAGTTATTTTGAGCAACAAGGACGCATCGATACTCATAGATCATGTTTCTGGCAGAGTCATCCCTTCTCTCTACATACGAGAAGGCGGTCTCAGAAGGCCAAGTTCCTCGCATCATGCTGGTCAACAGCCCATCAAATCCGACGGGTCACGTCTTTTCTGCCAGCTGCGTTCAAACGATCAAAGAGTTTTGCAAATCGAAGGAGATCATTCTCATCACAGACGAGATATACTCCGATATCTGCTTCGATGAGTCTCAGAAAGGAATCAGCCCGTTTGACAGTACCACTGATGATTCCGAAACCGTGATCCTCACTGGTGGGCTATCAAAGGTATCTGAGAATTTTATTCTTCGATGGTTCTCTCTGACAATTTTGAACAGACATATTCGGCTGGTGGCTGGCGCGTAGGCTATGCCATCTTCCCCCCGTCGGAAAAAGGAGAAATTATCCGCAAGACAGTTCTCGCATATGCATCTGAATGCTGGTCCGCGGCATCCGCACCGGCCCAATTTGCATCCATCAAAGCTTTCTCTACGAGTGAAGATATGTGCACATACCGCAAGTCTGTGACCGCCTTGCATCGATACTGCACATTGAAGCTCTATTCTGCACTTAAGGAACTGGGGTTGGATGTTGGACAGCCTGGCGGCGCTTTTTACGTCTACCCATCTTTCTCTCCATATTCAACGCAGCTAAATAAGCTCGGAATTATCACCAGCGCCGACCTTTCAGCGTGGCTGATACGAGAATGTGGACTGGCTGCCCTACCTGGCTCTGCTTTTGGAGAAGATGACAATGGGCCCCTGCACGGACGGTTCCGACTACGGATGGCCACCAGTTATTTGTATTTCCAGAACGAGGTTGACCGTTATGAAGAGGGATATGATCTCCTCAAGCGCTGTGCTTCCGGGGAAGAGATCCAGCTTCCGTATCTGGAGGAGGCGATCAAATCCCTTGGAAATGCGGTATGGAAGCTGAAAAACGTCCGTCTCTAACAAGGAACATGCCCTCAATTTCAGAATTATCAAGATTTCGTGATTACCCGCACTGCCAAACATACATTGAATAAAAAAGAAAGTATGGGCTTCGGCCTCCGAACGGAGTTGGGCTTCATCGTATCGAGGCTCATCACAGCAATAGTTAAATAAGCAGCAAATTTACCGCAATTAACCCCGCAGTAGCGCGCTTGTTTCGCCCCCAACAAATGAGCGGACTATTTGACTGGATGGGCCGCTCGAGGAGACAACACACTATCGATTGACCCTTCTGCGGGCGAGAGGGGGCTTCCAACCATGGGCGGCTCTAGGGAACACCCGATTCATTGATTGCGTCCGCAGAGGCTATCAAGTTAGGGGAGCGCCACGATTTGTAAACTGTGCGTCAACGAAAATCCAGCTGAGCCTATGAGCGATCCGGGTTGAGGACGATAAGCAGGGCGAGACCTTTTTTAAAGAAAGCTAGAGTGTAGGATTGGACCTGAAGATCTCGATGCGCTGGATCCACGTGTACGAATGCCGTGAATTCACCATCACAAAGTAAATGCCGCACTTCCTTGCCGATAACTCCACATCCCGTTGAGACTTATTGCGATAATAAATTCGATCTACCAGCGACGGTAGGCATTCCCCTGACGCGAGACGCAATGTATCCAACGTCAAAATGTACCTAATGGCAGTAGTTACTAGTAGGAACCTTCTGTCAATTCTCTTTGAGAAGAATGGATACATCCATGCCAGTGGATATATATATATACTGTGAACAAGCTTCCCTATCAAAGAAGAAGTGTCACGATGTTATTCCAAGATTTTATTGTCTACGCCTCAAAGATTATCTTGGAGATAACGCATAATCCACAGAAAAAGTTGTTGACTAGAGGTCTAGAACAACTCACAATGAGCGACCAGGAAGCCCGACTGAAGACAACGTTGGGTAGGGCAGACTCGAGGCATTAAAGGCATATACGAGCATGGATCCGATGAACTATTGAATACATGCATGAGTGAAAGAATGGCCGACCAGTAAATCTCTCGCTACACACGCCTTAATATCCGAGCCTCTTAGGAATGCGAAGGGCACGAGCCAAATGGGAAACGATACCATCATCAATACGAAAGCCACAGACCTAAAATGTAGGGTATTTACCGCAAGAAACAATCTCAGCCAGTGATTAGGAGCCTGCGGCTCCAAGCCCTTGGATGTGGGAATTGACCTTGACGGTCAGCTTGAGCGGGGGCCAACAGCTTTGACGAAGAACAACAGGAATCAACAAACCAGAGCCCTGACCATGGTGCTAGACCCTTGTTCAAGTGTGTGACGGCGTGCATAAGGCTCATGGAGAACGCCACCAACACAGGATTGTGGTTGGCTAAAGAACGCCTCGGCGGTTAGAGCTGGTGAAATTGGTGCTAATTTATTTTTATCTTGCCGATCTCTACCTTGAATGATTGGTGACCCAGATGACCCACCTCGGTGCACCAGCCTATGCGATGATATTATTGGTCAATTGTGTGACGATTTTGCTATCATTAGTAACATTTGATGCAGCTAAAAACGGAATAGTTTCGAGTCATTCTATGTTAAGATCACGGTCGCTGCGGGGAAGTTGGCGTTGGTTCCACGAGGTAGAATCCCTGGGCTGACAATATATCAAGCTTGTTCTGTCCAGTTCGAGTTGAATTTCTACAGCCAACTTGAAAGGGTCTTTTTCACAACCCTTGAAAGGGTTCAACTGGATAAACATTCTATATTCTCAGGATTCATTTAATTATTATCATTTTCTTCTATACTTTCTCCCCCTTCATTCCAACATGGGTGTCATCCGCTTTCCTCGTCCCACGGGCATCTATGTCCCTAGTTCACCTACACGCACACTCACCAACGACATGATTTCGCCTCCCCTCTCTCCCGACTTCAACTTTGACTCTGAGATCCTGATCCCCTCCATCCTCCCCGCCCTCGAATACATCTCTTCCAAGCTGCAACAGAAGATGCTACATGTCACTCTCCTTGTTGGTCGTGGCAAGCCATTCCCCACTGGCCACTCCTCCGACCTGATGATTATCCCAACTGCACATCTCGACGCCCCATCATGGCGAGTCCTTGAGCGATCCCTTGCAAAGGCCTCTAAAAAGTTCTCGCTTGGCCAAAGCTGGTCTGACGCCCTAAGCCGAAGCCAATACGAACGACAAGCAAACGAATATCTCGTGGAGCAATCCATCCTCCAAAACGAAGTCGTTTTCAGCCAAGAAGGCTTGACTCTCCTCAACATGGATCGCATCTACACATTCAAGCGCCGTCTTTGCATTCTCTCCAATAAGCCGTTCTCCCGTACCGATGACAAGTACATGACATCCTGCGTCCAGCTTCTTCGTCGACTGGTCGCCGATTTCCAAGGTCGCCCTTTCAGCAAAGCATTTTTCCACCGCGTATACGAACAGCTCGATGTTCGTGACGACCTTCTCACAGCGGTTGCATTGACATATAAAAATACCCACAAGCAAGAGGCTATCATTTTGCCTCCACGAGCCACGGCCGAACACTCACGGAAGTCGCCGGTTCGCACTGTTCGTGCTCGGCGACAGCCTCCGCCAGCTAAGTCGGCTGAGAAATCGACGACGAAGCGACCGACAAAACGTGGACCGAAAACGCCTCTCTCGGCCTCGGACGTGACCCCGATCACGAGAAATGAGTGGAATATGTTGGTTGCGCAGGATATTCACGAGGTCCAGGGCTCCATAACCAAGTGGACCCCATCCCCGGCAGTATTTGCCGTTGCATGAAGGGCAATACGATTTTTGCAATTTGCAAGCTCGCTCTTCTGCTTCTTTGCTCTTTTCAGCGGATTTTTTTTCTCTTCTCATAGCTGATGCTATATTTTGCATATTGATGGACTACCATGTATTATAATTTTACGAAGTCATGACCCTGAACGAAAAGCATTTGATTTAACTCATATTTTCACTGAATTATCATTTAGACACATAGTAGGACCTCCTGAGTAGTAGGAGAAGCAAAGTTCAAGAATCATAGCAAATTCTTCAGGACGTGGCATGCGTACTGGTTGACATTTTTACTGTAGCAGACGTTGCCGTTTAGAGGACTTTCAATATCGTGAAGCACCCCTCCGGTAGTCACGGTAGTTTCCGAGGTTTCAATGGGCATAAAATACTCTAGCAGTTATAACCAAATGCATTGACAAGAAAAACCGACTCGGAACTGTCGATCGGCTAAGACGAGCCATGGTAGTACGCAGCAGTAGCTTAGTTCCAAGCTACCAGAGCTTGTTGGATATTCGACTTCACCATAACCCAATGCCCATCCAGTTCAATTCAAACTCCACTCGGCCAAGTCTGCCGAACGGCCATCGGAAATCCACAAGCCCCCGACCTTCGGCAAACTACAAGCAAAAAGCGTTCCCTCGCACGTCCGCGGGTGGAGCCACGAAAATGTTTATCGTTCAAAGTGGGCATTCTTTATCATCAAAACGCCAAACATGAATAATAATTAACTATCAGTCTTTCGGGCCTCTCCGCTGCCCCGCCCAATCACGTGTATATCCCACCACCGATGCGACGCCTTCAAGTTTACACTTCCTCTCCAACGTTTCTCTGCGGGCAAGTCGAATTTCGTGAAGGAAACATCGGCACGCACGAGAAGCGTCCGTAGCTACGTGGGGTTTATCGGCCATCGTCCTAAAAATCCGACCACAGCCGCTCGCCGACTTGACATCGTTTTTTTCCCTTGCGGAACTGCCAAGCGGAGCTACTAGACTCTTCATTGCCTTGGCAGCGTGGAGAGTGACGGCCGATAAGAATAATTTCTTTTTTTTTACTACGTCGCAGGATCTGCAACTTACTAGAGTTGCGGTTGCATATATTTATTAATTCGCAGCGCTGTTGTGCTCTTCTATTTTCTTTTCTCTCTCCACCCCCGGTACCTGATCAAGCAGTGAATACCGGGAGAATTCTTGTCCCGCGATCCACAAAGTCAGAAAATTGTGGACCTGGCTGAGAGTCAATCAATACCGACTCGACTATGTCTTCGATAGTGGACGATTCGCCAGCAGACTCGCGTAGTCTTGACAACGACCGCAAATGGAGTTTGCAACCACTTCTGCGCCATGCGGAGCGCTCGCACCAAAAGATGCCAGGCATCAGGAAGATCCCTCTGCGTGCGATCGGTATCATCCTTTTTATAGCACTGCTGAATGCTATCGTGTGGATTGCAGCTGCGATTGTCTTGGTAAGGCTCATCAACCTTTTTTATTTTTACCATCGAATCATGATGAACGAGTTGCTAACATCCTTGTAGCGTTATCACACGTACGTTGAGTTGATCTCTCATAATGCATGGATCTAAGCCATGAAACTAATCTGTTGTATCTAATAGATCACTGGTTTCTACTGCAGTGCTTGCTTATACTCTCGGTCTGCGGCATGCGTTCGACGCTGATCATATTTCGGTACGACTAATATCTTTCTGCTTACGATTGATCACACTAACAGTCGCTAGGCTATTGACTTAATGACACGACGACTTCTGGCTACTGGACAGAAGCCCGTCACCGTTGGAACATTTTCTCCCTGGGCCACTCGACGTAGGTATACACATTCCGAGGCTAAAAGCGCCATCTATTGACTCGAATGTAGTATCGTTATCATCACTTCGATTGTTGTTGCCGCAACTGCAGCTGCTGTTTCCGACAAATTTGATAGCTTCAGCACCATTGGCGGCATTATTGGAAGCTCCGTCAGTGCTGCTTTTCTGATCTTGCTTGGTCTTATGAACGGCTATATCCTCTACAAGCTCATCAAGCAAATGCAGAAGGTTTTCAACTTGCCCGAAGGTCAAGAGGATGAAGCTTGGAAGATCGAGGGAGGAGGATTCCTCTTCAGCATCCTGAAGAAGATGTTCAAATTGATCGATCGGCCATGGAAAATGTACCCGCTCGGAGTACTCTTCGGCCTTGGCTTCGATACGTCGTCAGAAATTGCCTTGTTGGGAATATCTTCAATTCAAGCTGCATCGGGAACCTCGTTCTGGGTGATTCTCATTTTTCCAGCACTTTTCACTGCTGGCATGTGCCTGATCGACACGATCGATGGAGCGCTCATGTACTCGCTCTACGTCCAGCCCGCTGCGAATTTCCTCCCCTCAAAGCGAGACAGCACCACCATCTCTGAAGATGGTGACGAAATGCCCCAGTCTCACGATAACCATCGTGATCCCATCGCCTTCCTCTACTATTCCATTGTCCTTACCACCCTGACAGTTATTGTCGCCATTGTTATCGGTGTCATTCAACTGCTCACCATGATTCTGAACGTGACAAATGCTACTGGGAGGTTCTGGGATGGTGTTCAAGTGGCTGGCGATTACTACGATGTGATCGGTGGATCAATCTGTGGGTGTTTCTTGATTATCGGCGGCCTTAGTGTGCTCGTCTACAAACCCTGGAGGAGATGGATGGGTCGCCGCCACGGACGACCAATGGTGGATGACGAAGAGAGATACCGCGATGATGAGAACGAATCGGCTGTTGAAAGTGGAGTTTGTGTTCATGAACCCAGTATTAATGCCAAGCAGGGACACACTGAGGTGGTTGGAAAGGGGACTTCTTCTCGGGTTGCAGTGACTGCTGAAGAGCGTCGCATTGAAGATGAGATTGTTTAGATTTTCAACCAGATTTAGATTACCTCCAACTTTGAGCTCTCATATAATGAGTTAGTTTTCGCATTTTTCCAACTCGTGATTAAAAGCTGGACCAAATAAATCAAAAACAAGTGTAACTATACTTCAATTCCTGCCTGAGGCATCAATGCGTGACGTCAGGTGTCAAATTATCACATGATTCCCATCGCCCCCTTCAAACGAACCTCAGCTTGTGATTATCACTGCTCAACTATGACGTGATGACCATGGTGACCATGGCCTAAAAGCATCGCATATACGATATCATGATTCGTACCTGGCTATACACTGACTCGTCGAGCCATGTATTTGCTGGTGGTTGGACACATCCTCAAGAGCAGCAACTCAACATGCTAGCGAGCGATTGAAACCTCCGTATACATAGCTGCACATAAGTTGTCATTTTTTCTGGGATTTATGTACAGTGACGTATATCACTCAAGTGCGCATGATGTTAGCAGACACTTTCTCTGCTACTGCAGTACCGCACGATCCGGTCGAAGACACAGCCGATGAAACCATATTTTCTGGTCTTCCATCTGTATTCATTCTCAACACGCATCTATCTCAAGAGGAGCTAGACGATGTTGAAAACTGCCTTGTTCAACATGGTGGAAATATAACTTACAATCCCTCGGAGGCGACGCTTTTCCTGAGCAAAATCTCCCAAAAGAAACGCGCCGCCCTTGAGCTACGGCGTTGCGACGTCTGGACAGACGAAGTAACAGCTTCTCGAAAATCACAACCATCCGGCTCAAATGGCACACCCGAGCCTCCTCACAAGCGAAGGAAGCATGCACAAGTCAGCCATAAGGTTGGCGCTGTGACTGAAAGCATTGATCTGACGACAGACTCTGAAAGGGAGCAAGACGAAGTGCAAGTTCACTCTCCCCCAGTCGAGCCAATAATACACCCTGAAGATGCATCAACGGATGTTGTTACCATTCTCAAGCTTGAATGGTTAGATAGGTCCGTTGCGGCTGGGAAACCACTCCCACGCAACCCCTTTGTGATCTATCGCGGGCGAAAGAGTGGAGCATCAAAAAAGGCAGTGGTCCCGAATACACAACCAGCAAAAGTCTCGAGTCAGATTTTGCAACGTGCGAAAGAAGATGCTGCATCGCAGCCGCCCCCACCGGCTGTTTCTAGTCGTTTTCAACATCGGCGCTCCAAGCATTCTGCAGAAGGCAGTTCCAGCCAATTGCAACCACCAACCCTGCAACGCCAGACAACATCCGAGAATGATGATCCTATCTCGATGCCACCACAGCCAGATTGGGTTCGTGATCATGTTCCCTACGCTTGTTTGCGATCGACACCTCTACATTCACCAAATGAGGATTTCATCTCCCAGCTTATAAAAATTCGCCAAATACGCAAGCTTACACTGAATGAAATTGGAGTGCGTGCATATAGCACTTCGATTGCAGCTATAGCCGCGTACCCTTACAGGATCCGCCGGTCTAGTGAGGTCCTTCAGCTACCGGGATGCGACGCAAAAGTTGCGAATCTCTTTGCCGAATTCCAAGAACACGGCAGTTGCTCGCACTCCGAAGACGACGGTAGCATCTCCGCCGCAGATGAACTAGACACGGACCCTGTTCTACGAGTTCTGAACACCTTCTACGACATATGGGGTGTTGGTGCCAAGACAGCACGCGAATTCTACTACAGTCGAGGCTGGAGAGACCTCGATGATATCGTTGAGCATGGTTGGAATACACTGTCTCGCGTGCAGCAAATAGGGGTGAAGTTTTTCGATGAATTTAAGGAGGGTATTCCCGATCAGAAAGTGAGGCAATAGCTGCCATTGTCAAGGAGCACGCAAATAAAGTAAGGCCGGAGTCGAAGAACGAAATTGATTGCATTATTGTTGGTGGCTATCGGCGAGGAAAGGAATTGGGTGGAGATGTCGACATTATACTCACACATCGAGATGATTCCGTCACCCGAAACCTCGTCTTTGACGTTGCTGCGAGTCTCGAGGAGCAAAAATACATTAATCATACGCTCTCCCTGCATTTGACCTCGACACATCGAGAACAGCAAACTACTCCTTATCACGATGAAACTGGGAAGCATTTTGATTCGCTCGACAAAGCACTAGTTGTTTGGCAAGAGCCAAATTTCGACAGTTCGAAACACCGGAAAAATCCCAATCCTCATCGCCGAGTGGATATCATCATATCACCATGGCAAACTGTTGGTTGTGCAGTTCTCGGATGGTCAGGTGATACGACATTCCAGCGCGACTTGAGGCGTTGTGTTAAGAAGTCTCACGGTTGGAAGTTTGACTCTAGTGGTGTACGTGGGCAGACTTCTGGCGGTCAGGTTATTGATCTTGAGCAGGGCGGGGAGACTTGGGAAGAACGGGAGAAACTGGCAATGGAAAGGTTGGGCATTGGATGGAGACCCCCGGATCAGAGATGCTCGCGATGAGATAGTTGTCTCCATCCGTTCATTTTGTTCTTTTGTTCCTAAGCTTATATTCGGATATGAACAAAATATTCTTTCTACCCACGCCTCCTCATATCTTCAATAGTCAGTTACCCTCCCATGGAGCAGGGTAGTGATACTATATTGTAGGCAAATCACGAGGTGGGCGGTGTGGAATTCAAAAACAGGGGCGATAGAAAGGGGCTATGGTCTTTGACATGCCAGAAACTTTCGCTCACTGATTCTATGTATTCTTCGCCAGTCCAACCATTTGGTTCAATATTTCTTCTCTCGATAAGCCCCAAGTTCCAAGAAAATCGGCATGATTCTCAGCGGACTGGAAGTCGTGAACCGCCAATTAGTGCGTAACTTACGGCACATTGGCCAGCAGCAACAGCCTTGTGGGATCGACCTCACTTTACGACGGGTTTCCAAATGGACCTCAGCGGCTTGCATTGACTTCGATAATACAAACCGCAAGGCGGCGAAGACCTCCACCGTCGCATTCGACATTACAGGCCAAGAAATCGCACTCCAACCAGGCGCTTACTTGATCGACTTCAACGAAAATGTTCAAATCCCGTTGAATTGTATGGGTAGCATCTTTCCTAGGTCATCTTTGTGGCGGTCTGGGGTTAATATTGCCGCCGGGGTCGTTGATGCGGGATATGAGGGTGCTATGGGTGCTTTGATGGAGGTTAAAAACCCCCATGGGGTGGTTCTCTGTCAAAATGCCAAGCTCGCGCAGCTTGTAATCGAGGAATTGAATACATCCGTTGATGGGTACAGCGGTATCTATCAGACTTCGACAAGTAGTAATGGACTTGATGGCAAGAAACAGCCTGAAGTAGTATGAAGAAGCAGTGGCTTCATACTTCCTTTAGACTTGCCTCTACGGGCTTGCTCCTTGCTTAGAGCTTGATCTAAATACGGTGTATTCAATGATTCGTATAATGGCAAAGGAAATAACGGAGCACGCGGCGGGATCTTTCATCAAGACCAATTTCCTTATTGTTTATATCCCTATAGATACCTGGGGCTCTAGTTTTACCACACAGCAGGGCACGGGCAGCTCGTGGCTTCAACCCGGTATCTCTCAGGTATGACTATGTACATATCACCCCTCTCATTATGCAGACTCCTCTCGAACAAACACTGATATTGAGGACTGGGAGTTTTTGTGCGCTTCTTTCATCAGCCGGTCCTTTTCACCAATCGCATCCCATTCGGGGTTTCCGCTGTTATCGTGTGCTAGTTTGAGCCAGGTCTCCCACTCTGGCCTTCTCGGGGCCGCTCCGCTAATCGTGACCCACTCGACTTGCCCAGTAGCTTGAATCGCAAACCATAGGCTTTTTGTAAAGCTGGGTTTAGGTTTGCCTTGAATGACTTTATCTGCAAATTGCAAATTCTCCGGGGTGACAAGATCGCAGTTGTACCGCGACAGGTCCCAGAACAGCCTTTGCGGAAGTAACGATGCTATCCAGTAGAGGACATTCAATACTATGTATATCACAGCGATGACAGCTTGCATTGTCCAACTGCAGTTTCCCGGAAGTATGACTGATATAGTAATGAGAGACAGCGATATCCCAACCAATACTTTGAACCATTGGTCACTGACGAGATAGTCGCATTTCTCCGGGCCTATAAAGAGTTCACGGGCGATTTCTTCGGCGCAGCGGATAATAACAAAGGCACCGTCGCGTGTCCGAATCATGATGTCCCAGTTTGGGACTACAACATCTGTCGGACGTTCGGATAATTCTGGTTTCCAACGGCATGCAATCCCAATCAGAGCTGAGGCAAAGCCTATAGCTATCAGAGCCAGAACTGCTACACCATCCTGGAGCATAAGTGCCCAAATGAATGCTCCAATTATCAGGAGAGAAGAAAGCACTGTTAGAATATTGAGGGGTGAGAAGCTGTGGGGTGGCACCAGAGCCACATCGCCAGGGCGTTGAGTCTTGCTTCGATCTGCCGAGGCGTTAGTCTTGTTGACTGAGGCATCCCCCTGCTCCGAGAGGCATCCCCCTGCTCCGAGATGCATCCCCCTGCTCCGAGATGCATCCCCTGCTCCGAGATGCATCCCCTGCTCCGAGATGCATCCCCCTGCTCCGAGTCAGAAAACGTATTTAGACATATCTTACCTGAATATGTGATATCCCACACCGCTACTTCATACTTTTTCATGTTGGTAATTGGAAGAAGGACATCAGCAAAGTAATTCAATTCGTGAACGACTGTGCCCGAGTATACTCCGCACACCTCGGCAGGTAGACTAGGAAGTCTGACCGCACGGGTAGATCCAAGGAAAGATTGAGGTGCAGGGAGGATGCGAGGGAGCAGGCACAGCTTAGAAGCCGTCAAAGGTTGGATATGGCGAGCCATCAACGATTCTCCCTCCGAGAATGGTGATCAGACTCACGACATCGAGTCGCCAACCCTCGGAGTCATCGCGACCAACAGGAAACCACTGCATCTTTCTCGTGAAAGGGACCTAGAAAATTGGTGTTTGCCAGGAATAAAGAACAAAGGTGAAAAATATTGCAAATCGGATGGAAAGTCAAACATGGGACCGAAACCCCCCTATGCACGTGGTGGGCGATAGGGAAGCAATCTCAGTGCTTGGCTAGCTGAGAGGAGTTTGCGAGATATGCGGGTGGTGGTTCGGGTGGCTGAACAGATCGATGCATCGCAATTGTGTTCGTGGACGATTGGCGATGAGCCAACGCCACTGCCGGTTAAAGACGCTAAGAGTGCATTAGCGCGCTTAGGGGACTCGGTCCTATGGGTTGCCTCTTAACAAGACACCGTCAATTGCCCAGAAATATGCAGGAGCCTCAGCCGTCACATCAGTCGCTTTGTCTCGTTCTCTAGTGGCTCCGTGGTATTTACTACCTCCCAGAAATAATCAGCAAGGCGTACCCACTCTCTGGAAACTAAATAAATGCCCCTTCGAAAGTCTTGGAATACTGAGACCTGAAGACCACTATCACGATCCGAATCCCTCGTAGGCGCCGATATTCTCTTCCAGATATTCGGTGACGGGTCTAAAGATTCTTCTTGGTAAGCATTGAGTGATAGGTAGCATAATCATTGTTTTCATGTCGTGGCGCAGCAACTTGAAGCAAATTTGGTATATAAGCGAAAAATCAAAGTTATAATGGAGGCGTGATAAGCTATATTCTTTGAATAGAGGACACAAATTGAAAATTGAAAGACCGTATATCGGCTTGATCGTGCTCGTAATCGGTTAAGTTGGATCAATGGGTGTGGTGCCGAGGTATTGCTGCTTCAAGATCCTGTAGATCCGAAGATTGTGCGATTCCGGATTTGATATTTCGATCCATATCCGAACTCATGTGACCAGAAATAGTTGTCTCTCTTGTCATGAATGGTATACTATATTTGATAGTAACCAGATTTCCTTGAGGAGTGCGAGGGTTGTCAGGCGAAGTGCCACTTGTGTTGACCCTGGCATTCAACTCAAAGTTTGGAAGCGTGTCTGGGCGGCGACGTCGTCGTTCTCTGCATGCCTTGATTCCCCACCATATAATATTCAAGAAAATGAACAGGATAACTCCACCGAGTACAATGACTGCCCCAAGGAGTAGTCCTAGACCGAGAGCGCAGTCAGAAGATGTAGAACTTGAAAACGAGCAATTTTCATCATCAGAAGCCATGGTGGGTTCGATTTATCGTTGAACTGGGAAGCTTTGCAAAGAAACAAATTTAATAATTCACCATAGGAAGAAAGATTTCAGGGTTGTCTTATTTTTCCTCTTTCATTTTGTGGGCGTCATTATCAGGGAAGTCATATACGTTGCTATTGCGTACTGGGACAATCTGGGTTTCTGCCTAAGGCACCTCAGCCCCAACAGCAAGCACCCCAACGTGCAGGGTGTAAATACGATGGTAAGCGACCTTGAGAGGACTAAATTCGGCTAGCAACTATGTTATTTTGGTTCGAACAGAATCTTTAACGAGGTATTTATGAGATGGAAGCCTTTGGCAGGCATAGCCGTGGAAATTTTGAATGAGAAATGGCCAGTACGAGGTCATCCAATCCGCACACGCAACTTCAAGAGAGAGATATAAGTCTTAGGTACTTTGCAAAGGCATTATCGCCGGGGCTTCGTGAGTAATTATGTGCCTTCTCCATTGAGACCATTTAACTTGGCTTCACCTAGCGGGTCAGAAATAGAATTACCAGTTTGGCCGAAGAGAGAAAATGAGCAACGATGAAATAATTTGGGCGGTAGGGATGTAAGAATCACAAATTGATAGAATGTGTAGCCTTCGCTTCGCTCGCGATCGATTGCCCCGGTGAATATCATCAAAAGGCGTGGTACCGAGGTATTGCAGCTTCAAGGTCCCGTAGCTCCTGAGAATGTGCAATTCCGGATTTTATATCTCGATCCATATCTGAATTTTGGATATAGCTCGAATTATTTATCACATCTGTGGTGACTGGAACATAGCCTTGAGTGCTAGAATGAGCATATCGCCCGCACGGGCAGAAATTCGGAAGGTTGTCTGGTGAGATGCCCTCATTCCTTTCGTTGAACTCGAACTTGAAGTTTTGGAGCTTATCGAGGCGACGTCGCCTTTCTCTGCAGGCCTTGATTCGTCGAAATATAAATTTCCCAAGCTGCCATATGAATATCGCCATGACTAGTGCAACAAATGAGGATAAAAGAGATTGAGAAAACGAGCACTTTCCATCAGATGCCATGGGGGGTTCGAGCTGTCGTTGGAGCTGAAAATTTTGTGTAATATAATTTCAAGAAGCTGTTATTAAAAGAAGGGCTTGTAGGCGCCAAGTTATTCTTGCGGGCGTCGTTGAGTCAAATACGTTGCTATTGCGTAGTGTATACTACATTACGCCATAATAGAATCACCTCGGAAACACCATGGGGTCAACATTCCCCGCTTCTGTAGCATCGATCCAGGGGAAATCAATTATTTAATTAGGCTATATTTATTCAGATGGGTAAATATAAGCTCGGGTCCTCTAGAAAAATTCTAGTGCAACTGCTGAGGCGAGGAGGCGCTCAATCCATACCTAGTAGGTACTAGTAGTATCTTAGACGCTACTAAGTCACAAAGAGCATGCAAATGCCTCTTCAATGCCATATTTATCTCTAAAATAAATCAGGTACCATGTTCATAGGAGCTCCTCGCTCGCAGCCGCGGACCAAAGTAGTAGAACAACCAGGGTATCGGCGCCATGATCAACGCCGCGAATCCCAAAACACTCGTGGCCCATCCCACTCCAAGAGCTTCATACATCTGAGTAACGAAGAGTGGGAAAGCCGCAGAAAGAGTATATCTCGACAGTGACGAAGCCCCACTAGCTGATGCTCCATACTTCGATCCATACACATCCAGCATGTAGAAATTGCAGGGCACATAAATGAGGATACTGCCAAGAAGAGCAGTTCCCTGCGCAATAATCGGACTTATCCAGTGAACTTCCGGTCGAGCGGACCATCCAAACCAAAAAAGAGCAATGGGAAGCACAAGACTTCCGTAAAGCGCCGTATATAGTTTTCGCTCCGGGTTGAATGTCCGTGTTTCCTGCTCCTGCTGCCTCATTTTCCTATTGCGTAGAATGGAATCCATCCCGATCAGAATGAATGGAGCAACAAGACACCCAACCACAAGTCCAAGAAAAGATAAACTCTGCCCGCTCAATGAGAATCCATACACCGTCTTGAACACCCAGGGACTAGCCACGACAAACGTATACAAAAGCGCAAACTGAAAGCCCGTATACAAACAAATAAACCCAACGAGAGGCTCAGTAGTGAGCATATGCAGTGGTCTCGCAATCGTCGAAGTGACAAATCGACGTAATCGCAACAAATTCGTTTCGGTGGCAGTCGTAGCAGGCTCATCCTCATCCCCATCCCCAACAACCACCAACTCCTTCCTCGCCCGTTTCTGCAAAATAGTCGCCTTATACGACTCCCTCAAAAACAACGCCAATGGATGAAAAACACCCGCCATAATAAGCACAACCCAAGAAGTCCACCTCCAGCCCTCACCCTGAACGGCAAACCCCCCAATCAAAGGCCCAATAGAACTCCCAATAAACGGCACAGCATAGTACGCCGCAAGAGGAATCACTCTCCGATCCGGCTCCATAAAATCCGAAATCGTAGCCGCAGCAACAGAAACACCCGGCGCAGCAAAAAGGCCCGCGAAAAACCGACAGATAATCAAAGAAGCGATATTCCGCGCTAACCCCGCTCCCAGCATGAAGACATCGCACAGCGGGAGCGTGAGCAGGTAGACGAATTTACGGCCAAATGTTTCGGAGAGAGGGGAGGAAATCATTGGTCCGAAGGCGAGACCGAGTGAGTAGGCTGAAAGTGGGAGTAAGGAGATTGTTGTTGAGACGTGGAATTCTTGTTGGACTTGGTCATGGCCTGGTGCGTAGATTGAGGCTCCGAGTGTTGTTGTGAATCCGATGGAGCAAATTATTAGGGTTGAGATGGTTTTCCGTAGACGGGACCAGTTTCTTGGGTTCTTTTTGTCGGTTTGGGATGTCCAGTCTGTTGTTGGGTTGCGTGTCGTGATTGAGGCATCGGTGCTTTCGGGATCGTGGTTGGGGTTCATCACGCGGGGGATTCATTTGGGGGAAGGGGGTAGATACCAGTGTAGGGTAAATGCTAGTTGGAGGAGGTTGGAGAAGGGATCTATACTCCGAGATTTATACCTGAACCCCAGTCAATTGTGGAGAAGAGGACCCTTCGGCGGCCGAGTCGAGTGGCCGAAGTCTCGGCCCATCTCGATAGGTCGCCGGCTAGTTTCCCTTCGAGGGCCGCCGTATAGAGACCTCGTTGGAACTGACCGCCCTTAGTTAACGGATGCATGAAGAAAAGATTACAAATCAAGAAAATAATCAAGGCATTGCCACATTTCATGTCCAATTGAGATAAGCTAAGAACACATCACGTAGATAGTATGTCACAAGACTCCCTCCAACCTGATAGCACCGCAACCAAGCCAGAAGAAGAGAAGTCAAAAAGTGGGATGGGAAAAAAAGGATAAAAAGTACATGTTTACAACGCTACCAATCAACTTGGTATCCCATGCAATATCGAGCATAAATAAAAGATGATGAAAAAAAGAAAACAGACAGCCAGCTCCACACACTAAAGGCCAAAAACCCCAACAAAAATAAAAAAGGTATGCAGTTCAGTTCGGTCAACAAACAGACAGACAGACAGACAGACAGACAGACAGACAACACTCAGAAACCTGGAGGTCTGGAGCTGGCCATTTCTCCGTAACGACCACGACCCTTGGTCGTATCGTATGCGTTTAAGACACGCATTTGAGCACCATCATCAGCCTGAGAGAAAGCATAGCCACGCTGTTTGCGCATACGCTGGACCTGGCGAACCTTTCGAATGGCCTTTTGGAACTGTTCCATTCGGGGACGGTAATCCTGCACGTTGAATTTCTGAATTTCCTGCACGTGGTGGTATTGCTGGGGGTAGTACATGCGTTTTGCGTATTTCCAGGCGTAATCACGCATCAGACAGATACACGGGAGGACGAGAGCCATCAGGTAGAATTGAGGAAGTTTGAAGAGAACGGGGACGGTGCCGTAGTATTCTTGCGAGAAGCCGATGGCCGGGGCAGCGTAGCCGTAGGCTGGGATGAAAACCAACCAAAGGAACATAGAGCCGGGGATTGCGATGAAATGGTATTTCGTCCAGGTGTTGGAGATCAGTGCTGCCTTTCCTAGAACGGTGGCGAGGACGGCTGTGTATAGTGCTTCTCCCCATACCCAGTGACCGGCGACCTTTCCATCCGCCATGGGCAGGTCCCAGAAGAATAGAAGCTCGGAAACGAGATAGAGGAGGAGTGAGTGGAAGAATCCATTCAAAATCCAAGCCCAGAAACTGTGCTTGCGGAAGAAAAGACCTTTTTGACCCAGCTGGTATAACTGGGGGTAGCGATCGAGTAGACGAGCGGAAATATACTGGTCGAAGATTCCCATAGCGAACGGAGGCAAAACGGTGAACAGAACGTTATACAAGGAGAGCGTCCATGACTCGTAGATGACCTCTCCAGAGAAGGCGTTTTGGAAAGAGTACTGAGAAAAGAGATGTTAGTTTGTGGATGAAGACGCGAGGGCGCGCGTTCAACTTACCCAGAATTGAGTCATATACAGCGTGATGTTCTTATAAAACGAGTATAAAATGACTCGACTGATACGAGAGTAACTCCAGGCACCGTGTACAAGGAGAAGCTTGCGGAGGAAACGGAATTGACCAATAGCCACATCGGCAGATCGAGCGGCCTGGAGACCTTCCATACCACTGATACCAACACCAACATGCGCGGCTTGAATCATGGACACGTCGTTCGCACCATCACCAATGGCAAGAAGCAAGGACTTCAGGTGACGCTTGACAAGCTTAACGACCAAAGCCTTCTGGAGAGGAGAGACACGGCAGCAGACCACAGCTTTGCAGGTCACGGCAAGATCCAGGAACAACTTCTCCATGTCCTTCTCCAGCGCATAAGTCAAGGATTTTCCATCAATCACCAAAGCAAGGGGCTCGACATCGCCTGAGTTGGCTTGAGTCTTGACAGCCTCTAGTTTCTTTTGCAAATTGTCGCGCGTGGCATCTGCTGACTCCTCGTTGATAATCAGAAGCGTCATATCCTCGGAGATAAGTTTGCAAGACATGCCAATGTTGATGGCTGTTTCTTGTCGATCACCAGTCAGAACCCAGATCTTGATACCAGCTGTCTGCAGGGTGTGGATAGTATCCGGGACACCGTCCTGCAGTCGATCCTCAATAGCAGTTGCACCCAAAAGGTTAAAGTCCTTCTCAATCAATTCGGCAGCCTTGTCAAGTTCCTCTGCACGATTACCGCTGACAGTGGTGTTGGCTGTTTCGAATATCTTATGCCACTGCTGGTACTCATCCTCTGGGATCTCGCGCATGGCCAGGCACAGAGTTCGCAGACCCTCTGATGCGTACTCTTCAAGATGCTGAAGAGTAGTTTCCACAATCGGGTTGTTCGCGTGGAGACGCTCGAGAATAACAGTATCGGCACCCTTGCAATAAATGCGAATCTTGCCATCGGGGCAACGGAAAATAGTCGACATACGCTTCCGGGTGGAGTTAAACTCGCACACGGCTAACAGCTCATACTCGGAATCGCGTCTGTCATCGGTTGTGAAGATGACGGACCTGGGTTTACGGTTGGTGAACCGGTATCCAAGCTCGGCGGCGCCAGCGACAAGAGCCTCCTCGTCGGGGAGGCGGCCTGGTACTTGATATCTTCCGGGTTGCTTCCTGTGCGTTCGGGAATGACAGTATGACAAGTCGCCAATAGAGTAAGAAACTCCTTGATGAGGTCCTGGCTTGGGTGGGATTGCATGTTACGGCGAAGAGTCTTGAAGTCATAGATGCCGTATTCCCCGTCGTCCTCTCCAGCCGCCCGTCGGTCCTCGGCGATGTCATCTCCGTACTGTATACCACCAATGGAGCACTGCTTAAATTCCATCATATTGCAAGTCAATGTACCAGTCTTGTCAGAGAAAATATACTCGATCTGACCAAGTTCTTCGACCAATGAAGAAGTTCGGCAAGTAGCTGGGGTATCGCTTTTGTCGTAGTAGATGTCCAGATCGGAGTTGATGAGATAGGCTTGGAAATATTTGACGATTTCGATGGTGACGAACAAAGAGATAGGAACCAAGTTGGAGTAAAGCACCCAGTATGTGAAGATATCCAGGAAAAACTGCTTCACCATATTGGTGTCGCCGTAGTCGAGGTATCTGAGCTCGGAGGACTTCGTCTTACGGATGACAAGATCGCCAACGGAACTGATGATACTGAGAGCGATGAGAATGCTCACAAGCATCAAGATTTGAATATTCACCATACGCTCCACAGCAGTTCGCTTGATAGGGGTGGCCGTCGCGTTTCGCATCAACTTGGTTTCGTGACCAGTGAAAACGACAATACCGTGAATCCACGGGGTATTCCGCAGAGTCGCACCTCGAAGCATCAACTGATCCGGAGCTAGCGACAGTTCCTTCTCTCCACCTCCAGCGTTCATCGTCAAGGTAGCTTCGTAGGTATAAAGACTGCTGTTGGGTTGTTCGGATCGGACACGGCCACTCAGACGACTCAGGTCACTGGGACTAACGAGGTGCGCAGTTTCCGGAATGGCTTGCTTGATCTTCAAGTTCGTTTCTCCATCCAAGTTGGCTGTTTCGATATAACAGAGACCTTCGGGTTCGGACGATGCCAAGAGGACCAGATCTGCGGGGAAAGGCTCCTCCGACTCGACGCGAACCACGTCTCCGACCTTGACATCAACCCATTTCGTCTCGTGGAATGAGGACCCTTGAAGGACCCGTGTTTTCGAATAATTCAACCCTTTATCCGACATGCGACGCTTATAGTCCTCTACTGATTCCTTGATGGCCGACACCAACAAGACAATAGCCAGCGGAACGACAGTGGTGAATTTATTCGTGGGGGAGACGTTGGGAATTTGTTGTAGGATAGCGGTAAACAAAAAGAACAAGTTGGCGTATTTCGAGAATTGTTCGAAGAGGAATTTGGGGACGAAGGTGATGAAGTTGTATTTGGCGGTCGACACATGGTTATTGACGTATTTGTGGACGGCATTCGCGGGCGGGTTATTGATTTGGATGATACGGGGGGCCCATCGTCGATGGATCGGCCTTGCGACGCCCAAAGATGGATGTTAGACCGGAAGCCTGGAACTTCTTCTTGGCCTTGGGGGGGAGCTCTGGGATCAGTGCCACTGTCAACAGTCGCCCTCCTAGCTCCGGCCTCAGTCAGAGGTAGGTCCATCTCCGAGTATTGGTTCCCCATGCCAAACATGTATTTAGCTTTCCCCATCAATCCACCTCCCAAGCCCAAGATGCTATTCCGCTCGTTCGCTTTCCGTACATGATGCGCGCTCGGTCCGCGGTCATCGTCTGGGTCGAGGTCGTAATATCCGGAATGGTTATCTTCGAGTTCGTCAAAGGAATAGCGCTGGTAGTTCGCGAGGCCTGATGTTTGGGAATAGGTGCGGCTCATGCCGGAGTCCGTGTAGGGATCGTGAAGAAAGACGCCGGCATCGCCATGCGCAGGAGCAGGGGCCGCATGGTATTGAGCTCCAGCTCGCTGTGCTGAATTGCCGACAAAGTTGTCATAGGACACGGAAGGGCGCGGCTGCGCATGGGGCTCGTCGGAATCGTCTATGTTGTATTGGCGCAAGAGATGGTCATCGTTCACGGGCGGGGGTTGACCGGAGTTGTAGATAGGGCCTGATCCTGAGTCTAGCAGTAGATCATCATCGTGGCCAGCTGGATGCGACCCAGGGGGCCTACCGCTGGCCATGGTGCCGCGGGGGGAAGCTGACAGCCTCACTGGAAGTGGTGATGATGATGCCCCTGAGGCATTGATCGGAAGCAGGAAATCAAGGGTGACGCGCACAGCTCAATCTGCAGGGATAGATGACAGAGGAAGGGGTCAGTGGGATTCGCGTTATACACATACACGAAGGGGGGGGCAAAAAAAAGTGGAAGAGGAGGAGATGAGGTGGCTTAGCGGGTGAAGGCAGCCGTCTTCGTCGAGTGTTGATCGACCGCAGTCCCGCTTTTTTGGGGGGCGGTAAGCAACAAGGAGCGATACACTTCACTTGAGTTGGGTCAAGATGTACTGGAAAAAAAAAATTAAAAATAAGGATAATTAAATTCAAAAGAGAGCCTTAGAGTTGATCTATCACAGGCGAATAGTAGGCCTAGATCAGTGCTGCGGTTAAACTTGAAACGCGGAGGTCCCAGAATAGCAGCATTCCTGGGCGCAGTCGGAAATATACTAAAACAACTTAAATGGTAATAATTAATAGCACCATAGAGGAGGAGGACCCAGTTGCCGATACTATAGTATATAAGGCCAGAGCATAAGATATCGATTACCTAAGTACTACTAGGTAACTAGTACTACTAGTACTAACTAGTACTAACCTTGGAAACCTTGGAAGTTGTACTATGGATACTCCTATATATATTGGTACCTACCTAGGTAGGTAGTATAAAATACCTAGTGCGCGGTGGTTAGTAGTATGAAAGCACTCCAGGCCTGGTAGTATTTCAAATTAATGGTATTCCAAGGTTCTAGACCTAGATCTTCACCATGGTTGTAGTACTACTCTTTGTAGAATGGATAATTGATGGTTTTATAGCTCTTAGCGTCTACCGATACCTAGTATTGAACATACACCTGGGCACTAATAGTGCCTCCGCGGGCAAGGTTCAACAAGTTTGGAACACCTCATACCTTTTAGTTACTAAATGGAGGGTTCTGCAATTACTAAATGCGGTCAAGTTACTTTCCCTTATAGTCCTCAGTATATCAGTAGTAGCATAATATTCACCCGTCTAATCCGGACAAAGGATACGTGCATAATTACACTCAATGCGATTGGTTCTTAAAAGCAATGCGGAACTCCAGCCCAGGATCATAAATGTTCTAGTCATACATTAGAAGCAGCGGTGACAGTCAAATCACCGGTCATTTTCAGCGCGAGACAGGTCCGCCATGCCCTGCTTAGCCCGTTTCGCCAGGTCGGTCTGCATCGCCTTCTCCATCTGAGCATTGATCTCCTTCACCTTCTCCAGCGCAACCGTAGACTTGGTCACCATCTCCATAGCATCGACGGGGGCGCCAGAGAACTTGGACAGGAAGCAGACATCGCCTCCATTGTTAATTCCAATCACCAGCTCTCCCTCCGACGCTTGCTCCTCCTTGCGGGTTGCGTCGAGAATAATACTCTTTCCATCATTGTATGAGTTGAATGTGATGGACAACGGCTTGTGTGTGATATTCAGCGCCACGGGCACTCGCTCCTCCACTCCATAGACAATGACTTGGCCATCCCGTACTACAGCATCCGGCCGGCGGAAGTGTTGCAGTCCGGTCATGATCGCGACGCAGGCCGCATCGGTCAAGTTTCCGTCATAATCCAGCACATGCACATCGGCGCGAATACTCCAGCAGCTCACGCCTTTGAGGATGCAAAGCGATTCGGTGTCGAGGGCGTTGGAACGACGGACTACGCTGTCCAGGACGTGGGTGACATAAGCTTCTAGATCATTGGAGCTGTAGTAGAACGGAGAATTGGTTAGCGCAAGTCAAGGATTATACACTACCAAAGCAAATGCAGTCATAAAGCTTACCGGCCATTCTCCCAGGCTGGTGAGCCCATCGCAGACAATTCGAGATTGATTTGGAACAAGCCATCGAAGGGACGGTCATCGCGGGGTTTTGTGACTTCGGCAGAGATGCGGACAACCAAACTAAGTGAAGATTGAGTCAGTCAGTAACCCCCAAGAAGCATTGGAAAGCTTCAAGGTAGCATGGATAGCACCAACCTAGTCTTGCCTAGCTGCAGCTTCACATGTCCATATTCATCGCCAAAGGAAACGCTCAGCGGGCGGAATTGATCGGGGTTGCGGCCATCGAGACGCACATCTTCGCGCAGCGCTTCAAGAATAAAGTCGCGCTCTGCGTTGGAAAGGGGAGCTTCTTTCGACATGATGCGATTAAAGCCTGCACGATCGATCGACGTGGGGATTTCCTTCCATTCCTCGCTTTTTTTGGGCCGCGCCCGTTTCTGCCGCGACTGGCCGCACTCTAGAGAGGTCCTCACCAATCAGCGATCGAGACTCTTTGGCGGTGAATGCACTTCAGGAAATCATCTTGCAACTCTCCCACTCCTCCGACACTCCTCCATTACATTTACTCTCAATACACACCACATCACACACCATGACTACCGGTAGGTGTCTCCAATTAATGTGTTTACCTATAAATGGGATTCCTGACTGACCATTCACAGCCCACAGACCCACCTTCGATCCGGTACGATCACCACGAATACCATACCTATACCCATACCTTCAACTCTATGAACCACTGCTGATCAATATAGGCACAAGGAAAAGAGGCTCTCCGGGGCCCAGCCTACCACCAAAGACTCCTTCCCGCACACACCCACCTGAAAGTCCGGTACGTATATGCGATAGATAGAGGGACGGCATCTCGCAAAAGCATGCTAACGAGCCACCAGACAACCCGGACAAGGTGGTGATGCCGACCACGAAGTTCGCGACCTCCGCGCCGAGCTCCTCCAGGCCGAGGCCGCGCACTTTGCCAAGAAGAACGGTGTCCCTGTGGACGAGACTACCCCCCGAACCAACTGCCCACAAGCGGCAACTGGAATCAACACCCGCGAATGCAGACCTAGACACAGCAAACGGCGAGACGGCGGAAGATCCCGAGGCGAAGCGAAGGCGTATTCTGGAAGAATCGCGTGATATCGATGCGGACTCGGATGGATCGGAAGAAGATAGCAGCGACGAGGAAAGTGATTCCGAGGACGAAGCCGCGGATTTGATGCGCGAGCTGGAGAAAATCAAGAAAGAGCGGGCGGCACAGAAGGAGAAAGAGGTATGTTGATAGGAAGTCTCTAGGGGAGGCGGATATGAATACTGATACTGTCATACAGGAGCAAGAACTTGCCGCCGAGGAAGAGGAGAAGCGCGAGGTTGATATTGCCCGCGGCAACCCGCTGCTGAACTCGCAGGATTTCAACATGAAGCGTCGCTGGGACGATGATGTGGTGTTCAAGAACCAGTCCCGTGGGTCTGAGAAGAAGGATGGTCAGGAGTTTGTTAACGTATGGTCTTCCCCGGATGAAGTCTTTATGGGACATTGTGCTAACTATCATGGGTACTTCTAGGATCTGCTGCGTTCTGACTTCCACAAGAGATTCATGGTATGTTTGTCCTTGCTCGTTCAGTGCACTCGCAAATTCCTAGTTTTGCTAACTTGCTTTGTCTAGTCTAAATACGTTCGATAAAAGCGTGCTCATTCACATTCAATCATGTTCACATTACTAGAGGAGGATATGGGCAGTTCTCTGTTTGAAATACCCTGGCGTATATAGGAAATCAATTTTAACACCAGCAGGTGTATTCAATTAAGTCTGTCTGTGTTTGTATACACAAATTTCCCCTAGGGTACTAGTAGTTGTAGCCTGCCTCCTGCCTCCTCCCTCATCCTCATCCTCATCCTCATCCTCTCCCACCACCAACAACATCCGCCCACTTCTTCCACTTCCCCACCGCTCACACTCACCGCCCACACCGCCCTTTGTTATCAAGATGAAATGTCCCCGCAAATTAAAGACTGGTCTGGAGGACCATCCAGATCCTCTCTCTCAACTGCCTGAGATGGACACCCAGCCAAATGCCAAAGCGCTACACAGTGAGCTAAACCCGGAACCCGAACTCCCACTCTTTTGACCTCGAATCCAGCTAACCACTCATTCCAGCGCGCATCAACACCGATATCTCGCAATTGCTCCAGCGATTCGAGAATATAATGGCCACGGCAACGGTACGGCACAGTCTAACGCCTATCTATACAAGAGAATGAAAACATAGACTGATGCTTCCACAGGCCCAAAATACCACCCACACATCTACAGCTGTTGAAACATATCAACTGGATGTTGAATCCACCGCTCTCGTGAGTTTTCCTGCCCGCTTCTCCCCGTGACCTCTATTCGCAAGTTGCAACTAATCTCACAAACAACCCAGGTCCGAGCCGCGGAGGATATCTTATCTCTCACACGCACCATGAAGGAGATGTGGCTTTTTGGTAAATTGGAAACCATCGGTGAAAATGAGCGTGATATTGAGCGCCGTGAACAACTTGAGAAGAATATTGCGGATATTCAGAAAGCTATCGAGGAGGGTAGTTTGACTAAGCGGGCTTTTCCGGATGAGACGAAGAAGGTGGAGAAATAGGGCCGGGGTGAATCATCCACCTATGTTCAGGTGATCTCTGTGCTGGATTTCTTTCTTCTGTTGAGGAAATTCAGTTTGCATTGGGATTGAAATATCTCCCTACTACGGCGCTTTTGCTTTTCTGGGTTTGGGGATGGTGTTGATTTGGGGGTTGGTGCATTGTTTTTATCTGGGGAAAGCTCTTACTTTTTGAGATGGTTTTTTCTTGTTTTTCAATTGTTACTGTGGACTGTTTGGTCTGTCGAGTATCGCGGTGTCTGGACACTCTCTTTCTTCGTCGGCAAAACGGCGAGCGTTTTGTGGAAATTGATTGCATGGTCTGAGAGGCGAAATGTGAAACTTGATTCGGTCTGTTGACGATTGCTTATCTTATGAATCATTTCACCACTCAATAAACATCATCAAAGACTAACAATACTCCTATACTGAACCACAACTTAGGGTAAGATTTAGTCCGTAGCCACGATTTCTCGGGACTTCGGACTTTCGATGGTGGACTGATTCGGTGTCCCGTATCCAACTCCATTCCAACCCTATCTTTCGGGATATGCTTGCGGTCCACCACTTGCCTGGCCAGTGGGAACATCAAACGCAGCAGCATTATAGCAATATGGATAGAAAGATAGAGATACAATAAGATGTAGATGCCATCAAGGGCTCTTAGAGATCGGTTTATTCAATGTTCCTATATCTCATTTCACGGTGCGTTGATTTCAATGTCTAGCCTGAGGTCTGTATTCCCACCAGGATCTCCCAACCATCAAACCAGCCAAAAGACACCAGAGATATTGAGATATTTTCATCTTCAAGCAGCATTCCCAAGTAGTCCAGTGATATCTTCGATGATTGAGGAGCCGGTAGCGTATTTGGCAGCGACAATATTGGCCTGTACCGAGTTCTCAGTACTATCCGAGGGATATCCCGAAGTCATAACACCTTCATAAAACGTTCCCTGAGCCCAGTTGCTGTTATCACCACCAATACCAAGAATAATAGCACCCTCCTTCTTCATCGGGCTGTAACCGTCTGGATAGGGTCCACTCCAGTATGTTCCAAGCGAACCAGTAGCAGCATTGCCACCACGGATTGAAAATTGATTTGGCTTTCCTTTGAGGACAGCCGTGACAAAACGCGAGGTAATTGATGGGCTGGTCGATGTCACACCAAACTGATTCCCGGAAGATATACCATTCTCAATATCAGCCATAACCCAGGGACCGCTTCCAGTTCCAGTACCATATCCAGTACCAAGGCCGAAGTAGATAGCCTCCATATGGGCATTACCATTATCGTCACTATTTGTCTCCGCATTGCCATAGTCGAAGCAACATTGACCGTTGTAATCTGTTCCATCAAGAACAGCATACAGGCCTTCCGCTCCGTCACCAGTGGCCGTCTTGACAGCGGTATTGCAACGGTATCCCATGCCGGGCTGGATTTTAATACCGTACGCCTTTTTCCCGTTCAACGTGACAGGAGCTCCAGTTGCACTGGCCAGTTTGTCTGGACCTGGCGCTGCACCTCCTCCAGGCGCTTGAGTGAGGTGATTGGCATTACCGGACTGGTCGTAAATTATAGTTACGCTGCAGTCGGTGCCGGCACAGAACTTGTCTTGAGCAGCAGCATTGGCCACTGAGCCAGCAGACACAGGTGAAATATCGGCGGTCTTGCCGTCAGAGGACCGTGAGACTTGGTAAAGCGGCCCTTTATAAGCATCATACAGAGCGCGAGTGGAGCTGTGGGCTGCGACGCAAGGTGTATCGCCATGGCCGTATATATCACATGGACCAGCAGCGACCAGGGAGCCCATGGCAGCGAGGCCTATGGCAAGCCTGAAAGAAGAAGAAGTAGGCATGCTGACTGCCTTGATGTCGGGAAGGGACTCGCTTTGAAAATATGGACAGGAATATTTTGAAAGTGTCTAAACACCCTTTGTTTTCGGGCTTAGGCCATGCTTAAATAGGGACGATGCTGCGGGGTAGTGAGTATGCCTTGAGCAGTTAGTTGGCTTGGCTTTGCATCCCTTTCGGAAATAAACACTTCATTTTTAAGGTAGCATTCTGAAGAAATTAGGGCACGGCCTTTGCGGATATCACGGGGGTCCTGGAATGCTCGCGTGACTTTGGGCACACTCAACGTCGGATGGGCTTCCATAAACTTCAAGTTATTGGAGGGTTTGATGCTTCAACTATTAATCAGGGGTATGTTTTGACAAGTAACAAGATATCTCTTTTTTCTTTCCTTTCTTTTTTCAAAAACCGAAAACCGAAATCGAAATAGCAGGCAGACAAAGGGGCAAAACGGGGGAATACAGCATTGTACATTCAAAATTGGCTTCCATTTTCACACGGAGAAGCAAAATTAAATCTTCACGCTAGAACTGTAGTGTATGTGATTAAACGATATTAGGCTAGATTATAGATCACATTTTCAGTTGCTATATGCTGATATAATTGGTCTGGCGCTTTTTTAAAGCCAAATGTTATAGTGTAAGCCATAGAAGCCACACCGTAAGTGTAAACAAAGAGTCGGTCAGCGGGATTTCAATTCAGCCACCTATAATTCAAGCTTTTAGGCGTTTTTGTCCCGGAGTGTGGAGTGAAGTATAAGCCGTCTCGAAGCTATAAACAAAGATTGCTATACATTCATGCTCATTCCTTAGTACTCGGAATTATAATGTGTTTTTCGGCCAAGCCAGGTTTACCCGAAGTTACATCGTTTTTGAAAGGAAGGATTATGGTCAGGTTGTTTTCTTCCCTCGGTCCTCTCGCAAACTTGTTTCTTTGTGGTCAGGCAGTTTTAATGCGGGGTAACTAAGATCACGATTCCTAGTCTAGCCCGGAGTTAATCGGACGCAAAAGCAGAATGAGAACGGCTTTCACGTAAATCATCCCGGATTACCCTTATTTTCGATATTTTACAGGTTGTCTAAATGAGCCCAACTTGAATTAATGTGCCGGAGTAACATCGCACTAGGACAAGGAGAGACAGAACTGCGAGGGCGGTTCGGCCCTTCCCTAAGTTGATCATAGGGATTCATGCCAGCGGCGTTTTTGGTGGAGATTTTGGCGGCGTTCTATCCTATTCTGATGACATAGTCTATAGCCTCATGCAAAACTAAATTTGTGTCTTCATCATGATTATCGCCATAATCACGAAGCCTTTCACATGTAACCTCATGGTCGAACGGCAAAATTCGGGAACGCTTAAATGAATGCCGGATAGTAGGATCTTTAAAAGTCTACATGCGAGCAACGTGGAAATGACGTATGAAGTCGGCCTTTTATTTGATACGAACCAGCCCGCTGCATCACGGTAGTTGGTAAATGACCATAGAAAAGAAGCAGCTGGTTCAGGCAGGATCGGGCCTTGGGCCGCCGGAACAGGCATAGCAAATGTTTAGGCCTCAACCCCCAGCCTCATTTTCTTTCATCATCCAATTAAATCGGACAACTCTCTTTAAGACCATCTCTCCGCCGGCCTACTGATCGTTATATTGCTTCAAGATTACGGAGTACCCCGCACCGGACAACTGATTCAGGAATTTCCGTGTAGATCTTCCAGCCCCGGGCTAGTCTTCCAGTATCATAAGAGAAAGAGGTATCACCTGCAGCAATGCTATTATTTTCACTCTAGTTTGCAAGCGGGAAACAGAGTTGGTAGCGGTCAGCAGATCTGTGAGATCATCGTGGGTTATATTAGGTAGTTCAGCTTGCCGATCACCGCGGGATTGAGGTGCAGCATGGCGATCCTAGGAAACTCGATCAATCAGACCCACTGAAAAGAGGAGTAGTGTCAGAGCAAGGAATTATGTAACTTGGAGAGGCACTGAATGGAAGAGCAAATTTTAGGGGAAAGTGGTACTCCGAGGAATCATATGAGAGATGAAAGTATTGACATTGTGGACGGAGTTCCTGGTCATCTATAGTTCAATAGTCTACACTAACTTCGTGCAAATACCATTATTTCTTCTTGTATCACACAAATTGCATATTTGGCCTCTCCAACCAATCAAAAAAACTCGTTCGAACCCAATAGCCTGATTTTTCTTTTTCGCTCGAGTCTTTAGATGCTTCCCCTTTTGATGAATCCATTATGACGCTACGCCAAACGCGCGATTCCGCTCCCCGGCCTAGATCAATATTGCCCTCTTCAAAAACCCCACCAGTCTCTTTTGCCTGATTTAAGTAGATATCGAATGCTGTCGGTGATGGAAAGATTGTGAAGTCGCAACCGCGAGAAGCAAGCACACGAAAGAGCTCATCTACTCGGCAGAGTACTTGCTCAAGCCGAGCCTTGATAAGATCACGAGGAGGCAGTGGCTTGCGCGAGAAGATTGTGTCTTTAGTCCATAGGATAAGGACTATTTGCTTACACAAACGAAAATTCATTTATAGGAGGGAAATGACAGCATTGCATGTCTTCCAAGATGCATCTTCTGTGTCTGGGAAAGCGTCGGCAATTGGGTATAGGCGAGGAATATCACAAAAGATTGTAGATGAATGAGTGCGGAATTGACTTCGTGCTGACGTGAACTGTATGGATAACGACACTAACACCCCGCTCTGATGGTCGGTGTTTTCATCAAATGACGAGATTACCGAAAAGCTGCTGGCTGCAAAGGACATTGATGCCAACTTGATCGGCGGATTTGGCCGACTTGACAAACCCTCAGCACCGCTGCACTATGCCGTGACTCACTCGGATACCATTATTTTGAAGCAGCTGCTTGCGGTTCCAGGAATCAATCTGAACGTCTGTGCTGCGAGACAAACCCCCTTTTCTGCCGCTGCTGCTGTGGGCAGAGTAAACACAATGACGATGCTTTTGGGTGTGGACGGCGTGGAAATCGATACAAGTAGAGAGTTGATCGACCCACCTCTATGCCAAGCGGCAGTGGGAGGCTGCTTGGAGGCTGTTAGACTGTTGGTGAAGCAAGGCGAACGGCTCAGAATCAACCAGGGCACCTTGGCAATGCATGACATGGCTCTGAGGATTGCTGCTCGTGCCGGTAGTCTGGAAATTGTCCGGACTCTGTTAGAACACGAGAAGATTGTCCCCGACCTAGAGAACCGATGGATGGAATCGCCGCTGAAATTGGCGGTCAAAGGGACACATGCTCTCGTCGTTGACGCGTTGGTAGCGGTTCAGAGGGTGGATACATATAGCTTGCGAGAGACACAAGCCATCGCAAGGCATGAGAACATCCGAATGGCCATCCTTGACAAGATCGATGGTCACAGAGCTTGCCGCGGACGGATCGCAGCTTCACGGCTGAAGGCACATTGGCCCTTGGCTTAGTGGACGCGGGTCGCCAGCATAGACCACAGAGAAGACGTTAAGATGGTACTGCTTGAGATATCTGTCATGGGCCGCGGAAAAGTGGTCGACTAGCTATAACCCAAGATGTACGGCGTGCACTGGAATGTGAAACCGTGAAAAATAAACTTGTCATCACTCTCATGATATACAAATTCATTCATGAGGTCGATGATTAAGTCCGCTTCGCCTTTTCTTCCCAAGGACATATCGTCTCCCCAGAGTTGATCATGGCGGTTGAAGTCTCCGACGATCATGATTTCCACCACCGTCCCCGTTTCTCGTCGTACCTTTGTGATTGCTTTTCTGAGGCGATCCCAAGTGTCGTCCAACGCCGAGGCATCCCCTTCTTCTACGTAAACTGACGCTATGAAAACCAGTCGCTCGGGAAGCCGGATGACCGTCGCTGTCAAATCCAGCGACCCGATCCGCACTTGCTCCTCTTCTACATTCTTATTGACCCAAAGCATGCTTCGGACTCCCCATCTGCCTCTTTCCCAGGTAGAAGGGACTATCTTTGTCCATTTTGGATGCCCCATCGGAGTTGTCAAGAGCCGGCCTTGAATGCTCCTCGCTTGTGGTTCCTGAATCGCTAACGCCGCTGCCCCCTGAGTTTCTTCGTCGTTCATTAAACTCTCATGCACTGCTCCCTGTTTTCTCACGTTCAGTTGGATTATTCGGAGTGTTTTATTCATGACTTGACGGGTAAAGCTTCCGGCAGTTTTCGCTGTACGATTCATGTGGGCCTCCGCATGGAGCGCACTTTGGAACCGGTTGGGCGCAGTTACTATAGCGATGGCCCTCCATGGCGTATTTGGCACACCTCTAGACGTTATTAATAAGCGGGCACATAGAGGTGGAGCTGTAGTGAATCGTCTTGCTGTGCGACTGAACTCTCGGAAATCATTTTTGATCGGATCTCTCTGTAGCCGTGGAAATCCGGGAAATCCAGCCTTAGAGCTCAATGCGGCCAAAATTGATCCCCTTGCAACGCACTAAGCTACCACTTTTAACGTGTTTGGCGAGTCGGAGAGTCAAACCAGGGAATCGACCTTTCCAGGCCACACCACCCAAGACACGCCAAGAAACACCAAGGCTAGCCAAAATCGGCGCTACTGTAGTGTCATTTGTCGATTCATTGGTTGGTAGATTCAACCCTGCCAAGCCGAAGTGGGCTGCAATCCATCGTTTAGCGAAAGCAGTGGAGATTGCGCTTTAGCCTCATTCGAATAACCCCTAATCTTAGGCTGCTCTAGCATGCGGTGGAAGCGAAGGTGGTGATGGATGATGAATGGTGTATATAATGGATCACTTTGGACTCCATAATATAGCTATTCTTTTTTTATTCTTTTTATCCTCATTTCAGCTGCAACCATGACCGGACTGAACGTCTCCGTTTCTGCGGGTTGGTATACCTACACCAACCTGGGTCCTATCACAACCACCTTCACTCCAGCTCCCAGCTGCACTACGTCTGGCCGTGTTGCAGTGGGCTATATGAACACAGATGGTGGTAATCTGTACCTCGAGTATTACACGGAGCCCATTAAAGGGCTCAGCTTCAGCGGATGTACGCCAACATCGACACCAAGCATCACCGCTACACCAACCTCGACCGGGTATTTGACTTCGGAAGAGCAAGTTTCTGCCTTCTTAGCCGAACGGATAAGCTGGAGGGCTTACGGTCAATACTACTCTCCTGCCATGTATTGTCCCTCGGGATGGGAGACAATTGGTATGGTCGGACTCGATGCCAGCAGCTCGCTTACTTCGTCGGGCATTTATATTCATACTACGGCTACTACTACTACTCAATCATACAGTACAGATGACGTGTACTACTATATGTTCAACTACGAGGATAAGGCTTCCGTTCTGAAAGATATTCTTAAGCCAAAGGAAACGATGGCTGCGTGTTGTCCCAGGTAAGTTCAGTTATCCACAAAACTCAGATGGATAATATCTCATTAGAGGAATATTGCTAAAAATCTTTGCAGTGGTATGATAGCAGACTCGACGGGTCTTTGCTACTCTCTCGTCAAGGACTATAAACCATCCGTCGGCTACCAGGTTGCCGTAGGATACAACTACCAATATGGCACGACCACGAAAGTATTGACCGAGACAAGCGGCACTGATACAATCACCAAGACTCGATACCATGAATATGAAACGGGAACTACATATCAGACAGACACATACACCGCAACTTTTGACCGGGCAGAGCAGTCTCCCCGCTACAGCGCATTCTCTTACGCACCTGTCATCACAATGCTGTACCATGAGTCTGATTTGCACTCTAGGTCTGCAACATCGTCGGCTACCGCTGATTCTACAAGTGCTACCAATGCGGCGGGCAGGGTCTCAGCTGTCACGTCGATTTGGAAGGGACTTGGCTCCGTCGTGGGAGTTTGGGTTGCTGCGTCTGCCTTGGGGGCTGCTATGATCCTTCCATGGTAAAGATGCGTGTATTATTCGATAAGACTTCAGTTGAAGGAAAAGCGTATAGTACAGGGCTGCTGTTAAGAATATCCCTTCTTAAATCTAAACATATCTCTAGCTCATCCAGGTTTTTGTATCGTACTAGTATTCATGAATCGTGGATTTTGAAGAGTAACCCACGCTCCATTGGGTCATTCCGCTGCGTTGGATGATCCTTAACGCTGCTCGGATCTCTGCTATCCATCATGTCCTGAATTCGTTGCTCGACGCCAGGTTTAGAGTAAGCATCATAATGTTTTCTTGCCTTGAGCTTAGGAGGTCGCCCAAGTGCAACATGGCCAAGCCTCTCATGTCCTGTGGAATCGTCAATCCAGCCTAGCGTCTAGTCCAGGTTTGGAACGTTGTCTAAGTCCCCGCCAAGCGGAGAGGGACCTTCTCGTAGATACTTGCTCCAAGCCGCATCATCGTTAAAGAATCAAGCTTATCGGTCCAGCGAGGGACTAGCACTGACGCCTCGCAGCGGGTCGCGTATAACACATGTGATACACCCAAACTGAAAGAAATATCTAAATGTAGCCAGATACCTCGCGACTTGTTGATTGAAAAAAGTGACAGCCGAAGCAACCGGCTGGCCGTGTGCTTCGCGAGACTGCTTCTGCCGGCGAGTTCGTGCCCCTCGGTGGTGACATCAAGGAGGCATTCGGTCGGCTTGCGGCTGCATTGAGCATGGCATCGGGGGGAGAATAGCCAACTTTGTTATAGCGACTTGATAACATGGTCAGCTGGCTTCCAAATTAATCTAGTGATGAGAACGTACTTGCCAGCTTCGTTCATGAACTAGGCCATGGTGGCAGCTTTGAATCGCCACTTGCATCGGACACAGCCAGAGAGATTTGACGTTGAATACACTCGATCTAGCATCGATTATCAGCAGCTGGCTCAAGATGGGTGTTCGGGACTTACCTTGCTCACGCCCTAGATGAGATTCCCATTAACAGCCACAATACACTATCCCGATCGGACTCTTGGGAACGGCCGAACCAGGGCTATTTTCCACTGCCTATGTCAGCATGATTTCTGGTGACTAAGGGTGGCACAAATTGACGTCAATGTAGTCTGGCATCATCATAAGCAGACAAGGGACGAGGTAGCAGGCATTAGCTGGATAACACGTGCACGAGGGCCCGGGATCACTCCTGACCATGGGGGATGAATGTGGGCCATGTCCTCCGATGCGTAGCTGTTTCGTCTTTGCTGTTCGTATGCCAGGCAAACCTTCAGCCGTGGCAGGAAAAAGTGCCACTGGAGGAGAAATTCATCGTATTTGGTCTAGGGTTTACTGAAAATCGACCTGTTTGATATTGTTTGTCCTCTGTTTACTGCTAGTGATACTCTTGTCGAAACTTATACAGATTGCTGTGCTTGCTTGTCTGACGAACCTTCTTTATGTTCTACGGATATCCCTACTAGCGTCTTTGATATATTCGTTTGTGGTACTCCTGTTGTAACAACTAGTACTGTTATAACAGTTACAGCTACACCTTGTGTTACTGTGGTTGTTGGGTTGGTTGAGTAACTGTTTAGCACAGTTGTCTATTGGTCCTCAATGTAGGCCTCTTCTTCATGCCCTGGCTGAGAATGCGCATATATTCAATGTTCTTGTATACATGCTCATCCAATCATCAAACCTTACCCTATACTTTGCTACGTAATTTGGTATGTATATAATTGGCTGATCCTAGCGGAAGTATATGTGTCTCTTTCCAGTGCCTTAAAAAATAAGTGTTCGACTTTATTGTTGTCGCAACTACGCTTCCCTTTTCGTACTTGTTTCGTTTCAGGGCCACAGCGTGCGACAGCGCGCGTCACCAGTTCTTAGAAAAGATTAATTACAAGATTTTCTCATTACGGACTAGCCTGGTTTCGGGTACGGCCCGAGAAACCAAACGTATGTGTCTAGAGAGGGGAAACTGATTTCGACTCCTACTGTATATATAAGAACCCATGGAGGACCGTATACTGAGGTTGACGAGGCAAACAGAGGTGATTTGTTGAAGCCGAACGTATATAAAATCATTGTTGTGTGTGCCGAGCGGGCGCTAGCGGTGAACGGATGGCGGACCCACCCACGGGGCCTCCCGAGCCCCTTCCAACCAGGAACACGCGACGGTCGGCGGCGATCGACGCAGGAGAAAACTCTGAACCAAGGGACGCCCCTCGTACCAGGAGGCAAACACGCCTAGAAGAAGACAACAGCCATGTGACTTGGACTACTACAGAGCCGGAAAGCGCAGTGACCAGCAGTGGACGTGTGACAACCAAAGAGATTCGACAAATTATTGAACAACTGCAACACACCATTGACAAGCAAAGCGTGCTGATCCAGGCTACCAGAAACGAGCTTCGCGAAGTGAAACACAGCCAGAGCGAGCTACAGACCCAGAATGAGACGCTACGGGAAGAGATCCAAGCGCTGCGAACACAGGTCGAAAGCCTAAAGACACCGCCTTCGGGCCGATCGTGGGCGGCGGTTGCTGCAGACGTCAACAATTCGGACCCTCATGAGAACAGTCGACACAGAAAGAAAGAAAAGAACTGCGTCCGAATCAGCACTCGCCAGACATCAACCGACGCACTTGAATCAGAAGACAACGAAAACACCTTTGGACGATACCTACCTACCACGGAAGCGAACACCCACATCCGGAACGCACTATCAAACGACCCATCCACGCAAGATGTACAAGTCGCGGGAGTCGGCACCACTCGAACGGGATACATCATTCGATTTAAGGACTCGGAGTCGGCAGAGGCGGCCCGCTGCAACACTGAATGGCTAAGGGACCTAGGAAACGAGACCAGGCTGGTGAGACCACGGCACGGAGTAGTTGTGCATCACCTCCCTACCCACGGATTGGACCTCGAGAAGGATAAAGCAGGTGCTATCAAGAAACTCACAAACGAGAACGATCTCGCTGCTCGCGACTTCCGAATCGAAGATATCGCGTGGCTCAAGAAACGGGACAAGAACCTGGGGACGTTCGCCTCCATAGGCATTTGGTTTGATTCGGCAGAGGCCGCGGAATGGATGGTTGACAATGGACTGCTGATTGACCGGCGGTACATTGGGCGCATAGAGAGATACAAGGCTAAAGAAGGACGATGCTTCCGATGCCAACGGTTTGGCCACCAGGCGTGGTCCTGCAAAGAAAAGCAGCGCGGTGCGGACACTGCGGTGGCCCTCACGAACGATCAAGATGCCCACCCGGAGTCAGAGCACGGTGCTTAGAATGTAGTGGTGAACACCCAACCGGGGATTCCCTGTGCCCAACGCCAACCGGCCCTCTCGCCCCGCAATGTTAGGGAAACCTCTCCGAATCCTACAATTGAACATCATGAAATCGAGAGCGGGCATGGAGGCCCTCATAAACGACCACCAGAGCGAAAATCTAGACATCCTCCTAATTCAGGAACCACCAATCACTGCATATCGAACACATGTGAACCACAGCGCATGGCGACTATACAAACCAACAATCGAAGACGGCTCAGCTCGACTGCGAAGCCTCATCTATGTGAACCGTAGGCTCTCAACGGCCTCTCACCAACAAGTGCAATGCGACCACCCAGACCTAACAGCAATTAAGATCTGGACGGCCGAACTCCAGATCCTGGTCTTTTCGGTCTATATCCCACCCGTACCGATGCACAATCCCGACGGAACATCGGCAGAGACGACTCTATCCGCGATCCACCACACGATTCAGGAAAATACTCAAAACAACAGAAGGCCCACCTGTCTTATCCTATCTGGAGATTTCAACCGCCATCATCCGGCATGGGGGAACAACAACATCCAACCCCGCTTCGTTGAGGAAGCCGGCGAACTGATCAATTTCTTCCACGAACATGGTCTGCAGGGATGTCTCCCTCGAGGAGTCTCAACCTACTGGTCGCTGAGCCACCCGGGAAGAAGGTCCACGATTGACCAGACAGTGACGGATAAATCTGAGTTACTGCTCAAGTGTCATCTTTACCACGATAACTACGGCTCGGACCACCGGGCCACATACTCAGAGTGGAGCCTCCAGATACATCGCAACAACAATAAACCTCCAAGAAAGGCCTACGACCGCGCAGACTGGGGGAAAATTGGGAACGAGGTCATAAGTCTCATGGGGAAACAGACCGAGATGCACTCAACCCACGCACTCGATATGGCCGTGGAAAACCTCACTAAGACCACTGCGATCGCTGTCGACAGACACACGCCCGATCAGCGACCCTCCCCTTACGCTAAACGATGGTTCACGGCCGATCTCAAGGAGCAACAGAACAAAGTAAACCGCTTGCGACGCAGATGGCAGGCGAGATGTGCGGAAGCAGGACGAAACGATCCCCACAGCATGGCACTTTTCCAGGACATGCGCCAGTCGCGGCGGGCGTGGACCCGGACGATCGAAGAAGCAAAAGCATCACACTGGAAACAATTCCTTGATGAGGCCGGCGAAGGGAAGTTATGGAAGGCCGCGTCGTACATGAAACCACGGGAGGCGTGGGGTTGCGTCCCAACGCTCCGGGTCGGCGACAGGGAGGTGGCTGATAATCCAGAAAAGGCGCAAGCTTTCATGGACGCATTCTTCCCGTCGATGGCGCCCGCCGAAGACGAACAGCTGCCTAGACCCCCAGCCGAAATCCCATGGCAACCGATCTCAGAGATCGAGATCTACCGATCGCTCAGTACTGCAAAACCATCAACAGCGCCAGGTGAAGACGGTCTTCCCATGTTAGTCTGGAAACGTCTCTGGGATTACCTCGGGAGCATCATTACCAAGATTTTCACGGTGTCGATCGAACTAGGATATCACCCCCAGGGGTGGAGATGCGCCCAGATCGTAGTTCTGCGGAAACCAGGAAAGCCAGACTACTCGCAACCAGGAGCCTACCGCCCCATCTCGCTCCTCAACACGCTTGGAAAGTTATTGGAAGCAGTGGTCGCCCGACGGTTGTCCTTCTACGCGGAGCAGTACGGGCTACTACCGGACACTCAGTTTGGAGGCCGACCAGGACGCACCACCGAGCAAGCCCTTCTAGTACTTGCCAACGCAATCGACAAAGCGTGGTACAAACAAAAAGTGGTGACGCTAGTCGCCTTCGACCTAAAAGGGGCGTTCAACGGAGTCAACCAGACAAGCCTGGACGCTCGTCTCCAATCCAAGGGCATCCCTTTGGTTGCCCGACGATGGATCGCGAGCTTTATGAGCGGACGCCAAGCCAGTATCCGGTTCGATGACTACCAGACCGAGGTAGCACCGCTAGACAATGCCGGGCTGGCGCAGGGCTCTCCACTCTCGCCCATTCTGTTCACGCTCTTCAATAATGATCTGGTGGACCAGCCCGTAGATTCCAAAGGCGGAGCTTCGGCCTTCATCGACGACTATTTTCGCTGGCGAGTTGGCTGGAGTGCAGAGGAGAACCTAGCCAGAATCCAGTTTGAAGACATACCACGCATCGAAGCATGGGCCCGGAGGACCGGATCCTGCTTCGCGGCCGAGAAAACTGAACTTATCCACATCACTCGCAAGAGAAAGGAACAGTGCCAAGGGGAACTGATCATGAATGGCAAAGCAGTCAAACCATCCACAACGGCCAAACTACTGGGAATTATCTTCGACCATGAGCTACGATGGAAACCACACGTACAGCAGGCGGTCAAACGAGCTACAAAGGTCAACCTCGCTCTTGGTGGACTACGGCATTTACGCCCAGAGCAGATGCGTCAGCTCTACGAAGCGTGTGTCGCACCGGTCATTGACTATGCGTCTACCGTCTGGCATGACCCACTCCGAGATAAGACGCATCTTCGGCACTTACGCACCGTACAGCGGACTGCGCTCATCCGCGTTCTATCGGCATTTCGAACGGTGGCCACAGCTGCGCTGGATGTAGAAGCACACGTCCGGCCAATCCATCTTCGACTACGCTTCCGTGCACAGAATACCATTACAAGACTCCACACCCTGCCCCAAAAACATCCTATCTGGAGCACCCTTCTTCGGGCCCAGAGAAGGCGGGACAATATTGGATCATACGCCAGGTTCCCTCTAGCAGAGGCGTTGAAAACAATGAACTTGGAGAGACTGAGAGAAATCGAGATGATTGACCCGACCCCGCTCCCTCCATGGAGACCGGAGGGGTTCGCCAGAATCGAAATAGAACCTGATCGAGAGGTCGCAATAGAGAAAGCGGAAACGGTACGATCCATCTCGGACGTGATGATCTACTCAGACGCCTCGGGGCGACAAGGTCATCTGGGAGCTGCAGCCGTCGCGATCGACGAGAGGCAGCAGACAACTGACAGGATACAAATACAGGTGGGCAGTATGGACCGCTGGTCGGTCCATGCGGCAGAGCTCATTGGGATTCTATACGCTATCAATATCATCAATCAAGTCGCGGTTCGACGTTGGACAGCATCGCACGCGCGGGTGAGATCCGCCACGATCTTCAGCGACAGTATGTCGGCACTGCAAGCTATTCGAAGACCGGGGAACAAGTCGGGACAGCAGATCATCCACGCCATCCTACGAGCAGCCGAAACCACCAAGAACCATGGTACAATGATTCGACTACAATGGATCCCCGGTCACTGCGAAATACCGGGGAACGAGATCGCCGATCAGCTTGCTAAAGAAGCCGCCATCCCGGGCAAGACACACCCGTTCAGTCCCTTGATATCACGCGAGAGAGCACATATCAGGCAAGTTATTCAGGACCAATGGGCAGAGGAATGGAAAGGGTCGAAGACTGGCAGCCACCTGCGCCGGATTGACAACACCTTGCCAGCCAAGTACACACGTGGCCTCTACGGTTCCCTCCCGAGGAACCGGGCTTATCTACTCACCCAATTGCGAACTGGCCACTGCTGGCTATCAACATATGCAAAGACGTTTCGCTTCCGCGACAATGACCTATGTGTCTGTGGCGAACGCGAGAGTGTAAGCCATGTTCTGCTAGACTGTCCAGAGCTGAGAGCACTTCGGCGAGAGCTCCGAGAAAAGGTCGGCGAGGCGTTCAACAGCATTTCAACCCTACTAGGAGGGTCTGGAGGAGAGGAGAGAGGTAAGGTTAGCCATGCTTCGAAGGCGAAGACGGTGGAAGCCGTCTTGGACTTCGCTGAAGCATCACAACGGTTTCAAAGCCGAGCACCATGAAGACAACATGAGAACGAAGGGCTAGGGAGCCACGAAAGGCTTCGGCGAGGCATTAAGGTCGCTTAGGAAATTAGACACGGCAATTACGAAGAGACACATGTATATAGTTGTTGAATCCTGCATATCGTTCGCGAGGGGTCGGGGTAAATGAAAAAAAAAAAAAAAAAAAAAAAAAAAAAAAAAAATACTGTATATATAAATTCAATAGTAACAGAGACAAAATATTCAAAATGAGTGACCGTGTAACATATACCTCCCCTATTCCTGCAAGACCTTCAACATGTGTACATCCACATCCACATCCACATCCACATCCACATCCACATCCACATCCACATCCACATCCACATCCACATCCACATCCACATCCACATCCACATCAGCCAAAAACCAAAATCCAGAAGCAAGAATCTAAGGATAGTAAGGGGTGACGATTAGCTCACCAGTAAAATTACAAACCTGCGTTCCATCTTCCTTAAGACATCCCCACTGGGAAGCATCAGCATTAGAACCCAAAGCCACATCAATTTCTTCTGCACCCCCAGTACGCTTGATAACAAAGCTCAACCACTTCGGCTCCTCATAGTTAACACCGTTGGGGAACTCAACAACATAGTTGTGATCGGCTGACCAGCTGTCGGCGGGTGGCTGTCCGGGGCGATCCCTTCAAGTGAGCGTTAGCCACTTTTGTCAACAGAAAAACGGGGCAATTGAGAAACGTACCAATTCAGGCTTACGCTGGTGCTGTCGGAGTAGTTTGGATCCCATATAGAGAACTGAACGGAGCCCTGCTGGTCCGAATAAGTGGCCTTAAGACCAGTGATGGTGACAGGTTGGCCAGTACGCTTGGTAGGCACAGCGAGGGCACCGGTAGCGGCAAGGCAAAGGAAGGAAATGGTTGCGGCCTTCATTTTTTTTTAAATTATTAAGCAGTATAAATGCGTTTGAGTAGAAGTGGAAGCGATTGATAATTGAATTGACTTTAATTGTTAATAAAGCTGGTTATAAGCGGGTATGGGCATCTTTTATAATGTGGAATTCAGGCCCTCAACATAAATCCGACTCCAATTCGCAATGTGTATGGCTTTATGTTGCCGTCAGATTTATCGTATATGTCTCAGTCCATCTTACCAGCTGTAAGCTCTATTCGCTCTATAGTCACGCGGCATCTGCTCTGGGGATCCTGATACTCATCAGGCCCCCAAAAGGAGAGACAACCTTAAGAATAAGCCAGTCTCTCATTGGCCATGTTTTTAACAGTGTTTATTTTCGGCAAAAAGCATGGCAATAACCTATTGACTACGGCTATCGAAATTCGAAAACAGTTTTCCTTCCCAACACAATCACACGGTTTCTTTGCTTGTACCTGAATCCACGCCGACTTATTGGTTTACTCCATAAGTAACCCTTGCTTAGTCGTATCGCGTCTTTTTACGTTTGGGAATTTAGATCTCGATGAGTCACTGTAATTTGTTGAAAGATCCTACAGAAACCGGTAGAATGTCTTAGATATAGTCCTAAACAAGAGGAAGGGAGCGCACAATCAAGTGTCCCCGTGCTCCTCAACAGCATTTCGCTTCGTGAAACTCCTATAGCCAGAACTAAACCCTGAACCTTCCGGTGGCGCACCAAAATATTTCATTGAATTTGCTCTAACGCAACGTAAGAGAACCCATTTGACGAATGCTCGACAGACTTCACAACCAACGTCCTCGGAGCCCTAACCCCGTCAAGTTCCATCACCGCTGCGATCGCCAGGTCCGCACCGTCTTCTGCTCCGGCTTATCTGGCGTATGAGTCAGATCACTCCGTACCTCGAGAATCGATGTCGGCTATATCTTCCAATATACAGCCGTTTCATATTTGCTGTTCGTACACCGAGCAGATCTTCAGCCGTGACAGGAAAAATTACCACCAGGGGAGAATTCAGGGTATTAGGTCTCAGGGCAAAGGTGGAACTGACCTGGATACGACTGTTCTCGTAGCGCGAGATCTGGGGTAGACCCAGTGCTACAGCTTAGCTTGTCGATTGCTCGGCTAAACCGGGCATGACAGAGCTATCCGTCAGACTATGGTCGGGAGCTCAATTCCTTCTTGGTTGGTTTATTATCGGAAAGATCATGATGTTACTTGGTGGTTGTCCATGCCTGGCTTCTCTTCGTATCGCCGGATGCTGCGACAGCTCACTCGGCCTAGCATGGGATGATGCTGTCGCCAAGCTTCGGATCGGATAGGGACAAAAGATACAGGACAAGAGATGTAGACAAGAGTTGTAGGTCCGTCGGGATACGGAAGCTAAAGTAATGACAGTTAACCTTTGGTCGGACTGGATGAAGCCGGGGGAGATAAAATATGTTTGAACTCTACCACGTTCTGATCGAAGTGTACTGGGTCTCTCTTAATCGTTCCCGTCAACATGAGCGAAAAGGGCGTCTTGAGCAGCTGTCTTGGAACAGCGTAATAGAAACGCACTGGGATTCATTGGACCAGCCCGACGTGCATCCTTAGTTTTGAGGACTAGGGGGAAGTACGACTCAGTCGTGGCGAGTGCCATCATTCTATGACAAGAAAGAAGCATCAGCGATCTTTTCTGGTTGGCAGAGAGCACGACAAGATAAAATCTAAAGTAAATATAATCTGCATTGAGATCCAAAATACAGCCCCGGCCATAGGAATAGGCAGAGGCAACGCACCTGGGTGATTAAGAGCAGATCGAGCGGCTCGTGATCGAAAGTTTGCCTTTTCATGTAGGAGGCTGTTAGTACAGGACGAATACTCTCCGTATTGCTGCCGATAAAACCTTACGTCGAGCTATTGCTATTAGCTGTTAGTAACTGGGTGGCCGTTATCCGGTTAGATCCGCTTTAGTGTGTCCTCAAGCCAAAGCTTCCCCATAAAAGACCCGAGCACCAACCTCACTTTTTCACGAATGAAGATATCTTCGATCCAAATGTGTGGATTGATGTTTGGGATTAACGACCCAGGAATAGCTTCAAATCATGCCTCACCTGTCCATATAGAGTCCCATCTCCCAACTGATAATGCCGAACATATGACTCTTCACACCGAAGCGTCAGCTCGTCAGCCTCGCCCATCTTTAGATCAGGCGCCCAGCCCATGATCGACAGGCTGATGTGTTGCTTCAATCCAAATGCAGGGGCCAAATGAACACACACCAGTCATTGGCAGATGGAAACTCCACCCACCAATCAAACATAGACTATCCCCTCAAACCTGCAGGATGTAGGCTATGAAATTATTGCAGTGCAACCATCAAGTTAATTCCCTCATGTGAACTACCATCAAACTACATACTAGAAATTAGGTCCAGGACCCCTGTCTTTTCATCGTTATCTGAATTGAAAATTAGCAGAACCAATAACTGGATGCACTTTCATGCCGTAAACCACTACATAGACTATATTTTCTCGATCTGCATATCAAGAATAAGCAAGACTCGGTAATCAAATGCTTAGTATAGAGGCGCATTAGGTGATCCGAGCTGAGACCCCGCATATAAACATACAACGTTGATTGCGGTATAGAAAATGCCGCTGACATGCATTGGTATACCCAGGTTTGTACGCTGTGCTCAGGCAAAACGACGGAAAGCCAGATTTTTTCTTTGCACGCCGTGGAATGATTATGTTGATCATGCGGGGTTGGAATTCATTTTACAGCACTGCCCATCGGCCTTACGTTTTTCTTGCCTAAAGAGGAGTTAAAGGTATCTCCACTTGCCAATCTGGCAAAGAAGGAGTTGTCAGACGGACATGCGGCTCTCTTTAACGGGGTTAGATTGGTTGACAAGATGCCGATCCGTCTTTTTTACACTTATGCCTGACAATTATCTAGAGAATTCCAAATATCCCTTTGGCCTTCACGTCCCCATACACACCTACATGAACCAAAAATTTTCAGCTACTGTCTATTCCCTCTTATATTATAGCCCGGTATTTGCCCGAAACAGGATAGATTTTCATCGAATTATTTCTTGACACAAGTATAAAGATGCGAGGAATTCCGTCTCAGAGAGTCTTTCTCAACCATCTTCATCATTGCAAACTTTTTATTATTTCCAAACCAACGCTCTACTACCAATCAAATAAAACCATCCATTATGCGTTTTATCAGCTTCACTCTTACTACTCTCATGGCCAGTGCCTCGATGGTCATGGCTGCCCCGGCCGATTCCAATGGAGCCGCTGCTAAATGGACCTGTCCTAATGGATGGAAGTACTGCGGTGTACGTTGACCATTGAAAATATTACTTTTATTGGATTCCCTATTAATCAAACAAACTCACAGACGTGCAATGGGACCTCTTGCAAGATTGCGGGATATAACTAGTGAGTTTCATGAGCCCTGTTACGTCCGACCTTTACATGTACTAATAGATGGTTCTAGTGGGTGCGAAGCTGGTACTAGCGTAAGTACAAAGTTCCAGTGTCCTATTATACCCAAAAGTAATATGGTTTTAGTGTGTCGGAAATGGTGGCGGAGATGGTGCCCTCTGTGGTAGTGGTGGATTCGGTGATCAGGTCTGCCCGGTGAAGAAATAGGATTTAAGGCTTTTTGACCTTTTATGTGCAGTAATTTTCAGAGATAGGGATTTCAAGCAGTTTTGAGTTCGCTCGTCTTGAATCAATTTTTATGCCATTCGTTCATTCATAATTTCATTATCTTTAGAAGTTCAATGTTTGATCAAACAACCTGCAGAGATATAAACGGAGCCTCGTCAAAGCTCTCCGGTATGGTATATGTAACATTGAAGAAACTGAGCTCATTAACCTCCTGTACCATGTTGTAGATGATGCTGCAGTTCGATAGCGCGTTTGTTTTCACCTTGAGATCCAATCCAGGAAAGCCTTCCAGCCTGGTAACATTGGCCCCGTGATTGACCCCAAACCCACTGAAAAGGAAATTAAATAAAGACGGGCCATTTTCTATAGTCGTATTGGGGTACGGAATATACAGACCATTCAACAGCATCAATTGAAGACTCGGTCACCCAGTGGGTACTGTAACGCATCCCACCTGCTGATCATCAATTTCCCACTGAATAAGAGCTGGACTAAACTCAATGATATTCTTTGCGGGTCCTCCGACAACGAATTCCGCAATTGACTTTGCGGAAATTGTCAAATCTTTCGACATGCAAGTCGTGATGTTGCGGGGATAAGTATCAAATGGCGGCGAGTAGGCTTTAGCGGTGTAGAAATGATCACCCGGGAATTTGATGAGGCTTGATTTGGACTTGGGAGATAGGTACTTCAGCATCCCAGACATAGCAAGTGCAAAAAGCGGATAGAGTAGAAAATCTTCTTGGTGTTCCATCCCCGAGACTTGTCGTGGAAAAGGTGCGTGTTCTCTACCAACTGCATCCCAGATAACGGCAGCTGTGAAGGGTGCGTATGAAGTCATGTCATCCCGTACGTGCGGTCCCAGGGACCAGTCGTATTTTTGAGATTTGCATTGTAAAGCTGCGCAAGCTCATCCCAGTCGGCGGCCGAGATTTCTGGGGCGTACACACACACACACAATTCCTTAACGCCCGGCGGCTGAACCGAAAGGGCAAGTATCACTGATCTAAATATACATGCCTTAGCTAATACTGTACCTCCTTGGAGCCCATACAACATTCCTTTCAGTATATGTCATCTTAGGTGTCAATAGCTTAGCGGGACCTTATAGATTAGTGTTTGGTTAGTAGACTTGCTTGGAGACGCTTCTCCAAGTATTCAACATCCTATCCTCGGCAATTAAAGCGCGTCTACTGTCCCTAGCACGAGATAGTTAATATAGGTTAGTTTGGGGGGGATGGGTTCGTTTGTGTTGGTCGACATAGTCAAGTAGCGTCAAGTCGGCCCGTAGCGATTACGAATCGTATAGAGGCTCGCACTGCTTCCAAGTTCGGCTTCCAATTCTGATTATTTAAAGGCGATCTCCCGCCCAAAAAGAAAGATATATTGCCTCGTCGGGTATGGGTACATTGCAGCATTTCCGTCCAGTGTATGGTCCACCTCTGACATCGATAGAGAAAGTGCTCCACGGTCTCTCTTGCTTGTCTACATGTATATCGATCTGTCTCTGCAACGTTAATCCGATAGAGGTATCCATTTAGTCTGGTCATGCTAGCCCGGAGTTGGGCCAGCACGCTCCCTTCTTTCTACAATAATCGACTATACAGCTTTCGGGTGTGCTTCCCTGGCAGAGCTGCATCAACACGTTTAGAATGTCTGCCTACGTTCTCCGGCAAGCCCTTGCTGGTGACTGCCCGTGAGATGTTCAGGGTGGTTAACTTCATTCTGGGGACTTATGCTTAAGGGGTAGCATCCTCTTGTGTCACGGCTCTGGCCTGTTCTTTTGCCAGGCCTAACAATTGGTTATGCTTGCTGGTTGGAACCTGGCGGATATCCATTCGGGTTTCGTGTCTTTGTAGTCTTTGGATCAACTTATAAATCTGGCAGATGGGTTTCTGGCCCGACTGCTGTCGGGGATTCTTCAGCGTAAGTGCCGCCGCTTTGTTGCTCGTGAGCAGCGTAATCCTGTACCGTTTGAGTCCCTGTAGCGTGCTCAATACGTAGGCTATTGCTGCCAACTCCCCGGAGTATAGGTTCTGCTCTCGCCTTGCACCCAGTGTGACGGAGAAGGTCTTCAGTCTCGGTTTTCGATACCGAGGTAGCTGCTTCTCAATCGCCACTCCAAATCCTACTAGCTCGTTCCGCACCGAACTGCTGACCGCGATCCGCATAACCCCGCCCGTTTCGGTCTGTGTCTCTGGTAAATCCTAACCATCGCCCTGTATACGTTCTTCCTATGGTACCGATGTAAATAGATTAATAGTTTCCAGTGTTTCCTTCTCAATAAATTCCAGCGCGCCTGTGGCCTCATACAATGACGAACGGTAAAATTTTCTGAATTTCTTGATCTGAGCTGTACTCCTGCGGAGAGGATTGGTTACTGGTAGGGTGTGCATGTCCGTCCACATCTTCACGGCTCGTCTCCATTGCCGGTATTGCACTGTGGCGATGTGAGCCTCCGCTTCCGCTACGCTGGTCGCAACTGTGAGGAATGTCCCGATAATCGCTTGCGCTCCCACACGTTGGACTCAGTTGATCGATCCGATGTTCTTATTCTTGAAAGCATGCATCCAGACATTGGAGGCATAGTCCATCACCGGAGCCACGGTCGCTGTGAAGAGCTGTCGCTGGGGATAGACCGCGAATTCGTCGTAGCTCCATCGCGGCCTCCAGACCCTTGGAGGCTGTTGGGGGCGGACTGTAAAATGGCAGTTTCTCTGCGTCGAATGTAACTCCTCTCCTCCTTTCCCAGTCGAGCGCGTCATTGACGATTGCTTCAATATTTTCCAAGTCGTCCACGAAAGCAACCGCTCATCCCTGGCCATCGATCTGCCGCTGCCCAAAAGGCATTAAGTAGCTTCGACAGGTCTACTTACATAGACCAATACCCCAGTTTTTCACCCGACAATTGAGGCCTCTGGACTCTTGAGGCTTACCAAGCCTCTCACCCTGGATGTCTCTTAGCTTGCCCCTTAACCATACATCATAGGCTGGCAAACTAGGACGACACCCTTCAACCGACCTAGGTTAGTCTCGGGCCCCCAGGGCGAGTGAGCTAGTTGGCCACCGTCTCTTTGTACATGGGCACGCGCATCCATCCTCTTGGGCTATACAGACAGACTCTTGGCAGGACCTAGCCCTGCCACAGTGGCTGCCATTGTACACCACACCCCAGCAGAGCTCACGCTCTCGTTTCGCGTTACCTAGGAAGTTCTCCCTCCACTAGGCCGACCGTTTATTGTAGAGAGCCCTTATATACGCTCCAGCCGGCAGTGAATGTTGGTCGCTCTTTAGTAACTAAGCTTGGTCCACAGTGACTGAACAGGGCCGATAACTTACCTGTGGCTTCGCCTTAACGAGGTCTTCAGTGACCGACGTCTCCGAGCCTAGCGAGTTCGAGTCTTAACGAGGCCCGTGGGCCTTGAATGAGGTCTCTCCGATGTTAGCTTGACTGCCTGCGCCACTAGGTCACTATTGCCTAGCCACATCTCGCACGACGCGATACCAGGCCGTATTCAAGCTCAGGGTGAGAAGAAGTCGGATGGTTTTCATATCCCGTTTTCCCCTGATTTTCGTGTGGTAGTGCGGCCGTGACCCTGGCCCATCGCGCCGGGCCGTACCGCGCAACCACGGCGGATTCATTTTGGTCTTCCCACCGGGAATCAACATCGGACACCCCGAGGAGGTATGAATCCGTTGTTCCAACGGCTGTCGCCCAGTGCGAGATCACTGGCGACGGCTAGCTTTACAGTAGAGTCCGAAAACAGATTACCCCTCGGACAGTCGGGCTTTCTTTCTCAGACACAGCGCTTAAACTAAATTCGGGCAGGAAAAGTTCCACTAATGAACTTAAAGAAATTCAAAGACCGCGCGGGGTAGCGCAAACCAGTAATACAGCAAGCAGTAATAAGCATGGGACAAATTACTCAACGATTCGCTGATGATTTTGTCTCGAATACAAAGTACAGTAAAGTAATCATTACCGTGTTAGTGTTGTCTGAGTGATATATAGCTGTCCGAAACTGAGCGAAGACGTATGGACTAGTACGGTTGGTTGTAATTATGACAGAGTCCTTCTATCTAGACTTCGAGTTAATTTGTGCGATCGTTAGCTTGCATAGGCTAGTTGCATAGCCGTACGGGCGTTTACGTCCGTGTTAACTACAAAAACAGTATTAAAGGGTCAAAGCACGGGCCAAATCATCAATGCGAGATTGGAAAGGTGGTAATATTTCTCCTGCAGAGTTCGACATTAGCTAATACCTGGTGCCTCTTACCTCTTTCAGGTTTGAGACCACCTTTCTTTGCGATACTAGCCCAACTCAACGATCATTTCCAAGAACTTTGGTAGGATAATTTGTTGCCCAAATTCCTGTGACATTTCTCTTGCTATAGAAAACTAACAATGTTGTATGGATACCTTCAGGTAATTTAGCCTTTCACATTCAAACCCGCTTGCCAATATGCTCGACAGTGCCTCGTCATGCAAAATCCGCGTCGCTATCATAGGTGCCGGGATTGCCGGCCTCTCTGCTGCTGCATTCCTTCGAAAAAATCGCCATTGCAATATCGTTGTCTACGAGCGTCGTGAAGCAGACTCTCAGGAGACTTCCGCAGCACTCGGGCTAGGAGCAAACGGTATCTCTATTGTCAAGCAGCTCGGAATCGATAGGAAAGAACTTCGCGGGGTGGTGGGCGCCGGATATCGGACTTACAACCTTCACGAGAAGGAGATGAGCAAATCCCGGATCAGTAATGGACAGAATGAAGACTGTGGTATGTGGCTTGTATATCGACAGGATCTTAAGGATGCCTTGTTGCGAAGAGTCACCAGTGAGGACAGCGATGCGGAGGATGTCAAGTTAGTATACGGCTGTCACATTGTGAAGCTTGATCCGGAGGCTGGTGTTATTGAATTTGCAGACGGAAGTTCCCTCGAAGCCGATCTGATTATCGGTAAGTGGAAAACTATCAAATTCAAATGTGGCCAGACTTATAACCTCTTCCAGGCGCTGATGGCATTCGCTCCAAGGTCCGCGGAGCCGTTATTCCGGCATCGCACCCAGAGCCCGTGCCGTGCGGTCTCTCAATGTATCGATTTGTCATTCCAATGGATGTCGTCATGAACACTGTCACGACCCACGGAACTATTCCAGCTATGTACAACTACGACGACGGAACGTTCATAGCAGTCATAGCCGCTGGAGATAAAGACAACCGCAACGTAATTATGTATCCCTGTCAGGGGCATAAACTGATGAACTGCGTCTGTGCGGTCCCGGACTCGAGTCTCAAGAACCCAGACAAGCTTGAATACTCCTGGACCGCCAAGGGGAGTGTGGAAGAGCTGCTCGAGGAGATTCATGACTTCCCTAAGTGGTTAAAACAAGTCTTCAGGTTAGTAGTGAGCATCATAATTCATCAGGCTAGGATTTTCTGAGCTGACGAAAGCCACCCAACCAGCCACACTCCTCAAGTGGCGCTCTTTCAAGTTCGGGACCAGGAGCCTTTGCCCACGTATATCAAGGGCCGAACCGTTTTGATCGGCGATGCTGCTCATGCCATGGTACCTTATCAAGCCCAAGGCGTCAATCAGGCATTCGAGGATGTGGAGGGTCTCAACTTCTTATTTGCAAACACCTCCGATCGCAACAGTATACCTAGCCTTTTGCATATCTGGGATAGCATCCGCCGGCCACGAGCATCGGAAATCCAAGCGAGTTCGCGGGCTTCTCAAGCTAAAATCGCGACAAAGAGTGCAGGCAAGGCCATTCTGTCAGTAAAGCCTTATGTGGGTATGAAAGAAGCTCTCGAGCAGCTGGAGATGTAGGGAGGTCACTTCCACAGTACTATCACTACAGGAAGTAGGATTCAACTCTCAAAAATAACTTAATTAAAAGGTGTAAGTGATATTAATGAGCTTTGAGTTGTTTATTTTAGTGTATTGTATCAGATAGACTGACAGAGTAGCTTTAGAGTACCCCTCCGACGTATATGTACTCTGTGGCTGCCTACTGAATAGGAATTCCGGTTTACTGCCCACCAAAATTTAGGCGAAGCGCCTATTTCTTTGTGTAGTTCTTCCTGAATTTGATTCTCATGGCCCAATTTTCGATAGTGCACAAAGACTTTGAGGGTATACAAAATCTATGCCGCTTATATGCCTATATTATAAGGATATATAATAAATCGACAGAGCAGAACTAGTTGTTGATTACTCACTGTAATCTAAATCGATTCACAACCCAGGAGATTCTCTCATTTGGAGAAAGGGTCGGATGTAAGGCACATGTGATCATGGTATCGAACAATGTAAGTGGTGAATCCTGAGTATGTTCGTTCCGTCTAGCAGGTATCTCTATCATGGGGCTCCAAGATGCCGAAGCACGGTTGGGCTTAATACTATCGTCGCTTGAGCGCTGCATATTTACCTGAATAACACCTGAATCGTAAGGGTAAAGACATTTCTTTTTAATTTCGACTAGATCTCTATAGTCGCGCATATTGTAAATCAACCTTAATCGCTGAAGCAGGGGCGATAATAATAAATAAAGAGTGAAGCGGGGATGTGAGCAGATGGTAACAGAAATTTACATTCTGGAAAGCAAGCCTTTTCAGTGGACTGTTTTAATTAGTTACCAAAGCTTGATGTAACCTGGTGGCTACGCCAGTATTCTTATGGTCCATATAGCGCTTCATCCCGGCAGACTGCGGCTAACTAACCGATCTCGGGCTTAGTGCCAGCAAATTTGCACCCAAAGATGCGGCGTCAGTTTGGAAATTTTGGGCTGGCTTAAGCGAGCCGCAGGATATCTGGCACGCCAAAAGCCAACCAGAAAGGAGTCTAACCTGGTAAACAGCACGAGAATAGACACAGCGATCTGATCCCCAGACTCGACCGACATGTTGTTCCAACACAACAACGCTAAGGACGCCACCTTATTTTACCATATTTACCCATTTCTCCGAGTCAAATTTCTCTTCCAAACTTCCCCCCTCCCTGGCTAAACCTCCTTCCCGTGGTCAATTCGAACCTCACAGAAATTAGGGTATACCCGCAATTACAAATAAAGTGACACCGAGACGACCAGTATTTCTATTTATCAAGAGCATCCTCCCTGAGAAGACTTTGATTACCGCGCGTGAGCCACTACAGACACCATGCCCAGCATTTCGATAACCGAAGGGTACACCTTCACAAATTGGGGGCCGTTAACAACAACTTTCACGGCACCCGCCAGCTGCGCTACCGCGACGGGAAACTATATGATAGGACTAAACACGACAGCTCCTGTCTTGGAATATGCAATGCAGTGCTCTACGGCAGGTTACGGAGACTGTATTCCGAGTGGGACAGTATCTGACTTTACCACTTCAAATGACAACCCAAAGACAATATATGACCAGGCATATTTATCACCTGGCCTCTACTGTCCTTCTGGGTGGGCTACGAAAGGAATTGCAGTACGCGATGCCGACAAAAGTCTTAGCACATCGGGTGTCCTGAGTTCCGTTACCAGGGTTTCGATGCCTACCTTCATACCCCAATGGGAGAACCCAGTTACGTTATTTTTGGATCTTTTGGACCCGAGCGAGACGCTCGTTATATGCTGTCCAGAGTAAGTCAAACTTTCCAAACTGACACCCATATAAGTTCATATTCTGATTCGTTATTCCAGCTCGATGACCGCAGACATCGCGTTCGGATGCTACTCTACCGTCTCCGATTACAAAATCACAGAAGGATGTATGCGTGATATTCCTGCTACGGATCTGGGCACTTCAACTGAAACAATCATTTCCGAGGGGAGTACTTCCAAGCAGCTTATCAATATTATCACTGGGACGCAGCCAATCACTGTCGCGACACGAACTTTCAGTCCGTCGGAAGCGTCTAGGCTCGTCGCAGTTTCGGTAATGCCTATGTTATCACTTGTTCATCATCAGTCTGATCTACCGAGTGCTATATCCAGCCAGACTGCTTCACCTTCTAGCTCGGCCACAAGAGTTGCTCCAAACGGGATTATTTGGGGTGGATTGGGTAGTTTCCTTGCTACATACTTGGTTGTTGTCTTTGTATACTTATAAATTAAATTTCTAAATCAAATGATAAAAATAATACTAAAACACAAACCTTGATGGCTGGCGTCTTACTAGTAGGCATCCGTCCTTGCACCCATTCACCTTTCCTGCTTCCTTCAAGTTGATCTTCTCCATCCTTCTTTCTAAGCCATTCTTTTTTCTAAGCTTACTATTTTACTTATTGGCGAGAGAGGTCCACGGGTGGGAAAGATGAAATGGAAGAAGATGATGGATCTATGCGACGGAAGAAGGAATCCTTTCACGCTATATCTATCATCTTCCATCTCATTTTTTCCGCCTCTCTCGCCAGTTATCTGCTCATACACGTTACATGGCCTTCGTCGTATCTGCGCCCTTCAAGTTCACATCTTTACAGGCCCTCGGAATTCGTATCAAACCATTTTCCACATCAAATTCCATACCAGACCTCAATTTCAAACGCTAGCTATCTTAAACTCAACCAAAACCCTCAAACCTAAAGCTTAGCCTTAGCCTTAACCCCATCCCCACCCTTAGCCAGGAAATACTCCCTAACCCGTCCCCTCGCAACATCAACAACATCCACATCCTCAACAGTCGGCGGAACACTAACAACTCCCTCAAAATCCCCCACAACCCCCCTTTTCAACAAGTTCCCTCAACACCCGTCTCAAAGTCTTCCCACTCCTAGTCTTAGGAATCATACCCCGACCCTGAATCATTCCGCCCAATGAAGCGATAGCCCCGATCTGCGTCCGGACAATCTCATTAACTTCGGTGAAGAGTTTTGCCGGTGGTTTTGCTGGGAGCTCTTGATTGGAATCTGCGTTGCGAAGGTGTATAAATGCGAAGGGGAGATGGCCCTTAATCGGATCTGGAATTCCGATGACACTTGCTTCGCTTATGGAGGGGTGGGAGAGGATTGCTTGTTCGATTGTTCCTGGGAGTTGTTATTAGCTTTGAAATCAAATCACTTTCCCATCTTGAATGCACCGCGCTGCACTTACCAGTACTAAACCGATGAGCCGCAACATTAATAATATCATCCGACCGAGACATAATATGCACATAACCATCCTCATCAATAAGTCCCGCGTCACCGGTATCAACCCAATTCTTTCCCACGCTGTCAAATCTCTTCAAATAGCCCTTATAAAAGCGCTCCTCGTCCTGGAAAAGACTTGTAAACGCCGTTGGTGCAAGCGGGGCTTTCATGACGATATTTCCCATTGTTCTGGGGTTACTTCATTGCCTTCGTCGTCGACGACTCGAACGTCGAAACCTGGCATTGGGAGACCTGCTGAACCGGGGCGTGTCGATAGGGGTTTTACTTGCGCTGTCTCGGTCTCAGTCTTCTCCTTCCCGGGTGTAGGTTTAACAATAGCCGCACGACTATCCAACGCAAGACCCGTAATTGGCGAACCCGACTCCGAAGACCACCAATTATCAACGACCTGCGCGCCCTGCGCCGCGTACTTCGAAAGTAGATCCTGATACGCGGAAACGATACTCGGCTCACTGCGCTCTCCGGCCAAAAATAGCGCACGTAGCGATTTGAGACCACCACGTTGTCCGACTTCTTTGAAGAGGGCGTCATTCGGGTCATCTTTGCGAATGGCTCGCATGGCTGTTGGTGCTGTGAAGAGGGTGTTGACGTGATGTTTCTCGACGATGCGCCAGAAAGTTCCTGCGTCTGGGGTCCCGATTGGTTTTCCTTCGAATAGGACTGTTGTTGCGCCTACTAGGAGTGGTGCGTAGAGAATGTATGAGTGGCCGACGACCCAGCCTATGTCTGAGGCGCAGAACATTACGTCGCCGGGGCCGTGGATGTTGAATAGTGAGCGGATTGAGAGGTCTAGGCCGACGGCGTGACCGCCTGCTTCGCGGACTACGCCTTTTGGTAGACCTGTTGTGCCTGGGAGGTTGTTAGTGAAACTGATATAGTCACAGCAGAAGTAATTATAAGCATAGAATGTATGCCAGTGTTGAGTTCAAGTTGGGGCATTGCAATGGGCCAGTCTTACCACTGGTATAGATAATATAAAGCGCATCCGTACTCTTAACAGCAACAGGACCCGCCTTCACCCCACGCATACGGCCACTCTTAACAATGCGCTGCCAATTCCGCTGACCACCAAGTTTATCGGGATTATTCCATCGCATCTGGTCCCGCTGCCAGATAATAACCTTACTAGGTTTGAACGTGGCAGCAGCGACGGCACCCTCGACTAGCGGCCGGTACGAGATGGGACCTTTAGCTCCTTCAATACCGCACGAGGCGGTCATGATGGCTTTGGGACGCGCTGCGTCTATCCGTTGCGCTAGTGACGCCGCTGCAAAGCCACCGAAGACCGCGGCGTGGATTGCGCCGAGTCGGGTTATTGCCAGGGCGGCAATTAGGGCTGCGGGGATCATTGGCACTGGATGGCAGGATGAGGTTAGTCATGTTTTTAGACCTCTTGGGTGGATATCGTGTCTGTCTCAGATGACAGGATCGATGATAGCAGAGCAGGCAGGCAGGTTGGCCCACATACTGTAAATAATAACAACATCACCCCTCATAACCCCCTCCTCCCTAAGCACACCCGCCAAAACCTCCACCTCATCCAGTAACCGTCGATAAGTATATTCCTCCGTGATCCCAGTAACAGGCGACTCCCAAATAATCGCGACCTGGTCACCGAGTCCATTCTCCACATGCCGATCAACACAATTGTAGCTCGTGGAGATCTCACCGTCCGGAAACCAAGACCAATGCTCGTGTTGGACACCGCTGGGCAGCGTCTTCGTTCGCTGCGTCAGTGCTTGGGTTGGCTTTTGGGCCCAGTGGAGCCGATTCGCGTGTGTGGTCCAGAAGGTTTCTGGGTCTGTGAGGGAGTGGGTGTGGGCTGTTTGTTGTGGATGTGGATGTGGCGTTGGCGTTGGAGCCATGATTGTGGTTGGGATTGTGGCTGGGTCTGGGCTTGGGCTTGAATGTGGGTGTGGTTGTGGGTGTGGGTGTAGGTTTAAGCGAAGCAAGCTGTGTTGTGTTCAATTCCAATTCCGGGGAATGGTTGGGGAATGGATGAAGTTGACGTGATGTGATACTGCACGGCCCGGGCCAGCATTAAGAAGTGAACATGGCCCGAGGTTCTCAAAGTCCATCCGAGCCGCTCCGATACGATTGGTTCGGGCCTGTGGAAGAGAAACGAAATGATGCAGGGGGTGTGTGGATAGCGCATAGCACCCGGGTACGGGTACAATAATGAATAACGCGTGCAAATGTAATGTGATGTGGTATGTGCGGGGGAAGCAACTTCTGGCCCGAGGGTGTCTGTGCTTTCTTCCCCGCATTGAGCCATTTTGGGCGGAGGAGAATCGGGTACTTTGGTGGTACTTGCTTTGCCGCCATTGACGCGGTGGCGCCGCCCGTACTCCATTGGTACCACTTTCTATTGCTTGGGGGGGGAGGCTGAAACACTGCTCAATTCTGAGACTTGGACGTACTTGGACGTACTGGGAATTTATTGAGTACTTTGTATGTACGACTAGGTATGGTACTTATGCTCGCTTTTGCTTTTTTGGACCTCTCATATTAGGGAGATGTCTAAGAATACGATTCAGAGGGGAAGTGAAGGGTCAGTCAGGGGCAGGAGGGAAAGAATTGAGTCGAAATCTGTATTGTCTATATACGTTGCAATATGGCTGGCAGAAATTCAATCCAAAATAATATAATAGAACAAGCTCAGTCGTAGGGTATCATATCGAAATGCCTGCTAATGCGCGACTGCGATCTTCTGGCTTCGTCGCCGGGGAAAGTTTTTTTGTGTTTGTGGCGTCAGGGTTGCTCCAATGAAATGCGAGGCCGCTCCCATCTGCGAGCTGTTGAGGGAGTGCGATGCGAAAGACATCATCGAACAAGGCCAAACTCAGTCTGGGTCGGATCGAGTCAAGTCAAGTCGAGTCGAGTATATGGCAATCGCTGCGCTGCCGCACTCGACAGCAAGCGGAGTGGGTGGGATGGGGCCAGGTTGAGAGACGGGGGAGAGGAAGAGAGAGAGAGTGTGTGTGTGTGGGTGTGCGCGTGTTTGCGTGAGAGCGAGAGCGAGAGATAAGAGGAGAGCGAGAAGGCACCGACGCCGAACGGAAGGTCGTAACCAAAAGACAGAAACCACCCTCCAGATGCACCCGAGACCAATAAACCAGCTGGAAACATACAACCAAAAGGGAGCACAAGAATTAGAAAGGAACAGCCATATCAGAGGGGGGTAGAGAGAATAGGGCGAAGGAGATCAAAAGCGATGAAACGAATCGACGAAACAAAAAAGGAAAAAGGAAAAGATAGAGAGGTAGAGAGGAAAAGAGATGATAAAGAGACTCGATGCACGTCTCCCGGACGGGCCCGGCCGGATTCACAGGATGGTGCAGAGTCGGTTGCGATGTCGAGGTTTATCGGACCGGAAACCAGTGTACTTGGCTTCGGCGTCTCGGTCTCGACCCCCTGTGAATCCCGGTTGACGGCGATCCTGCGACCGACCACCTTGAGCCTGTTGCCGTTGCTGGCGCAGCATGCGGACGACATCATAGAAGGCCTTTTCGACATTGATGCAATTCTTGGCAGAGGCCTCGACGAATTCACAACCTAATTCCTTGGCCAGAGCTTGACCCTCTTGCGCGGAGACGGCGCGCTCGACGGCCTTGTCGCTCTTGTTGCCGACTAACATGACGGGGACGGGGAGTGGGGGGGGCCGGTCGAACCCTGCATGGGGGAGTTGAGGTAGCTGGGGCCAGAGGGGGAGCCGGAGCTGGCGGACTCCTTGACCATCTTAATTTGATTGTAGAATTTGGTAATGCGAGAGAAGGAAGCACGCGATGTGATGCTGTAAACGAGAACGAAGCCTTCGCCATCACGAATCCACTGGTCGCGCAGTGCGGTGTATTCCTCTTGGCCCGCCGTGTCCAGCACCTCGAGCATGCATGACTGTTGATCGATGACGACTTGTTTGCGGTAGGAGTCTTCGATAGTGGGGTCATATGTTTCGACGAAGTGATTGAGACAGAGCTATTATGATCAGTTTCGAGTCCTTGTTGGGGGGTGTGGTTGGAGCAAGGGGAGGTCAGGGATTGCTCCCCGGTCGGGGGGAGAAGGGAGCACATACCTGGATGGTGAGAGCAGTCTTTCCAACACCACCGTCGCCCAGGACCACCAACTTGTACAAGGTCATTTTCCCCGACATGGCGGGCAATGTGATTGTGAATCGTAAGGGGGAGGGGAGAGGAGGGGGGTAGAAGGAGAAATGCCCACAGGTGGAAGAGGGAGGGGAAATTCAACGAGGGGCCACGTTCCAGGCGGGGGAAAACGAAAAAGAAAAAAAGGCGGGAGAGCTACCCACACAAGGAGGTGCTAGTGCAACAAAATAGGGTTGAGATAGTAATGTAGAGTAAATAATAGAGTAGATGGATGGAATAAAATAGAGATAATGGAAATAGAGTATAATCCAGTCCAGCACAGACAGGCACAGACAGGCACAGGATGGGCACTGGCACTGGCAGCAGGGCAGCAGCAATAGCAATAGCAATGGCAGCAGGGTACAGCAGGGCAGAAGCACAGGGCACAAACAGCAGACGCACAGGGCACAATGGGATAAAAGTGGACTCGAAAGTGGACTCGAGGGAGTCTAGGCTGGGCAGGAATTAGGGGTATGCCCAGGTGCCATAGGGTATGGATACTGCCAGTAGCATAGGGTTTATGGCCAGGTGGGAAAGGGGCAGTGGGAGGAGGATTACTAGAGTAGATATTATATTTATATTTATATTTATTCATTTTTTCTATATATGTGTAAATAATTATATTTATTGATTTCTTTTAGTATTCCTACATAACTACCTATCCAACCTGTACTTATGTAGCTATAGCCAGAGCTATCCCATAGTGGCACAGTATCTGATAGGGTAGGTATATCTGATATATCTGATACTGGGAATATAGTACAGGTACAACCTTGGAACTTGGTAGCAGAATACTCGTACATTCATACTCCCACTACTATTGTACACTTAGACTCCTGAAATAAAGTACGAGTACTCCTCGATTGACCCGATCGTGGACCCAGTGTACCCAGTGTACCCAGTGGACAGTGGACAGTGGAGCTTGGAGCTGTCTCAACTAATTTCTCTTGGCGCTCTAGCTGGCTGCTACTAACTCCCTATATTCCACTCCCTTGGGTTAGGAATTGAGAGCCCCTTTTGCTAACAGCCATAGTTACGAGTATACCCACTGTTGACCTAAACATCATCACATAGACCCGTAGACACGTAGCCACGTAGAAACCCACTTTGCTGGATACTGGCCTCTGTTTAACTCTCGCTTAACTGCTTCGGCAAGTATCCGGACCCAGCGGAAACACCCGACGAAGGGGCCATCGTCATCACAAAACATACCCTAAAATAATCCGGGACCATCTCGGACCAAGCTGGGACCAACTCCCCTCACCAATGATAACAAAGGGCAAGCGTCACAAACGGATCCTCCCGGCCGTTGGGGAGACCCGGTTGCCATATGGCATATGGCACAGTCCCGCCCGAGCCGTGCTCAATCGAGAGGAAATCGGATGGTTAATTTGTTAAATTGTTAAATTGTTCTTGATTGAACTGGGCTTCTGGGCTTCTGGCCTCTGGCCCCGAATTTAATTTAATCTATCCCCTTCACTCTGGTTGGATCAATTTACCTTTCGCCTAGGATGAACTCATCCCCTCATGAACGGGTCCAGTCTAGCTAACTAGGGGAAGGGAATCTCCGGCCTAGAACCTGCATCCTTCGATTCCATTCGACTGCAACGCAACGACGCGTCCCTGATCTGATCTGATCTATCTTGGCCTGGTCTGGCCTGCCTTATGTAGCTTAGTGACGAGTGTTGGAATTGGAATATCCTTCCTCTTCCTACCTCTCCGCCTGCCTACCTGCCTAGTTTGATCGGCAGGGCTCCGTTCCGCCGCGCTGGCTCTTGGGTGGACTATTGCAAAATTGGTCAATGGGCTGGCTTGTGCCTAACGCTGGTGCCATAGCTAATGCCTAGCTTGTTCCAGGTCTGTCTGGTCACCCTGCGAGCCCGTTCTTTCCGTTCACTTGCCCCCCTGGCCCGCTTTCAGGGGCCGCCCTTGCCTCGGGCCGTTGTGGATGGCGCATGGGGCTAACCGAGCTTCACTTTGAGCACGGAGGTCGGAGTTGGAGTCGGAGTGCGAGTGCTTTACTCCGTACTTTACTTTACTTTACCTAGAAGGATTCTTTTTGTTTCCTTTCCTGTTTTGGTTATTGCTGTCCACGGGATGGACCTTCCTGCTAATGACGGCCTCCAACGCGCATGCCCGTATCTCGTTCGTACTCGTACTAGTAGTACTTACTATCTGGCCTTGAACCCAGCTAAGCTTTAGCATTTATGATATCATATGAAGGATTTCAAGTTGATTTTTCCAGTTCAAGTTCGGTACTTTTGTTTGTGAGACGTCGTTTGTCATAGGTTGGTACAAGTAGATAGCCCCAATAACTACTCGTAACTACTAGTTAGTGCAGTACTAGTCCTCCGTATCCCCCAATGCTATGGTAAATATCGCGGAGTGTTTCCGGGGAAATTATGCTAGCATTGTAAATAGCTCTGGATCTACTCCGTTCTCGTGGTAGTTTTAGACTAAGCTGTAGAACACCAGATCCACTTAAGCATCGTGGCGTTGAAATCGGATATCAGCCGTTAGTGAGCTTACATAGAAATTGGCCCACCATTCTGGTTGTGGGTTGACATCATCTCAAGAGAAACGAGTTCTGCCGAAAGTGGAAGGTGCTACCTACTAGTAGTTGTAGGCATGCAATTGGCCAGCCGGTTGCTTTTTCCTTGCGCACTCTCTCATCTTATGGTAAACCTAGTTGGCCAGTTCGGTCAGTTTGGTACCTTATTATTCCGAGTTGGATTTCCCTTGACCTTCTCTCTTTATCCAACTCACGAAATTACGGTATTATAACAATAGCCCATCCATCGTTACCAGAGAATACAATATAGTCTGACAGGGATTCCTGGGGAGTGGCTAAACTTAGACTAGCATGTTTCAAGCTAGGTTTAGGGAATGAAAGTCTAAGAGTGTAGAGGTAAATCTGATTTTGAATACTACTGTAAGTGTTCTGAGAATTCAATTCTTCTGGGTAGATTGTCTATTTCAGCAACAAATTTGATTATTTGACTTGCTTAGACAGGACTGACCTGTGAGCAGGGGGAAGAGGTATTCGAGCAGTAGAGTTAGGCTCGGCAGAAGATTCGCACGAGTGTTACCGGGGAGTGAGATAGAGCAAGGCGAAGTGGACGAAGGAGAGGGAAGGAGGCTCTTGAGTACTATAAAGTCTTAGAGGCAGGTAAGACCTCCCCATCGGCTTATTATAATAATGCCGAGGTAGTAATTGCGCGTTATTTTAGGATTAAAAAATACTGGCTAGACCTCTATTAAAATACTATAGAAATACGAAGCCTTGTATATTGTTATCAATATGGTTTCTCACTCAATTCCTGATTTTGCTCGTTCTTTAAAAGGGAAACCCTCAGTAACGCCAATCCTCAAAACTTTGTACATATCCTAGGATAAAAGTCATATCACGAGCTTTCAATATCCTTCAAGTAGGACATCACCTGCTCAACCAAAATCCTCCTCGGCTCCGCTTGATCATCATCACTCAACGCATGCGAAGCCCCAGGAATAACCATACTCCTCCGATCCCAATACTCCCTCCCCTCAGTATTAATAGCATTCTCCCACCTCTTGATAAGCGCCTCCTTATTAACCCAAGGCGGAACAGACTGATCACGACCAGAATACAAAACCAACAACTTATGCCCCAACAATCCCCTCTTCCCAACCTGACCAAACGTCTTCCCAAGCTGCTCATCACTCAAATCCGAGCTAAACAAATCATCCTCCTCCGGTTTTCCCGGCGAATCAGGACTAACAAGACTCAAAAATCGCCGACTACTAACCGGTGCCGTGGACGGGTATCCAATCCGTCCAGTAACAGATAGCGGAACAACCGTATCAACATTCCCATCATCCTCATACGTATTCTCCCTCGCATCAGCAACAGCCTTATTATACAATTCCCTCATAGTCTCGGGACTATCCCTCTTCGTCCCACACTTAATAACCCAAAGAATACCCTCCCGATCCGAAACAGGCGCTTGCATAATCGCCCCGTCGATCTGGGGCCGAACCACACCGGGACAACCCTTGTCAAAGACCGGGTGCGCGGGTCGCGGATTCGGACAGTTGAGGTAGTGCATTACGTCTTGGGACCCGGTTGAGTGGCCCATGACGACGACCTTGCCGGAGCCGTAGACGGGGGTTTTATATTCGCGCACGTAGGATACTGTCTGCGCGATCTCGTCGATGTCTTTGCCTAGTCGGCCCATGCCCCAGCCGCCGTAGGAGGAGGAGAGGATTAGATTGAAGACGGTCCATTTTGTGTCTGTTAGAGCGCGGACGATGTCGGCGAGGTATTCGACTGAGGCTAGGCCGTCGCCTAGGCCGCCGACGAAGATTAGGGTGTTGGGTTTGTGGGGGGAGCCGCGGGTGAATTCGAAGGAGACGAGGCCTGATGTCTAGGGGGGAGAAGGGTCAGATGGGGGTCTTGTAGGTGGGGGAGATGGGAGATGGGAGATGAGGGAGGAGAATTGCTCACGATTTGGTGAAGGATGCCTGGTTGGCCCCGGGCTAGGTTTGCGAGGGCTTTGAGTTCCATGTTGGAGGCAATTGGTGTGAGAGGGAGGAGGATGGTTGAATTGAGAGGATATTGGGGAGAAGAGAGGATTTTGCGGAGGGACGGGGAGAGTCGTCACATCAGATAAGAACGGTCTGCAGTAATCAGATAAGCAAGAGCCGATACATTGGAAACCCTGGAAACCGGTAATTTTAGGGCTTTGCTGTATGGAGTACGAGTATGTGACGGGATCCACTGTTAATACGCGTATTGGTACACAGCCTCCGCCATCCGCAGTTTCCGAAATGAATTTATTAAAGGGGTAAGTGAATGTAGATTGTTGTTTTGGCCCGGAAGCTGAGTCGGCAGAGAGGTGAGAATACGGTGACGTAGACATGTCCTGTGGTCAAAATAATCAGATTGATAAGATCTCACTTAGTAGAGGCCATATTGGTTGGCAAATCTCAATGTGCTTTAGGTGTACTGGAATACTCCTTTTGATAATCATTCCGCAGTACTCTGCAACCACTCCATGACTACGTTCTCAAGATTCATGAAAAAGTTGAAAATGAATTGATCTAGTAAAACATGAAGTCACAGAAAGAAATGCAGCAGATATACACGTATGCATAATGACAACAAGACAAGAAAAGTACAGAGCGAAGCAAGTCAAAACCAAAGAGGAAAAAGGGAACAGGGAAAGAAAAACAAAAGAAGAAGGGAAAAAAACTAAACCAATGCCTCAGGATCCCTAACCAACACCTCAATAAAACTAGCCAACTCACCCAACCTCTCCCCCCAAAACTCCCCGCGCTCCTCATCAGCCGCAATACCAACAAACGTCTTACCCCCCTCAGTGTAAGAAGTAACACGGATCGGATCCGCAGCCTCAGGATGCGGATTCGTATAATCAACACCACATTCGGCCCCAGCGAACGGGATCGTATCGAAGTACTCGATATCATGATGATGCACGATACTCGAGAAGAACGGAATTGTCGGCGACCAGCTGGTACAATTATCCGAAATCTCTTGGAAGCCTAGTGTAGCGTGCCGACTTCCTTCAAGGAATTGATCACGTACACCAGCGAGGAGATCCTTCACACTTGATTCGGAGTCAAATTTAACTCGCAACGGCATGTACTGGTACGTCGGGCCCATGATGTTATCAACGTCAGGAAGGTCGACTGTTCTGCCGGAAACAACGCCTCCGAAGGTAATATCGTTCGTGTTTAGATGAGTTGATAAAACACGCGCCCAGGCCGCTGTGAGGAGTGTTGCCATTGTTGTATCTGGGGAGCGGGATGACAGGTCGACTTCTTTCTTGATGAATTGCGGTGTGCTGGTGGGTTCTGCGGGTGGGAGGGAAGTTAACCAGGAACCCTGTAGTACCTCGCGCCAGTATTGGACGTTTTCGAGCTTGGATTCGGATTGGTATTGGATGTAGTTGTGGAAGGGGGTTGATTGTTGGTCGAGTTCTTTGTTTTCGTATTGGAGGTCGAGTTGGCGGAGGATTTCTGGGAAAGAAATTCCGTCATATTGGGCGTGGGAGATTCGGATCATGAGTGCGTTTTGCTCAGTTCCGTGGATGAGGAAGAGTTTCAGAGATGAAGTTCCGAGCTTGAATGAGGAGTCGTCTTCGATGTCTTCCTTTGCTAGCTTTTTGCAGAATTCGGAGAGGGGATCTTCTGTTGTAGACTGGGAGGTCTGTACCTTGAGGTTCTTGAGTACAACCTGCAGGACACGGCTACCCTCTTTGACGAAGACAGTGCGCAGAATGGAGTGAGCGGAAACAAGCTTCTGGAAGCTATCAAGCAAACGGGTCATATCGACATCCTTGTTGAAGTATAGCATGTTATACTGAATGGCACTCCGAGGCTTGGAGACGGTCGTTTCCACATCGCGCTGCTGGGGATCCGTGGCGGGAAGCACATCTTCAATATCCCATGCTGGATCGGCAAGGGCGGGAATAATTTTCTTCAACAAGTACTCTTGAACATCACTGGCGTTTATCATTGAGAAAGGCTTGTATTCCTTAATCACTCGCTCGCCGTCCAAAGGCACCTCTTCTAAAGCGCCGGCCATGGAACTCAATTGCATGTTACGGAAAATATCCGTCACAGACAGATGATATCCGACCAGACGCAGAGCAGAGACCAGCTTCATAGCCATAATGGAATCACCACCCAGTCGGAAGAAGTTATCATCAAGTGCCAGCTTCCCTTCTTCCATGCCGAGGGACTTCGCCCAGAGACCACGCAGGGTTCGTTCTTTCATGGTCATTTGCTTGCCCCGACCTGAGCGGAGGTTAGTGAAAGCCGTTCGCAGCTGTAACAGCAAATCTTGAGTGACATGCTCCGCCATGGCCTTCAGAGACTCGACATCAACCTGTTCGCCGAGGTATGGCAGCTTCTCGAGAGGAATGTAGATCGAAGGAATCATATAAGGAGGGAGGACATCAGCGAGCTTCTTATTCAAGCTGACAATAGCATCCGCGAGTTCGGACGAGATGACACTAGACACTGGAAGCTGTGCGCTGAGATTCTTGAGCCCAAGGTCAACTACCTGGCCCTGCTTCGAAGAAGGCTCGCTCACAAATGCAACCAGTGCCGGCGATTGGTTGCCCGATTCCTTGGGCACAATAAGCTGACTGGCCGAGTGGGCATTTTCCGGAAGCCATTGTCGAAGTTGGAGGTCCACTGCAGCAAGGTCCATCATATGGCCGTCAACCTTGCGGAGACTCTCCTTACGACCCATGAAAATCAGGCTCTTGTCATCGGCATACTTGACAAGGTCGCCGGTTTGATAGAGCTTCACGCTGCGGCCTTGAGCATCGCCCGCTCCCTTGGAAAGCCACTCGGGGGCATCGAGGTTTGCGGCTTCTCCCACGCCCTCCAGGAGGAGCTCACCCACGGTCCCGATTGGCATCAGTTGGTTGTGGTTGGAAGGGTTCACGATCCAGGGAACAAATGCCGTCTTGTACTGATCGCCTGTTGTAAGTCCCTTCGTCTCCTCGAGTAGTAGACTAGCGACATCTGGCGCCGAGGATTCTGGAGCCTTATTGTTCAACCAGATTTCGGCAACCTCCTGCTCGCTCATGCAAGTGATGTTACTCAGCTGAGTCGTGTCATCACTGCAGAGCTGCGAGACGACATATTCAAGTTGAGCGAGAACGCGGTGCATTTGGGACTCAGTGATAAGGTTTGAATCAAAGCTCGCAGTTACTTCGAAGCCGTCCGAGCGTAGCGAACAAGCAAGCATGAGCGGGTAAGAATTAAAGCGCAATGCCTCGTGAGCCGCATCTTCAACACGGAAAGGAGGCAACTCATCACCGGATTCCTCTTCGGCCTCCGCTGGTCGAGGCTGAATGACCAAGCCCATCTTCACCTCGCATGCTAACTGAGCATCGCCACTGACACGGCGGATGTTTTGCATACCAAGATGCTCATGCGCAGCTCTAACAAGGCCTTGCTCTTGGATTCCTTGAAGGAATTCCTGAACGGGTGCGGATCGGTCGATACGCACGCGCACGGGAACTGTGGCAATCATGGGACCTTCGATTTGCTCGACACCAGGAAGACGGAGTGTTCGTCCTGAAAATGTCTCGCCAAATACCACGTCGTCACTCATGGTGTACTGCGAGGCTACCAGAGCCCACGCAGCTCGTATGAGAGTCGCGGTGGTAATCGTAGAGCGGGAGACCTGCTCCACAGGAACAATTCGCTGAACCAGTGCATTGGGTTCGGGGATGTACATGCGCGATGGTAGAGATGGGTATTGGGGACCGGTTGCGCCTTGGAGCTGAACACGCCAGTAGTCCTTTGAGCTCTCTCTAGCGGGGTCGACAAGGAACTGAATGAAGTGCTTGAACTCGGCTGGTCGGGTAGTAGAGACGCCCTTGTACGCGTTCTTTGCATGCTCGATCATCAGGTCTGTCGACCAGCCGTCGTAGATGGCGTGGTGAACTGTCCAGACAAAATAGATCTTGCTCGCAGCGTCATCATGGACGATTGAAACACGGCTTAGGGGCATATTGACAGACATCGGAGTCTTTTGGTCGTCCGCCAGGAACTCCTCAAGACTCAGGTGGCTATACTGCCACTCTGGAGTATCCTGGATGACGACTTGCATGAAGCCGTGCTCCTTGAACTCGACGACTCGAGTGCGCAAGATCGCGCTGTCCTTGATGACAACATCCCAGGCCTCCTTCAACTTATCAGCTGTTTCTTTATTGGGAATTTCCGCAATTCGTTGCGCGACATAGCTCTCAGCGGAGCGGGCAGAGAATGCCATGAGAATTTCTTGCAGAGGTGTGCAAGGGTATATATCTTCGATCGAAGAGAGTTCAACACCACACTGGCTAGCGGCCTCCTCACAAGCAGCCTTACGGTCCCAGGCAGAGTCAATGAGGGAAAACGGAGAAACTTCGACCTGCGAGTTTGCTTCTTCCTTCTCCATTGCTCGTGCCATGTCTGATAGAACAGGGAAGCTGAAGATATCCGCCACAGTCAACACGAATCCTTGCTCACGAACGGCGGGCACCAATTTCATAGCCAGAACAGAGTCTCCGCCCAGGATGAAGAAATTGTGAGTAGTGCTAACTTCCTCTGCCTTCGATCCCAGAAGACGACACCAAATTTCATGTAAGCAGACCTCTGTCTCCGAGGTGGGCTTCTGGCTCTTCCCACCGGAAGATTCGGAGTTAGATTGCAGAGTTAGCTGCGATCCAAACGCACGCAACAACTTGCGATCAATCTTGCCCGAGACAAGCATGGGCATGCGATTGATACCAATATAGGTCGAGGGAACCATGTAGATCGGGAGAGCTTTGGACAGCTGTTCGCTGAGATCGGACATCTTCTCACGAATTGCGGAAGAGAACTCGATCTGGTGAAGCTCATTATCCTTAACATTTTGAGGCTTCTCGGCATTGGGGTCTGCAACGAAGGCAAGAAGCATTGACTCCTTGCTCCGGCCCTGCGGTGCAATAACCTCAGCGACCACATCGGTCCCCGATGGGAGAAGTCGTCGCAGGTGATGTTCAATTTCGCCAAGCTCAACGCGCTGTCCGCGGAGCTTGACCTGTGTGTCCTTTCGGCCAACGAAGACAAATCCTTGTTCACCATCAGGGTCATGACGGACTAGATCACCTGTCTTATATAATCGGCCTTTGCGGCCCGGGACCTCTTTGCTACCGGCGAGAAGCCAAGTAGGATCCTCAATAAACGCGGCAGCAGTCTTCTGGGGTCGCCCAGATAACCCTGACCGACAATCGGTCCTTCGACCAGTAGCTCACCAACACCACCAATTGGAGTTAGCTTGTTGTGGTCATCTGGGTCAGTCAACCAAATGATACCTCCATTGCCAGGTCCAATGCTGACATATGGTTTGCCTGCTGCACTTGGGTTGATTGTGCACCCAACTGTACACTCTGAAGGACCATATCCGATCACAATTCTTGTATATTGACCCCATTCAGACACGTCTCCGACAGAGCATGACTCGCCACCAAGACCGAGACTATCCAAAGAGGGAATGATATCGGAGTCTAGAATGCGTGCGACCGATGGGGTCATGTTGGACATGTTCACTCCCATCCGGCGAATCACGCCGCTGATATCGTTCAGTCGATCCTCATCAGAGGGAATACACAGGCAACCACCTCGCAGCGTCGTACACAGCATACTATCAACACTGACATCAAATGCGTATGACGCGAAATCAAGCACTCGCGACTTGGCAGTATAGCCCACAGCGGCACTTCGCGCAATCGCGCTTGTGGTGTAGGTACGGTGATTGATAATAACACCCTTGGGTTTGCCTGTACTTCCAGAAGTAAAGATTAAATAGAGAATAGAGTCGGTAGGAACGACTGGAAGTTCAGGTTTGGCAGTCTTGGTCGCCTGTTCTGCCAGCTCGTCCAGCGTGTCCTGGGAGACGACCACCGCCTTGGCACTCGGTGCGATCTTGGGGGCAAAGGGCGCATGTGTCTTAGATGTCACGATCAAAGTTGCGCCAACCTGCTCGGCAATCGTGTGGCGTCTGTCAAGAGGTTGGCTGGGATCCATCAGCACCATGGCGCCACCGGCTCTCAAGACACCAAGTACCGCGACAATTGTCCAGCGCGACTTTTCGAAGCAGATGGGGACAATCTGGCCAGTCTTGATTCCTATTCGGACGAGGTGGTGGGCAAGTAAAGTGGCATATCGGCCAATTTCCTCGTAGGTGAGATTGCCATCCCATGAGCAGATCGCTTGAGCTGTGGGCTGCTTCTCGACTTGTTCGAATATTAAGTCTTGTACACAGACATCTTCTGTGGCAGGCACATCCTTATTCCAGCGCCAAAGTTCAGATCGGTCGGTCTCGCTCAGTTCTAACACGGATGAGATGGGTTTTGATAGGTCGGAGACGAGTGTGTTGAGGATTTCTACCAGGGCGTTCGCATAGTGTGTCGCAAGATACTCTGCGCCGAGCGGTTCGCGCCAGCAGGGTCGTAGCCACAGACTGCCATCTGAGATGGTTGCTTGGAGTTGAATATTTCCCTAACGCAAGCAAATTTTCTTGATTAGATCTCCGTTCGAATTGTCATTACACCGTAGAGTTATCCTCTGTCTGACTTACCCATGCCATCCCACCACCAAGCGCATCGCCGTCACTGACCCAGGCATTGCTGGGAAGATCAGCTGGGGCGCATTCATCATTGAAGAACACAATCGCATTATCCAGGTCCACCAATTTGTCGGCATGAATCTGTTCTCGGTATGATCGCAAACCATCCAAGGCCTTCTCAATAGTCTGGGTCAAGCTCCAGTTCAAATTGGAGGTACCACAGTTAAAGGTGAAATCAGCAGCAGTGCCATTCCGTCCCCAGGTAAATTCGACAGGGTTTCCATTACTATAGCGATATAACAGCAGGGCCCATGCAAGCAGCAGAAGATCGACCTCGTGGCCGCGATATTCGGCCGCCCGCAGGAGGGGCACATCGAAGCGGGCAAATCTGGCTAGACCCTTCGGCGCGCCTCTCTGGGAGGAAAAAACGGCGCCCGCCATTGTGTCGAAGTATGATGGAAGTCAGGACTCGAAGGGGCCGATTCAAGTCCAAGTCCAAGTCCAAATTCAACTTATTCAAGGTCGAAAGAGAGCGCGCGCGACGCTTTTCTCTTCCAGGTAGCTCCCCCCTCCCGTCGCATTGCTTTTCCAGAACACGAGCCCTGGGCCCGGTGTTCGGGGTTTAGGGAGACCCACGGTGGACATCATCGGGTGTGTCACCGGTTGTAGCTGAAGAAAATAAAACACGACCTACCAGAGGAAGCTAGTGCAAGATCGATTGTGAGTGCGAGTGGGCAGTGGGACCTGGAGGCAGTGGCAGTGGCTGTAAAGATAAGATTACGTTCTGTACCTGTATTGTAGTAATCCTGGTATTCCCGGTATTTGGGTATTGTCACTCGTACTTTACAGCCACATGTATTAGTGTATATTACCGTATTTTATCAATACTTGTATAAGCGTAAATTATCGACTTCTTGTCTCACTTTTATACCCCACCGCTGATGCTCATGCCGATCTTTGCTGTGAGAATACTCGTACGAGTACAGTGATTTTTATTTTTCAAGCAAAGAGAGAGCAAAGGGGTAGTTATCTCCGAGAAGAAGATTGCCTATCAGCCAGGAATCACGGCATGTGGCAGGGTATCCTTTCGTGCATCAAAACCTCACAGCTCTAGGACTGCAGGGCTACAGGGCTACAGGGCTGCATCGCAGAATCCGATCGGCCACGACTCTTGGCAATCAACATGAGCCACGGGTTCAATTTCCGAGTTCTGCATCTGACGCGGACAATCTCCTGAGAAACCTTCTGTCTCTCTGTTCCTCCGTTATCCGAATAGCCCTAGGCGGAACATACCGAAATGTATGTACAGTGGGCCCTCGTACTGATCATCGCCTTCATTACCTCGTCCATTTCCCAAAACTTCGCCAAGGGACCCAGATTCTCCACTCTGTGCATGATGACCGTCTTGTTCGGATCTGGATGCACTACCGGAGAACAGCATACGTATCATGGCAAGCTCTTACGTTGAGCGAGGTCGGCTGGCGCTGCCCACGGAGCATTTCGGGGGGCATGTGGAAATGTGAAAGCTGGGCCAAGGCAGGCTGTGTCCGACATTATAAGTGTCTGAAGGAAACCTTGTCCCTTGGCTATTGCTGGATCTTCAGGAAAGTTGAAACTTTATTAACATTTCCCGTCACTCCCATACTACAAAAATGGCCAGCTCCCAGCAATTGGCGCCGATCAAAATTCGGTTGCCCCATCCCTACCTCACCACCTACCACCTGGTACCATCCAGCAAGCTCAAGGATGGCAACCGCTTGTTCCAGCTACACAAGGCCTCTGGCGGCGAAGCTCAACCCTTCCCCCACGAGCTTGAGAATGGCCAGCTCTACTTCAGTGCTCCGCAGCCCGTGAATCCAGAGACCGCAGTACCGACCTCCAACAACACAGCCTGGGCGCGCGCCCAGCGCAGCCCTGCAAGCATTGCGACCTGGGAAACCTCCTCCGCACCCACAGTCGGCCAAATCTGGCTATTCCTCTACTCCATCTTCACAGTACAAGAGCAAATCGAGACATTCCGTCTGCAGCTCCAAGGCCCCGGGGCCGAGTCTCTCGCACACGCTCTGCGCCTGTCAATGGTAGCAATCGACCACCCAGCGCCCGTGAGCAGCGCAACAACCTACGAGCCCATCCCCAACGAGCTCCTCGTCATGCGCAGCGCTTTCTGGCAAGGTTGCGCCTCACCACTAGGTGGACAGCCGATCTGGTTACCGAGCTGGAACCCCGCGGCTGCCGTCCCCAGTCCAGACTACACTATGACCTCAACTGAGACGGTGCATCGCCGCCACCCGCGCCGTCATCCGAAGCCTACCCCCGGCCACGTCGTTTACAGTCGCTACATTCCATTCTTGGATGAGCACTTCTCGCTCATTGCGCTAGATTATCGGAATCCTGAGCACTTGAATTTATTCCACACATGGCAAAATGACCCCCGTGTCGCGGCAGGTTGGAAAGAAACCGGTACCCTGGACGAACACCGCGACTATCTGCGTCGTCAGCACGAGGACCCGCACACCCTGACCGTTCTGGGCCGGTTCAACGACACATTCTTCAGCTATTATGAGATCTTCTGGAGTAAGGAGGATAATGTCGGTGCCCATTATGCTTCGGGGAGACTTCGATCGCGGCCGGCATACTCTTGTTGGAAATGATGCGTTCCGTGGTCCCCATCGTGTTATGGCTTGGTGGCCTAGTATGATTCACTACTGTTTCCTTGATGATCATCGTACGGAGAATGTTATTGGTGAACCTATGTCTACTAATGATAAGGTCCTCACTTATGATTATACCTTTGGTTTGCATCAAGATCAGGTTATTGATCTGCCCCATAAGCGTGCTAGTTTGGTTAAGTGTACGCGTGAGCGATTCTTCCAGCTTTGTCCGTTTAACCAAGTGTCGCCGCATATTGCGGGCACTGGATTGGGCTTTAAGCCGAGACTGTGAGTGATGAATTGAATTGAATTGAATATTGCTTGGGACTGGGTTATAAAATGTTTTGGGAGTTTTATCGTGGTTTTGTCTCCTGTGCGCCATGTTTCTGGTCTTTATTTCTTGAAACTTCGTACATGGTACTATTGCTTGTTTCGTTTTGGCTGAATAACTACGAGTCGTTAGTTGATATAGCAGATACCACTAGAAAGGGATATCCCTTCGCACGAAATGAGATAGCAATTAATTTCTTGATTGAAATGAAAGTAATCTATAAATTACATCTAGAGAATGTTATATGCAATGCAAAAGGTCTAAAGGTATATAAGAAAAAAAGAAATGCAAAGAAAGAAAGAATGCAGTAAAGGCTGAGTCTCTTCAACCCTCGAAAGTCTGGCTGAGCACGTTACTCCGATAATTCTCAGACCGCGCAAACAGCTCCTCATGAGTCCCCGAATCAACACAAACACCAGCCTCAATCATATAAATCTTATCAGCCTTGCGAATGGTATTAAGACGATGAGCAATCGCCAACACACTAATACCCCGCGACGCAACTTCCAGTCCCTCCTGAAGAAGTTTCTCAGACTCAGCGTCCAACGCACTAGTCGGTTCATCCAGGATAAGCAGTCGTGGTTTGCGAACCAGTGCACGAGCAATAGCCAATCGTTGCTTCTGACCGCCAGACAGCTTGCTACCATTGGCACCACACTCCGTGTCATACCCGTCCGGAAGACTCATGATCGTGTCATGGATATTGGCCAATTTGCACGCTTGGACGATCTCTTCTTCTGAGACTTCGGTACCTGGTCGGGCTCCGAGGGACATGTTGAATCGAACACTACCCTCAAATAAAGTTCCTTCTTGTGGGACGAGAGCAATTTCGTCGCGGAAGGTTATATCGCTTCGCTGAGTGATGTCTGTTCCGTCCACGAGAATTGCTCCCGAGCTGGGGAGGTACATTCTTTCCACGAGTGAGATGATTGTCGACTTTCCTGCGCCGGAGGGTCCAACTAAGGCGCAGAATTGGCCTGGTTTGACGTGAACGTTTAGGCCGCGGAGGACCGGGGCGTGGGCCCGGGCGGGATATGAGAATTTCACGTCGCGGAGTTCGACGTCGACGCCGCCTTGTGCGTTTGGCGAGAAGGATTTGGTTTCGCCGGTTGATTCGATGTCTTTCTCGGATGATGAGGGTGAGGTAGATGGTTCGGGCAGGGCTTTGACCTTAGAGGCCAGGCCTGATTCGCCTAGCTCGAGGATTTCAAGAACCCTGGCTACTGCGGCGCGGGCGTTGGATACTTCTGGAGCGAGAGCAAACATTTGACTCCAGAGTTGGGCACTGACTAGGAGTGCGAACATGACGATGATGAATTGGGTCTCGCTGTAGGTGCCGTTGAAAATCTGCTTTGATCCCCACCAGAAGGCGAGAGCGTAGGACAGGTTACCGATGAAGAAAGCCAGGCCCAGCCATAAGTTTGCCCAGAGACTGATCTGGGTTGTTTCGCGACGTGGTCCAGATAGTGTACGGCGGTAGACGGCCAATGTCTCATTTTCAAGGGACAAGGCAGCGACCGTTTTGATCGAATTGATTGCCTCAACGCTGATGCTGACGGATTGGTTGAATGCGTTTTCGTGTTTCTCTTCGAATTTGGCCAGGACGTTCAGTTCCATCAATCCGACTCCCAGGAGGAGAGGTACAACAGCGATACAGACGAGAGCCATCTTCCAGGCAATACACAGAGTCATCACGATAGCAATGATGAGGTTGATGCAGATGGAGAAGATGGTACCAATCACAGATCCACTGAGGCCGGCAATCAGACTACCATCATTGGTAATGTATCCAAGTAATCCAGTCGGTGTACGAGACTCCGATTGGTGCCATTGCAAGTCCTGTTCGAAAAGAGAGCGGAAGAGCAGAATGCGGATGTTATAGATGGACTTCTCCGACACCCAGCCGAATCCAACCCAGCTGGCGATGTTCGCGAAGAACTCAACAATGGCCAGGATGAAGAACATCAAACCGAAAAATTCACCACGCGACCGGATATAATCGGGTGATTCACAAGGTGTAAGGCTGCCAACGGTGTTACCAAAGATAACAGCTTCGATCGAGAAGGCCGCACCGACAATACTGGCACCAAGCAGAGCCAACAGGGCGATGAGAAGATAGGGACGCATGATGGGGTAGACACCCTTCATCAAGTGCCAGACGGACTTCTTCCGGGGCTTTGCGGTCTCATCTCCTGAAGATGTGGGCGGGGAGGAATCATCAGTCTTCTCAGTTGCATCGACGGAGATTTGCTCCATGCCCTTCACCAAAGCCGACTTAGCCGATTGTGCATCGTCGCCAGATTGCTCTGTTTCCGTGATATCGCCCGACTGGGAATCAACTTGCTTGTCCGAAGGCTGTGTGTTAAGATTCTGAAGACCGACAAGTCCCGCATAAGCCCCTTGCTTCTCCATGAGTTCACCATGGTTTCCTTCCTCAACGATAACACCATCGCGCATGACAATGATCTTGTGAGCTTTCTGGATAGTCGAGAGTCTGTGAGCAATAGAGATCATAGTACGACCCTCAGAGCAGCGCTCCACAGCCGCGAGAATCTCCTTCTCACTCTTGGAATCAAGGGAAGCGGTGGCCTCGTCCAAGATCAAGATCTTAGGATCTTTAACAAGCGCACGAGCAACAGCAATACGCTGCTTCTGACCACCACTCAGCAAGGTACCGTTTGATCCGACGATCGTTCCCAGGCCCTCTGACAAGTTACCAATGAATCGTGCAGCATCGGCGAGGGTCGCAGCGTGCTGGACCATGCCGATAATCTCCACCACATCAGCGCCATAGACTTGAGCGGCCTCGGTTGCATCCTGTCCGCCTCGGATAGCAGCAGCGACTTCGGCCAAAGAAGGTCCCATCAGAGCGTTACCAAGGTGTTCGTGCTTTGCAGAGTTAACCAGACCGTGTGCGATGTTTTCCAGGATAGAACGGTCGAGCAGAGTTGCCTCCTGTTGGACCATGCCGATGCAGCTACGCAGCTGGCGTGTGTTCAGACTTCGGATTTCCTGGCCATCGAGCAGAAGCGAGCCTTCCAACGGGTCATATAGTCGAAGCATCAAGCTAGCAATGGTAGATTTACCACTACCCGACAGACCAATGATGGCGGTCTGCTTGCCAGCAGGACATTCCAAAGACACATTGCGAAGGACTTGTCGCTCAGGCCGAGAAGGGTAAGTGAAAGACACATTGCGCAGCTCAAAATGACCGGGAGTTGTCGAAGGCACGTCAAGACCTTCGGTAGAGGTACCGTCAATAAGAGACTTGTGATCCATATCCCGCTTCAACTTGCTGAAAGCCGCCGAAGCAGCGCCGAAGATTTGCAAGAATGGAGCCACCTGACTGAGAATCAGGGTAGCATCAACGAGCAAGAAAATGACAGTGAAGATGGATCCAACAGAGGCACCACTGCCACCATTGGAGCTCGACTTCGCGACAGAGTCGGCAATTGTTCGACTTCCCTGCCAAAAAGCCAAGGCGTTGGCGGAGTAGGCAATGAAGTACATCAATCCAGCTTGGATACCAGTTGCCAGGGCCTTCTTCATGCCTTCGTCTCTGGCCGTGCGCAGATGGGTTGTAAATTTCGCCTCCAGTCTTTCGTTGGCGTTGAATGCATGCACAACTGCTACATTTGACAAGCCCTCCGAGGCGATGGACGAAGAGGCTGCAAAGCAATCAGATACTCGACTGGAATACTTTTCAATGAACCAACCGCCTCCGATGGACATTATGAAGTATGCGGGCAGTAGCGAAACCAAAATTCCTGCCAGCTTCGTATCTTTGATGAATGCGACCACATAGGCCGTCACGAAGAACGACACACTAGAGATACAAATACCAACCTTCTCCGAGGTACCGGAGCGAATGGTTTGGATATCACTGTTCAATCGGGAAGACACCTCGCCAGATGGGAGGTTATCGAAGAACGAGGGCTCTTGACGCAGGAGGTTCTGGAAATAAAGTTCACGCAATCGTTGAGCAAGTCGAGCACCGCCCATTGACCAGCAGACGAGATGGATGTACATGAACCCAAACTGGGCGATGGCGAGGTACAAGACATAGAGGATTTTGCCATTAACCTCGGACTGGTAAGAAGCTTGGGTTGCGGCATCGAGAGTTTCGCTTGCGGCGCAACTCTCCGAGTTGAAGTTGTCGATAAGTTGACCGAATATAATACCAAGAAGTGGAAAAGGGATACCGGACGCAATGGCGCACACCACACCACCGACGAGTAGTAGGATGTCGAAGTTTGATGGGTTTGTCCGGAAGTAAATAGAGAAGTAAGTGAAAAAGTCCTTAAGCTGTAGGAGGGATTAGCTGAGCTCTCTTGTTCATTCGCGCACACTCGCGCGCGTCGTGGAGTTCGCGACAGCATACCTTTTCAACCACGCTCGAGCTCTCTTTTGCAGGTGTCTCCGCTGGCGTCTGCGCTGGAGTCAACGCAACACCCATGGTGTCAGCCATGGTGAGTGGGAAGTGCCTTGCACAGCAATGACGCTGTCCTCAAAATGGCAGGGCGCGACTTTTGGACAAGTCTACGAAGCTGGATTGCCGAGACCTTTGCGTTTCTTCAGTCCTCTGATTGGGGTTGGCGCAATCTAAATTTCAAGTCCCTCGCCAGCTTTGATTTTCAGCGAAAGGAACTAGAACGCAGTGGGCCGATACCGGATCGACATAAACCACAAGCTGTCGAGCTGAAGAACGAAAAAAAAAATCTGATAAGATCAAACGACGGAGTGACAGCCGGAAGACCGCGCAATTCAGAGCAAGGACCAGGGCCCAAAAAGAAATTGCTAGCAAGACTTGGCTGGTGGAGCAGCGCTGGCATGGATTCAGTCGATGCCCACATATTGCCGACCCTATAGGGATGGATACACGAGGCAAAGGGCATTTACATACAGTATTGTGGTCATTTACGAGAGCCAGGCACGGAATTTCCCGCCGTCTACCTGTCCGGGTAATCTAAAAGTCAATCCTTGTATAAGCTTGGTTTCATGAATCCTGTGACGGTCCACTTGGTTGCGTACAAAGCTCCACTTTGGGCTCGTGGTCCAAGACGAAGTTGGTCATAGCGATCTTGGCATTTGCTGCATGGCATGGCCGAGAGAATGTTCCCAGGAACACGCTACTGCGGCCTGGTTGAACCTCCACTGCTGTGGGTATATATGCCGTCTTGGCTGACTCGATTATAGCTGAAGTTCTGAAAGGGGGGTGAGTAAACAGAATTTTGGTGGTGGAGAAATATTGCAACGCCCAAGCGGAAATTTTTTATCAGATTAATCAGATACCCGTAATCAGATAAATTATGCTTTACGTCTCCGGTGGATACGTGTTTTCGATACGCTCGTATGCGCCCCGCCGTAATTGGGGCGCAGCCACTGTAATACATACAATCCACCTGAAGACAATGTGGAATACGAAGTACAGAGTACGGAGTACAGGTAATAATAATCAGATGAAAAACAGCATCAGATAATTTTCGTGACCTCGGCACTATTGTATTACGATTCAAAATCATTCAAAGCTTCCCATCAATACCCGCTAGCTTCCAGTTCAACAAGGCGGGTCAAAAGGGACGTACGCAGCACGCTGTGTTATTTGCATATTACCACAGCCCTGTCTACTGCTAAGCTCGACTCAACATCCAAGGACTTCAATTTGGGCACAGCTCTACAAAATCTGCCATGGGTTCATCAACTTCCTTCAAGCGGTTACCGCCACCGCAATCATATGCCTATGTTTCATTCCCAGCACCACATGTCATGCTGGTCGTGTTCAACCGGCCAAAAGCCCTCAATGCCATGACCAGTGCAGCCCAATATGACCTCGAAACACTTTTTACATGGTATGACAGTGAGCCATCGCTACGCTGCGCCATTATCACCGGCGCCGGGCGCGCATTCTGCGCCGGCATGGATCTGAAAGAGTGGAACGAGGTCAGCATTCGGCGCGCAAAGGGCGAACACAGCAACGGGGCACCAATGCCACGATCTGGATTCGGCGCTCTTTCACGCCGACATGGGAAGAAGCCCATTATTGCCGCCGTTAATGGTATTGCTTTCGGAGGTGGTATGGAGATCGTCTCCAACCTGGATCTCGTCGTTGCCGCCAAGAGCGCACTCTTTGCGTTACCCGAGGCCAAGCGAGGTGTGGTCGCTATGGCCGGCTCGCTGCCCAGACTTTCTCGCACTATTGGTCGTCCTAGGGCGACGGAACTCGCTCTCACTGGAAAGAGTATCACTGCTGCCGAAGCCAAGGAGTGGGGATTGATTAATGCGGTGACGGAGGATGGCGCTGCAGATGATGAAATTCTGGACCGACCGGTTGTGAAGGCGGCCTTGAAATACGCTGCTAGTATTTGCGATAATAGCCCCGACAGCGTTATTATCAGCCGTGCTGGGATTGTGGCGGGTTGGGAAGACGGAAGCGCGGAAAACGCCAGTCGACTCTTGAGCGAAAATTGGGAGGGAGCATTGAATGATGGTGAAAATATACGAGAGGGTTTGTTGGCTTTTACTGAGAAGCGCGAGCCTCGGTGGGTTGATAGCAAGTTGTAATTATCATGAAGACCATGTATATAGAATGCAATTTTATAGAAATTATATCACGATCGCATATACGTATTTCAACATTCCAAGATTCAAGTTGTATATGCCAAGTGCTTCCATTCTCCTTAGACAATTCAATTACCATCCAATTGCCGTGGAGTTGATTTTAATTAATGCCTGCGTTCTGGACCATGCCATGCCATGCAATGCAACGTCGGCTTTAGTCTAGATTGCTCAATTTGTTCGCACGATCTCAGCATTTCCACAAGGCTGCATATGCTAGACAAATAGAAAGTTAAACCGACACCATCAACGCGGCCAGCGCGGAAATTAACACAATGAAACATCGCCAAAATATTCTATCTGGTAAAGACCATTCCATACCGTACACAATTTCGACAGGCCAGAAGCCCCTACTGCCCAGCGCCAAGAGATGCAGGATGGAGCTTGGTTACGCTTGGTATTGTATAAGCTTGTACTCGCTAATGCTGTATGAAGCGGGTATTACAGAAACACAGTTTCATTACTGACGGTAAGATGATGTTTTATATTTACACAACGCCGTCCCGCATTACGCGCCACAAGCACCAAGATGCACGAACGGGGAAATGATTATCAGATCCATCGTGCAACCCACCATCCGTAGAACAATCGGGCGTTTTTCGGTTAGCGAGGTCCAGACAACCCGAGCTGGCAGGTCCCTGCATCCGGCTCGCAGCACTTGGCGGTGGACACTCCGTCTGAAACATCGATATGTCGTGTACGCGGTCAAGGCAGAATGCGGAAAGATTTTCTGTCGATTCGGTTCGCGTAGCCAGATGTACTATTATATTATAGGCTTACCACGCAGGAGTGCGAGCAATAGCACGCCCTACGAGTACGAGTAGGAGGATATCCACCCCCCACCATCTTATCACATCATCATGACTTACCCGAGTGACCTCCACGACCCATTCTGGTTGCCGTAATAGTCACTGAGTCCGAAGTCAACATCCACCACATTCAAGTTTGTACATGACACTGCGTTTCAAGATTTTGCGAGCCTAGTTTGGCCGGCCACCGCGGCAATTGCTGAATGGATGATGGTCATCCCCTGAAAAAAAAGCATTGAGGCTTTGTCTTGGCTAAGGCAGCTGAGGTAGCTCAGATTTGGCCCCATCTCCGAGTCCGATGCGGAGGCAACGCTGTCGGAGAAGACCGTTTCAGTTACTCCATAGGGGCTAGTATGCTGATCTCTTTAATGAGAGCTGCAGTGCACACCAAAGCCTTGCTCTATAGATAGTTTCCCCCTATATCGATCGAGAAATTAGTAGCTCGAAGTCTATTGCGACCACCGGATCGTTTGTATGATGCAGTATTGCCTGTGGTCACGCTCAGAATTGACAAGGAGAACAGTGGTCCCATGGACGAACCAAGTCACGGTTTGAAATTATCTGATTATCTCCATCTCGGAAAATCAAGGGAGAAATAACTGGAACGTCTTGGCACTCCGGTGGGCGATGGAGCAGGGTGACAATCAATTACTCTCTGGCCAAATGAGATAGCCGCCTGGGGCTCCAACCTCACCCAAGGATGATAGGTGCCCTTGCTACGTTTGCACTGCCAACCCATTTGATTGGCATGTCTCGCAATTGCCCCCAAACCGGACCCGCGTGTAGAGCGGCTCACAAACTGAGACCCTGCGACCCTTCCCCACCCAACACCCACAAACGTGGGATCAGATTAGATGGTTGGCTGTGAAAAGGGTCTTTGCGATCCTTTACCGGGGTGTCGGCCTTGTTTTAGTGGTCGGAAAGGCTGGATTTCAGGTTCCAGGATTCAAGCTCTACGACAGGGATCGATTGATGTGCATGAGCAGTGCAGGGGTTTATACATATTTGGGCCAACATACGCAGGATGCGGAAAGTTTGGCGTGAATCTCCGAGATCAGTTGATCTCGATGAGCTTATTAACGTGGCCACCTTGCTCGTTTCTCGGCGCGCTGATCAGAAGTCTTAAACTTTTCGCCCTTCTTTCGGTTTCCTCCAACCGCAGCTCCTGGTGTCAATTTTCAAGCCTTTTTGACCATTGATCGTCAAGTGGCTTCGATATCGTCATGGCCGACCACCAGTTCTCCCAGGAGGCAGAAGTCTCCAAACCGGAGATGAATGTCAATGTTGAGAGTCAGAAAGAGATCCCCGCCGATGGTGAGGATTTGACCCATAATCCGGATCTTCCTGACTACAATGCCCAATATGGTGTCAAGTCTGCGGAGGCCATCACCTTGTCGTGGACCAAGTCCTCTCTCATTATAGTTTACATGAGGTAGGTGACTGCATTGGATTACTGCCAACGAGAATGAACCCTCATACTCACTCATCACACAGTATGTGGTTGTTGTATTTCAGCAATGCCTTCGAGGCATCGTTGTCCAACAATCTTACACCTTATGTATCCAGCTCATTCAACGACCATTCCCTGATGTCGGTCATCACTGTCGTGACTCAGGTCCTGACTGGCGCTACCTACATGCCCGTCGCCAAAATCTTGAACATCTGGGATCGCACTGTTGGATTCGTGCTAATGCTTTCGATCGCCATTCTTGGCATGATCCTAATGGCAGCCACCAACAGCTTTGAGCTGTATGCCGCATCGAATGTAAGACTCAAATCGTCACTTTAATTTGACTGCATGAGTCTCCATGGCTAACAGAAGCTTTTTCTAGTGCCTTTACTCCATCGGCTTCACCGGAATGACCTTCTGTGTTGATGTAGTCACCGCCGATACATCGACATTGCGAAACCGTGGCTTGGCCTTTGCATTCACTTCATCCCCCTACATAATCACCGCTTTTGGCGGCCCCAAAGCAGCAGAGACCATCTATGCTGATAACTGGCGCTGGGGCTTTGGTGCCTGGGCCATTATTCTCCCCGTGGTCGCTGCGCCCATGATCATCATGATGACCCTGGGTAAGCGCAAGGCGAAGAAGAATGGGCTCGCCCCTCGTCAGATTAGCGGTCGGACGTGGACAGAAAGCATAATCCATTACTTCATCGAGTTTGATGGTATGAATAACTCTTTCCAACTTCACTTGAGCAATTTAATGACTTAAACTCTCTAGCTGTGGGTGTCATCCTCCTGGTCGCTGGATTCATCCTTTTCCTCTTGCCTTTTATCATCGCCGCCGACGCGGAAGACAAGTGGAGAAGCGCCAACATTATCGCTATGCTGATTGTCGGATTTGTCCTGCTTGTCGCTTTCCCCTTCTGGGAGAGATACGGTGCTCGTTCGCCGTTCGTTCCCTGGTCGCTGCTGACCAGTCGATCCGTCATTGGTGCTTGCATGTTGGACTTTGTCTACCAGATTGCCTATTATTGCTGGTACCAGCAGTTTTCCTCATACCTGCAAGTCGTGTATAATACCTCCCTTGCTGGAGCTGGTTATATTGGCAGTATCTACGACGTGGTTGCGGGTGTTGAGCTGTTAATCGTCGGCGCTTTGATCAGCTACACCGGTCGCTATAAATGGGTGCTCATGTGGGGAGTTCCGATGTATATTCTCGGCGTTGGCTTGATGATTTATTTCCGCCAGCCCGGAAACGGCATTGGCTATATCATCATGTGCCAGATTTTCATTGCCCTGGGTGGTGGCGTTATTACTATCGGTGAGCAGGTTGCTCTGATGGCGTCTGCCGAGCACAACGATATCGCAGCTCTTTTGGGTTTGCTGGGACTCTTTGGCTACATGGGTGGTGCTATTGGAGGCTGTATCGCAGGTGCTATCTGGAACAATGTCTTGCCGGGTGAGCTTCAGAAGAGACTCCCTGAAAGTACCGCAGACAAGTGGGAAGACCTTTTCGGTAGTCTCGATGTGGCATTGAGCTACCCCGTTGGTGACCCGACGCGAGAGGCTACCAGCATGGCATATGCGGCTACGAATAAGTATATGTTGATTGCAGGTGTTTGTATTATGTCTTTGGGTCTGGTTTGCATGGCGGTTATCAAAGATCGCAACATCAAGCACATCATACAGACCAAGGGTATGCTTTTCTGAGCTACCCGACATTTACGACATGACTCTGCATCGATTTTGCTCATGAGAGGTTGTATTTAGTGAGGTTTAATGGGGCCTAACTATAGAGGATGTTCTGTTTCATTTTATTTACGCAAATCATGTTACTTAAATGAGGAAGGAAACCCCAATCTTTGGGCTCTCAGACAAATGACAATTCACGGCGCTCTACAACTTGGGGCAATCGACCCAGTGTTTCTGCCAGGGTGGAAGCGTCCCTAAAATACGACTGTTTCCTAGACGGATTTGGGGAATGACTATTTCATAGCTAGAGAGCTGTATAATATCTCTAGTCAAGCCCAGGAAGTATTAGTACTATGCTACTAGAAAGCCGATACCAGTAATAAAGATGCATTATAATATATGGGATCCCACTTGGTATCTTATATACCCAGTACTCTGGATCTTTGGGATCAAGCAATTCGGATAGGTATAGTAGATTCACTGAGGGGATGGCACAGCCTTAAAACTTCTGGGAGAGTCCAAGACTGCACTGGGCCAATCCCCCCCTATGTAGTGCCGTAGACAACTGACGAAATAGCAAGACTGCTTTCTCACCCTTTCTCACCAGGCGAGTCGCTCCCAAAATGAAAATCTTGACCCATTTCCCCTTTTTTCACGTATCTCCTTTCTAGCAACAAGTCGACCAGATCATTGCATTTCTTCTTGATGTCCCTATCAGGGAGTTATAGTATGCATCCAAATTTTGCTATTATTTTATCTCAGACTTCTTTAGTAGCAATACACAAAATTCGGGTTCTCTTTGTCTGTGAGGTTTTGGAAAGCCGTAGCATTGAGGGCTTCGGAATCATCCCTGAGGTTCCCACTATCTCGCAGCGCACTGCGTATTTTCTCTTTTCGTCGATTTTCCCACTTGAAAGCGAAGCGAAAGACGAAGAACAGAATAAACTCAATCACATTTGTAACTAACAATGAGCCAATCCCCAGTTGGTACGAGGGCGCCTGCGATGTCTTGTAGAAAAAGGGACTGACAATACTGCCAACGCAGGACCCGAACCAAATTATTCCAGACACAATCATCCTCTTGGAGTGGCCTCCCGTGTTGCTTGTAACCAAGGAGAGGCAGATCACGAAGGATGCTTGGTAGGAACCAGTAAGGTAGCTAGATACTCATATCAGTTTGAGATCTGAAATGCCAAATTGTGAATCGGAGCCGAGAGTACTTACAAGCAAATCAACCGTCCCACATAAGCATCTGGGGGTGCCAGCAAGAATCCTAATGCGCCAGCCATAGTAGGAATCATGAAGGCAGCACAAACAAGCGTACGACTGTTTGGAGGCATGTAATGATTCACCACTGCCCCAAGGCCGATCCAAATCACAACCAAAACCCCTTGAGGTATGCCAAGTAAGGCGGTTCCAAATCTGTCAAACCCAAGCCCTTGAATCACGAGTGTTGAGAAATTAGATATGCCGCCATTTGGAACAGCCGAGACAAACCCCATGAGCATAAAAAGCCAGGTTTTATAGTCCGTCAAGGCTTCTCTGATTTGATACCATTCCACCTTATTATTGTTAATTCCAGTCTGATTAGAACGCATTCGGGCAATGAGCATAAGCTTCTCTTGGTGTGTGAAGCCTCGAATTTGTGTGGGTGAGTTTGGGAGTAGGATAAAAAGGGCGATGCCCCATGAATTGCAAAGTGCCCCAACAATCAGAAATTCATAGCGCCATGAAGAAAGTGAACCGCGAATTTGACCGATACCATAACCTGGCCTCAAAAGCGTAAGCAATTATCAAACAAACAGCATCCTTGAATTTAAACTCACCAATTAAACCCCCCCCTGCAACACCTATCCCATTCCAAGCATACCAAGCAGATATACGAGAAGGCTGCTCTTCTCTTGTATAGAACATGGATGTGAAGAGCATGAATGCTGGGTCTGCGATGGCTTCAAAGGCACCAGATAGCACGCGCAAGACAACAAGAACGGTGAAGCTCCCAGCTGCCGTCTGACACATCAATAGCGCACCCCATAAGAATATATTAATGGATAGATACCAGGCAGGGGGGTTCCGCTGCATGATCAAATTAGACGGGATAGACCAGACCAACCAACCAAAGTAGAAGACGCTAGATAGCCATGAATATTCTGTAGATTGGAGATGGAGGTCTTCTTTGATTCCGAAAATGGCGGCGTATGAGAGCGTTGTCTTATCGATGTACTAAGAATGAGCATTAGCAAAGGCTTCCGTCACAGTCCGACAGAAAGGCATTCTTGCATAAAAGAAATAGCATATTCCGAGGAGTGGTAAGATTCGTCGGTCGATTTTGTGTCTCAGGTGCGTCTCGGCCTCTTTGTCAATTGAAGCATCGTTCGGGTATTGTTCCAAAGCCTCACGATACATATCGAGATCAGTGCCGGAGGCCAAACACTGTTCCAAGGCTTGCTCTACGTGAGTACAATCGCCGAGTTCAACATTTGACGATTCATCTTTATGTTCCATGACAGAAGTCCTGGACTTTAATGAACAAAAGCAACCTTGAAAAAGTAAAATTCAGGTTGATAGAAAATTAAATAATAAAGCGTTTCGCAAGCAGATTTGATTAGCTCCTCATATTTGGTGTTTCGGCGGATTATATACCTTTTCGGTGTACAATCCGATCCCCTTTAGTCCCCCAAACTTTGTGACTTGGTCTTTCTCTTCGGTCGGTAGCATATGATCCAACGAATTTTAGTGGTGTGGTGCCGGAGAAAGTAAGACGAGCTCTTATCCGAGAAGGGCCCATGGTAAGGTTCAAGTTATAAAGCCGAAGTGCCGAAGCTGGTCATCTTATTCGTCGATATATTCTCCAAGACTCCACCCCCACGAACCAAATCCCCTGGCCTACAGTGCGCAAATCCAGGATCAGCGTAGAATGATTTCTTTCAAATTGAGCCAACTACCATATCTGCATAGTCGGAGAGCTAATTGTGATTATTGCACGCGACCAGAGCATTTCGTAATCAGAGGAGTATTTCTCTGGCTAGTCTGGGCATGGATAGAGCCGAAATACCGTTCAGGACAATTTTATTTGTGGACTTTTGTATAGTGATTCTACAATACTCCTACGGTTAAGTCCTCTTCGAGAATCCTGCCCCTCTCTGAGTTCCTGCGAGTCGACTCTCTCAGAATAATTTGTCAAAATGAACATTCTCCTGGGTATTTAAGAGATCGTCTCCCTCCAACAATCTTGTCATTACCATCCCACCACCAACAATAAAAGTTACCCGAGCCACAAAATGACGTACGAAAACTTCAACGGCGAAGAACTAACTCCTGCATCTGCTTTCGCCGGATCAAAAACTCCCATCGACGATGTGAGAATCGAGGATTTTGAAGTATTTGGTAAGGTTATTCTCCTGCTGTTCTCTTGGCAAGAATTAAACCTGGATATAGACTTGCGATTTCCGACCAGTCTCGATGCTTCGGGGTCCGATGCCATGAACCCAGCAGGAGATTACAGTGCTACCCACGTCCAGCTCAAAACCAATACGGATCTCAAGGGGCACGGTATATCCTTTACGATCGGTCGAGGCAACGACCTCTGCACTTCTGCCGCCCGTCAGATTGCAGAACGGCTTGTCGGCAAGACACTTGGCGAACTGACCAAGAACATGGGTGAAACATGGCGCTTTCTTGTGGCCGATTCTCAGCTTCGATGGGTAGGCCCCGAAAAAAGGAGTCACCCATCTTGGTCTAAGTGCCTGTGTCAATGCACTTTGGGATCTATGGGGCCGATATCTTAATAAGCCGATCTGGAAACTAGTTTGTGACATGACCCCGGAGGAGCTTGTCGCCTGTATCGATTTTAGATATATTCTCGATGCTATTACTCCAGATGAAGCGATCGCTATATTAAAGGAACAAGAGAAGACAAAGCCAGCTAGGTTCGAAGACGCGCAGAAAAGCGAGGCAGTCCCCGCTTACTCGACCCAAGCTGGCTGGCTTGGTTTCAGCGATGAACGGATGATAGAACTGATCAACTCAAATCTTTCTGAGGGTATTGATAAGTTTAAACTCAAGGTCGGGGGTAATCTGGAGGATGATATTCGCCGGGTCCAAATTGCTCGAGACACGATTGGCTATGATCGTACGATGATGCTTGATGCCAATCAGGTATGGAGTGTACCTGAGGCCATTGACTATATGAAAAAGCTGGTTCAATTTAAGCCTTTGTGAGTCATTCAAGAATGCCTTCAATGGGTTATAATAATTGAGATTAATATGATGATAGATTCATCGAGGAGCCGACCTCTCCTGACGACATTCTTGGGCATGCAGCTATTCGCAAGGCACTCTCACCATATGGTGTTGGTGTAGCAACTGGCGAACACTGTCAAAATCGTGTGATCTTCAAGCAGTTGTTGCAAGCTGGCTCTATTGACTACTGTCAAATAGATGCGTGCAGACTCGGAGGCGTAAACGAAGTTTTATCTGTGCTACTCATGGCAAAAAAGTAAGCGTTCTCAACAGGACTTTGACAAGAACTTAACTGACTTGTTATCAGGTTTAACGTGCCAATAGTGCCACACAGTGGAGGCATTGGCCTCAACGAATACACACAGCACCTTGCCCTTCTCAACTATATTTGCATATCTGGTGAGAAGAGTCTCCTCGAACACATTAACTCTTTCAGCGAGGTTTTGAAGTACCCTGTGCAAACAAAGAATGGATTTTTCGTGACCCCCTGGGAGGCAGGTTACAGTGTGGAATACAAGCCCGAAGCAATTGTAACCTATGAGTATCCGAACGGGAGCTTCTGGCAAAGCGAGCAAGGTCTCGCTATTCGGAATGGACCGAAACTGTGAGCCACAAACTTCACTTGCTAGTTACCCATGAATCTAGGTAGAATAGTTCTATTTGACTGTTTAAATCAAGAGCTTTAACTGTATATATTTCCATGAGAATAAGAACCAAGGGATACTAGTATCACTGGTCATGGAGAAAGAAGGAGTGAATGAAGCAGCCCGTAGCCATCTAGCCAGTTTTTTAGACTCTCATCCTCGTAGATAGAAGAGTCAACTATACTGGAGGATTGGTCATAATTCGAGAACACGCGTTTGGAACCGATGGAAGATGGGCCCTCTTCCAGGATTTCTGCCCCTGGGTCCCTGCCTCTCGCCAATGGTGGGTCGAGAATGCACATTCGGTCCCCATTAAACTCTGTATCCTGGAACCCCGCGGACTGGATGTTGCTTTTTGAATGACTGTTTGATCGAGTTCCCAAACTTTGATATGCAATCTCGAAGAGGTCGTGGTAGAAACTTGCATGCCAAAAGGTCTCGCCAAGCTTCTTCAAGCAGCGCATACAGGACTGAAAATGACTCTCAGCAGCTTGTTTATTTTCAAGCCTCTCTGGATCGCACATAAAAGAGAAATGAACTATAAGCGGTGGAATTATCGTGGTTACACTTTCTCAATGTTAGCAATTTATCTCAGGGTGGTCTGAAACGAGTCATACCTTTGAGTCGGCAATAAATTTATGATATTAAGATCATTCAGGATCTCCAGAAGGCGGGCCGAGTCCGTAGCAACAACCTGTGCCTCAGGGAAGGTGGTTTTGTATCTTCCCGAATGGATACCATGTCTCGAGTTCCGCCGCTCGTGTAATGAGATTAAAACTGTGCTGTTGACGGCGTTAGCGAGAATCCTTCATATCTATCTCCCGGTTTACATCGAGGTCTCTGACTTGTGTAGAAGATGAAGGAGTATTTTATAAGCAGCGTCTGCGCCCTGTCTTGCTGTGTTCATAAAGCATTCGTCAGACAGCCGCGATGATGGATCAAGATTAGATACCCAGTGGTGAAGCATATCCTTGCAGAGGTCTATTTGGTCAGGTTGATGGTCGGCTGCTGCTGTAAAAAGGGACAAAACCACCTCTGTGCACCGACATAGCTTTAGGAGATCGATGAAAATGGCTTTAACACGAAGCTGCTCGTCATCATCGCCCTCTTCTTCAAGATCTGAGTAGCTCAACATAGGAACATTGCAATCAAGACTATTAATGTGCATGGGCCTACCGGTACCCAACGCAATCAGCCGATCACGTACAACACAGCACCACCAGATTCTGGCCCAGAATTTGTGCTGTGGTGAGTGCTCCATAGTACGATGTAGTCCAAGGCCCTGGGCTAACCCGATGGCTTGATAAACCCAAAACCAAGTATGTCGTTGTTCAACCATGGATGGGTAGTAATGGCTCATCAGCAACAGAGCTTGGATTGATATCACATCGTCTGGTTCTCGATCCAGGTTATGGAGAAGCTTTGATTTCTAATTAATCGGGGACCATTGCTCATGCGCGAGGATTACTTACTCGTGCTCTAGCATGAAAAGAGCTCTTTGCCTGCTTATGCCCCGTGAACCCCATCTCATGGATAGTCTGAAGGGTCAAATACTGCCAGTGCTTATATCAGCAAGAGGAAATAAACAAGAGGATAATGACCACTCACCGGGCAGGCAGTGGATATTATCACGTTGAGAAGCAGGGGGTTCATTTGCTGCCTATCCATAAGCCCCTCTCGCCTGATAGCTCTATACTGGCCAAGAAACGAGCATTTATTAATGACCGGGAAGAATGGATGGAAGTATTGAAAATACGCCGAAATACATCGATCCAGGTGTTCCTTGCGCGGGAAGTCGAAAACGCCCTTGCGTCTCAAGTATGATGAATCTTCAGCACTGAGTGATGATGTCGCGCTGTGCGATGACGTTGACAGGTCATGAGTAGGAATTGGAAATACAACACCAGGCTGGCTATTTTCTGCCCGAGGAACACGGACGCATGGAATGAAGTGTCGGAGAAAGGAATAATGAGGCACTTGATGGAGTACATACTCAGGCATCGATTGTGGAGATGTCTCTTTATGACTCCTGGCAATTTCTTTGTCTCTTGCCTTTTCACCTCTCGGACGACGACGTTTTCTTTCAGCGAGAGCACATTCAAATCCATGGAGCTGGCATTTGGTGCAGGGTAGTCCAGTCTTCAGGACATCGCAGCGGATCTTGCGGGAGTGGCAACTAGTGCAAGCTTTGGCGGCACGGGGAGCGGGCAACTTAATTGATTCTGGGCTTTGTGGCATTTTTGTGACAGTACATTCGCTGAGTGAATCATCGAGTCTCATAAATAAACTTGGAGGCCTCTCGCTCTTCTTTTTTGTGCATCAGCCGGGAGGGAAAGATTCTCCACACGAAGTTTGTGCGGGGAAACCTCTCTATCTTTAGAGTCTTGGCGGCGGAATTGACCCCTATATTACAATTAAAATAGTAGGATTGATCGTGAAGAGCTGAGAGTCTAGATACCTCAATGGGTGTTTATATTCTTCGCCACCCTATTTCCAGAGCATGCCCTACTCTGTCGGGGATACAATCAGCCATGTTTTAGGTTAGCTCTTACCCTGTGTTGTGGAGTAATAATATTCCTGGAGCTTAATCCCGGGGTCTTGGAAACTAGTATTAAGTGGATAGTCGGATAAATTAGATTATATTTTTGAGTATCTATCATATAGAATAGAAATAGCAAGGCCAGACGACTCGCTCCCAAGAAAAATGCTTTTATCCCTGCGTCGGTCACCAAAATGAATGCTAGATCCCGGAAGAGGACCCGTAAGCGGAATAAACGGATAGAAACGTAGAGTAAGTCGTGTCCCGATTGGCGATACTAGCGAAGATGATACCACTGCTCTTTGTTCCTCATCTTCTCCGTTCTTCTCGTCCTCCTATTCTTCCTTTACCCAGTCACGATGACTCAATATTTTCAGTGTCACGACGAGAAAGCCAAATACCTCCATCTCCTTTTTCACAAAGATAACAAAGGGCCCGTGCACTGGCAAGTGAAGCTGCAGACAAAACCCAGACGTATGGCATCGTGACTGGTGAGAGTAGCCTGGTCTATGATCAGGCACACTGGTTCTTTCTCCTGCTGAACAAATTCTGTGCGAATACCTCGGAGTCCGGTGTTGTTGAACGCCAATCCTGTCCCAACCACTCCTTTTAGGGTGTCAGATATCATCTGCTGGATCAGATTTGTATGGAATTATGCCCAGGTGTTCAAGTTGTTTTTATCCGTATATATATCCACCTGGGCAGGATGCTTTGGCGTCTTCCACTGCTGCCAGAGTGGGCATGTACCAGGTGTCGAACTGCTTTCCATTCTGAGGACTCCATTTTGATACGTTCTTTAAAGACCATTGCGTCGGCCTGAAAATTCCAGACACGTGCAGCAAGAGACGAGGACAGACGAGATCGATTGACCGAAGCGGCGCTGAAGTCCCAAGTTTGACGTCTAGACCCCTAAGGTCGCTGCAGTGACTCCTTGCTGTATTCTGATGCTAGGGCTTCGTGCAATTGCCCCGTTGATTGGTATTTGAATGCAAATACACATAATTAGTGCTTGCTGACAAGGCTCGGCAGCTTCGTCTTCCTCGAGCTTTGCTGTGTTCGCCATTCCCTTTCGGCAGGGATACCGCTGGGTTGCGAGAAAGCCGCGCTTCTTTGGAGACGCCTTAGCATTGTTAACAGGCGAGTTTCCATGACGCCTTGGCTGTTTGGAGACGAGTTCTTGATCAGCAAGCAAGTCCAGGGGCCTGGCTAAGTTGTGGTGCCCAGGTGGTCTGTAGAGTGATTGTGGAAGGTAAAGAGGAACATGGAGAGATTCCAAGTGGGCTTTCTCCTAGTAATAGTATGTAAACAAACAGTTTCGCCAGGAGCCGCCCGCATCTTCTAAAAGGAACCAAGAGACACTGCTCCTACCGAAACTGTGATTTCAATTGTCTCCTGGGCCTACCATCGCACTTTCCAGACCTACTAGTAGGGTCAATTTATATTTCAAATGAACTTTTCTAGATTTTATGGGAATTGGCCATACTACTACCTAGTGTAGTGGGGATTCCTGCTCTCAACATCGGTATCTCAGAGTCATGTGATTAGGGCCTTAGCAACAAGGCTGCCGTTTAGTTCAAGGAGGATAAATAGTTTCGTTCTAGATTATCAATTCAACATGCATGTTCCCCCTTCTGTTATGAAAATGTTCTACTGAGGCTGCTGAGGTTGCGGTATCGGTATACTGCTTATGAAAGGTTCTGGTATTCGTTCTGTTGATTCTCTATAGCGTCACGCTTGCCTATCGTCTCCTTGCACTCTGCGAGTGTGGTGGTGTTGTCTCTTCGCGATCGACCCGTCTGCCAACGCAGACTGCCTACGAGCATTCCCATCTTACACTAGGTATATATGTCTCCGACAGGCAACATGATATAGTCTTCGATGAACGGTATTCAAGTTCTCAGGCTAGGAAATTACCAGCTACTACTACTGAGCTTCTTATATTCTTTGGAAACTTCTGGCTATTTTTAAAATACCATGGTGGACTATACAGTAATCCCGGAAATCAGTGTCACCCCCTTTCTCTTTCATTATTATATATCACGCTTATACTACTAGTAGATACAACTAGCCCCCAAACATAGATCGTTTGAAACTATACTACGCATTCATATACCCCTCAATAGTCTTTATCTTATACTTAGAATAAGTAGAAATCTACTGTACAGCCATAGAGATCTTCATAACGCCCATAGACCATAGATTTTTCTAACAGATTAATAGTATAAATAAACAGCCTTGGGTAAACTCATCACCAAATATACATTCAGAATTACATTGTTCTTGCTTTTATACAGTTTATACTCTATAGAGGCACCAGCTTACAGTTAGAGTTCACCAGCCAAGAGCTTAATAAAGCTCTTCCCCTGTATCCTATTTCAGTACTTAGAATACAGAGTAGAAAGGCTCTACATTCAACAAGTAAATTTTTGATTAAAGAGTAGAGTAAAACCATCTCTACTAGAAAGGGCCCATCACCCCTGACAAACGAAGGTATCACCCTTGACGCTCCGGCTGGCCCACAACATACTTCTTTCTTTGTTTCACTTTTTCCAATAATAAGTGCTTTACTATCTATGGTCGCTCCTAGGGGTTCAAGCAAAGATTCTGTCGTTGCTTCCGCAGCACCAACATGGACAATGATTGTTGCATATTGGGCTGGCCTGATCTTTTGCTGGTACACCTTGATCTGTGGCGGCGTTGCCATGCCTTCTTACGGAGTTAGCTCTTCCACTAGGACAGGCATTAATACCGGGCATACTGCGTAAAGTGGTATCCTACTGCCCATACCCGAAATATATGAATCCTGGCACAACCAGAGCTTATTTTTTCTGCTGATCCCATATGGGACATTATCTACTCTATAGATTACGAAGAGTTTAAACTCCTTCATCCGGGAGTTCTTTCACTAACACTTTCTCAAAGCACATTTTAGATGTCGTTCGACGAAGCATGCGCATTTTATTCTGGTAAGATACCTCCTGCGCCAACAGACCTTGTGCTGGGGTGATTTAACGTCGTTTGGTCGACCACCCAGAATGTCCCGTCCGAGCCGCGCGAATGCACAGTTGTGATCAATAAACTCAGCACTGCAAACTCCAGCTTTAACTTGACACTATAGACGGTCGCTTTCAAAATGACCTGCAAAAAATAGTAGTTCAGATACTGGAGAACTATCAGTGCTAGGTCCATGACAATAGTTATAGCATTGACCGCCTGCAGTTCGTACAAGATCTTGCGACGCCGCTTGTCGTCGCTCGGAATTAGACGAAACATTCGGACAGTTTCCCAGATATACACTCCTGAGATAAAACACTCTTGTGCCGTGAACCATGTTATTTGGATCCGCTCATAAGCAGCGTACCCCTGCACCCACGCAGGAGACTCCGGCATATAGGACCAACCCGCATTCAACACAATCGTCGGTGCAACGACCACAACAAGACATATTATGATCAGCGCCCGGACGAAGCCCAATACCGCCGTGTTTTGCGACACCAGGTGCAGTCGCGAGTAGAGCACCACAGACTGGTTTGGCACCATCATGATCCAACCAACATTCTGTAAGATCACGCTCAGCCACAATGGTTCCAGGCTAAAGAACTGCAAGGCACCCCCAACAGAGTACGGAATCACGCCGACAATGGTCGATGTCAGCAGAGACCAAAAGTAAAGGCTTCGGTGGTGATGGAAAGTCAATAGGATGAGGACCGCCAGTTCCAGGGCGTTGAATAGGGCGATGGACGTAAACACGTGAATGCTGATATCAAGGGCATTTTCCACCGTGCCGTTCCCCGTCCCTAAAGGTGATGTTGGACTATCCATGTTGCGGGGTGGCGAGCACGAGAATGCCAACGGCCTCCGTGTTCATGTTATGCACCTCACACTGATGCTGACGACGCCAAAGCGCATGTGCACCAGGTTGTGAAGAGGGGGTCGTGTTATCTCTCAGTAATCTGCATAATAAGAAAGAGGAAAGGAATGATGAGTGATAAGGAAAAGTTGGGGCAAACTTGAAGGCATCTTCATAGTATATATCCACGTTATTTGACAGCAGGTCTAGATCAGGGGCAAGCTACGCCCAGCTGAGTGGAAAGGCCAAAAGGTTAACCCAAGGTTCCTTGCTCTTTTAAACTTTGAAACATCCAATCACACTTTGAGACGAAGACTGGATATTGAAGTCCGGCGCCACTCCATATTAGTGCGGTGAGGTATTGGGTTCCGGGTTTCCCTTAGAAACGACGTACCGCGGGAGGATGGGAAGCGTCAGCCTATACATATTGGAACGGACGTTGACCCAATCACATATACGGCATTGAATAGCCGCGCCACTTTACAATAATTAGTAATTCATTTTTCAACCGGCAGATAACTAAACAAGACGCACTATGTTATTAGTCAGAAGCAAGCAAGCCTAGACCTGGTTAGAACTAGATGAAATATCTCAACCAATAGTAGATATTTATCTATAGGTAACCACAGAGCAGAGCATATAATACTTACATAGTAGCTATTATCTACTTACTTTTTGTATACAAAAAGCAGCACTCAGTAGCCATCGCTTACTGTCTTTTTACATACAAGATACAGCGCACCACGTAGCTTATTGATAAGTATTCTTTCGAGTGCGACCGTACTTATAAATGATGGGTTTAAGGTAATCGGAGGTAGGCGGTGAGGTGAATTAATAATTATTGCAAAGTGGCGCGGCAATTGACTGCCGTACACATGAACTGACTAATGATAGATATCTAGTAGTTATTCTGGATTGGTGATGTTCGTTCACAAAAATTTGTATGCGCCCGAGCATGACTACAACTCTTGTGGTTAAGTTAAAATGATACAATCTGACAATCCATTAAAGTACAAATCCTCCACTGATATCGACAAATCACGAAGTCACTGTCCCACTGTAAATCATCATGCTTCGGTCTGACAGGTACGGCTATCCAATCATGATCTAACCCGCCCTTGACCGTTTCTGAGGTGATGACAGGGACTGGGCTCACGTGCATAGATATATACTAGTACCTGTCTACCAGCCTGCTTGTAACTACTATCTAATACAATAACATACAACCTTGGAACTAAATATGTTAACACCGAAGCGTCACTTATCAATTAGCACCGCTCTCTCTCTTCGGCACCCTCTCTGCCATAAAACCATTCGCGAAATTGCGGAAATAATTAATCGCAGGAGACGTTGAAAGGATTTGTTTGAATGAGTCTGTCAAAATCAATTGTATCGCGCTGTTGAGTAAATTATAAATTTCCCAAATAACCGTTGAAAGAATAGGATGGGAAAGTATTGAAAAGTTGAATGGCGGAATCCAAGACATTCTCCCGACGATTCCGTTGAAAAGTAAACTCGCTCTCTGCGGCTTACCATCTCCTTTCACCACCCGCTTTCGCATAACACGCTGTGAAATATTATTTGAAGAAGTTATCTGAATGTAGCTGTAACAAGGAGCCGGTTTGAATCAATTTCGGTGAGTTGTTGGAGAAATTGAATCTTTCGAGGAACTTTCGAAATGATAACTACTGAAAGTCGTTGAAAAATAAACAAGGTATCGTTGAGAGAACCCAATAATCAGGAGCCGTTGAAATAGTCGAAGTTTGGATGAAATTTGCTCAACGGAATTGCTGAAAGCACTCACCGAAGTCAAATATTCGGACTTGATAATGCTATTTTTGAGAACGGCAATCCCCCTTGATGGTGTCTTTCAGCAATCAACTTCAACGATCTCTAGCGTCAGTTCTCTCAAATATTTCATTTTCCCTCTCCACGACTACCTGGGATTAATTCTGAACTTCCTCAACGATCCATTAGGCCATTATATATCAAATTCTCGGGAAATTTCAAAGACCGTAAACGATTGCCTTTAACGATTGACTTAGATGACACTGAAATTCGAAGCTTCGGTGACACCCAATACCTTCCATGGCGCCTTTGTTTTTTCAACTCCCTTGGACGATTGCTGTACCAAATACCACCAAATCTTGCAACAATCCTTATGAATAACCCTTCACCGACTTCCTATATCAAAACATCCAACGACTTTGTGACACTAATGCTGCTAACGACACCCTTCAAAAAGATTTTCACCGACTCTTCGTACCCCGCGTTTCAAATATACTATATGCCACTGCTGCCACCGTCTCAAATCTCATCACCAATTGGCGTGTTTGCAATATCTTTCTTAACCGTATCCGCAGAGTCTGTCCAGAGATTAAGACCATTGAACAAAGTCATAGTATCATCGTAGAGGCCCGGGATCTTATAAGTTTTGCTTGGAGAGCCGCTGCCGGAGCCGGTAACCTTGATCTGTGCACAGCTGCATATCCTGGTAAGAAAAATTGCCTCAAGGGAGAATAGTAATGGCGACTTACCTGTAAAAGAACTCTGCCTGGTTATCTTGCGCGCCGTGAAGACCAACATGTTCAGCTCTAACGAGGTACTCGCCGGCTGGTGTGCTCTTGGGGATCTGGAATTCGAATTGCGACATTCCATACGAACACCAAGCACTAGAAGTGAGATCGCCGCTTTCATCACAGATAGTTGTTTCCCAGATCTTAAACCAGTCACCATCTCCCTCATACTCCTTCACATTACCGGTAGGTGCTTTTGACATGTCTGTGGAACAATATAATCAGCTTCTAATTCACAAACAAGTAGAGGTTTTCGAAAAACTTACAAACTTGACCAGGACCGGGGTGTGCAATGCTGCCGTCGTAGAATAGCTTCATCGCAATGGTGTCACCAGCAGCGACATCAGCAACCTCAGTCTTTGCGGCATTGCTGAAAGATCCCAGGTTGCAACGGAAGTCGCTATCCCTAGGGGTGAGATTGTCGAAGGTGGAGCTGAACTTGGTAGGCATATAGCATTTGTCCCGAGTGGTCTCGCGAATGTATTGCCAATCCTCTGAAACTTCATTGTCCAAAACGAGTTTGCTGAAAATATAATGCGCCGAAGCTGACTGTGCCAGCACAGCAGTGATGGTAAGGCATGTTGCGAAAATCTTCATTTTGACACGAAAAAAGTGAATTTAAGAAAGCACGAAGAAGGAAGCACTACCAGCAGGACTTGAAAAAGAAATCTTTCTGAAAAACCGACTCTAGCAGCGTATGTTTCTAGGTATTTATATTAATGTCAAGACCGCCTCCTGGAATATCTCCAGATATAACCCCGATTACTGTGAACCCTTGAAACAGGATTGATTGGCGCGTCTCAGGATGAGACTATATACTATATTGTAGACCGTTACTCCATAGTTACAGTGGGGTACTAGAAGTCTAGAACAACGCCAAGACTAGGGAGTTTCATGACTTGTACTCCGTACTCGTAACAGCTGTCACTTGTCTATCACATCCCTTAGCCAAACAAGTCCCCGACTACAGTAGATAGCTCATACATAGGGCTCCACATTATTGCCTCAGGACCTCCAGGATACTGCACATTCTAGACCTTACTTCGATCGCACTCTGAAATATTCGACAACCCTAATAGAGCCATATTTCGCATAGGTCAGCCAGAGTTGCCTTGAGTACATGTTTCGCTCCATCCCTGATACCAACAATTTGCCCCTAGATGACGGGTCGGCCCGTAAGTACTGCTGTGTCAAAGATTTTGGGAGAACATCTCTGCAGGTGTCGTCAACAATCCCGATCCGGTCAATCTCGACCGAATTGCGTATAATGTGTGCGCTTGAAATTCATGGGCTGGAGATATTGTGGTCATTTTTAGTTTAGTATACAGAAAGGCTTCTCCTACTTGAAATGGAATCATTCAGGCTATAAAAGTACATACGAAAACGAATACTGCGAATTACGTAAATAGCACCTAACTAGTGGACGCCAGAACATGCTATGTATGATCAATTGGTGTTTGAATTTTCTGGACTGGCTTTGAATGAGTATCTTGGGCCTTTTGTACTAGAACTAGAACAACATATCAACAATCACCACCTCCTTTCAAGACAAACGGAATCATATTTGCGGACATCTCCTGATTGCGTGTGGTTGCTTTACTCCCCTTTCTCCGCGGGCAATATATCAGGAACAGGCCCAACCGGAACAACCAACTCCCTATTCCCAGTCTTATTTCCAAGGGCAGCGCAATATCCAAATTTGTACTAAACAAATGTCAGCAATCAAGTACAAAGTATCCACATCATGTCGACGCTATTGGAATACCTACAATATCAAAGAAAGTCGTCTCCTTGAAAGCTCCCCGAGTCAAAGACGTCTCATCATAATAAAGCTTTCGATACCAACGGTCGATAAGGGGATAATCGTGCCTAATCATCTTCAGATTGCACTTGAAGATAAGATAATACGCAACATCGAACCGGGCAATAGTCGTATAGAGCCGAATATCAGCGTCGGTAATATTCTCACCAAAGAGAAAAGGTTGATGTTGTTCTTGACTGAGATGTTCTTCAACCCGATCCAAAGCTTCAAAAAGCGGATAAATATTCTCCTCATAAGCCGCCTGCGTAGTTGCGAAACCAGTCTTATAAACCCCATTATTGATTTGCGGATAAACCCAAGAATTCATCGCATCAATTTCATCCCTCAAATGTTGAGGATAAAATCCACCACCAGGCTGATTAACCTTCCTCAAACCTTGTGGCAAAAGGTTGTCGAATTCGGAATAAAGCATTCGAATGACTTCGCTGCTTTCATTATTGACGATCGTCTCTTTCTTCTTGTCCCACAATGTGGGAACGGTGTATCTTCCTTCATACTGCGGATCTGCCTTTAAGTATAGTTCTTTGAGGTACTTGAATCCGTACAGCGGGTCCTTTTCCGCAGACCCGTAGCGGCCGGAGAAGAACCATCCGTTCGGTCCGAGTTCGGGGTCTAAAACGACTAGCTGGATGATATCTTCTAGTCCTTTCAGACTTCGGACTAGATTTGCTCTGTGGGCCCAGGGACAGCCGTAGTTGATGTAGAGGACGTAGCGGTCCTTTTCGGCGGGGAATTCAGCCGTGGGACTTTTGGAGACGCGGGATCGAAATGCCGAATCTTTGCGGCGGAAGTGGCCGTCTGGGTCGGCGTGTTTGTAAACTTTTGTGTCCTGGGTAGGTTAGGGTATGGGTTTTGCTGGGAGGAGGTAATCCATGGAGTAGGGGATGTGATGGCTTACTTCGGTGCTCATGGCTGACTTGTATGAGGAGTATACCGATAGAGACTCGGATGCCCGGTTGATGGTTGAGCCTAGTACTTCGCCCGTGTGGATATGCAATAGATTCTACTGGCGCTTCGTAAGACTGGGATTCGTGTTGGTATATGATAAATTATCTCAGTCTTATGCACAGCAACATAGAATGATCGTTGGTAATCGCACGATGTTAGTTGCGAAGCTGACAAACCCCTCACGTCATCACGTCAGCATCGACGGATAGTTGCAAAGTTGCCCTATGGAAATATTCCGCAGATTCTTCGGAAGTACTTGCATTGTATATTCTAGAGCTATAGAAGTGTACATAGTCTAAAGGGAGATTAGATAAAAATATCCTATTACTCCTGAATCCCAAATCGCCTCGCCACCTCAACAAAACCCCCAGTATCCTGATCAATCCAAATATCAACCCAACCATCCGCCTTAGCCTTAGCAACTTCTTCAACTTCCCAATCCTCCTCCAACTCCCTCTCAACAAAAACAGCCTTAAACCCACAATCCTTCGCAGCTCTAAGATCCCTAAGATGGGCAGCCACAAGAGCACACTCTTCCGGCTTCAGCCCCAGTTTCTCCGCAGCACCCAGATAAACCTTCGACGAAGGCTTATAAGCGCCAAAATGTTCCGAACTAATCAAATGCGCAAAAGGCAGCGAACCGTGCTTCTTCAAATCTTCCAACAAAGAGACATTCCCATTCGATAAAGTCGAAGTAACGAATTGAGTGTTCAGCAGCGCTAGTCCCCTTGCACTATCAGTCCACGGATCAAGTCGGTGCCAGGCAAATGTCAGATCCCATAATTCTGCATCGTTGAATAAAGGCAGAATACCGCGTACGTTGAGCAGTTCTTTTAGAGCGGTGTAGTGGTGTTGGTCGATTGAGATGAATTTCGTCGATGGGTCAAAGGTTCGCGTAAATATGCCGTAGGATCGACGCCATGCTTCGGCGAGGCTGAGCCAGTCTGCTTCGGTGTATGCGGATGCACGGTCCAGCACGGGTGTTGGGATGTGTCTGTCTCTTGGGTGGATTTTTTAAGACTTGTAGGGATGCGGCTCGGAGGGCTTTGGTTACGCAGGATCGCCATTCGACGACAGTACCGAACGTGTCGAAAAAGAGGGCGCGGGGAGGTTGGTCCGGCATTGTGGGGGGGGGGGGGGATGTGCGGGATGGAGTGGATAGGTCGAGTGAGGTGATGCGAGACGAGGCGATGTATGAGAAGAGGGTACGAGCACGGAGGAGGAGTTCCAGGATCACGGGTTGATATGTGAGATTTGGACAAGAAATGAAATGATGCGATTGCGTTTATTTGAAGATTGCGACAGAAGCTGAGTCATTGGAACCGAGGCTGTTTGATGCCATTTGGTTCAGGCTGATTGTTCTGCCATGAGGACTAGGATGGAGATGGAGGAAATGGAGGAGAAATACATAGCGAAGTCGACAATTAGAGAGGAAGGAAGAGGGAGAGTCTACACATAGTTGGAAGGACGAGGGAATGACTCTGATAGGCTGCGATGAGGTATCCCGTACTGAAGCACCTTAAGGTACCCTCTGTTTATACTACTACAGCAGTACTAGGATAATATAATAGTTAACTAGTGGGCATTCCATAGTTAAATCAATTCCTTTGGTTAAAATAAGAATAAATTACACTATTCCAGCCGGTCGCAAAGCACTCAACTACTAGTAAACCTTTAATGTAAGACATCCCTTCATGCCGACCTCGTCACGACTTCCTTCCTCCTCCCCGCTTCTTCTTCTTCTTCTTCTTCTTCTTCTTCTCCTCCTTCAACTTCAACGTTTCGCCATCTCCACCACGACGCCATTCATGTCTGAGCACCGCATTAGCGTCCCTGTCAAAAAAAAAAATAGAACACTAGTGTCCCTCTGTCGAATGACAAGTCACCACGGATAATTGACCTGTCAAACGGCCCGTGTCTGCATTGGTGCTCTGAACCCCCAGTGGGTCATTCTATGCTGTCACTATCACTGGTTCGCGGAGGTGCTGCCCGCTTGAGAAATTGTCGCGTCGTCGTGCATTTGGAGGTCCCAGTCCAATGGTCAATCGAGCGAGGGGCCAGGGGCGAGGGGCGATACGCAGAGGAGACCCAATCAAGTGAGCATTGCTAATTAACCCCGTGCGCGGTGTGGCTGATTGGTTAACGTTTATTTTTATTTGATGATTATGTCTTAGCCGCGCTCAACGTCTACAAGTGCGACCGGCACTTTAGATGAAAGGATCGGGGGCGTCAGATCCAGGCCCTACTAGTCGGGGGAAACAACAGAGAGAGCACGGCGCGTGAATGGAGGAATGGCCTCGGCATATCTCAGGGCCGCATCGCATCGCGTCCCAGATTTCGCCTAAAAAAGAATCAAATCAACAAAGCAAAAGTTCGGTTTTCAGAGTGGATGCACCAAGCTCTCAGTGGAGACCTCGGGATGGACTTCGCGGGACGGGGACTCCGAGCTTTCCCCTCCCTACGAGTACCAGTACCGGCTGGATTCATGGGATACATTCGAAGCATTCGATTCCTATTCAAATGGCAATTGATGCAGCACTCCCTAGATCAGATGCAGCTGCGCCTGGCTGAAACACCGTCCACGGGCCATAGGCTCTCGTTGAACGAAATTGCCTACGACGATCATCACCTGCGAACCTCACGCTAAGACGGACTGGCCAACGCCAGAGCAGGGGAACGGTCATTCCCAAACACGCTAACCGGCTCTCCTATTCCACAAGAAGACCAGTGCCCAATCTATTCGACTCACCCACCCAATTTAATACTCGTCAGCTCAATGGATGGTGGGCTATTCCTCCTCTCCACCGGTGCCTCTTAGCAATTACCACAAAAAAGGGGCCGAGATCTTAGCTCTGTCGCTGTTGGCCGTACTCCGTCCCTGGCAAAGACTTGCGCCCAGCTGAACGCGTTGTTTTGGACCCATGGTGGGACCGTGGAACCAGCTTTTTCGTCACCGACGAACACCTTCCCCATGTCGAGCTGCAAAGTGGATTGAGACGATCCCAACTTATGATGTCTTGCCCAGCAGCGACTTGACTCCTATCCCGGATTCAGTGTGTGCTATCGTACACTTCTGCTGCGCCCGCATCGCCTTGGTCAGGGCTTGTTCCAGACAAACCTTTTTTTTCTTTCTCTTTTTGTTTCTTTTTCTTTGTTCCTTTTTTTTAATTGGCTATTGTCTTTTTTCTTTTCTTTTTCGGGATGAGATTTGATTCCCTCGTTTCCAGAAGCCATCCATATCCACGGTTCTCACACGGAGCTTAACACTGACATGAACTCTATGCATGGAGCTACCTTCGAGGCACAATCTCCGGTCTTGCTTCTCTTCTCGTGTTGTATCTAGATCGATTGATGGTCCGGACTGAGCAGAACGGGGCCATGCTTTAGTGTCTTGGTTGGCAGCTTTCGAGTGGAGCATCCTGCATCCTGGCTAATCGGGTGGATTGCTAGCTTCCCCATGTCCCTCCCCCTAACGAACACCCCTGGACTTTTTGGGTTTATTTTTTTTTGGCTCCAAGCCCAGAGCAAAGACCGCTTCCTCGCATCCGGCCCTTTTCCGATTCCTTTGCAGCAAGGCTGATCTAAGAAGAGGTCTTGAGGCAATCTAATGGGCATCACGTCCGATCGTTGCCTCCTTCGTAAAAGTCCCGTGGATCTTAAGGCCCGTCACGACGAGTCCCATCGGTGGCTCAGTGGCTCAGTGGCTCCCACTCTGTAGGTACTTCTGTACCAGTCCAGTGGACTCCGACTCCAGTGATCGAGATCGACCTTTGAATCCTCCAGGGGCAGTTGACATCTGTGACCCATCTCCTCCCACTTCTCTCCAACCCCAAGTCTGGCGACGCTCGCATCGCATGTAAGTACTAGATTTTAGGAACCTCCGTGCATATTAAAACTACTCTACTGCATTGGGCTCTGGCTCCTCGCGCCCCAGCCTGTGCATCTTGCATCCGCGCTGTAACAAAGTGGCTGACTGATTGTTCCACTGCAGCTACCGTTGGATTTGACCCCCCGCGTGTGACCCTCGACGGAGTATCGACGATCTTTGCGACCGATTGGATCTGAGTGGCAACGGAATCCGATACATCACGACAATTCAACACTTCGACTTCGACTTCGACGCTTCGAGAACGAATGAGTGAACTACAGTAGACAAGATTCGATTGATGGGATCCGGCCGCGTCGTGCTCTGGTTAGCACACTGGAAACACGATATCCCGGTGATGTTTTGACTTGCCAGCACCAAGCGCAACACGAGAGACAGAGAATGGCCATGGCCATGGCCACGGATTTACAGTCCCCCGCGACCTCCACGATTCACCCATCACCTGCGCCGTCTAGATCCCGAGCCGCCTCGAAGGCAAGATCCAGATCTCGACCAGCGCGGCGCCGAAGAGACTCGTCTCCAGTCCCGTCCTCCCCACCCGGTCTGCCGACACCCGCTTTCTCGCCCGAAGATGGACACACCGATATGGACGATGATATCGTCGAAGAAAATACACTATCACCATTTGATCCTCGAAGAATCACGCCCACACTCCATGCATCGCTCGTTTCGGAGATCCTCAACCTCCGCCGGGAGGTTGATAATAAAACAAAGGCAATCGATACGTTCGAACTGAGCTTGGATGAATCGCGGACAGAGGGCGAGATCCTCAATGCGAATTTGTCGCAGGCTACTCGGGAAGCTCGGTCTTTGAAGCATCAGATTCAGCTTCTCGAGGGGGGGACCTCGTCTGCGATGGCAGAGTTGGCCCGTGAGCGAGACGAAGCCGTAGAAAATATTAACGATGTGCGCAAGAAATTTGAGCAAGTGCAAAAAAGGGCTCGCAGTCGGGAAGACGATGCCGAACGAACACAGATGATGTGGGACCAGGATCGAGAGAATTGGGATAATGAAAGGCGGAATCTTGAGCGGAAAGTTCACGTGGTGGAGGGTCGTTTGAAGACGGTTCTCAGTGAAGTTGCTGCTGCCCAAGAGGCTAGCAGTACTCTCCATTCGCAACAACCCAGCGAACACGATGACACTACCAAGGAAAAGAGCAAAGGAAGTGACACAGCTAGTGTGGCTTCGAGCAGTCAAGGCCGCCGGCGTGCTAGTATGACCAGCGTGACGACCGATGAAGGGGACGACCAACCAAACTTCCACAATGTACGATATTCCGTGATGAGTATGGTTGCTGGCAAGGGCGATTCCGGGTTGAATCTCGCGCAAGAACTGGATTTCGATGAGGAAGAGGAGTTTGTCATTTCTGATGAAGAAGGGCCGTCATCGCCCGGTGCTCTGCCCGAAGAACGACCATTATCTGTCCATTCGGCTGCTTCTTATGCTGTTTCGTCAAAGGCGAGAAAAATCCTTGGTCTGTCGATGCAAAGTACTTCCACCGCGGCAGGAGATTACCGGGCCTTGGATTTGGCGAGTCCTTCTAAGACACCGGAGCTACCTGCTGTTGAATACTGTGACATGGGAATTCAATATTCGCCTCCTCCGTCTCCCAAAATACCGGCCATGGCAGAGCCAAAGGACGTGCCTGCATTTGTGGACACAGCAGTTTCAACCGAGCCTTACCATGATATTCCCGAGATGAAGGACACTGCGACGATCACTGTTGCAGCCGAGATGACATCTACTTCGTGCCAGACTGTGGAGGATCTTCCCAGCGTAACAGAACTGGCTGTTGGGCAGACTGCCAAATCCAAAGCAGTTGAAATGGCATCGGCATCCACCCAGACAGAGGATATCTCTAACGAAGAACCCACCCCAGCTCAAAGAGCTACACTATCCCCGCATGACATTCCATCAGAAATTGATGTCCCCATGATCACCATCCACCCACCAGGCTCAGAGCCTCCATCACCACGAAACAGCGTGGTTCTTCCCCCGCAGACGAAGAATGCGTCATGCCAGGCCAGCTTCCGATCAGTTATTGAGGGACGCTCTATCGCCATACAAACGGAAGAGATCCGCATCGATAACCGACCAGTGAAACTTCCGGCCAGCCTCCTCCCCTCCGCCATCCCCGACCTTCCTACTCGGGCCGAGACTCAAGATGCTGGTGTTCAGCAGTATCAACCGTATCGCCCACCAGTACCCCCTCCTCGCTCTGCTAAACGGCCAATGACAGGAGACCGACCCGCAAAACCACCCCGCGCACCGGCATCCGAACTATCGCAAGCTTATCCAGGGAATAATGACAATGGCCCTCTTTCAGACGATCCTATGTCCGGACTTCGACGTCCTTTCCGCTCTAGCAGTCTCTTCGCAGGCTTTGAACAGCTGAGCGATGACGAGGGCGGTGCAACGGAGCGCGACATCTTCACAGATGATGACCTCCTGAATCGACCCTTCGCCTCGTATAAGCTTCGCCGCGGCAAAATGGTCAACTCCAAGCAAAGAACTAGCTTGGATGATATCGGTCTTCCAGAAATCGACGAGCACCTATCAGACCCCGAGTCTCGACAGTCCATCGATACAGAGCGAGCCTCAACCCGCGGCGGCCGAGGCGCATACGCTTCCAGCAGCAGACAGCCCGGTATGCGCAAGATGGCCATGATATCCAGCGGTACAGCAGCGCACCAGAAGACTCGAGCCCGGAGCCCCAGTGAGCCAAGTCTCAGCGGCAGCGCAGGTTCAAGCATTGCACCTCCATTCCCAGTTCCGATCCGGCTGAGCTCTCGGAAGCTCCCATTGACTGGCAGCGATGGACCCCCGAGCCCGACCCGCTCTGCTGGTCGACAGTTCTCGGATCGGGGTGCGCGCACATCTCTCCACCGGCGACCAACATTACGCCGTGTCCGATCTGCGGCTGCGATGTCTCAAAGTGATCTTGCTGAGCGTCCAGAGACACTGCCTTCGCCAACGCGATCTACTTCTCCATTCACAGCGGATAGTCCAACTGCATACGCTGCGTATCGCCCACCACCTATGCCATTTGATGATATCACAGCGCCTCGGGAGCGACGAGTTGCTCAGAACCCTCAGAAACGGACTTCGCACCACCGTGCTGCTGTACCGTCTATGAATTGGAATCACGAGCGAGAAGATTCGACAGGTGGTGTCCAGCCCACTAGTGTTGTGGACGCAATTGCGCAAACAATGGTTGGTGAATGGATGTTCAAGTATGTTCGTCGACGCAAGTCTTTCGGCATGGGCGAAACCAAGGAACCTTGGGAAGGTAAAAACCCCGACGAGGTATCCGCCAACATCACCAACAGCGGCGTGCGACATAAGCGATGGGTCTGGCTTGCGCCTTACGAGGGTTCTATAATGTGGAGCAGCAAGCAGCCAACCAGTGGACCTGCCTTACTAGGCAAGAGTGGGCGAAAATGTAAGTCACCAGCAACAACCTCGAGCTATTATGGATCTTGCAAACTAACAACACCCATTTAGTCACCATTCAATCCGTGCTAGACGTCAAAGACGACAACCCCATGCCCACTGGCAAGAGCTCCACAACCGCAGCCCCATTTAACCGCTCAATCCTCGTCCTCACACCTCAACGCGCTCTCAAATTCACAGCTCTAACAGTAGAGCGCCACTACGTCTGGCTAACAGCCCTATCCTTCCTAAGCCACTCCTCAATGGGCCTCCACGACCTCGCCGCAGTCCCACCCGCCCCAACAGGCGAAATGCCCGGCTCACCCACACCAGCCACAGCCAGTCTCCGCCGCAACCCAATCCGCGACTCAATCCGCGTAGCAAAAGGTCGACCGAGACCCATACCAAAAGGCAAACGATCCTTCGGCAACGCACCCGACCCCGTCCCCGAAGTCCCAACTGCAGACGACGACCTAGCCGCAGACCCACCCCACGTCCCACGCTTCTCAAACCACAACCGCAAACGCAGCAATACAAGCACAGCTCCCCGACCCCCACCAGCCCTCCACGCTATCCGAAGCTTCTCCAGCACAGGAACAATGGCAACAATGCCCTCCTCACACAGCGGTTCCTCAGACCCATACTTCTCGCCCAACCCAATCCCACCACCAGCCTTGCCCCCGGGTATCGGCAGTGGGCGAAGCAGTATTAGTCGGACTTCGGAGGCTAGTGGACGCGCTTCTAGTACCGGTGCGAGCAATATGTTTGATGTTGGTACGGTGCGGATGGAGGCTTTTATCGATCATCATGCTGAGCAGATTAATCGGCCGCGTGGGGTTCCTTCGGTGTCTGCGCCTTCTGCGGCTTCGACGAGGGGGAGAAAAACTTCTAGCCAGTTTAGTCATGGGAGATATGAGTTTGATGCTCCTTCTGTTGATGGGGGGAGTGAGCTTTCGTTTCGGTCGGATCCGTTTCGGGGGTTTTGATTGATTTTTGATTCTTCCTTCTTTTATTTGGCATTGTTTGCCTACTTCCTACCCTTCTCATTATACCACCTTCACCTTCACCTTCAAGTTGTCTTCCTTTTTTAACTTGCTTGAAACATGCCCAGGGCGCTGGATGCATCGCTACTTTCCTTCTGATATCCTGGCGACATGTTGAGCCTGCACATACTACCTTTTATTGTTTTTTTCTTTCTTTCTTGGACATTCCTCCCTTTCCCTCCTTTCTGACTTGGACCTATATATCCATGGATATATATAGGATTTCCTCTGCAAGGTCCTGGTCCTGGCTTTTCCTTTTTATGTTAGTGCTTGGTGAGCGCTGCTTTTGCTCACTGGGTAGATCTGAGAATATCTCTAAGTAGCTCAGTATTAGTATAATCATATAATAATTACTGATTACTTGGCATATTTTAGTAGAGATAGTATACTTAGGGTAATCATATGCGCCGTATCCCACTTTTCGGAATGGTGGGATTCTAGCGGTGTGGCCTTGTACATAAAGAGGACTCGATTCCAAAGCGTACTTCGTAAACAACCTTGGAAGTCAACGTTTTTCCAAGGTTTCCCGCACCATTTCCCATGACTTCAATTTCAGACTTGGAGATAGAAGAGGCCAATAAACATGCCCGAGATAACGTCATGAGTCACATTCCACAGACCATTAATACCTTCCTCGAAACCGCTGGCTCAGAAGCAATACGAATACTCGGCGACACACCCACTAGCATCCTCACCACCGACGACAAATTAGGTTGCATAAGTCAATTCGCATCTAAAGTCGAATCTTCAATTCATACAAGTCGTCCAAGTCCTCAAACTCAAACTCGTTTCCTCGCCGTGAACATATACCCACCAACCAGGACAAAGCACTCATACTTCGTATTGGACCTCAAAAATGCCGACTATGTCTACGAAACTGCACATATCGATAAGAGACCAATACCTGTTTATGGGCTACGCTTGTCGAAGAGGAAAATTAGCATTTTCAGAAAAGAGGAGTTAGATGTTACTATTGCTGAAACACTTGCGACTATGCATAATGGGCATGGGGATGATCCTTTGCCTTTAGTTGATGATTATACAGGCCCTGGGATTGTTCAGTGTAAATTTCCACGCAGTTTGTCTACTACTAGTACTAGTAGTACTAACTGGTAGTATTTAGTACATGACCCGTTCATGATATTCGAAATGTATACCGGGCGGCTTTTAACTTGAATCTTTATCTTCTTCTCTGATCTACTAGCAGAAGACACTGGAACTTGAACAAAGCTGAAAATCTAAATTCTAGAATTTTTAAATAACACTAGAAAATATTGGAGTGGGTATTAACACAATATTTCATCGCTAGCAACATCAACATCAACATCAACAACAATCATTCAGCCATCCCTCTCTGCGAGGTGTTCGGCTATTGAAAGTGCGTCGGCCTTCGGTTTCGGCTTCCTCGGCCGGTTCCGACCTAATCACACGATCGCACCACTTCCCACATGCAAAAGCCAGACCAAACATGAACGGCATATTGGTATCAGATATTTCGAATCGGATCAAACTGCACTGCACTGCACTGCACTGCACTGCACTGCACTATATTACAACTTCGCAGCATCCTTGACCTCGCCGATCTTCAACTTGGGGGCGTACTTCTTCAGTACGGACTCGTTGTGGTACTATAGTCAAAGAAAGATAGAATTAGCCAGCGTTCCAAACACTTGAGGTCCTCGCTTGCTCTTCATCTTCCCTGGGGCGGGGGTGAGTGTTTACCTTCCAGAATTGCTTAGAAGCATCCTTTCCCGCAACACGTTTCAGAATCTTCGCGCCGCCGGGATGTTCGTCGGCGAATTTGGTGACGTCGTAGACATTTGTGTCGACGATGATGTACATGCCCTTTTCGGCATTGTTGTGGGAGGCGACGTCTGCGGGGGAGAAGGTTTGCGACATGGTGGGTGGTTTGTGATGTGAGTTTGGAAGGGTATGGGGTATGGAAGAGGATCAAAGGGGATGAATGAGGAGGGTGACGTTATTAAAGGCGGAGTTTTGTGGAGGCGGGGCCGAGGTTAGACTGCGAGAGCCGCGGTCAGAGGTATCGCCAATGCGTGGGTTGTGATTGGTGGGTGGGACTAGTACTATCGTAGTATCCGAGTCGGATTTATTCCTAATTTCCGTCGTGAGTGTGATATTGTGATCTTGCCGAGGATTGGAGTGCTACTATGTTGACAGTGTTTATGCTGGCTATTTATGTTGGCTATTTATGCTGGTTACTGGTTGAACTTGGACGGAAAGACTCTGCTGGGAGTATATTACAACATTGACATTGACATTCACATTGAGATTGATAAATATTGTACCATATCACCACATCACGCTTTACTTTTCTCCCCGGCCGCCCCAGCCCCCTTCGGCGTCTTACGATCCAGTCCCAACGACTCCAGATCCTTCTTCTTATAGTAGTGAGGAGCAACTTCAACTAGCCACTCCGCCTGAAGGGGCATATTGCTGCGCATATACTCCTTACTAGTCAACACTAGCTCGAAGTAGATAACCCAGCGCGGGTTGACCTCAAACAGCGTACTAGACGGATGCAAGTAAACCGACTGCCCATTCTTGATCGTGCGGTAACTATCACCACCACGCTGCAGCCGCGCGGCATTAGGGAAGAACCCAGCCGTAATGGCCTTTTGAATCGGAACGATATTATTCGCTCCACAGGTACTGACGGTAACCTCTACCCGATCGCAGAGTTTGGCTAGTTGATCGCGCACGTCACGGGCTCGTGTCAGACTGCGTTGTTGCAGGAAGTTCTCCTTTGCCCAGACAAAACTGAAGTCGGAGTCTACCCATTGATTCCAGACGTTGAGGAGTGTTAGGTGATCGCCGCCGTCTTTGATGGTGAATCGGTTGCGAGCACTGTCGGCGTGGATTTTCTTGTCCTTTGGTCGGAAGAAGAGCGCGCTTCCTTCGCCTAACATCGATACGATTGAGAGAACTTCCTCCACGCAACCGTATTGACCCGCAGCGAGGATCGCCTTGGCGAGCATCGGATCCGTCGGGAACTCGGCCATCTGTCGACCGACCTTGGTGAGCTCTCCGCGATCGTTCAAGGCACCCAGTGCATATAGTTGTTCCAAGGCTCGGATGATAGTCTCCGCCGGCGGTGGGTCCATGAAGTCGAAATCGAGAAGTTGGTCGATACCAAGGGACTTCAGCATTAGAATCACACCATTTAGATTCGTGCGCTGGATCTCGGGTGTTGTGTTCTCCTCCAATTCGTTATAGTACGCCCATTTAGTGTAGAGTCGGAAGCACTTTCCTGGACCGACACGTCCAGCACGTCCAGCACGCTGATTAGCCGAAGCACGCGAACAGGGTGTCACGACCAGGCTTTCCATGCCAGTGCGTGGGTTGAAAACATTCTCCTTAACGAATCCAGGATCAATCACGTAGACGATACCATCAATGGTCAAACTGGTTTCGGCAATGTTGGTTGCAAGAACGACCTTTCGAGCCTTGGGTGGTGTAGGTTCGAAGATCTTAGTCTGCAGCTCGGAGGGCAAATTGGCATAAATGGGACAAATGATCATTTCCGGTATTTTACTGCCCAATTTTCGAGCTGTTTCTTGTAGACTTTGATCTGCGGCTTCGATTTCCTCTTGACCAGTCAAGAACACGAGAATATCACCGGGACCCTGCGTGACATGGATCTGGAAAACGGTGGTGATGGCAGCAGCCAAGTAATTGGCTTCGGGCTGCGAGGTATAATGCACATCGACTGGGTAACGGCGACCGGGGATGTTGAAAATGGGTGCATCGTCGAAATACTTTTGGAATTTTTGAGCATCCATCGTGGCAGAGGAGATGAGCAACTTCAGATCTGGACGTGCTTTGGCGATATCCTTGAGAAGACCACAAGCAATATCGGTGGGTACAGTCCGCTCGTGAGCCTCATCAATCATGAGAGCCGAGTACTGGCTAAGGTCTGGCTCTGTAAGCAGCTCTCGCAGAAGCATACCGTCGGTCATGTACTTGATAATTGTCTTGTCGCTCGTATTATCCTCGAAACGAATAGCGTAACCTACTTCATTTCCAATCTTCGTTCCCATCTCGTCCGCCACACGGGCAGCAACACTCATAGCAGCAACTCGTCGTGGCTGCGTACATCCGACTTTCAAGCCGTCCTTGGTGAATCCGGCTTCATGTAGGTACTGAGGAATCTGAGTTGTTTTACCAGAACCTGTCTCACCCACAATGATCAAAACTTGGTGGTCGTGAACTGCTTGAATGATCTGGTCGCGGAATTGATAGATGGGCAAACTCTTCCGAGTCTCTTCCATAGTGAGAGCCTTCTTCTCGGCCGCATCAACCTGCTCCTTGAATCGAAGTTGTTCCGAAGTCATCGGTTTCTGAGTACCCTCCATCTTCGCATCCATGACGAAATTGATCTGCTGTGTGTCGTCAAACACATACTCATAATCACCCTCGTCGACAAAGTCGGCCTTCTTGATCTGGGCCTTCGCCTTGGCAGCTTGCTCCAGTTCCCACTCCTCATGCTCCGTAACGAAACGCTCCTGACCGGACTCATCACGATCAACATAACGCTTGTACAATGCATCCTCCTTCTTCTTGCGATCAATTTTTCCCTTCTCGGTGATATAATCATCCGGCATCATGTAGCCATCACGGTGATCATCAATGCGCAAACGCTCTTCAGCAATCATAAGAACCTCCCTATTCCGCGCAAACTCTTCCTTCTCTCGGCGTGACAGATTCGGATTCTCTCGGAGTTCCGCCGCCTCCTCGGCGACCTGTCTCCGCAACAAAGCCAGACGTTCTGTCTCACGCTTCTTCAGGTATTCTTGTCGAGAGCGCATACGCAAATCAGGCATCATGGAAGCTCGCGCAGAGGCATCATCAGCCAACGCACGACGGCGCGCAGCTTCACCATCGCGCGTTCTATCCTCCACGATTTTCTTCGACTTGCTATCATCTTTGTTCGCGAGTCGCTTGGCAAATTCATCACGTTCCCGAAGATCCTTTTGGCGGTCAATCTCCTGCTGTGTCTGGGGATCGATATCATCAGCCTGGCGCGGGGAGGCAGATCCATCTTCGAGTCTTGTTCGTTTGGAAGGCGATTCTTCGAATTGATCGGGGTCATCATATCCCTCCTCATCATCGGGTATCTCTTCATCACCCCAGCGATCATCAAAATCGTGATCATCCTTCCTCCGCACTTTCTTCGACCGCGGTCGATCACGACTCTCCCCTTCGCGACTGCGGTCTCGCTTTCGGGTATCATCTCTATCCCTGCGATCGCCACTACTCTCAGGTTCGCGTTTACTTCGTTCTCTCGTTCGATCGCTATCGCGCTCTTTATCGCGGCGTCTTCGTCGTTCACGCTCGGCCTCCACGTTGACAGGTCCTAATGCTGCGGCCGGGTCTGTCTGTTCCTCGCCCATTTCCACAAGGCGATATTTCTTTTTTCGTAGATGCGGCGGGAGCTGTAGATCGTGAGGTCGAGGCTGAGGCTGTGGGTTGAGAACTACCTTTGCCGACGCGCGAGTAGAGCTGGCCGCAGAATGCGCCGATTTCGTCGGGGCTGCCATCGAGGAAGGAGACAAGTTTGTCTTGTAGTGAGGAGGCGGACTTGGCGGAGGTAGCTTCGGCGAGGACGAAGTCAATGGCGATAGGGTCTGATGCGCCCGTTAGGCGGATCAGCGAGTCCGATACGAAGGTCTTGTTGTCCATGTTGGGCGCGAGGTTTGGTGAGGGTTCGGGGTTGGTGGGAGGACAATTGTTTGGAGATTGGTTAGAGAAATTGGCTCATAGTGTGTATGGGTATTATGATGGTAGGAAACCCCCCAGGGGCGCGTTGTGGAGGAGAAGGAAGAGAAGTGGCCGAAGCACGAGTGACAGAGCAAAGAAGAGCAAAGCTCGGAGGTGCGCGCTAAGGCTGGTGGCGATCTTGTCCCAGCTTTGAACCATCATTACTACGAGTTCTTAGGTGTATGCGTGGTACCGCTTGACTTGTAACCAAGAAATCGCTGGTTCAATTCCGGCCGGAGGCATAGTCTTTTGTTTCCTTTCTCTTTTTCCCCCTGGGGGGCGGGGAAGGGGGGTTCAGTATCGGCTACACTGCGTTTTGGATACAGACATCTCTAGAAAGGGTGCTAGCTAGGTAGTACTATCTAGTGTCTTTTAAATAAAGTCATAATACCTTAATATAGTAGTTTTATAGGTTAAACCTCATGGATAGCTTGTAAATCTGAGGGCGAACTTTTCCAGAACACGATACATCGAACGGTGAATATAATCTTCTGTTTGCTCCACCCCGGGGAACGCTGCTCCGATGTACCCTGCTTCATACCGTTTACATTCTAGAAAAGGAGATGTGTCTTTGTAACTTTTTTCCCATCCCGATAGGCATCCAACACCTCATTGACAATCTCCGCAGACAGGCCATTCTTCACCGTGTAACCCAGCGGCTTGAAATCTCCCGTCGAAAGGTACTCATGCAGATGTGCCCAGAATGCTTCACAGACCCCTTCCTCTCCAATTGCACTGTAGACATTGATCACCTCGAAGCCAGCCTTCTTCCCCTGGACCCTAGACTCATCGAAGGGGCCAAGGAGTAAACGCGCCAAGCTGCCTTTCTTGTAACTGGAGAGTGCGTTCACGGCCAAAAACTGACCCTCGGGTGGGTTGATAACGTCTAAGGCATAGACCAATTCATCACCGACCAGGGCTCTGATTCGTCCAAGGACCTCATCCTGAGAGCCGTGGCGATCAACAACATGCGTAGCACCAAGTCCCTCCAGCTCCGCCTGATCACCACCGACAACAATAATCTGGCCGATTCGCGCAAGTCGAAGTAACTGTACTGCGAATTTACCGCAGCTAGAGCCTCCACCGACAATCAAGACGGTAGTAGAATCACGTTGGGATTTCGGAATATCCGAAGACCATGGGGCTGGCAGCTTCAATTTTCCAAATAATCCTGCCAGAGGCGCAATCGTATTCACCGGTAAAGTCGCGGCCTCGTTGTCGGAAATAGACTCGGGAATCTTCGCAAGCATTTTGATATCGGCGACAGCGTATTCCTGAAGGCCATTCTGGCGAGAGCCAGGGTTGAGACTTGCCATTGTCACGATACGGTCACCGATTGTGAGTCCAGTGACGTATTCCCCTAGCTTGGTGACTTTACCGACCACATCGTGTGTCAGTACAGCGGGGAGGTCGTTCGCGATAGGGATACCGAGATCTCGGGATCGTTGATCGTGGGGGTTGATTCCAGCCACGGTGATCTTGATCTGTACTTGATTTGGCCCAGGTTGTGGGATAGGCCAGTCTGTCACGAGGACGAGGGGCTTTCCGATCTCCTTCACAAGGAGAGCTTTCTGAGTCTCAGGGACGGCCATTGGAAAAGCTGGGATATGTCGGCTGAATTGAAATTGATGCGATCGTAGTTCTCAGACTTTTGGAACCAGCCATACTTATAACGTCCATGGTGGGGCTCGTGAGTTATCAGCCTTACGAGATGTCAGTGGGATATGCCGGTGGGATAAGATTTGGTTTGCTTACGAACTTACCATGATATACCCGTCGATCAAAAAGCGGAGCCAACTTGAAGTCTTGATGTTCCTGGGCCGAAGTTGTGCCGTCGGATCGCGGAAGCTCCGTTAGCCGTGTTCTTTCTGCACCCCACCTTGTCAACCTCTTTAACATTTACTCCGAGGGAAAGCCGTTCATTAATCCAGACAGGATGTCAGAAGTGATTATTCAATATTAGTAACCCGATAGAGTAAGTTTCAAAGAGTACGGTGCTCGATAAGCGCAGGGTGGTCAGTACTAGTAGTTGTATATAGGGGTATCTTCCCTGACTGTCTTGAAAGCTGCCTGTAACTTCCCAGTGTTCGATTGCCCTAGTTTCTATCTTTTTCAGCGGGATTAGTACCTACCGAGGACGCGATAGATTGGCTAATCTATTCTATCTTAGGTAGGTACTAGTATGCTATCAGAAGATGGTCAAGAACAGTAGATACCTAGAGAGTAGAAACATTTGTGGTACTACTGTAGTTTTTCCTAATTTACACATAGAACACTGGTAATTGTAGACTGAGAAGGCACAGATTCAATTGTGGCATATTCTCGCTTGGCCTGATAACGTTAAGTGCCCAGTTGATGAGACCAAGGGTGGAACTGACTTCTTTGGCTCGGTGATGGCAAAATGAGACCGTTACAAACTTTGGAAGGTTCAAGTTTAAGTTGTTCATTGTATGTCCGGAAATTGTTGACTTGATATATGTACACTAACACACCAGCTTACACCGGCACCGAATTGGCCACCGGTAAATGGGATAACGCGGGCAATGGACTGTGATCTCAATTTGGCACTGGCACAAGACCTCGGGCAGTAAGTTCTGCACCTGCAGTACGGGCGGCAACAGCAGGTAGGCCTGGGCTGGGGCTGGGGTTGGCCCAGGTATCGGCCCAGGTAACTGCCTGTAGATGCGCAACATTTCTCTCGCAGTCGTATTGTCGGGGTGCTGCCACTGGTAGAATTCATTGCAGCGTTCCCATGTTATCCGTGTCGCTGTCGTCCACCATGTTCAGTTGGATTGAGTTACCCTCGGGTAGGAGCAGATAGATCGACGCATGATTCCCATTCTGCGAATCTGGGACGGTTCCATTCGTTGAAGTGAAGTGGGGAGGGAAGATTTGGACGAAAACACGGACTGCTATCCAAATACTCGCCCGGAAGCTGGTCCTTCTCTTTATCCTGGTCCTGGGGCTCCCAGTCTTCGAGCCACCATGATAGACGTCTTGTCCGAAAAAAACTTTCCACTTCCGCAGAGACATCATGTTCAGGATGAGCTCGATGTGCCTCAGATGGAAATCAAAGTTGTGTCGCTGCGTCCACTCGAGGGGGTAGTCGGACGATTTGTAGATTACATTCAACGAGTTTCTGGACCACTTTAGTTTCGGCGCACTGGGGGGACTGGCAGCGGAGCGCAATGCCCACATTTTCGGCGAAATGAAGATTCCAACTTCTTCAGACACCCAAGCGCAGTGCACAGATACGCGTCGGGAAGATCTGGGTTCATATTAGCAAAGGAGATTTGACTTTGCATGAAGCAGTGGTCGGTACCAATAGTATACCCAATTTCCTACCCATGGTTGTCTTTCAAAAAAAGGCGAACGGGATTACCACGAGGGAGGCGAGGTTGCCGGTGATGGATACGGCGCTATGCCGTGAGCAGAAAGGTGACTTTGTTGCACCGAACTCATAATTCGCAGATATGACGAATCCCACTGCTTTGCCATCTGGGTAGATCCCATGGAGGGTAAGATTGAAGATATATCCCTATATCTGGAGGATGGTTAATCCAGTCTTGCTGGGAGATTGAAAAGGTCAAACTGACCAGAGGTGAAAGTTTGAGATCCAGAGTCTCGACCATAGACCACATTCGTAGCCGGTGTGAGGATGCTCAAATACTCACAGAGATCAGGATACGACGTAGCGATATCAGGCAAAGGAAGTAGTAGTGGTTCGAAAAAAGTATTAGCTCGAGGAGACAGAGAGGGAGGAAGCTAGGATGGAAGCTACATACGGGTGTAGGCGTGGATGCCTAGGTGGATGCCGCAGACGTAAGGTATCAACAATGGTAACAACAATTTAAATTCGTTACAGTAGGAGGAGTTTTGTCCAATAGCTTACGAGACGTTGCTTGTTGGGAAAATTAGTCCTGTTGCGGCGGGTGGATGGGTTCCTGGTTGAGGCTTCGATTTGATGGTCGTGTACTTGCGTGTACCACCTAGGTTGTTCGCAGGTAGATTTCCCAGGAAGGTAGTTTTACTAGTAGCCTGCGACTCTTTAGCTGGAATATACACACACCCCATCACAATACGATACGCAGGTTCTGCCCCCATCGTATCGAACTAAACCCAGAGACAGGCATGTGGCATATTACATTACATATTACAAGAAAGAAAGTAATTTAGTTTAAGATATTCATTAATATCATCCTGGACACTCACTTATTGCATTTAGTCCAGGCTATTCACACAAACAGAGATGGAACATAGAACCAACTGGTTAGGTTACTTAGAACAGACTCTTCAACTCTTCAACGCTTCAACTCTTCTTTGAAGACAAGACAAGACAAGACTTAAACAGATCTCGCTAGCACAAACACAGCATGGTGGGAATCATTATCATCAATCACAATCAAGAACAAAAGAAAATAGAAAATAGAAAAAAGACATCAAAAGCATTTGCCAAAAATGGCGAGCTTCAATTCAATCCCACATCAATTCGATGCGGTCAGTCAGTCAGGCCAGACATTGACACTAACATTGACTTGTTGGACTGCAAATACGAGAGAGAGAAGGACTATCCCAGTCGCGAAGCGATGTTGGTACATTCCGTGGCACCTAATAATGCTAGGCAAATGGAACAAAGGAAAAGAAAAAGGAAAAAAAGCAGACAACGCTGCAGCAACGAATGAAAACGCCACGCTGAAACTCCAGGGTATACACATACACCCTCAGCAAACTCCACAGGGTCATGACGAGAGATAGATATGGTGAAAAACAGTTTCGAACAACAGACAATAAACGCGGTCTCGGTCGAATCGTGACGGCCGAACGAGTATGTATAGTCGACGACAAGAAGATAAAAAGCAGACTCGGCTTCGACCCGAGAAGCCTGGAAATCAATAGAGGAGGGACAAAATCGTTATCGGGACGTGACATGAGATGGATGAAGAAATGGACAGAGAGCGCCGAGTCATTTCAACACCGAGGACAGATGACAAAGGAAAAAAAAGAGAAAGCACAGAACACCCTCCATATGCACAGTAGTCAAAAAAAGGGGAGATAGATTACACATCGATCATTTCGGCGTCTTCGGCCAGAATCTCGTCGGCAGGGCCAAAATTGCCTTCGAAGACAGTAGCTCCTGCACGGCGACGCTGGTTCACGAATTGAACACCGTAGGTTTCGAGAATCTGATCAGCCGTGGGTCGGTCACGGGGCTCAGGGGAGATCATCCAACCGACAATCTTGTCGAGCGCTTGGGCGTGGTGAGCATTGATCATAAAGTCGGGCGGATCGACAAGTTCGCCACTGCGGGCGAGCCGCGAGGGCTTGGGAGCGTTCAGCTGGCGACTTGTGAGGAAGTCATCACCAAAATCGTCGACACCTAGATCCGAAGCACAGAGATCCTCAAACGATGATTCTTCGGAAACTGGGTTTCCAGATGCATCGCGGAAGATACTCGTTTCCGAGCTCCAGGTCAGGCTGGGGACATCGCTCATATCACCGTTGCGAAGCTTTTGCCATGACACCCCGTTGTCTGGGAGCTCCACATTACCGGCAATTTCAAACACAATAAGACCCAGGGAGAAGATATCGGCAGGCTTGTCGAAACGGCCCATCAGGATCTCAGGTCCGATGTATTCGCGGTCACCTTCACCGTCGATGCCGTCCTGGGCTGGCCAATGAGCAGCCATACCAAAGTCCGCGATCTTGAGAACACCTTCAAAGGTCACCAGGATATTAGCAGGCTTGAGGTCAAGATGGATGAAGCCTTGGTCATGGATGTGCTTCAATCCCAATGAGAGCTCCAGCAAAATCTTCCAGATCCGGAAGTCATCCAAACGAGCCTTCAGGCCAGCCTGAGCAAGGAAGACATCCAAGCTGCCCTCTTCGCAATATTCTGTTTGGATGTACAGGTGACCAAAGTCTTCCCAACTGTCGACAAAGTGAATCACATGGTCAGTGTTGGTCATAGTCTTGAGCACTTCGACCTCGCGAATGCGACGTTCACGATCTTTCAGACCAGAATAAGGCTGCTTGCTCTTTTTCACAGCCCACACCTGATGAGGCAAGTCGGTGGGCGACTTTGGACCGCTAGAGGCAAGCGAGAAGACCGATGGGACGGAGGCGTCATGCGGCTGACCAACTCGAAAGACCTTTGAGAACTCACCAGTTCCCACCAGCTCAACCTTCTCGAAGCGTGCAGTCAAGCTGGGATCCACATCGGGAGCTTGGTATCCACTCAAAGAAAGACTGGGGCGCTTGCTAGCAAGCAAGGAATCTCGGGGCCCAGTGGGGGTGGCGGGAAGGCCGTTCGAGTTGGTGGAGCTGCCGAAGTCAGGGGATGTGACTGATCGTTTGGTACAGAAATAGACAATCCACTCGGGTCCGGAGGGAAGTATTGATCGCGGGGAGTTTGAGGCGTGACTTGCAAGAAGCGCTCACGCAAGGGTGTGGAATGAACGCTGGAATTGGATTCGGACAACCGCTCGAGTGAAGCGATTTGGGAGGTCGAAGGAGGGTAAGTGACCGAGGGAAGGAAAGTTTGTTTGGTGGGAGTAGGAGGGAAGTCGGAATCAGTGAGTGGTTGGCTGTCAGGCCGCGATGGGGATTCGGCTTGCATATCATCACCGTCAATACTGACGAAGCTGCCGCGGCGAGAGGCCTCGGGCCGGTTGAAGGAGTTGCCAAAAATGCCCATTCCTTTCGCAAACGGTCCAGGCTTCGAGCGTGCGACGAACGGAGTTGGGTTGAAAGGTGATTCGGGCGCAATCTCGGACTCCCTAAGTCGGGATTGAGATTTATCAAACAGACGCTCTGGTGGTGGGTTAGGTCCCGCAGTGAACAGATTCACAGGTCGCTTGCAAGGTGTGTCAGGCATGTTCTTGCTGAAACCAGCACCATTGGGATCTTCCGCATTGCGATTCTTCTTGGAGATCAACCCGGTTGACATAAATGCAGCGGGAAGAGGCTTCACCAGTTTGTAGTTGTTTGGTGTCGCGAATTCTCCAGAATCCTCGCGGGTCAGCCGTCGCACGGGGGCTGGGCGACTCGCACCAGCAGGAAGCGATTTGGAGAAATTGAAGATGGGGCGCGGCGGACCCGTCTTGTGTGTCGGTTCATGAGTTGGCGAATCATCCAAACTGGAGCCGGAAGAGGACTGAGTGATTGTTCGAGAGAGAGGGTGGGCGGAAGGCCGGGGAGCCTGAGTGGTGACATTGAGGGCGGGCGGGGCGTTGTTAGGGTGGGGAGAGAAGAGAGGACTGGCTGGGGGTCGTGGTGAGAACAGGTTGCTACTGTCCTGTCCTTTCTCGAATAAACCACTCTCAAAGGACATGCGTGGGCGCACTACCAATGGGGTTCCAGGAGGCATGTCACCGTCCCCAGGACCTCGGGGTTTGCCAAACAGAGGTCGTTCTCCCTGTCTCTGCTGCAAGGTCGAGCGTCGCAGAGAGGAAGAGCGCTTGGGAATAGTGGCGAATGGACTGAATGGTTGGATGGGAGTAGGGAAAGAAGAAGATTCCCCTTCTGTCGGGCTTGTCGGCGCAGTTTCGCAGTTGTTATCAAATATACTAAAATCGGTGAAGTTGGGCGCGTGCATGCTGCGTCGCTTTGCAGATGGACTCCCTCGAGAGGCCTGGTCGAGGTTCATAATGCCGTCACTTCGCTTCAGAGGACTGACTGTCGCAAATGAGCCAAAGGTCCCACTTCGCCGCTTTTCGATGCGCGAGAGTGTGGAACGAGGCGCAAAAGGAGTTTCACTCTGCGGCGCAGCCGGGGTAGTTGATATACCAAAATTCGTACAAATCGAGACGTCGGTAGGATCAGCCAAATCGTCGAGGGTCAGATCATTCTCCTCTCCTGGCGGTGGTGCAATCGGTTGAGATGGAGTAGTGTTACCGTTGTCCGCTGACACAGCGAGAGCGCGTTTGGCCGGACTGCGTGGGGACGTTCGTCGTCGCATGGCCGGCCGGGTAATTTTGGCACTAGGAGGGTAAGGGACGGCAAGAGGTGAGGGCTGACCAGATGAAGGGAAGAGCACAAAGTTGCTCTGTGAGGAACGGCGAGATGGAGACAAGGGAGAAGAGACGTAGGTTGATTTGGAAGGTGATTGATTGCGGGTATTGAGGAAGAAGTTGGAGCTCTTGGAGGGCGAGCGCGACAAAGAGCGCCGAAGCTGGCGGATGGCGGAACTCGCATCAACGTGATGGATGCCCGAGTGCGATGGAAGATGAAGGGTTCCACCTGAGTCCCGGTGCGGCGAGAAAGTCGCGACCATGATGGCGATGCTGGGGAATGCTCAATATGCCGCGTAACAAACCCAGGGAATGAGACCCGGTCCAATCACGTATGGAGATCACCCAATGGGGGGACACCGAAGATTATGGATGAAAATTAGGGTTTTGATACTGTTTTGACAAAGTTTGGACGAGAGGACGCAAAAGGTTCACTCGGCGAAGGTGTGTTTACCAGCCCTTCCAGGGTGGTCTACTCTTGAAGAGTGAGGCGATAGGGGGGGAAAGGGACAAACAACGCGTTCTCCTTCACGAGGGGCGGGGGAGGACGTGAGTCAAAAAGGTCGAACCGAACGAAGGGAACGACTGGAATGCTGGGAAGGCGCAGCCGCAGAGTGGCGAAGGAAGAAGAGCAGCTGCCATTCACCCACTCATTGCAAGTTGTCGATTAAAACGATTCAAAGTCGAATGAAATCCCGTCAAGAGCGCACTCCGCGAGATATGGTGGTGGTGGTGGTGGTAGTGGGTGTTGTGGCGGGTGTTGTTGACGGAACAAGTACAGTTGCGCGCGCGCGGCGGGAGATGTGAGACCGGGGGGGTGGGCTGGAAAGCGCGGAGTTGTTGATCGGACGCGCGGGAATGTTTCAGGCCGGACACGCGGACATACGGGTTCCAGTCAACACGGGGGGAAGAGTTGGGTTGGATTCTTCTTCCTAGTGTTTCAAGGAAGAACGGAAGTGCAAGGGGGGCGAATCCCCTCCCTCGAGTAGTCGGTGACGGAGTCGGTGTCGGACCACGCGAGATCTGAGGTCGAAAAGAGGGGCGGGAAAGGAAAGTGGGAGATGGGAGATGGACCTGCGAAAAGGCGAGAAGGTGTGGAAGAGCGATTGGAGGTGGGGGAAACGAAGATGACAGGAGTGGAATGTGGCCAAGAGTTGAAGTCCAAGGAAGTCCAAGTAAGTGTAGGTGTGTAGTCGATGGTGGGCGTTAATCAACGCGCCTGTCGCGTTGTTGATCCTCGATGCCTGATTGGGACTAGCGGCGGGGGACGCGACGTGAGATAAACAATTATGTCATCAACACAGCATACACAGCATACAGTATACTGTGTACCGTATACCTATGTGTATACCTATACTATCGTTTACTATATAGTATTGTGCAGAGCACAGATTCTGTGCTCTTATCTGTATATTTATCCTGTCCTGCGTAACTTTGTGTTGACGCTCCAACCGGAGAGGGGTGCCTGTGCTGTGTTGTGCCTGTCTGTGCTGTGCCCAGTTCAAACTCCCTGCAGCCCAAACACTAGAACGCCACCTGATAGAGTATCCAGCTGCGCGAAATACTTCTTGGTAGTACGGAGTACGGAGTACCGGGGAAGAAAAAGAAAATAATTATTATAATTATTACCAGAGGCAAAATAAAAGAAATAATAAATTTTTTTTAAAAAAAAAAAACATTTCACACAGCCAACTACCGTACGTTGCACCAAACTAGTTAGGACAAGGTCAGTGCTCACCACCACCAACCACGCGGATTCGCCCTTGCTTCGGAAGGCCTCCCCATGTCCATTTCCACTTCCACCAGACTGGACTGCTCTCATCTGATCAATCACGTTCTGGTAGCCGGGGCTACAGTACAGAGTACGGAGTACTCAGTATTTACAGAGTAGGCTACTATACTCCATACAATCCCAGTTTTTATTTACTATTTACTGTTTACTATCTACTGTTTACAGATAGTACTATACAGAGTGGCAAAAAGTGGCAAATGTTGATGTCTAACCATTTTCTAGTGGGGGTGGATGCCTGTCAAGCCCTGCCCAACCCAACCCAAAGCCCAAGCCCAAGCAACCAGGAAGATCCGCCCGTCCCGTCCGCATCCGCGGTGGGTCAACAGTCACATCACACCACACCACACCACACCACACCACACCCATACAATCTAGCAGTTTTCTAATGTACCCCTCTTGTTCTATGCAATCCGCTTTATTAAATCAACACATCCAAACGCCAAAAGTACCCCCGGAATAACAAAAGCAATTATATGCACAGGACAGGAGAAAAAGAAAGGAAAAGAAAAGAAAGGAATTATCACAAGAAACTATAGTAACAACAATAACAATAACAATAAACGATTCGGAGTGGTTTCCATCGGTGAGAAAAAGAGCAAAGGAGTGAGTCTACGGAGTATACTCCGTAGTATCGATAGTTCTCTCTCAGGAGGATGGAAGGAGACGAGACCGGCTCATCCTATCCCATCCCATCCCATCCCATCCATCCCCTGCCCTGCCCCCTACCATGATCAGATCAGGAGGTTGTTTGGTATGCAGTCTGCACCCCTGAGCCTCCATCTTCTTCTTCTTTCTTCAGGAGTTCCCTATGACATGGGAATTCGGAGAATTCACTCCTCCATCAAGAACCCCATCCCCTCTCGCACCCCCTCAATAACCCTCTCAGCATCAACCCCATCCAAACGCGTAGCGGAGGCGAAAAGTCCAAAGTCCAACTGTCCATCACGCACAGCTGCTTCCACGTCGATCGTAGGCTGTAAGATACGTAGAAATTGCATTAGTGCCCGTTTCGCTTGGCTATCAATAGATCTGGTTGAACCACTTACCATGAAGATGTCTTCGATAGCCGCCGGCACGGGAATCCTTTGGTTCGGAATTGAACCGGTTGTGTCACTGTCACCGTTGATCTTGGTACTGGTCTTCTGAAACCCGTTGGTCTGGGCGTGGGCGTGGGCGTAGGCGGCACTAGAGCTTTCGTTTGCCAGGTCTTCGCGCTGTATCGACTTGAACTGCACCTGCACCCCATTGACCCCGTTGTTGATGTTCACAGGCTCATCCTCCGACTCCGGCAGTCGCAAAAAGTTAACACAAACATCAACGCAAACCCCAGTCCACTCAGCAATCTCAGCAAGAGAAACACCGACATATTCAACTCGACTGATCTTATTAATATCGTCCTGGATCTTTCTCGCAGCGACAAATAATGAATCCTTCCCATCCGTATCCAGAATCAATGGCACGATATTCAGCGTCGGCGCCATCAACTCAGACAATCCATCCATGACATGCGACCGATTGGCAAGATACAATCCAACCACTAGCGGAGTGTTATCTTCCCCTGCGAGAACCCGCGCATGCACGCGAGCATAGAGCGCTAAAATGATTGATTGGATACTAAGGCCCCGGCGTTTGGCGGCTAGTTCGATACTGGCCATGTTTGGAACTAGACCGGGTCGATAGAATTGCTGGATTGTTCCGAAGCTACCCTTGGCCTTGGCCAATGGTTGCTCTGCATTCTGACGAATTGAGATTTGGCCCAGGTACCGCTGCCAGAATCGTCGACGGTCTTCAACGGGTGAATGGATTTGCTGCAGTGCCACGAGGCGCGAGAGATCTCCGTCAGATTTGGATTTCAATTTCGATTCGGGCGTGACTGAGTCTGTCGCAGCCCCGCAAAGCTGGGAGAGTTTTTCCATAGTGAATGGCAGGCTAACGGCGTCATAGAGTGCGTGGTGGATGTGCAGCATCAGAGCTGTTCCCTCTGATCTTTGACAAGCACGCAGCGTGGCGGGAACTGAACCGAAGCCCCGTTCCTGTTTGATAAGCGCCGACGGCGTGAGGTCGTTGAAATTCTCGTGCCAGATGACGGGATTCTGCGTTGATTCGGATTCAAGAATAACTTGGATATAAGGAGGAGATCCTCGGTTGGCGCTGGCGCTGGTGCTGTTCGGGATAAAAGCCGTGCGGAGAATTGGCATTTCCGCCGTGAGACAAGTCCATGCGTTTTCGAGAATCTCCTGGCTCAATTGTGACGAAGCCAGGTAGTAAAATGCAGGATAGAAGACCTCAGGATTCAAACTGTGCATTGACAGGAAGTAAGACTGGCCAGAAGTTGCAGGCATGGCTTTCTGGATTCGTTGGGGATCGATGTCGTAAGGCTTGACTAATGAGACAAGGTCAATCCCGGCCAATGATTCAGTCAGAGCATTTGAGATTTGTTTTTCGGTGAGCTCTGTCTGGCCGTTATTAGATGTCGCTGTGTGTGCCATCTTCTCGATGGTGCCTTCTCTGATCATATCGCTGACAGCGAGTCGGACGGATTGTTTCTTGAGGAGTGCAGCCACCTTGATCGCACTAATACTGTCCAATCCGAGTTGGAAGATATTGTCTGTTTTGTGAATCGCGTCTTCCGGCACGCCAGACACGATTGAGAGAACGTTGCGGATGGTAGACTCGATGGGCAACCACTCTGTGTGACTGTGACCATTTGTCTGGGCTGGGACTCCATTCTGAATGCCCAGCTTGGAAACGTCCACATCTTGAACAACAGAATGACCACAGATATCCATCGCATCGTCAGTAAATTCAACAGTCTGCTTCGACTCCTCGTTAATAATCGACGACAGCACATGGGACATGTGCTCCAATAACACCAATGTATCCTCTTCACCCAAAACACTGCCCCGGCAGGCCAACCGGCCAACAAGCTCCTTCTCAACACCCTCAACCTCCACACAAACAGGATATTCCACATCAGACGCACCCCCCATAGACTTATACAAAGCCTCTCCCTCTCCTTCTCCTGACTTCTCCTCCTCGGCAGGTCTCTTCTGATAAATGAACAAGGTATCGAAAAGATTCTGCGCCCGCGCATCCGGTCTTGCGCGTCGAAGCGGGAAATGCTGATGCTCCGACATCTCCAATAGAGTCTCTTGGACATATTTCACCAATTCCAGCCGCGAACCATGTAAAATGACACGCATTGCAACCGTGTTCATCGTGGGAAACATGACATTTTCAGAATCAGCCACGTTCCGACCAGAGAGGACGAGGCCGAAGATAACATCTAGCTGCTTGACATGAGTAGCCAGGACAAGGGACCAACAGCTGACGAGAAGTGCTTGCATGGTGATACCATGGCGTCGGCAAAATGTTTCGGCCGAGTCGAATGAGATAGCTAATGGCTTCTCCGCACGATGAACCATGCTTGAATCCTTCTCTGAATTCTTTCCAGCTGGGAAAGAAACCGGCGTGCAGTTTGACAACGTTGCTCTCCAGAAATTGAGCGATCGCTCCCCTGACGATTCAAGTATCTGCTCCAGAATAGCGTCGGGACGAGGTCGCGTGCAGTTTTCACCCTTATAAGAGCGGGCAACGTCCTCGTGAAGCAAATTGATCGACCACCCGTCATAGAGGGCGTGAGAAATCGACAGAACGAGATAAGTATTATCTCCATCCATGGCCGCAGTCAGACTTAGCAGTGGGGAATTTGAGAGCTGGTTCATAGCTCTTACGCGCTGAGCCTCGATGATCGACTCAACAGGTTTCCCATTTAAATCCACGATTCTGAAATCAAACGCATCCTCTCCATACACGATCTGGGCGTATGACGCGGGTATTTTCGGATCCCAGACTTCAACGAAGGAAGTTCGAAGAATAGGGTGAGACTTGACGACTGCTCTCCAGGCTTCGCGGAGTCTCGTCAGGTCCACATTTGGCTCCAGCTGAAGGATCTCATGGTTGTAGTAATGTTGAAATTCTGAGGCAGTCATCTCTGCTATCATGGCTTCTTGGATTGGTGTAGCAGGGAGAATCTGACTGGTGCCTTGAGGGACAAGATTTTCCTTTTCGAGGAACTCGGTCAAGGTATTGGTCATTTGAGTCAGTTTCGGGTATGAGCCGTTCTGCTCGGGGATATCTTCCACAGAGAGCTGTGCCGACATTGCCTTGACATTACGGTGTCGCATGATGGAACTGACTGGTAGTCTGATTCCATGTTTGCTTAGTCGAGAGGATAGTTTGATTGCGTCGATACTGTCGAGTCCAACTTCGAAGATCGATGTCCCGGGATTGATGGACTGCACTTCAACTCCGGCCAAGTTTGCGATAACATCGCGGATTGTGGAGGCCTGAGAAGTCCAGTTAAATGATGGATCTTCGTACTTTGCAGCCGGCTCTTGGGAATGGTCATTGTGGCCGTTTGTCAGTAGCGGTCTCTCCTCTGCGATACCGTTGATGTAGGGCAGCTCTGTGTCTGGATGCTGAGCAAAGTCGGACAGAACGTTCTGGAAATGCAAAAGCATTTTCTTCGCTGCCTCTGAAGACAAGATGTCACCCTTGGCAGCAAGTGTTGCGGTGAGTGATTGATTGCCATTGCGCGCAATTTCGAATGCCAAGGGGTACTCATGCCGGGCTTCGCCATCCTGTGCGTTCCAGAGCTTGCTAGTTGAGGACTCACCCTCGGCGTTGTCTCTCTGGAAGACGAACAGTGATTCGAAAAGTGGCTCGTCGGGATTCTGTCCAAGCCACCTCACTATATCTCGCAAGGCAGTGTATTGGAAGGGAATTGTCGAAGCGTGGTACTCATGGCATCGCTGAGCGACTTCTGACCACGATTTCAAACCACGCAGCTGTACATTGCTCGGGATGGTGTTGAACAGGGGACCAATGATATCGGTAACACCCGCTACATCAATCGTTCGACCAGAAGCGATGATTCCCAATGATGGCACGAATGAGTAATGGTCGTAGATCGTTAATAGCCAGCAAGCGTGAAGAATGGCTTGTTCTGTAACGTTGAGCGATTTTCGCAGATGATCGAGAGACTCGGTCCCATCAATTTGAATGATTTGGACAGTGGACTCCACGCTGACCTCGGTATCGTTCGATCTAGGCAAGGACCTGTGCGAATAACCTGCAAGATGGTCTTTCCAAAACTTTTCTTCAGAGGGGTCTTTGCAAAGAGGGCCCAAGTGAAGCACATCGAGGAAGTTGGGCGGTTTTTCGGAACCCTTGTCTTCGTCTAGGTATATCCGCGAAACAAGTTCGAGAAGTAGCCTGAGACTATTTCCATCATAGAGAGCATGGAATATGTTGAGACACAAAAGTCGACTTCCAGGCGAAGTAATCACCCCAACTTCCCACAACTGGGTCATGAGACTATCAAGTCCAGCAATCCATCGCTGGAGTTCTTGTTTGCGAACATTTTCAATACCCTCGTCCGATTCCACCTCCTTGTGGAACCAAGGGAGTGCATCCTTCTTCAACACAATCTGAGCATAGCCGTCGGGTGATGGTGAGAACCGTGTTCGTAGTACTTGGACTTCACTTTGTGCTTGTGTCCAGGCAGCCTGGAGTCTTTCCAGGTCCACAGAGGCGTTGAGTTCGAATATAAACGAAGAGCAGTAGAGTGGTGTGGGGCTCGACAGGAAATGATATATAATGCCTTCCTGGAGCGGGGTGCAAGGGGCAATTTGCTCAACATCCCCATCCGACACACCAATGCTTTCGATGACAGAGTGGGAATTTTTGTGAGCAAAGGCTTCCATGGCTTGCTTTGCATGTCTGTGAAGACTATCAAATGATGTGGACGGAGATTTTGATTCCTCGAGGGCTGTTGCTAATCCGGAAACCGTGGGATCTGGTAAGGAGATGAGAGTTAGAAATATATATCCACAGCCTGGGGGCTCCGAGTCGGGGAAATTCAACTTACGCTTCATAATCAAAGACGGCTGTGCTTGAGGAAAGCCCGCCTCCCTCAAACTTCTGGCGAATGACAAAACAGAGATAGAATCAAGACCCAACTCGTAAATGCTTGACCAAGACGAGATAGTCGACTCCGAGTCATTAGACCCAATGAACTCTGCCAAAATCGAGATAATCTTCTCCTCTTGTAAACTCTTCCTAGTCCGATCAACAGTCATCGCATTCAGACTCTGAATATCTTCCAGAGAAAGTTCTTGATAGATACCCTTCAAAACCTTCATGTCGGCCTTATTATTTGCCGACAAGGGGAAGCGAGACATCGGAATGATATGCGTCGGCACCATATACCCCGGAAGATGCGTGTGACAAGCAGTTTTAACAACGGACAAGAATTCACGATCCCCGCCAGAAGAAAGCGAAAGAACCTCCACACTCTGTGATTTTTTATCCTCGTCAGTAGCAATAACCTTGGTGACGAAAGAAACCAGTTGATCCTTCGATTGATTCGGATGCTTAACCACCAAAGTGGCAACTTCATTCAAAGCAGCCGTCGACTGCTTAATGACTTCATTAATTTCTCCAATCTCAAGTCTCTGTCCACGAAGCTTAACCTGATCATCGATACGACCAAGGAACTGGAAACTGCCATCATGTAAAATCCGCACCAAATCACCAGTGCGATAAATGCGATCATTCCACTCTGGCACCGTTTGGAATCGCTCAACCGTAAGTTCTGCCCGATTCAAATACCCCTTTCCAACAAGAGGTCCAGAAACGCACAATTCGCCAAGACCACCACGTAGAACAGGGATCGAAGTTCCAGGTCGGAAGACGTAGGATCCAACATTGTCAAATTGAGGTCCAATGTTGGTGGGCTTGTCATTGGCGCGCATTCGTGGAAGCATCGTGCAGCCAATCGTTACCTCGGTTGGTCCGTATCCATTGTAAATGACACCATGTTCTCCCCATGCGTCGAGAATCTCTTGCTTCAGTGCTTCTCCGCCGGTAATGAATACGCCTCGGCATAGCGATGGGACTTCGGTTGGATGGACCAGGCGAGCTAGACTGGGAGTTAAGTCGATATGTGTGATCTGTAGCTTTTGAATCATGCCAGGCAAATCCTCGAATAGGAGATCGCGAGGGCAGGAAGTCACACAAATACCGACGCTCCAACTCCAGTACTGCTCAAGAACGCTAACGTCAAAATGGAATGATGCAAATTGCAGCCAGCGGGAATCTTCATCCCAGTGCGGGGAAAAGAGCCTTTGGAATGCCAGCATTGCTTGCACGGCATTGTCATGAGTGAGTTCACAGCCCTTTGGCGTTCCTGTGGTACCAGATGTGTACAAGCAGTAGGACGTATCGTCGGGTCGGATCTCACGGGAGAGAGATGGCTGCTCTGGAGAATAATCCTTGAACAATCCCGGGTTGTCAAGTGCCTGGATATCAATCCCTTCAAGCTCCGAGAGATCAGCCTCCCTGGCCATATTGCAAAGGAGGAGTTTGGATTCGGAATCTCCCAAGATAAACTGCTTTCGAGAGATGGGGGCAGAAGGGTCGATGGCAACATAAGCGCATCCAGCCTTGAGAATTCCCAGAATCGCTATAGAGGCCTCGGGACATTTATCGAAACAAATAGCAATCATGCCACCGGGGACGACTCCCTTCTCCTGTAGGAAGTGTGCAACTCGATTTCCATCCTCATTGAATTCGCGATAGGACCAGATTTTCTTTTGCAGATTGTCAATGCTCGAACCAAATGCAAATTCGAGAGCAATTTTGTCTGGGATTCGTTGAGCGTTTTGTTCAACAAATTGATGCAGAAGAGAGACTGATGTAGGCAGTGACTGCTCCTTGGCAGGCGTAACAGAGAGTAAAGTGTTTCCCAGAACCAGATTATCATCCGAATCCGAATCAGGAGAGAAGATGGTTTGCTTTAGAAGTTCATCGTATTGACCGAGAAGGATTTTAGCTTGCTCTTCGGGAACAATGTCACTTCGGTAGCTGATTCGAATTTCAAGATCTGTCTGATGTGGAACCAGTTCAATCGACAAGGGGTACTGTAATAAGTTCAAGTTAGCGGAGGTTTTGGGGGGGAATAAATTTCAAACATACATCAATCCTCGTCTCCTCATCGACAACTTCCCATTTCTGCACATCTGTCGGACCCGAAGCAAACTTCTGATAAACAAACAGAGTATCAAAAAGAGGCTCATCATTACCAATCCATCTCTGAATCTGCGCCAATGGCGTAAACTGATGCTTAACCAGATTGGCATTTCTCTTCAACGTGCGTTCCAAGAGCTCGCGATTAGTTCCACCAATATGATGAGGCGAAGGCACAGTAACCAGACAAGGGAAAACAGCATCTTGAGCACTGGCCGATAAATTCCGACCAGACAAAACAGTGCCAAAAGTCACATTTTTCTCTCCAGTGTAAGCGGAAAGTAACTTTGCCCACGCGACTTGTCCAGCAGCTTGCAACGTCACACCCATATGACGGCACGAATTTTCCAGCTCCTTCAGCGGGGATGAGCAGTGGATGGAACTTTCAAGTAACTCCGAGTCCTTCTTTTCGATTCGGATAGGGTTTAAATCGGGGATTTTGGTGGGATGGGCTTCGGGGGCGATGCTTTGCCAGAATTCACGCGATTGTTCGGCGTTTCGATTATGGCTTTCGAGAAGAATTGGTCCAAGGGTTGCGGTGATTGAGGGACGGCTTGAAAGAATTTTGCCTTCATAGGATGCCATGACGTCGGAGAATATCGATGTCAATGACTGGGCGTCGTAGATTGCATGGAGTGCTGAGAAACGAACCGTCGTGATGGTTTCGCTTGACTCAACTGACACGGCCCAGGTAGGTTGGTGAAGGTTTTCAAGAACCTGCTTTCCTTGAGCATCGGGTGTCTCTGTTCCAATGGTGCCTGTGCCTCCGGATGTTTCATACCACGGAAGCTCAACTCCTGACTCATAGGTAATCATAGCAAACGGATACTGCTGATCATGTAATTGAACAAAGCCAGTCCTGAGCATCTCGTGCTGAGACATCACGGCTGACCATGCTTCCTTGAGTAGGACTCGATCTAGAGCCACCGGGGACTTCAAAGCCATTATGTTGAAGTACATACTGCCACTGGAATGGGTGAAGCTTGCGAGCATTCCATTTTGAACGGGCGTACAGGGCCGGAGGGATTGCACGGATTGAGAGGGAATTTGATGCTGTTCGCAGACGGTGTGAAGATGCTTGTTCTCGAAGGCAGCAAAGTCGAATTCGTCTTCCTTCTTCAAGTTGTTCTTTGCGCTATTGTCGAGAAGAGACGCGATGTTTTCAATTGACGCAGCCTTTTGTTGAATAGAGGTTAGTCTTGAACAATCAAATATAAGTTTTGAAAAGTGAAAAAAAAACATACCTCGAGAATATCACCCGCAGAAATCTTGTATCCCATTTTATGAAATTTCCCCGAAATCTGCACCGCATTGATACTATCCAACCCAAGTTGAAAGATCGTCGTATGCAAAGAAACACAACTCGAATCGACCGCAGAATATTGACAAAGAATCTCCCTCAGCGCCTCCTCCTGATCAGACCAAGGGCGGGTGATGACATTTGGCTGTTGAGACGCTATCTGAGAGGTGTTGGACTTGATAATCTTCTCAAAGATCTGCGGAACATTGTCTCCGATAGATCGCTTATCAGAAGCCTGCGAAGAAGGATACTGAGTCGTATTCTCTACCAAAGCCACAAAGTCCCGCGCCAGTCTTTCCGCAACATCACTTCCGAGATACGATTGCTGATAGTGAAGGGAAATCTGAATAGTATCGCGAATTCCATCGGGAATCACTTCGCAAATCAATGGGAATCCCATATTCCCTTTGTCGGAGAGGAGTTCCCAATATTGACGGTCGAGATCGGTACCCCTAGTTTGGAGAATGACCAATGTGTCGAAGAGCATAGAACCTCCGTGGATAGGAGGTAGCGTGCGCTTCTGGATGTGGCGCAGGGGAGTCAATTGGTGGGGGAGAATGTCGCTGTTGTGCTTTTGGCATAGTTTCATCATGTCCACGTTTGTGGAGGTGGAGGTGAATTTCACTCTCATTGGGAGAGTGTTGAAGCAGGGGCCAACTATTTGATCTGCGCCCTCTAGGGGAATCGTTCGGCAGCTGAAGACATTGCCAAAACAGATATCTGATGACCCGGCGTAGAAGGATAGGAGTCTGGCCCAGGCAGCGTGGAAAACATTCAATGGTGTCACTGAAAGACTTTTGCATTGGTCTTTGAATGAGGTGAATGAGCCATTCAGGGTTACTTGGATCTGTCGGGAAGCAGATTGGTCAGGCGTCTTTTCGTCGGCTGGGGCTGTGGCTGGGGTTGATAGAAGACTTGGTGAAATGCCAGATAGGTATCGATCCCAATACTGATCCGAAATTTCCGTGTTTGTCGAGACCATGTAATCAATGAATTTGTGGAATGGGGTCGTTTCTAGCAATTCCTGACCCGCAAGCGAAGTCTGGAGCTCATGAAGAAGTTGCGCAATTCCCTCCCCATCATAAAGGGCATGGTGAATAGACAGAAGGAGGTGTGCAGTGTTATCAGCGAGGTTCACGTATACAGTCAACGAATAAGGAAGCATGTCCTTGACAGGAGAGTGACTTTCGAATTCAGACTTTCTCTTTTCGAGATCATGATCAAGTCCCTGAGACGAGACTTCGAGATAGAACCACGGTAAAGAGGCATTCTCGAGCACGATCTGCGCGTACGCGAAACGCTTATCATTGGTCGGTCTGAAACAAGTTCGGAGAATATCGTGCCTTTGCAACATGTGGTTCCATGCAGATTTCAAGCCTTCAATTCCCGTGTTCACGCGGAGAAGCAAGTGGTTGAAATATGCCGAGTCATCGTCCGATTTGGCTGCCAGCATTGCTTCCTGCAGAGGCGTACAAGGGTAGACGCTTTTGACAGATACGTCTTCGCTTATTAATTCATCATTGACTTCGCGAAGGAAATTTTCATCGAAAACTGAGCTGGGCTTATCCTCGACTTGGATTGGCGCGGTCACATGTCCATTCGTCATGATATTTGCAACAGTAGCGAGTTGAGCAATGGAGCTGCGTTGGAGAATGGTTGATACGGGGAGTCTTTCGAGTCCAGACTCCTGCAGCTTTCGTGAGAAGGAGATTGCAGAAAGCGAGTCCAGTCCAAGCTTATAGAATGAACTGTATCTGCCAATGCTTTTCAAATCCACTCCAGTTATCGAAGACAGTGTTCCAGCGATGATCTGCTCAACTTCATTCAGAGGAGCATCGGAGTTTGCCGCATCGAGATGGAGAGAGAATAGTGCAAGTCTTTGTGGATCCATCTGCTCAACTTCTTGCTTTATCCTTGCATAGTCTACTGTGTGAGACTTTGTCATCAAAATCCCGCTCATTGGAATAAGTAGAGACGGGACAGTCGATGAAACTTTTGTCGTGAGTTCAGTAAGAAGATCTTTGGCAACATCCTCCAAATTTTCGGAATCTGCTGATTGTCGAGCCTTTTCTGACGGAGTCCAGATGGTTGCCAATTGCTGCTGGTTAGTGATGGGGTTGTCCAGTACAATACTAACAGAATCTTCAACCATGCCCGAAGAGAGGAGAGCACGATCAATCTCGTCGACATCAATTTCTTTCCCGTGTACTTTGAGGCCGGAAGCCAGAGATATGGTTCCATCTGAAAGTATCCTGCCGCGATCGCCAGTCCGACAAAGTCGACCAAACTGGGGGTGATCAATGAATTTCTCTTCACCAGGACCGTCTGAGTGAAAGATGCGTCCCTAAATGTGAAGATTAGTTTTTTTTCCCATGTAGTAAAGAGAGTCCATAATGCTGACAATTTGGGTTCCGCCAAAGCAAAGCTCGCCAAGCGCACCACGAGGGAGTATATTGACTGTCGCTGTAGGCGTATCCGCAATAATCACCGCAGATGTGTTCCTCAGCGGTACACCAATATTATTCGGAAATACCGCCAGATCAACATTCGTGCAAAGAGTCGCAACACCCGCAATCCCCTGCGAACCGTAACCTACTACCAAAGGTGATTAGCGATTAGTGATCTGTGGTTCCGTTGTTATTCCAGAGCCAAACTTTGCATACCTGAAAAAACGCACCTCCCAGCCCAGTCTCAGATAAACCTTCGCCCTCAACGGCTCCCCCGACGCAAGAATACATTGAAGGTCGGGAACCTGCTCAGGACCCCCCATCCTCGATAACAACGAAGGAGTAGAATGCAGATGCGATATGTTCATCGCGTTAATGATATGCGGCAAATTCAAGTTCAAGTCTCGCCCGTCTAATGCTGAACCTGAACAAAATGTGATTCCGGAGTTCAAGGCAAAAAGTAAGTCGATGAAAAAGCCTATTCGATGGTGACAATCATCAAATTAGCATTGTATTCCATAAGAGGGCACGAGGCACTGGTCAATATAGCAAGGTGCTGGTGCTGGTATTGGTAGTTGTGTAACTCACTAGCAGATTCAAGGGGAGATGTATGCAATAACTTCGATCCAGTGGAAACGGGAACAGGATAAGAATCCGCAAGAGCTTTGATGTGGCTTTGAAGATTGTGCAAGGAAAAGGAGAAAAGGTTCGGGGTCGGGTCATCATTCGTTGACGGATTCTCGGCACAAATAATATAGAATCCATCATCGTTCGTGAAAGAGGCGGGGAAGTCGTCAAGTTCGCTTAGTGAATCCGGAATGCGAATTTGCGAAGTTGAATCCGGTACTGTCCAATCGGTCACAGATTGATTGATAATGCAGAATCGTGGATTCGCAGTGGCGAGAATGGAATTAGTGAATTGAGGCGAAGCATCAGCATCAGCATCAGCATCATGCGTCAAAGATAGAAGACCAGCTCCAATCTTGGCGAGAGCAAGGATAGAAATCAGGGTATCAATAGATCTATCAAGGGAAAGAGCCGTCATATCACCCTTTAGAACTCCAGCTTTGGTGAAGTAATGGGCGAGACGATTTGATCGAGAGTGTAATTGGGTGTAGGAAATGCTCTCAATAATCGTTGACTCATGGGCAGAGGTACCCTGCAGCAAAATTTCCACCGCTGTTCGATACGGATCTGTAGAGGCTATTCTCTCGATATTCGAGACCAGGCTTGGAAGACCAGCCTGTGTCGGGGTCTGTGTCTGTGTCTCGATCTCCGGGTTCGAAATTGACAATATCGACGAAGGAAGGTAGGAGGCAACCTCCCCAATTGGCAGCTGTGAATTCTCAATAAGAATAGAAGCGACCAAATCAATCTGTTCAAGGAGAAGCTGCGCCTGCTCGTACGGCAATACAGACTGCTGGTAAGACATCTTTGCGTGAACCTTATCTTCTCTCGGCTCAAGGTCCAACAGAAATGCAAATTCAAGGAATTCGCCATTCCCAACTTCGCGGAAGAGGGCGTTCGCATTCTGATCATCAGACCAGATACTCTCCTGCCACACGAGGGCGGTGTCGAAGAGGTTCCGTCGTGGGTCAATTCCAGACGCCTTCTTGATATCCTGTAGAGGGAGACTGCCGTGCTCAAGGGATTTGCGATTCATGTTTTGAATTGCCAGCATGAGATCTGTGACATTTTGCATCTTGCCTAGATCCATGCGTGTGGGGAGTGTGCGAATACAGGGCCCGAGAACGGTTTCAATACCCTTCACTGGTAAAGTTCGACCTGAGAAGACGGTTCCGAAGGTGACGTCCTTTGACCCGAGGTAGGTTGAGAGCATGTAGCAGTATGCAGCTTGGAAGATAGTCTGTCGGCTGACATGCAGGCTTTGGGAAACCTCGTTGAGCTTTGAGATGGAAATATCCAGTACTCGGTTGGCTTCTTGTGTTTTCGGCGATACATTGCTTACGCTGTGGAAGTTGGGGAAGGCGAGAGAAGGAGTGCCTTGTAGTTGGTCACGCCAGAAGTTGGAAGATTCGTTGGCAGATTCGCTGAGTTTGTACTCGATGAAGAAATCGGTGATGATGTTGTATGCTGGTTTGGGGGGAAGTTCCTCCCTATTCAAGATGTGTTGGAGATCTTTTAGTATCAACTGCCAGGACCAGCCGTCGTACAGTGAATGGTGAATATGCACAAGGACCCGCACACCATCACTTGACTCCTTCAATTGAAGGCGTAGAGGGTGGAGGAGATCATTCTCTGAGATCAAGGAGATTTCGTAGTTGAAAACATCACACTTTTGTATTGTTTGGTCGTCGGGGGTATTCCAGGTAAAGCGAGCGTAAGAATTCTCCTTGAGGCCGATTTCAACAAATCCCGAACGCAATAACGCATTGTGCTCAAAGGTCTTGACGAACGCATCATGGATGTTGTCGGAGGTGACTGTGGGTTGAAATTGCAGTTCAATCCAGTTGGAGTAAGCCTTTGTGTCTCGCGCGGTTTCCAGAATCATTGCCTGTTGGATATGGCTGCACGGTTCGATCTCGGCAACCTGTCCACTAAGTCCAAGCGCCTCTATCCTTGCTGCGCCGGCATCTCTGACAAGTTGGCGGATGCGGTTAATGGCTGTTTGAGTATCTTCCGTCGATTCACTGGTAGCCTGCGCTTTCGCAAGGTGCCATATTCCATCCACACTGTCTGCCTCCAGCAAGCGCGCAACGTCCAGACGCATCCCAGTGTCCAGCAGATGAGAAGCGAGTCTGATAGCAGCAAGTGAATCAAGACCAGCAGAGACCAGAGAATCATCGACTGGTATCCTTTTGCCGAGCACGTCGAATACACAAGACGCGATCGTTTCCTCGGCCTCATCACGGAAAGTGAGTTGATCAACAGATTGGGCAGCATTGCGACGACGGACGAAGTCAGCTTCGAGTCCCTTGCGATCAATCTTTCCCGATGGCAATTGGGGGAATTGGTCGATCAAAATGAATTCACCGGGCACCATGAACCGGGGCATCCATTGACGGCAAGTATCTCGCATTTCACGGTCCGTGGTGCCTTGATCATTGGCCAAGACAAATGCTGCCAGGCTACCACCACTAACAATAGCAACGGCGCTTCGCACATTGGGCGATTTGCAAATGACATTTTCAATCTCTCCGAGCTCTATCCTCTGGCCTCGAAGTTTGACTTGACCACTAGAGATTCGTCCAAAGCACTCAATCTCGCCTGTGGAGGACATGCGCCCTTTATCACCCGTGCGATAGAGTCGGCCGTAGACTGGACTTTCGATGAATGCTTTGGCATTTTCTTCTGGTCGATTGATATACCCATCTGCTAGTTGAGGACCACCCACCACAAGCTCGCCAATCTGGCCAATTGGAAGAGGTTGAAGATCAGCATTTACTTGCGATTTGTCCTCCGACTCCAGGGACATGATGAATGCAGACACAGTGCTGAAAGGTTTCCCGATCAAATTGACTGCAGAGTCGGCTTGGAAATGCGTGGCTGCGGTGCAATGAATTGCAGCCTCGGTCGGACCATACATACCATGGAGAATGCCATCCGACTTTTCTGACTGGCCAAATTCTTCCACGACATACTTCGTGAGCATTTCACCGATAGTGAGAAGAACTCGCAGACAAGGTGCCGCTGCTCTAGTGCGCAGCAACTCCCCCGCTACCGTGGGAGTTAACTCCGCCGCGTCAACCCTCATTTCAGTCATGACGTGAGAAATATCAAGCAGCATTTGTTCCCTGTCGGAGCCGATCAACGTCGCTCCGCGGAAGAAAGGGAAGAAGACCTCGAAAACGGAAACATCGAAAGTAGGCGAAGCAAATTGAAGGAAGCGATTAAATTGGGGTATCAAGATATCATGCGCAAGCAAAGATTGGGTAGCAGCCAGATGAGAAATGCCCACACCTTTCGGGCGACCGGTTGATCCTGATGTGTACATCACGTAGGCCAGATCAGAAGGTGAGGGTGAGGCTTGCGCCATTGGTCGGGAAATCTCCAGATTGTCAGTTGAGTTTACAATCTCCTCCACCTTGATCACTGCCAGGCGTTCGTCTTGTGGAACCCGAGCAGCCAAGCTACTTTGCGTAACCACCACTGATGCAGCAACGTCCTGCAGGATAAATTCTATCCTGTCAGGCGGGGCATCGGTGTTCAAGGGACAGAATGCTCCGCCAGCTTTGAGAATTCCCAGCCAGGCGATGTACAGCTCGAGGGATTGTGGTAGCAGGACGGGGACCACCAGTTTCCGCCCATCGCTCACTCGTGCGGCTGAAGCATGAATAATTTCCGTCGCTAGTTTGGAAGATAATTGGTCCAGCGAGCTGTACGAGAGACTGCGAATGTTTCCATCCGCGGCCAGAAATTCGATGGCATTGTTGGAGTCATTGGAGCCGCTCAAGGCAAGCTCATGAAGAAGCTGTGGGCCTGGTAACAGCTCTGGGGAAGGGTTTAAAATCGACAATGCAGGAGACTCCGGAGCAGGCAATTCTACCGGCTTGTCTGACTGGATGACCTGCTCATGCACGATTTGCTTCAGCTGGCTGCCGAGTCGATGCAAGGTGGTGGCATCCATGCCTGCCGTAGAATGCAGCACGCTCATCTGAGATTTGCGGTTCAGGGTCCAAGACAGAGTGGCTGTGGGGATAGTGGGGGTAGTGGGAGAAAACGGAAGCCGAGGCCGAATCTGAAGAAGGTGAAGATGAAGGTGATAGTGACAATGAAGAAGACGAAGAAGCCGAAGAAGAAGCAGTCGAAAAATCTTTGAAACCGCTGAAAGAGCGGGCCTCGGTTCTTGAATCTTCACTTTCAATAACCACGGCGGTGGAGAAATTGGAGTAAAATTTTATAGGATCAGTTGAAGTAGAGTTCAGCGAACTTTCTAATTTTGCCAATCTGATTGTGCGGGTAGCTATATCCACCTTGGTAAGATCACCGTTGAAAGAAAAACGGGAGATTGAGATCGCTGGTCGCCGCACGAACTCAATAGCAAGGCCCAAGACACGGCGATGAGCTCATTTGGAAGGTGATGGGTCTCCACGTGAAATATAGCGCGTTCCGCGCCGTTCTCGCGGTGATGAACGGGGATTTGGATTAGACAGTCCATCTAAAGCGGAATATTTGAATCAATCAAGCATGATCTAATGATGCTTATAGATTGTTTATTGTGAGAGCTGTGAGTGGTTGCTCGGGCCCAGAGGGTCTTGGGTCTTATGCAGGTGGTAGCCGCGTGGAGGGGGGGCAGCAGGTCAGGCTAGCGGCAGATGAGGGTCGCGGAGGGCCGTGGAGGGCCGTGGTCACGAATCACGAAAAAAAAGAGGGAGAGAGGGAGTGAAAATGCCAGGCGATGAGGGGTAAATTGCGAATTCCAATCACAAAGTATATCATGGTTGTGCGGGAGGGAAAGTGGGCATGGAGTGGGATGGAAATGGAAGTGGAAGTGGGAGGGGATCTGCCTGCAGGGCCGAGACAAGCGCGAAAAAGAAGTAGCAGTCAAGTGGGAAGGTGGTGGGAATTGCCTGTTGCTTTCTCCGAAGTGGCGCTTTTCGGGATATTTTTGGGCTGTCTTTTTTTGGAGTAATATTTTTTGGAGATTCTTTTGTTCCTTTTGCTTTTTCCTTGCTTTTTTTTTCTTTTTTTTCCCTGCGTGGTCCGGCTTAGTCCTGCTTATTGTCGAATTTATGAATGGTGGTCGGACCATACACTGCTGTAACTACGGTAGTGTCTCCATCTGGGGAGGAGCAAAGGCACAGATTGAATGACAAGGTGGAGGAATCTAGGATGGAGAGAGAAAGCTCGGAGTTTAGCAACAACGTTGGATTGTGGGTGGGTCGACAACACGAGCTTGCCAGTGGTTCGCGGGGATGACGTACAGGCGTCGTACTCGAAGGTTGGAAACAGAGAATAAGAAATAGAATTCCAAGAAAGTTTATTGGAGGGTGTGTGCATAGGACATGTAGGAACAGTATGGGTATCCTTGTCTACGAGTATCATACTACCCTGGTGATTCATTACCCAGGTGCCAGTGCCATGCCATGCCATGTCAGTGCAGTGCCAGGCAGATGGGAGATCGCGGAGAAATTAACGCTCGGGTAACAATCAGATTGTGATCTTCGATGGCCCCCAATGGCAATGAGCCCCACGTTTGGCCAGTGTTGAGTGGTGTACTAGTAAGTTTGAATTTTCACTCCCCGCTGCCAAGAGCCTCGTGTCCAAGTGTCCATATTCCCAGTAAATATTACTTTGTATATTACTATGTATATTACTTTGTATACTATGGTACACCGGATGTCTCCCGTGTAGTCAGTCCACTATGGTAACTTGAACTACCCGGTTTTCCCGACATCGGACTTCGGCGGATGAATGGAGAAGAACCAAATACAACCGAGTTCACCTGGGCAGTTACTTTGAAAACTTGAACTTGCTTGTTTTTGGCGGAAATGCCAAATTAATTTTTGTTGCCAAGCATGCAGGCCTCGCCATGTGCAGGAACTGACACTCGAAGTGGGGAAAGGGATGGTAACAGCCAGAATGGGCAGTAGACATATGGAGTGAATCAAACAGGAATACTCTGTAGAGATATTATAATCCCACCACAAAAAGAAAAGAAAGAATACGGAGAACAGTTTCTCTGCAATTCCGCTACAGTTCCCCAGCTTGAACCCTATAAATTGCTGCCAACAGCCCAGAGTCCGTGTAAAATCAAATACAAATTCCCAGTCTTTTCAGTGGAGACTAGTACTGATTGATAACCGGGAACCTTGACAATAATACGCCCGGTTATAGCACACGCCAACGCCTCGTATCCACTGAAGAAATTTTATCATTTCCATTTCCCATTATTTTCCGCGGTCAAGGTTATCAGATCCGCACAAAGCTGAGACAAGCGGTGTTACCAGGAGCATTACAACCTAGTATCACACCAAGTACACATCAGTACCATCAATACCGCCATACCACATCCCGGGCGGTGGAGCTCCAAACATACGATACGCCAATATTTTTATTTTTTTTTATTTTCTGGATTATTTCATTGTTTTACTATTTTATTGCACGACTCGGACAACTTCGCATCGATCCGACTCTCCCAAGACAGAAGTATCCGATGTGGACCAGGAGGTGATAGGATCCACCTAGTCACTGCTGTATTGCTATTGCTGCTGCTGTTGCTCTTGCTCACTCGGGTGATCCTTCATACATAACCCAGCCGGACTGCTCTTCTGCTCTTCTCTTCTCTCGACCACCAACCAGCTCCGAAAGCTTCTTTCTTTAGCTTGAGCTCTATTCCTCTCTCATCTTCCCCTCTTCAACCTCCTCTTCTCTTCTTCACGGGATTTCCCCTCTCCCTCCCCTCCCCCCCTACATAATGGAGCCCATCGCTCGCAAGTCCGAGCTACCTTACGTCAACGCCATGGAGCCCCGCGTTGAATCCGCCTCCAACCGCTCCCTCCTGCGCTCCGCAGCCGCAGACGAAATGCACGACCTTCTCTGCGTGGGATTCGGTCCCGCATCCCTGGCCATTGGAATTGCGCTCAACGACGCAATGGACCCCGCCCTCGGCCGCACTCCAAACCCCAACTTCAAGCCCAAGGTCTGCTTCCTGGAGCGCCAGAAGCAATTCGCCTGGCACTCCGGTATGCTGGTTCCCGGCTCACGCATGCAAATCTCCTTCATCAAGGATTTGGCTACCCTCCGCGATCCGCGCAGTAGCTTCACTTTCCTGAATTACCTGCACAACAAGGATCGGTTGATCCACTTTACCAATCTGGGCACGTTTTTGCCTGCGCGTATGGAGTTTGAGGATTATATGCGTTGGTGTGCGCAGCGGTTTAATAACGTTGTTTCGTATGGTGAGGAGGTCGTTGATGTTGTTCCTGGTAAGGAGACTAATGGGGTTGTGGAATACTTTGTTGTTCGTTCGCGGAATATCGAGACTGGTGAGATTACTTTGCGCCGGTCTCGTAAGGTCGTCGTTGCTTTGGGTGGTAAGGCGAAGATGCCTCCTGGTTTCCCTCAGGATCAGCGCATCATGCACTCGTCCAAGTACTGCACTGTTCTGCCAAATGTGCTGAAGAATGAGTCCGAGGCATACAATATCGCTGTCGTTGGCAGTGGTCAGAGTGCTGCGGAGATCTTCCACGATCTTCAACGCCGCTACCCTAACTCCCGCACTACTTTGATCCTGCGGGATACAGCTCTTCGTCCTAGTGATGATTCTCCTTTGTACGTGATCCCTCAACCCAGACAGCTATCCCAAGGGAAAGAGTAACAAAGCTAACAAACCCTTAGCGTCAACGAAATCTTCAACCCCGAGCGTGTGGACAAATTCTTCAACCTCCCCACCGAAGAGCGCCACAAACGCATCGCCACCGAAAAAGCCACAAACTACTCCGTCGTCCGTCTCGAACTCATCGAAGAGATCTACAACACCATGTACCTCCAACGCGTGCAAAACCCCGACCAAACCCAGTGGCAGCACCGCATTCTACCCGAGCGCCGCGTCGCTCGGATCGAGCACCACAACCCCGCCCAACGCATGCGCATCCACGTCAAGGGCGTGAAAGACGAGAGCGCCGAGGGCAAGGAAGTTCTCGAAGTCGACGCTGTCATGGTTGCTACGGGCTACCAGCGTGACGCACACGAGCAATTGCTCGAACAGGTGCGATCTCTAAGACCGGCTGGACAGTCTGTTTGGACTCCTGGTCGTGATTATCGCGTTAATTTGGACCATGGCAAGGTTAGCCGTGATGCGGGGATTTGGTTGCAGGGTTGTAATGAGAAGACTCATGGTTTGAGTGATAGCTTGCTTTCTATTCTTGCTGTACGGGGTGGGGAGATTGTTAACTCTGTCTTTGAAGATCAACTTGCTGGTACTGGTACGGTGGTGCAGGACACCCGGGTTCGTGCTATGCTGTAAATGAATTGGAGGGATCCAATTTGTTTTCTTCTAGTGCATGGGATGGGATGCTACTAAGGAACTTTGCCGGAATGTGCAAGTTCTTCAAAAAAAAAACAACCGGGCTACGGCCACGGCTACGGCTACGGCTACGCACAACTGACTTTCACTTTCAATGTTTTCTTCTCACATACCCCCTTTTTTCAATTTCAATTGCTATGTTAGAGTCTACGCGCGGCATTTGTTTTCTAGACTGTTGGAAATTGGAAATTTAATGAGAACGGCTTTTTTCAATTGACTTCTTAAAAAATACCTTTTCTAAACCACTTTTTTTTGCCTTGGCGAGTTTTTTTTTTCTCTCTAATGCGTACCCCTCCAACCCTACACTCAAAAAGGTTAACTCTGCCGAGATCAATGTTTCAGCCCTTTACGCCTCGGGCTGGACTGACACTGGACCTGGGCACTGGCATACATAAGCTTACTACGGAGTACGGAGTACCTACTGAGTATTGAGTACTGAGGCTGACAGGGACAGGGACAGCAAGCTTGAAATATGGTATGATCTAGTGGGGATTGATTGATTGATTGATTTGATTTGATTTCTTCATACGAATACCATGGCTCTAATACACGTATATTGTACGAGACACTGTACACTGTATACCAAGTGGATCCTGAATACTAAACGATAAATACAAATACAATTCCCATCCGTCCGCCAAGACCAACCAACCACACAATTAAAAAAAAGTCATCGGAAACCGCGCGAAGAACGGACCTTTGACCTTTTGCCTAGCCGAGTCCACCTGTCGTTGACCTGCGTAAGCGATGATCTGCGCGCTGATCGGTGTCGAGTCCCTGTCTGTCCCTGTCGAGTCCCCTGAAAGGAAAGTGGTAAGAATTGGAGAGTTTTGAGTTGAATTTGGATTATTTGGATCACTTGATCTACAAGTACTGTACGGAGTACTCAAGTGATTGATCCTCCGTCTGGGGGTATGTACTCCGTACAGTGCTTTACTTCACTTCACATGTTAATTATCCCTCGCTAGTAAGTACTACTCGTACTCCTGAGTGGGGGAGAACAATCCAGACCAAATTTTTGTTCTTGCAAGGCAGTGTATTACAGTAGTGCTTCATACACATGGTACATACTCTTTGTACGAGTAACTACCCACACTGTATGTAGTTGTACGGGTTCATACGAGACCCGACCTGACACGAAAAAGAAAAAAAAAAGCCACGGTGGGTCCAGCGTGGCGCAATCAGATAACCCCCGAACGAAATTTTTTATCTGATCAGAAATTCCCACTTTCCCGATTTTATTGGTAATTGGTAATTGGGCTGCACCATGCACCTGCACCCCCCAAAGTTTGTGGGAAAATATGTACCTATAGGTAATGTACATACACAGTCCAGTACCACTCTGTCGGGCCTTGCCACTCCCGTATGGCGCGTTGAATAGTCGAGTCGAGTCGAGACAAACTCTTCCCTGCCTTGTCTGTCACCGCACTTTTTGCTTTACCTTGGACAATCTAGGCTAGAATCTAATCTCCAATTACATACGGAGTACGGTAGTGCGAGTACCCAGTCCAGTCCAGTTCAGCCCACTTCCCCGTCTATCACTTTCCTATACTGTGCTTAGTGAGATGGGGTCCGCCTACCCTCCTCTACCATTCATTTCATTCATTCCTGGTCCTCGGCTGGATTACGCCAACCTGGCAGGAGGCGGTGGGGACACACCTCGTGTTGTATGTACGAGTACTCCGTACTCCGTACAGTACCTAGACTAAGCCAAGATGCAGATGCAGATGTACCCATCTTCATCCTCGTCGTTCCGGCTACCGAGGACCCGCTTCGCACTCCATGCCACGCCAACCCGAGCTCCTTTGCTTCGCTCGCTCCCAACCGAGCCGCCTGTCGAATGTACAGGACAAGGAAGGACACAGGGCAAGGTGGAGTCGGTTGCAGGTTTTGAAGATTCGTTATACACATTACGGAGTACTGAACTAGGCTAGGCTGCGTGAAGTGAATTGAGGACGACGAAATACATGCGAAAATGTAAGGAGGCCTTGTACTCGTAGTTACGTGTAGAAGGTCAAAAATGTCGCCGAAATTCTTTGGCATTGGCAATGGCAACCTCAACTTGAATAGAACTTGAAGTCAATTCTGGAGGTTTGCGCCATGTGTGAAAGAAAAAGAAGCTTAACTTAAAGCCCTGCGAACTTCAAATTGAACGCCTCAGACTCGGACCTGTCACGACTGATTCTGGAAAATTAAAATGCACTCGCATACATACATCACGGCGGCATGGCATGGCTGTGTAATGCAATGTAATGTAATGCAATGCAATGGGGTGAAATGCGATGTAATTACCATCCTTCAGATCAAAGACCCTGCATTCTTCTAGCCCTCAACATGAACTCAATTCGATCAGCGTCTATAAAATCTCCAACGTCAAGACTAACACTAACACCAAAACCCCTTTCGTGGCGTCCGTTGGATTGGATTTGGTTTCCAGCCTCGTTTCATCTTGGTTGGGGTCGATTCATAGTCAACGTGGATTCGCTTACTGCGCTCCGCGCGGACCAGGATTATACATTATCACCCATTTCATATCATATCAGATCAGATCATGTCTCTCCCTGTGCTCCCGAAGTCTTGGCTTAATCTTTTCTACGGATCCTCGGATCAATTTTCCCAGAATTAAGTGGTTCGTTTCGTTTCGTTCCTTGGTTCAGGTTCGTTTTACCAAGTCATAAACTATAGCATATGTAACATGTTTATGTACTAGTACACCGCCAGCTGAGCTGTCACCGGTACTGGTACCCTCGCCCTCGCCCCGAAGGAAAGTGGACAGGATAGGATAGCCTGTCCCCTCCCACCCACTCCCTTGAATCGTGTAATGTAGTAGCTTCGTACGAGTCTCGTAGCTGGCTGGCTGGCTGGCTGGCTAGCTAGCTAGCCCCCCCCCCACCCCTCCTAGCCTACATAGCCTGCATCTGCATCCATCCTCGGCTCAGTCCCGCTCGGACAATGAAGCAGGAATAGGCAGGTTTCCAGAATTTTGCGGTATCCGGTATCTGCATGGATCGGCACGTCGCCTGCTGCGGATATCCCTCCTTGCGGAAAGTGAAGTGATCATCGGCAAACTTGTCGAGCATGTCTTTTCTTGGGTTAGTTTCAATTTCAATGCAGGGTCCAGACTGGTGTCAACTCAGACTCAGACTCAGGGTCCAGTCCAATCTGATCTCAATGTCAATCCCCTCTTGTCCCCCCCCCCACTGCCTGGCCCGGTAGTGTGTGTACCCCGACGGTAGGTCTGTCCTATCATGTCCTATCCTGGATTTACTCGGTACGTTGTGGCTTGGCCTGTCTTTATTGACTTTCTTTCCACTTTTGACCTGTGCCGTGGGGGTGGAGTTAGGGTTGGGGCAGGGCAATATGAGTATTTGGCGCTCGAGGCTGCAAATAGATGAACTACTCGTGAGTGTGCTTATACGGTGTACTCGTTCTACACACTCCTCTCCTGTAGGCTAATAACTCAAACCCCAACCTTGGAAGAATTATGTCTTTACCCTCTGTGTCAAACGTACTTGGTCAAGCTGATAGTGGTGATTAGGTACTCTACTCTACTCTAATTTAGCCTTGAAAAGTGTCACGGTATCTGAATGTCACCCCACCGTGCCAGTAGTATGTAGTAGTTATGCCTATGATATATCAATACTATGTAGACTTGAACTTGAATGTACCTGATCCTGATTTTTTCAGCTTGGAACTTGAAGCCCTGGAGGTTATCCCAAGTGCCTGGGGCCGTTGTTGACTTGAACCCTTGCCAGTGCTACCCCCTCAAACAAGCGAAATTGGAACTTCCTCCCCTACTCCGAACATGATGGTGAGTTCTGTCACCATTTATTTTGTTTGTTTGTTTTTTTCTTCCTTTTCAGGGATGTTTAGACAGAAGAATTCAAGGGTTATGAATTAATTCAATGACTCTGGCTGTTGTTGAGCCCTGTCCACAGACTCGGAGTTATCGTTCTCTCAATCTCTCTGGGTACTGATATTGTTCTGTTCTCCCACTCTTCTCTCTTCTCGCTTCTTTACTCGAACTTGGATTACTAGCACCTGGCAAGTTCTTATCTCTACTACATAACTACTACTAGTTACTGAGAATAGGTGGTTACTAACTACTTTACTAGTAACAGGATCAGTAAATTAGTTCAAGTTGTACTATATCCACGAATCATGATAAACTTGAAAGGCTAATATAATCATTATTCTAACACCCACTGTACAATACCAGCAAGCCCAGCTTCAAGTCAACCCTTCAAGTTACTAACATGAAGGGAAGCTCAAGCTCGAACTCGGCTCCAAAAAATGCACTCCGATCCATAACGTATGACACATATATGTCGGGAAAACCAAAGAATATGCCAACGCAATGCAATACAACAGAACACAACACAACACCGTCGCTGCTGTCATACATAGAAGGCCCGAGAAAAAAAAAGCATGATGAAGTTGTGAAGGGAGGAGGAAGGGTCAAGTCGGGTCGCGAGGGTCATTAATAAATACTCTTCAACCACCACCAGCACCAGCCCAGGGAAATGCAAAGGGGAACTGGAACTGGGATTGAAACGGATACTTGATTCGCATCAATCCGATTCAGTCAAACATGAAAATGAACATGAACATGAAAAACCACAGATCAACTCAAGGGTTCAAAGCTCATCTAAACCATCCGCTCAGGATCCTCATCCGCAACACTCCTATAAGCACCACCACCCGCATCCCCACCACCCCTGATCTCGACCCCGTATGCATCCGCATCGGCGTCTCATACATATCATGATAATTAACGACCTCACCCGCCAACATCGCCGACCCAGACTGTCTCTTCCCAAAAACAGGCTCAGGATCACACCAGAAATCACGACAATTCGTCGTAATACCACGGGAGAAAGGATTCCTAGGTCTTGCGACGGTTTGACCCTGCCCCTCACGCAGACCATCTCTCGCCGTTGCGAAAAATGCATCAATTCCCAGCAGACTCGACCATTGCGAGAAACAGTTGCCGTGGCGGCGCGGGGGAGGAGAAGGTCTGGACAGGGCTGGGTTTGGTCCTGCGCCTGTAGCGGAAAGACCGGCTGCGTCGAGAGAGGTTGTTCCGGCTGTCATTGCTGAGGCGAAGGCTTGGGAACTTGGGTATGATCGGTCGATGTGGTGGCCGCGCATGTTTTCGTATGTTGTTTGGTTGCGGGAGATTTGGACTAGTTGGACTGCGCAGAGCATCGTTACCCAGACTAGTTGGAGGATTACCCAGATGTTTAGGACTAGGGTGAATGTGTCTCTTGTGACGTAGCTGCAGAGGGTGTCGTTGATTACGTTGCATGTTGCGGCTGTGGGGGCAGGTAGGGCGTTGATATCTGGTGAGATTGGAATTAGTGTGGGTGTAGTGTTGATGACTGGAAATTTACTCACAGCGAACGGTCAACTGGACGAATAGAATGATGCCGACTTCAAGGGAAACGATGTAGAGAACGAAATGGCGCAGGTTGTTCGCTCCGACACAGTTGTCAATCCAGGGACAGTGGCTTTGGATGTGATTAGCAGGGAAGTTGACAAAACATTCATGGCTGGCATTGGCGAAAGGGCCGGGGGAAACTTACTGGTCGTGCTTCGAAACGCAACGGCCGCAACGACGACAATGCTTGCTGCGAAGAGGCTTTCGCGACATGCAAGGGACGCAAAAGTTTTCTTCGTCAAATTTCCATAGCTCGAAGAGTTGCTTGACCATTTCTCTTTGTTGGTTCCGGCTGCTGATCTTGGGCACGTAACCGGGATCCTGAACCATGGCGTAGATATAGAAATAGGTTGTAAGACCATAGAAGACGGCAAACAGGATGTTCAGGATCGGGGATGAAGAATAGGTGGCTATTTCACTCGTTAGAATTTCGCGTCTTGGTCTTGGTCTTGATCTTGGATGCTGGGATTCATCCATCTCCTCCGACTCAACTCAACTCACCTGGCAATACCCTGAAAACATAGCAAAAGCCAACCCAAAATAATGTGCCTGCGAAAACACCAGCGAGGTACGGCTAAAAACATCTTGTTAGTATATTGGTTCAATCACAACACAGCGTATAGCACAGCGTATAGCACAGCCGTCGTTATTATAGGCAAAAAAACATACCGTCTTCTGCAAAATCCGATACTCCGAAGGCCCCCGATTAGCCAACTGCTGCGCAGACCACTGCATCCCAAAAAGCGTAACCAACGTAAGCGGAATACTCAAGAAAACCGAGATATGGCTCAACATCCAAAGGGCCAACAGAATCGTCAGAAACGGCCAAAGAAAGAAAAACTTCGCCATAGTACTCTTATTCCGAACAATCGCCAATCCCATCGGCACCTCCTTCTGCGTCCCATCAGGCTCATACCCGCGCTCATTAAGAGCCCGATACCAGACTCGCATCGTATTCATCTCCTGCGCAACCGTACTGGGCGATTTTCCATCCCGAGTTTGCGCAAATCGGTCGGCACCGTATTCCAATAGTTTCAAGACGCACGGCAGTGAGCCCTTCACTAATGCCCAGTGGAGAGGTGTTAGACCACCCTCGTCTACTGCGTTGGCATTGGCGCCCCAGCGCAGGAACAGGTCTACGCATGTTGGATAGCCCTTGTATGCGGCCCACATTAGTCCTGTGTGGCCTTGTTGGTCGACTACGTCCACCGGGATCTCCTGGTGTAGGAGGAGGACGAGGAGGAATGCGTTTCCGTCGATTGTTGCGAGGTGGAGGATGTTGTAGCCTTGGACGTCGGTTAGGAGGGGGGTCTGCGCCGTGCGAAAGGAGGAGGTTGACGATGTAGTAGTTGCATCGTTGTGCAGCCCACATCGCTGGTGTGGCTACGGATTCGCCGCCCTTTGCGTTCACGTCGGCTCCGGCGTCGAGGAGGAATTTGCACATGGCGTATTGGTTATTGATTGCAGCCCACTAGCGGCGGTAAGAGTCAGCTACCTGGACCGGTCTATTGCATCTCCGCGGTAGAGAGGAGGAGGAGGAGGAAGAGGAGGGGGCAAACAAACGTGTAGCGGAGTAATTCCTTCCTCGTCTCGATGATTCGCAGTCAATTTCTTGGTCGCAAACAGATTCTGCATTGCGCCGATCTCTCCAATGCGAGCTAGCTGCATGATATCCTCACCCAAGGGGATAGAGCCCTTGGGCGCATTGGACTGCATGTTCTTCATCTCGACATCGGTGTTTGAGGGGGTTGGGGTCTCTTTCCCGGTCATGGCTGATGTCGATCGAGAGCTTTGTCCTAGGGGACTACTACTCTGGGTATTGGAGGGCGGAGTTTTGGAAGACATGACGAGCGTGTATCGTGAACGGGGGTGAGGGTGAGTGAGGGTGAGGGTGAGGCTCGGGATCGGGACCGGGAGGCTGCCGTTGGACGGGGGCAGGGGATTAATCGAATGGGTGCGCGATTCCAGGGAGTGTTTTTTTATAGAAACTCTGGGTCTCTAATAGAACATTGCGATCCCCGTAACCAGTACAGACTCCGCGTAGATGAATAAAGGGAGTGGAGGAGGATCAGGATCAGGAACAGGCAAAGGGTGAGAAGGGCGGACTTTTTTGGCAGTCGGGGAAATCAGAAAGTCTCCACGCTGGTAGGCTGCAGCGATCCCGACTTGACTGTGCCCTGCACTGCACAGTGCTTAGCGGCTGACTGAGTGGATTATTCAAGTCTACTCGTACGGAGAATTTGGTTCTATTTCTATTTCTATTTCTATTCCTAGGAAAAAGACTGAGCCGCGCAGTCTGGATTCCGACTTTACTATACTTATGCCTCCTGGTATACTCATACACTCTCCTGTGCCCGCCCACGCCTCGGCCAATCAAAAGACAACCATTGGTTTCTAGCATCAAGATTTACTTTGGTGGAGTCTGGGTCACAATATTCATACTCAACTTTATTTACATTGCATTGCATTGATTCTTAGAGAATTCTTTATTGACATAGATGAACATTCGAAAGTGTACAGAATGGGTCGAGCGCGCAACACTATCAGAAACGCATTAAATATCTTCATGATCAATCATCAAGAGCCCTCCTATTCGGGGCCAACTGACGTTGGCGCCAATCCTCCCTCTAGATTCACCTCATTCATCTCATTCATCAACATCCGCGCATTAACCCTGAGATCAAAGTCCGCCAGGAAACAAAAGCTAATCTCCAACTTCGACAACTCCACATTACTAACACCACCAACCTTCGCAATCCGCGTATGCGGATACCCCAAATCTTCCAAGGCTTTGATAGCAACGAGAAGACCCGCCAATACCAGTCGGTGCATGTTCTTCGGCGTAACGCGGAACATCTTCTCCACCAGCGTCATGCGAGTAATGTAGAGGCTAGTGGCGAGAAAGACGGCCGTAGACATCGGGCAGTAGCGGTGTAGTCGGAGTAGGTAGTCCAGCAGTGAAATGGGAGGGATCTTTTTGGAGAGGAATTTGCGTGAAAGGATGGCCATTTGGAAGGATTCTTCTTTTGTTCGCTCGGTATGGTGGTCCCGACGGTCCTCTGTGTTTCCTCCGCAGTGTATACCGACGCTTTTTACAGCGAGACCTTCCTCCTCCGCCGGTGTTTCACTTCCGATCGGAGTTGAGCAGAAGGAATTTGGATCAGTGGTTGTTGTGCTCGATGCGAAGTAGGCGTTTAGTCTTTCGACATTATCGCACAGTTGTTGCAGGGCTTCCTCGGGTGAGATTTTAAAGACTGCTGCTGCTGCGGTCGATTCGTCCATCGTGGGTTTGGAAGTGCAGTCTTCGGCTGGTAAGCCTAGCTTTAGTAGAGGCGGTGGTGATGGGGCGCCATTTGTGTTGCATTCGATTTGAGTCATTGTCGCAGCCATTTCTTTTGGTTATGGGTATGGGTATATTTTATTGTCCGGGGTAAAGGTATGCCGAGGTGGCAGTGGAGTGAGAGAGAGCGCGCCCGATCCGGGAGGTGGATTGTAGTCCCTCGGATCGATATCTCATTTTTTGCGACGATGGAAATTGGCTGAGGCTTGGACTGGCGTGATGAAGGGTCACGGAGTCGGGGGTCGAAGGGGAGGGAAGAAGGAAGGGTGGTATGGATGCGCGTGACGGGTGCAAGTCAGAGGAAGACAGTAGGAGGTAGGCAAGATCCGGTAGATGTGAGAGAGAGAAGAGAATCGATATCGATGCGAGTAGCGATACTGATGGCACGGTCTCTAGAGAGGAGGGAATTCTAGGAGAGGATCGAAGTGACCTTAACCCGTAGACCAGAAACAAAGGCCGGCTGCCTGATTGTGTCAACTGCGCATGCCCAAAAAGCCACTGCGCCAGATTCGGCGTGGTACTTACAATCGTTCAAGTCACGGTCGCTAAAGTGCGCGCATTGGGAGGAGAATAGAAGATAAGCAGAGTGTTGAAAAGTGGAAGTGGAAGTGGAAGTGGAAGAAAAAGAAGAAACCAGGAAGCAATCAAGTTTGTTCTGTTCCCAGTTCCAAGTTTCCAGCTCTCTAAGGGGCGAAAGATAAGGTGTTTGGATCACTCCACCCGCGGGCACTCGCAGAAGATCGGCAAACTTTCCGTTCCAGCGGGAGAAGGGGAGTGAATGTCGATGGTTTCAATGCTTTGAACTTGCTCTTCTTACTGTATTTATTGTATTTACTCATTCATCTGGCAAATACTTGCAAAATGGCGTAATCTAAATCCCGAGTAATGTCCGTCCATCCAACCTCGGGACAGACTCGGCTCACACGTGACTACTAGTATTACATCCTTAGTGGCCAAGATAACAGAGAGGAAATAAACATTCAACTTCTCACACTAAATAAGCGCAAACCATATGTTGATGATCTCCCGTTCTAGCTTGAATATAGTTCAAATATCAATCTGGTGTTGCTGGAAGCCCTTTACCCAGGTGACCACTGGCACCTCACTGAAAAAGTAATACTACCTAGGTACTAGTGGTATATATATCATGCAGGTGGCTACAGCTACATAGTAAATAACCTTGGAACTAGTACTATTGCTAGTACTACTGTTGGCCACTGGAAGTGCTAAATATTGCATTGGGTACAGTACAACTTGAACTTGAATGATACTTTCAAAGTTGGTCCTAGTATTAATACTACCTCTAGTACCATTCATAAATCCTTCCATGGCGGGCCAATGACTAACTTGAAATATCCAAACTATCAATCCAGGCCTGTGATTCCATCACCGTAGCCTGACTCGGAAATACACTCTCCACCAGCACATTATGCAAATTCCCCCCCAGCCACCGAGTCCATCTCAGCACAAAGATCTTCCAGCACCGTAACATCAAAATCCAAATCCGCCGCCTGTCGAATCGTAGACAAAACAACCCCACTCGTCGACAATCCCGTCACAACCAAATTCCCAACCGCCAAACTTCTCAAAACAATTTCCAAATCACTCCCAACAAATGCCGAAACACGGCGCTTGTAGACTATCAAGTCGCCATCGTGACATTGAGGCGTAATGCTTGCGTGCACATTCGAGCCCTCGCCTTCAAGAAAATTTCCCATGAACTGCAGCGCCTTTTGGAGAGCACTGTCCGGTTTTACCTCCGGATGGCCTTGTCGGAGATCGATCACGCAGTATATTATCTGTATACCGGCCTTGCGGGCGGCTGTTATCGTTGTGGACATGCGTTGGAGGTACGATTCTTTTCGGGCTGAGAGTCCCGTGCCGAGGACTAGGTCCACGACTCCGTTTTGGACGTCGGCGACGAGGAGTGCGGGTCTCGCCATATCGTAGATTGACTTTGATAAATGGTAAAATTTGCAAGAAGAGAAGAGAAGCGAATGAAAAGACAGATTAGTGTCGTGAGACTTAGCACTGGCGGAATGTTAGACCCAAGTTGAAGTTTATATATAATTCATCAATTACTAGTATGCACTGGTGAGCTTCTAAATCCATTAAGTCCGATTCCTTTAAGTCCGGTGCAAGTGTAGGAATTAGTGGGATTTGCATAAATTTTTGCATCTTTTCATGTAGATCGAGGGCATATCGGGCCGTTTCCGGGATATCTTTAAACTATGAGTAGGTGGCGGCCCGGTACAGGCGTCAATGGCTGGGCAAAGGTAATACTACGGCGCTCTAGTTGCCACCGGTCCAGTAGATATGCAAAGGGTATTTTGGGGCAGTTATGCTGGCAGAAAAATGGGGCCTCTCATATCCGCGTGACCGGAATGCAAAGGCAGCTATTGTGGTTCTTTGCAGATCTGAAACTTGAGATTAACGAGAGTACTAGTAAGGAGAAGGATCTTTCCTCTTCCTTGACCTAAACTACTAGATGGGATTTATGCCCGATTCCATGTGATTTCAGGAATGAATGACTTTGGAAGAATGCCCCTTTGTTCTTGAAGTTTCTTCAAGAATCAGTCTCCGTTCTATTCTTAGTATTGATTGATTTATCTCTATCGTTATCTCCTCGATTACCATTCGAAATCTTGCCTAGTCACAGGTCTCTAGCCTGCCCCTTAGTAAAGCTATTACATTAGCAGCCTATAACATACAAAAAGAGCGACACGAAAAGGGACAGAATATTCCAGGAGGTAGTATCTAATACTATCTCTTTTCCAGAGTGACTGATTATTTTACATATTTCAGACTTCTTGTCTAATCTTAGAATGATTGATCAAGTGTCTACTGTGTCTGGCTGGTTATGATATGCTTTCTTGGGCTAGAATCGAGTGGATCATTGAAGATAAATATGTTTATCTGTTATTGAGTTGTTTAATTGTGTCTCGGTTAACTCTTAAATTCACCTGATAAGTTCTTAGAGCAACCTTGCTGTTTACTGGCCAAAAAGGGGTTTGTTTAAAATTATGTTTGTCAGGCTCAAAATCCACTTTATATATCTGTAATATTGACTTCTTTCATATTCTAGACTTGGAGCAAAGTAACCCTTTTTGTTGAAATAAGCAGAAATTCACTCTTCGCCTGATGCTAAGTGATTGCCCTTTTCGTTAATATTGTGCAGGTCACTCGAAGATACCGACTGTCTGTCCCCTATCCGATCCTTCTGTAGCTATGAATTTTACTATAATTTTCAATCTCAATCGTTTACGTTGGGCATCTCAAATCTTGCTTGCGAAGCTTTCATTTTGGATTAATGTGTAAATGTGAACAATGCCTTAAAGTCTTTGCCGCCGATTAACAGCCTTTTATTTGTTAGAAATCCGGTTCAATGAACAGAGGAAGGCCCCCCCCCCTCCCCCTGTGGTTAGGTATCTCTTAGAGATCGTCGTAATGCAAATGTTTGTCGGTCCATTTTGCATCCCGCAGAGTTACAACAGATGTCGGGTACTAGCCTTTGTCCCGCGCGTCTAAATTTAACGAATTGGAACCCAGTGCACCTCATTCTACACAAATTTATTGCGGTGGATGGCCGTTCAAATCCAAATATTAAACACCGATGATCTTGGGTTGTGAGAAGGATTAGACGCACTAGCTCCAAGACCTATCGCCAGACGTGTAACTGGTGGATGACGGCCGGAAATATCACGTGCGTGTGACCTTATGTTAGAAGCGGTGAAAGCCTATACTAGAGCATACACAGAACGGCGAAGAAATCTATTAATTGTTCATGTATCTTCCCACATATTTTGTATCGAAAGGTTACCTGATCTAAGCTAATCGTTTCTTGTCTAGTTCTTCGTTATTCTGCCATACACTCCGCCTATTTCTCCTGACATCTCAGCAACCGGGATAATCCAACAAGACGCTCAAGCAGCGCTCACCCTATTCTCACCCGGGCGGCACCCACCCGGCTACTGACTGGGTTTTAGCCACACGCCGGCAGGTTAGTAGTATGGTGGGTGACCACATGCGAATTCCTGCTGTTGCATGTTTTTGCTTTTCTTTGGATTCGTTTGCTTGTCAATTCATGTCTAGTCCAGTCTATCGGACCACTCCTGAATTATATCCAGAGGACTGAAAGACCAAATCTATTCTCAAACAGAAGGGGTAGTTCTCTTCTCAACAAAAGTCTGCTCGCCAAACGCCTGCTTGACACCCTCAGCCTGAATAGTTCGCTTGAACCACTCCTCAAGAACGGGATACTTAGCACGCATCTCCACATCAATAACTCGAGAAAAGCCCCATGTCAAGGCGGAAGCAACAGTGATATCCGCCAAGCTCAACCCCTGCTTCTCACTGGAAGAAAGCCACACCTTACCATCCTTCAGATGTTCCTCTAGAAAACCAAGCGAACGCTCCAGCCTCTCAAGAGAAATCTTCTCTTTTTCAGCATCGAAAGGACGTAGACCAACACGAGGGAGAAGCAGCTCGATGGTAGGACCAAGTGTCTCCCCGTCGGCGAAGAGGATCCACTGGCGGATCTGGGCGCGCTGTAGAGTGGTTGATCCGAGGAGTTGAGGGGCAGCAGGACCACTCTCAGCTATGTATTGGGTGATGGCATCAGATTCGATGAGGGTGGTGCCGTCAGCGCCTTCAAAGGCGGGGACTTTGCCAAGGCGGAATTTGGCGAGGAATTCAGGGCTGCGGTTTGTAATTCCCATTTGGAAGTCAGATATAGTAAGTTCGAGGTTGTTGAGGTTGGCAACTGCTTGGGCCTGTTTTCATTCAGTTCTTCGCACTCGTATCCGCCTTGGTTTCGTCTGTCTGAGGCAAGGAGAGGTGTGTACCTTAATAACCCGGGCATTGTTCGGATAAGTGTAAATCTTTCCGAAGGGAGCCATGGTGAGAGTAATTGGATCTGAGATTGAAAGTAAGAAAGGCGGGTTGGTTCGTAAGGTGAGCGACGAGAAGGGGGATTATTGATCCAAGAGGCATTGACTTTGGAGTCTAGAGCAAACAGAACTACTATTTATTTGGCGGGCAAGCCGGCAGAGGGGAAGAATACAGTAATTACAAATAGTGACCGGTATTATTCACTATGACAGATCGGAGAGGGAGTCAATCGAAAGGGGATGTTCTCTTCGTCTATCGTTCTGTTGCGAATCTAGCATTGGCAAACTACGGTGAAGGAGTCAGCATTATCTGAAAATATCCACTGCTTGACAACTATGTATACCTAAGTATACCTGATGACTCCCTACCAATCAGCAATCCGGTATTATTTGGCGAAAATGGTGCAATTGAGCTCATACCAGACATAATTGTCTTTAGATCATATTAAATTACACTAGTATTAGCACTTGCTAAAAGCTCATGGATCGTGGACCTAGGTATGCGTACCGCATCGCTTAACATATTCTCGTCGATCTATTGTATGTTAAGGTGCGCCTTCTTGGCCACTAGTGCAGCGCCCCAAGCGTATAGGCTGCCCCCTTGCTGGCATTGGTAGCATCTTGCCGATTTGCCGATGTATGTAGGTGGAAAGCCAGCTAGGTGCGCCCAGGTGGCAACCAATAACCTGGGATCTGCTAGTCAAGGTTAGAAGATCTACTCTTCACCCCTCCTCCTTCCCGCCTAGGTTACAGTCATAATCAAGAATATCATCTATTTGAAACTTACATACAAATCTAGTAGATTGAATGTTTGGTTTGCTATAGTTGTTAGGATTGCAAACGAGGATATTTGATAGATGTTTTGTGGCCCCCATTCGTGACACGATCGTATTACGGCACTAGTCAGGGGCTATTCCCTTACTCTCTAGGCTAAATGTTGAATAGGAGGCTTTGAAGTCATAGACCAATGGAAGTGTCCTATCAATTTCGGTTTAATATGTCAAACTGCTAGGATTAGCATCCCGCCAGCATGTACTGAGATAAACTTACTTAACAAAAATGGTCTTTGGCTCAGTCCATTCTTCCATTCCAATCTACACAAATTAGTACATAGTGCGTGCTTTCGAATTCAAGGACTTACTTTTCCACCTTCTCTCCCCCATCCGCTCTGGCGGCATCCACCGAAAGGCAGGCCGACATCAACCATGAGAGTGCAATTGATACACACTGTTCCACTCGAAACTTTGCTCGACAAGCGCATCGCACGATTAATATCTTGTGTGAATACGGCACTGTGTAAACCATATTTACTGTTGTTGGCCTTTTCCACGACTGTTTGTTCATCTGTAAATCCGGAGATGACAACAACAGGGCCAAATATCTCCTCCTTGTAGATAGTGGCATCTGGCGAAGGATCGACAAATATGGTAGGACGTATCCAAGAAGACTGTTTTCTTAGCAAGAATCATTCTCTGGAAAGTGCGAACCCACGTTTTCCATCCGTGTTCCTCCTGTAAGCAAAGATGATTCCTTGGTGCCCTGATCGATATACCTTTCAACTCGAGCCAGCTGGATCCGGTCAATCACTGGGGCCTGTGTCTGGGAGATATCTATTCCCTCGAAAGCGCTCTTCATCCGCTGGATGAATTTTTCTTTTATGTCTTCGTGAACATAAACCCTGGAACTGGCATTACACATCTGTCCAGAAGCCGTAACAATACCTCTCGTGCACCAGTGTACTGCGTTATCCAAATCAGCGTCTGCGAAGATTATACTTGGGCTCTTTCCCCCGAGTTCTAGCCCCACGCGTTTCAAATTACTTTTTGACGCCGCTTGAGCCACCTTCTTTCCGGTAGCCAAACTTCCAGTAAACGAAATTCGATCAATTTCCAAGTGTTCAGCGAGAAATGCCCCGGTTGCTCCGGCACCTCCAATGATATTGAACACCCCAGGTGGAAAACCAGCCTCCTTCGCCAGTCGCCCTAAATAAAGTGTAGACAATGGAGTCTTCTCGCTGGGTTTAAGGATGATGACGTTTCCGACCGCAAGACATGGTCCAACCTTGGCCGCCATGAACATAAGAGGGGCATTGAACGCAGTGATAGCTGCACAAACTCCCAGTGGCTCGCGGTGAACGATTTTGAGAAAGCCATTCTCCGCTGGAAACGACTGCCCAGCAAGCTTATCAGACCATCCGGCCGAGTCTGTATCGCTCTCACCATTAGTTTTGCAGCGTCACCAAGGGCAGATTTTCATACATCGAATGCGCGTAGCAGCAGCTGGTATAAATACTGATTTCATTGCTAGCATCGGTTGGCCGCTACAGACATGTTCCAGAAGGCTCAGTTGCTCCGAATGCTCTTCTAAGAGGTCGGAAAATTTGTTTAGAATCTTGGCGCGTATCTGTGGAAGTGTTGACGACCATCCGGTAAACGCTGCCTGAGCTGCTGCAACAGCAATATCGACATCTTCTTTCGTAGCGGCATGAACATCGTTCGTGACAAGAGAGTGGTCGATCGCATTGTAACAGCTTAGTCGCTGATTGGACATGGAGTCGACGTACTAGTAGGGTTAGATATAGGCGATGAAAATAGTAAGCAACCTACCTCTCCATTGATGAAGAGCCGTGTCTCCAAGATATTGGTGAGGGCGTTCATATTCTGCCACACTGTCAAAACCTTCAGGTTTGTATGGAGGGTGATAGGCTCCAGCAGAGAAAATGGCCACACTTAATTATTCTGGCAGGCCGGCAGACAGCTCCTCAGCGCGAAGACACATCGAATCGAAACAAATAACAGATATTCCGCTCATTATGCATACTACATGCAAGGAGCTCACTCATCCGGGATTCATTCATGGCCATTGAATTTTCTGCGGCTTCGAATGCCGAATTTCAGAAACGGCGATATAAAAACGAGTTGTACCTGTATTTCAGTAGAATGGCTACAGAAGTGGGGAAAGGGCTCAAACTTGAACTCCTCGCGTCTACGCACCCGAATGCATCTGTGCTTCGTTAGATACACTAGCTATAGTTATTGGTTGTTAGTACCGCCTAGGCTTCGGCATGATCGTTTTAATCAACTATCCTTCCAAGGTTATTGTATTGATCGTACCGTCGATCGATAATGGGGTCAAACAATTATCTATTATCGGCAGTACGATTAATAAATACGATCCCTACAATCATTTCTTTGCGACTTGACGTATTGTATGATGTGACGATTCACCGCTAATGTAATTTCAGGCTGACCGGGCCATCCAGCGGTCCAGGCCATCCTCCCTTCCAAGAAAGGAGATTCTAGATTGCCCCTGCCTAGACTGAGCCTCGGAAAGTTGCAGATGGCCATATACGAAGACGGATCGAACTTGAACGTTTTGCCAGTACGCGATAATTATTTGTAATTTCCACGATTACCCCGATGGTAACATACAAAGCAGATTAGCCTCTTCGAGTAGAGTAACGAAAAAATAGTATGCTGACTATAGGGGCTTTGGGCATCAGGGAAAAAGTGCCTAGTGGATAACTAGTTTCAGGTAGTTGTCACCCATTCTTTCATGCCGACAAAATGAGGGTGCAAGTCATATACCACGATTATCTTTCGGAATAGGCCTTCTATAGTCCACCTAATTCTCCCTAGTAACTAACTATTCTTGCGACATCGGAAGTATGGTACCTTAACGCGCCGTCACTGGATTGGGAGACCCCTGAGTTCGCTCAACCATTCTCAACCCCCTAACTAGATCAATCATTTGAAGTTTCGGGACATTTCAACCGCTAACCAGTAACTAAGTTAAGCTCTTGTCCTGATACGTTACCTCGTCGCATGCCTAGCCTTGACTCGGAGGGGACACCGGCTCCACATGATAAAAACTCTCTGGGCATCCCACTCTTCATGGCTTGTCAATAGTTCCATTTCAAAGTTGAATAGCAAGCAGGCGAAGATAATTCGAGTTTCCGTCCGGGCGAAACTTCGAAATTGGGTTAGCCGATCCAAGTTGTCAATCAAGATTAAAAAATGTTCAGAGAAATGTCCGAGAGCTTACTTCATGCCTAGGCAGTTTCGCGGACCTGTACTGAATGGCTGAAAAGCAGCTCTGACATCATTGGCAAACTCTTCATTTCCTTCCTCTAACCATCTTTCCGGGAGGAATTCATCGGGTCGAGCAAAATTGCGGTCAGAAGAGTAGGCGGCCCATTGGTTGACGCCGACCTTGATACCGCCTGGCACCCATAGGCCATCAATTTCACAGCCTTTCGGTGGTGTTATGCGGGGAAGACTGATGGCGATGGCTGGCCAAATACGCATAGTCTCTTCAAGAACAGCTACTAGATACTTGCATCTATTCACGCTGGTACCGGTGATATCGCGATCTGATGCAAATTGGCAACGAACTTCGCCCAGTAGACGTTCATAAACTCTCGGGTTGGAAAGCGCAAAGTAATGCGCTGAAGTCAAAATACTGGCGCTTGTCTCGGATCCGGCAATCATCAAGGATCGCAAGGTCGATTGCAGTTCTGGCAGAGTAAGACCCTTAGGGTTATCCAGATATGGCAGCACATGTTGCAAAATATCTGGACGACCATCGTCACATGACGGTCTAGTCAATCGGCGATCGAGTGCTCTTACCGTATTTTGGAAGAATTGAATCGCTGTGTTGGGGACCATTCCTGGCAAGAGACGACGTAGGATAGGAATGATACGAGTGCTCTGATACCCTACCGTCAGCCAAAGATCTCCTTTCATGAAAAATCTCTAGGGAGAAAAACAGAAAAGGCAAGGCCTTACATAGCTTGATGCAACAGTATTTACTATCCGTCCACGGGCCAGCGGCATCGTCAAAGACATCCAGTCAGTCCCTGTTTCGAGTGTATTGGCACTCTCTCCAAACATCGAGTCCGTAATAATGTCAAAGGTAGTGGCGTGCAATAAGAGCGTCAAATCAATAGTGTCATTGCCTTCGTTGTCTCGGATTTTGACAATGAGACGGCCGATATGGTTCCTGAATACATTTTCCTGGGCGCGCACAGCCTTTTCGCTGAACCCGGGAACCATGAGCCGTCTCATGCGTGAATGATCTTGATCATTAGGGGTATTGGCTAGCCCGTAGACCCCGCCAGGTGGCCCGGAAATAATATCTGGGTGTTTCTGCAATTGCTCCGGGTGTCGACGCCCGTATATGTCAGCCCACGCCTGGGCGGTGATGTACGAGAGCTCGTTAGGAGATACTCGAACGACCGGACCATACTTCTCATGCAAACGAGCCGAGTATAAATGTGTTGTTCCTTTGAGAAGCGCAATCTGATATGGAATAGCGTTCGATGTACAAAATATCGGACCTGGGTAGCAAGCAAGTGGATGAAAGAAGATGTTGTATAGCACTCGGAGGTTGATAATCAGGAAAATCTGGGCATAAAATCAGAAAACACTTTCCAGACATGGGACTTGCTGGATTATTTGACCTACTCCCGCAAGACATGTCCCTAAAACAATTGTCGGCGACAGGGTGGTGAGACTCTCTAGTAGTCCCTGGAAAAACATAGCTGGTTAAAATGTATATAGAAACTTAGCTAAGAACTGAAGTATGTTTTCAAAGTCAGATAGTAGAAATGATGGAGACAATCCAGATAAATCTCGTATTAAACGGTGATAATCACTCTTGGAATACGTAGCCACCACCTGCTGCGTTAACCCGGATATCTTTTCGCGGCTACGATGATCCGTTCTAAAATCATTTCTCTCTGACCATTTCTCAAGTAAATCCTGGATTGGAAATTACCAATAGAATTTACAGCTCTCACCGCTACCTTCTCAGCAAGGGTTAGCGCAATGGCTGGGCGGTAAGCTATGCTTTTCTAAGGGGCTAAATGGTTCTAAATGCAACAACAAGCCACAGACTCGGCGATCTACAATTAGAGTTACACGTTACACTGTCTACATATTCAGTATGTCGGATCACTTTTCGCGTGTATTCGCGCTAGCTATTGTAATTTATGTTAATTACCAGTATTAAACAGCCAATAGTTCATAGCAGCCGAGAATTTATTTACCAATTTGCGTACCTGCGTATCTGCAATACGAAGCCACAATTGCGATCTCAACTGAAAGTGATCGGTCGCCACTGGTCAGACAGTGTACACCGCGAGGGTACCCCAAAGTTTAACAGGTTGCGGGTCATCTTTTCTATGTCACCGATGCGAGGGGAATCAATATTAAGTCAGTATAATGCATACTGTAGGGACAAGGGGAGCCGACCTCGGTAGGCTATGCTCTTTTGCTATACTATTAGGACGTTTCTTCAAACTTTGGTGAAAATTTATAGGCATAGATTTACAGAATATAAACATTTCCAAATGTAACGCAATGTGATTTCATTGGGCTTACTTGCAGAGTTGCATTAGCCAAGCATAAAAGTGCAAAATCCCGGCGCCCAAATATTTGACCGTAATTTTAAACCCAAATGAACAGATGTGAGCAGCCCTTTGACGTTTTATTAGTGTTAACCCATAATTGCCATGGTAGTGTTTTGTTACCACTCTAGGCATCTAAAAGGCATATTCTGCTAATAGACCTGAAGCTAAGGTCGCACTTCCAGCAACAAACCCATACAGGAAACATTGACTGCAGCTTTGAGGAGACTTGAGATCCACCAGGGAGGCCGACAGGAAAACCGTCACGATAGAACACACCGCGCCTGAGAAATAGTTTTGCCCAAGGGCACCAGCCATGCCGCTCAAAATCAGAAGACCTCCGTAAATTATAGAAAATGCAAGAAGCACTGCTCTGCCCGAATAACCGTATTTAACTGCCATACTTTTCATTCCGAACTTAATGTCTTCCTCCATGTCTTGATAGGCGTAAATAAACTCGTACGTCGTCACAAGGAAGAAGACAGCAACCACCAAAGAAAGGCTCGATATAAGAACATTTCGAGGTGCTGAGAATGCATCGAAGCCGACGGAGTAGGATGCAAGAAGAGAAACAACAGCATGGACAAGACCCACAACAGCTTGAGCGTAGGAAGTGAATCGCTTTGAAAATGCATAAATAATGCAGCCGAGGGTTGTAAGGAAAAAGTATAGGAAAGAAAAGGAAGGGAGTATTTGTGAGCTTAACGTGAGAATCATCAAGCTCACTAATGCGGCAAAAGTACACCCTTGATGTGTGGAGATAGATCCTCGAGCTATTGGGCGGTTTCGGGTCCGCTCAACTTTGCGATCCAGGTGTTGGTCGACAATGTCGTTGACAATACACGCAAAAGCCTCCCAAAGCAATGAAAGAGGAAGCCAATTGAATACACACTGCAGGAGTATCTCGGGTGTAATTTGAGGATGTGCAACAAGGGCGCCGTGAAATAGACCAGCGAGGATTGGGAGATATATGATCAACACAAACAACGGCTCATAGAGGCGACTAAGCTCCACATAAGCGGCAAGCCATCGCGGCATAATTGTGAGGAGAAAAGGCTCGGACCGCATGTTTTAGCTATTCTGTAATGTAGACAGTGAGGAATGCAAAATAGGAATAAGCAGAGACAGTAACTAAGTCAAGGGGAACATAAAATTAAATATCTTTTCAGTTGGAGTTGGGCAAGGCATTTAATCAGGCCAACAATTGAGAATGTTGAGATCTTACCGCTTTTTCACAGGCATGTAATCAGTCCGTCAAAACAGCGTCGAGAAAAATGGTATTAAATGAGAATTATTCAAATCTTATTATTCATAAGCCAATACCTTGGCACATTCTTGCACAATTGACTTTCTCGCATTAATTGACAGGGTCTATATCTTGAGATAATATGGCTTTATGCGTACCGTGTCGAGCGTATTTTACAAACATACATCAAACTTGTACTGCCAGTTTGCTAATTGGACGGGGGAAGTAAATTTGAGGTAACGTCCGTATGTAGGGGAATTACACTGTCTGGCTAGTGGGGCAGATCACTTCCATTTATGATCGCAATTTTGGCTTCGTATTGCGGAGACTCAGGTATGCAAATTGGCAAGGAAATTATCAGCTACTATGAAGAATTGGCTGTTTAATACTATTAATTACCAAAAATTACAATAGCTAGCGGTAATGCACGCGAAAAGTGATCCGACATAACTACTCGCCACACAGAGTAATGATCAACCAGACGAGATGCAAGGAAACGCCACTTCATTCATGTTCAATAGTCTCATAAAATAGTCAATTTACGCATTACATATGCACGTTCTTTGGAAACCAAGACATCCAGCCGCGCCAAAATATACCTACACAAGCATATGCATTTTTCAATTTTTCGCTCTAATACAAGCTCTCTGTCAGGCTTTCTACTTGGCCATTACAACCTTGGAAGAGCCCTTGCTTTCAACTATTGTGTTATAACAATAGTCACATGGCGTAGCAAGCTAGCCACGATTTTTTACCTTGGTACGCCGGAGTCTCTAATTGTCCCCGACTTCACCGTGTCTTGATAGTTTCCGCCTAACGGACCCAAATCTATCGCCAGTATTATCGCCATAATATTATCATTTTATACGATGTATAATATCTTCACCTTCTTGGTGTCAGTTGCGCTTTGCTATGGGCTATACAAGTGCTTGAAAGTCACTGCTAGACGTCAAAGGGCAAAGGAACTTGGCTGTCGGAAGACACATTTCCGCACCAATCGTCTCCCTTTCGGCCTTGACGGGGCGCAGCGATTGATACAGGGAGATAAAAAAGGACAACTTCTACAAGACGTTAGAGAAATGTTTCACGAAGAAGGGCGGCGAACGTTCAAAACAAGGATTTTTGGATCGACAGCGATCCATACTGCCGAGCCAAAGAATATCCAAGCCATGATGGCCACACAATTTTGTGATTTTGAACTGGGTAAAATGCGGCGTGGAGTACTTTTCCCACTGATAGGAAACGGAATCTCTGCAGCCGATGGCAAAGTCTGGTAAATCAATCATTTTTGATGGCGCTTCAGAAATAATGGACAATACAGTTAATATTTATATCTCCTAGGGAGCACTCCAGGGCGATGCTGCGTCCTCTGTTTGCGAGGACTCAAATGGTGGACCTTGGACTGGAAGAGAAGCACGCACAAAATATTTTCCAGCAAATTCCAGCCAATAAAGATGGCTGGACAAACGAAATCAATATTACGAAGATTTTGTTTCAGTTTACGCTTGACTTTACCACCGAGTCTCTCTTCGAAACGACCGTACACTCACAGCTTTCCTCTTCGCAAAATATTAGCGCAAAGCCTGACGGATCTTTCATATTACAAGATCTAGCAAAGAATTTTGATGATGCAACTCAGCATGTGCAAAGGCGCTTCCGCTTGCTCGACTTTCACTGGCTCCATAATCCGAGGAGCTTTCGGGAAAATATAAAGTATATCCATCGCTTTATAGATCTCTGCATCCAAAGGGGTATGGAAGGCGCACGACACCAAGAGCAACCGGAGTTGGATACAAAGAAAAAGACTTGCTTTTTGAACGGGTTGCTCAATAAGACGAGGGATGCAGCCGAGCTGAGAGACCAGTCATTAAATATTCTGATAGCCAGCCGTGATACTACAGCGAGTCTCATGAGTTGGACGTTTTGGCTTTTGGCTAAACACCCACCGATATACAACAAATTACGTTCGCATGTCATTGAAAATTTCGGAACTTATGACTCGGACCAAGCTAACCGAGTCACTTTCGAGGCATTGAAATCATGCAAATATCTTCAATTTGTTATGAAAGAGGTTCTTCGACTTTATCCTCCTATTGCCATCAACAGCCGCAAAGCGACCAAAGACACAAGCCTGCCTCTTGGAGGAGGACCGGATGAAAAGTCGCCTATTTTCGTCAAAGCAGGTCAGGACGTTCTCTTCTATGCCCATATAACCCACACCCTAAAAGAGTTCTGGGGTCCGGACGCCAATAAGTTTGACCCTGACCGCTGGGCCGAATACAAGTCCAGTTGGGCATACCTCCCTTTCAGTGGCGGACCTCGCATATGCCTCGGACAGCAATTTGCATTAGCCGAAGCAGGATACTTGATTACTCGTATGCTTCAGAAGTTCGACCAGGCGAAGCTTGTAGATCCTCAAGCCCCTGCAATTCATAGACCCAGCACCACTGACTCGCCCGCTGACTACATGATATATTTTCACGAAGCCCCAACGTGTTACTAGCGGACTATATTGCTTGAATAGAAACCATCATAATATGCGGGCCAAATTCGAATACGAGGTCTTTTACTCAATTGAAGTGCATATGGGAAGTATGTACGAAGTACTATGTAGAGTGGCAGTGGAGAAGCGTTTGCCCGCGGTGGAGTCCCGAGTCATCCTGCGTGAACTTGAACTTCACCTTGAACTTCACCTCGTCCCCTCTTTGATCCGATCTAACTCGAATCCCCCGTATCACAGATGGGATGAAGCCTTCGCCTTCTATCCAGCCGTATCCTCTATTATCCAGGCCTGCCAGAGCTACGCGATCCCTCTGGCTGTCGCCTCCCGAACCTAGGACCCCGATCTAGCCCGCAACATACTGAAAGCACTACACATTAGTCCTTCGTTCTCGGACAACCCAGCGGCGAATACGAAAACGAGCCGCGCACTCGAATACTTTGATTTCATCCAGATCTTCCCGGCCAACAAAACGCAACATTTCTCGCACATTCGGCAGACTAGTGGGGTTGCTTATGAGGATATGCTTTTTCTCGATGATGAGGCATTACAAGTTGTCTGGTTAGGGATGGGATGGAGGTTGATGAGGTTGATCGCGGGGTTTGGGCTTGGAGGAAGAGGAATGGTATTGAGAAGAATGCGGACGGGGAACTCCCTAACCAGGGGTTTCTCCAGCTCAGGCCGATCAGAGGCGTGCCTAGCGCAGTTACGGTCACCATAAGGAAGGATTGGGATAATCTAAAGGCGGCTTACGAACAATGTCAGACCGACAGGACGGCAATTGATGGTCAACTCACTGCTTGCCAGGCCTCTCAATAGTCTGGCCCCCCGAACGCTGGCCCTCCAGTCCATACCAAGAACTGTATGTATTTTCCGATCAAGTTAAAAATGAAAGGATAACCAGCTAACTCATCTTCAGGTCCTGGCAGCGGGTCCATCGTTACCGCACCTAATGGCAAAAACTACCAAGCCTACTGCAACGAAGGTTAGTTTGCAATCACTACCACCACTTCTGTATATCCAATATATTCCCACCTTCTAACATCTTGTTAGGCATGAGACAAGTCAAACCGATCGGAAGCCCTGTTAATTTGAACTCTTTGCAAGAATATGTCGAGCGTTGTAGTGTGACTAAATCCCGCATTGCAGCCCTTAAACACACGCTGGTGTTTGCCACATACATTTCTGGTGGCACACCTACCCCTGGCGTTTATAACCAACATGGTGACCTCTACTTTGGGGTGCTATGAGCAATATAGCAGCCTTCTGCACTTGCTAGTCACAGATTCGGCGATCAGATCTTTTTTGGGGGGATATCTCTCAAATGAATCACTCGTTTTTTTGCAGAGTTAGTTTCAAATACTGTCTTTCCTTTTTAGTTTTGAGTAATAGGCTGCTCCATTAGTCCGATATAGATTCACTCCTTCAAGTTATTCATTCTCATACTCCAACGGGCCGCTTAGCATGGGGCAGCCCGGTTGCAGAAGCTCCAACTGATGCTTTCCACCGTAGTTATTTGTCGGAATGACGTTTGGAATAGTTATAGAAGGACAACTGATTTTGGTCGTAGAACGATGATGAGACTTAGCTTATCGTGTCGTACACGGCTCTGTTTTGGACATCGGCGACGAGGAGTGCGGGCTTTACCATAGAATGGCATAGAATGGTAACAGTAGTACCAATAGTCTTAAATAATCGTTAAATACTCGTACTATATATATATATATAATGAAATGTCTATAATCGTAAATGATATACACCAAATACAATGACCCGCCACAAAGCATAGGACACCTCGTCTTACCCTTTGTATTTCGATACCAATAGAGCTTGAGAGTAATATAAGACAGAAATGAAACTATCAAAGAATGTGATAATAGCAAAGAGAACCCCCGTCATCCAGGTCACACATAACCATAACCCCTGTATCCAGCCAAGCGCGAATTGCGCACATGCCCATCTTCCCAGGATTCGCAAGTCCTACGTAATAATCCACAGTAAAGGCCCAGATACCCTAGACCGTTTCTCCATCCTCCTCTATATCAGTCCCTAGTAAGCGACCATTCAGATTTCGAGGAAGTCGAGGGTATGCTCTGAGAGAGGCCTTACCAGGCCAGGCCTGAGCCGTGTCAAGGTCAACAGCGACGTACCTTAAATTCATCTCGACGATTAGGAAGCGAAGATCTGCGAGAATTTGCCTCATCTATGATTCTCCGCGATCTTGCATTTAATTCCTCTGGCCGCTCTGAGTCTGAGCTTCGCGGACGTCCGAGTCTGGGCGATCGTTCGACGATCTCGACATCGACATCACTCGAATACGAATATGGGCGGCTGTCTCGATGGGGTATATACTGCACATCCTCGTGAGAGTCCGAGTAGCCGTCATAAGTATAATTATCATAATAATAGTCATAACTTCCCGAAGACCCGCGTCTTGGAGGAGAGTCTGGTATTGCAATCCTTCGTCCGGATCGAAGAGGCGTTCGTTCCGTCACTGGTGAACGTGGCCTCGGTGCTCGGATATTGATATCGATATCAGTAGTACTTTCCCGAACATAGAGTCGACCTCCTTCCCTCGTCTCGTGCGGAGATCTTTTTCGGGACCCGGTATGGTCATCGATAGAAGGGCGTTTTTGTCTTAAAGGCTGTGGTAAGGTTTCTAGTGGATCTGCGAATGATACTCTTCGTCTTCTAGTTCCGGTTTCAGTGCCAGTGTCAGTGCCAGCGCTGGCACCGGGTGACCTCTCGATAATGTTCGGGTGTCGTGGTCTCGTGTAGGAGGAGGTTGAAGATGATCTGGGAGGATGTTGGTATTGGTGTTGGTGTTTGTGTTTGTGTTCTAGAAAAGATTCATCCTGCCAGGTACTGGCAGCCGGGTGATCTCGATCTCGATCTCGGTCTCGGTATATAGTATTCCCCCATCCACTTTCACTTCGTGGCTTTAAGCCCGGGGAGTAATAGACACGGGTGCGTTTGCGTGTTCCATCGTACTGTTGTGGTTGTGGCTGCGGCTGCGGTCTAGCTTGAGATGATCCCGAACCTTGACGACCTCGACGATAAAAGTAGTATTCATCACCTGGCCTCGACGATGATTTTCGATGGTGCCGACGATGTGAGCTTTCAATACGCTGATACCCTTCTCTGAAGCGGTACCGCATCGAGTCATCTAGCCCCAAAATATCCTTCATTGTACGTAAGACAGATCCAAGGATCGGGACTTCGTGATACCACTTCGATCTTCTTCTACTAGAGGAACGGGAAGAAGATGAAGAAAATGATTCTTGTCGTGAGTCTCTTCGCATTAAATCGTCCCGGGTCCTGAAATCGTTAGGTCTTGATTGATGTCTCCCATCTGCAACGGATGAGTATCTGTAAGAGTCCATGGCTAGGCTATTTACCGATGGTACTTTACTTTCACTTACCGAGAAACGGCGAGAAGAGATCGAGGGCGAGGTCGAGTCGAGTATATGAATCAAAGATGAGACAGGATACTTGAGCTCGACACCACACCCCCTCCAGGACTTACGAAACCAAACAAAGAGGTCTCCGTCTCCCCGGTAGGTCTAGAATTGGAGTACAGAACAAAGTCCCGATCCAAGGCGTTGAGTGGGTGGTTGTTCTTTTCAGGTTTGGTTCGAGTTTCGAATAGCCCCTAAGGCTCTAGGCTAGGAGGGATATACCAGGATCTATGAAAGAGATAGAATAAAGAGGAGGAATGTGCATGTGCGTATGCGTATGCATGGGCTTGCCGGTCATAGATTCAAAGCAGGTGATTCAAGTTTTGTCGCAGTTGCAGAAGTCACTTGCAGCTGGCATTGTCTGAGAACATAGTACAACTTGAAGTACAAAGGACCTGGGGCAGCCAAGAATAGTGCAGAATTCTTATTTGGACTCGGAACAAAGAGTGTCTTTGCCTTTCGCGGCGATGACTTATTATATACTACTATTTCTGCATGTTTTTCTCTCCCTTTCTTTCTTTCTCATTCGCCTCGGGCGTAGGCAGTAAAAGTGATAAAGAATAAAAGAAAAGGCAACCATTTCCAAGACTTTCTCGTAGTATTGTTTTGGGATGTGATTTATGCCAGTGCTGTATGATGCGCTTTGGTCACAGGGGCGCAGTCCGAGTGTCAGCAGGGGTACCACAGGTGACGAAGGCTAACATAACACTATATAGTATAGAGCTGGAGTGTCTTTGTTTTCGAGTTTTGATTGTTCGTGTTAAGAATAGAGGTTGCTTGATTGCAAAATCTAAGCCGTCTCCTCATTTCTTGTTTTCTTTCTGGCGAGGGGAATATGGTAGTCCGTACTCTGTCATCCGAATGTACTTCACGGGCGGCTCTGCGTTGCTCTGCAGGAACCGCCTGGGCGCGGGAGTGGCCGACCCACCCTGCAAATGCACATCATCATGATTTATCCTGCCGACACCCTTCGATGTCATGGATCGCAAATCGAGAAACAAGTCACGGTCATGCACGAATTCCACGAGAGCGATAAATAATGGGTATGGTTATGGCACAGGTGGCGCAACACTGTGCCCAGCCACACTCCCCATCGAATCATCACCGTAGCCGAGCCTGCAGATTTGGGGGCGACGGCGCGCAGGAGAAATCTACAGGACGAGAGCTTCCTATCCAAACCAACAGTCCCGGGCGTTGGCTTTCCTGCCTGTCGTCGGGAATGACAATAGTGATTGTGTTCCTAGGCTGCACACCATGATCATGATCTAGTAGCGTAGCGGGCCATGCACACCTAACCTAACCTAACCCCATCGCTCTAACAATCGAGCCCGTACTTTATCCCGTTGGTGCAAAACATCCAAATCAACCCCCCTAACACCCTTCTGGAGCTCAGCAAGATCACCCTCCAAAGCCCTAAGAGCCTCCAATTGCCCCGAATCCGACAACGAAGTCTCAAACCGGGAATTCGCATGCAACGACGAGTCCAAGAGCCGCATCGCGTGGTCAGAAAAGGCTAATTGTCCCACAAGTGGTGAGTTCACCGCAGTGCCAAGACTCCTTAGTGCCTCTGCCATTTGAATTCGTTTCTCGTGCATTCCTTGAGCACCGCCACCCTCTCCTCCATCCCCGTTCGCCCGCGGACGGAGTACCGATTCGGGTGCTAGCCCGACGTGTCGGAGGACGCTTTCCAATTCTGGTTGTTGTTGATCGGGGATAGAGGAGTCGGAACCTGAGCCTGAGCCCGGGTTACGCGCAGCGGAGAGAAGCATGCCTGGTTGTAGCGAGCGCCGTCTCAGTGACTCGCGTCGAGAAGAGGGTTGTGGCACGAGTGGGATGGCTGTTTCTGCCTGGTATAAGTTGGCTAGTTGTTCTAGTACTTCGTTTGCTGAGCCCCGTTCCCCGAGCTGTTTGATTAGATCTTGTTTGGATAATGTCATATCGACCATACTATCGAGGACCTGTTCAAGGTTAGCTGCATGCCAGGCCATACATATGAACAATCGAAATCCGATGAAGGGACCAACCCACCTTTTCCAACTTTTGATGAGACACAACTCGAAGCTGACTATGTTCATTCTGAATCTCTCGAAGAATAGGCTCCTGAAACTCTTGACGAGTCGACATTTCAGCCAACACTTCGATTTCCGGGAACAGGGATCCTAATTCTTCTTCCAAGGCGGCGATCGTCTCTGATTCACTTGAAGTCAAAGCCTGGTTCTGGTTTATTGCAGAATCAGAAGCAGACTCTCCAGCTTCAATTTCCTCAAGATACAACCTATCCAACCGATCGTGGATCTCTTCAGCCACATAGTCCGCAAGTACCGAACTGAGTTGACCCGTCCGCTTAACCGTATCAGCATCATTGCTGTTAAACTTGATGCTGGACATGAGATTCTCCAGATAATTGAGGCTTTTATCGTCCTGCTTTAGCTGGGTGGATAGTATGGAGAGAATCCTCTTGTTTTCGACACCGGCTGATTCTGTCGCGCTCCTGAAGCTTGCTTCGAGATCGTCGGAAAGTTCGTTTGCCTGTTAAGAACTTAGCATTCGCACAGCTCTTGTATGTAGCCCAGCCCAGCCTCCGTATAGTTTCGGTGGTAGGATATAATGCGCACGCACCGCAATAATTGTATTCTGTCTCCCAACCTCATGCTTCTTCCGTAATCGCATAATATCCCGCCCCGATCTCCATCCAAACTCTCCCGCTGACGAAATTGTTTTCTGAGAATGTCACATTGTCGCGAGAGTGTATCTGATTGTTTTTGAATCGTAGCAGTAGAGGTTTCGAGGGATTGAATCGCTGCTCGAATATCGGTTTCTAAAAAGGGTCGCGTGGCTTCGAGGTTGGGGTCACGTAGAATTGGATGAAGATTGCCTGTCTGTGAAAGTTTGTTGTACCTGCATAAAGAACGAAAATGATTCAGGTTAGTGATATATTCAGAATGTGCGAGCTGGGCTGTAAATGATCCTGTTCTTACAGTGCTAGCTCTTCTTGTGAGAGAAGGGTGTCGGGGTGCAGATGTGTTGACACCCATTGCGCATTGTTTGGGCCTGAAGCTGTGGTTGTGGCTGTGGTTGAGGCCAAGTCTTCCAGAGCTGAGACTATTGCGTCGCGCTTCACGGGTAGGTCTCGCTCTTTGAATAGGGATAAGACGGTGTCGGCGAGGGTGTCGGCGTCGTGGGGTTCCATCTTTGGACTTCGGCTGAGTGTCGATTCGCGGGGTTGGAGATTGGGACGGGGAATGGATGGAGCGGAGCGGAGCTGCTCAGCTCGGTAGCTGCCCAGCTCGGGGCCAATGACGACTTAGTACTCTAGCTCAATAAATCAGCGTAGCCACGAGATCAAGATACGCCCCTGGGTGCGAATTATCTCGTTTTTAAAGAATTTGTCTATACTGTGTAAGGGCTCTTCGTTTGCTAACTTTGCGGTGTGCCATCAATATGGCCCTGGTCACGTGAAATAAACGAATGTATACAAATTTCCCTTTTGGGTGGAAATCCTTCAGAGACTGGGTTGCCCCATGGTGTTCGGCAGAACAGCAAGATAATAGGAAACTTATGTTGAATGCCAGTGGACTTATTTAAAAATGTATATTTTATGAAAATTGTAAATTACAAGTATCTAATCCAGTCCATTCCACTCCACTCCAAAATCACTATCGCTCAAGGTCAAGCCTGATTAGTCGCCGCCACATCAACCTTAGGATAATACCAAGAAGTAACAGCAATAATAAAGTAAACAAGCACACAAAGAAGTCCCTCGAGGTAATTCGACTTCCCATCACGCAAAAAGTTCCCAACGACCAAAATCGACAACACAAGTAACACAACCATGAAGATCTCAAAATTCAGAGTCATATTCTTATCCAGACCCCAACCGACAATAACAGCCAGAGGTGCATTCAACAATGCAGTATGAATCGAAGGACCAAGACAATGAAATAGCGCGAAATTGATCTGATTATCCCAAGCTTCATCGACGGCGGTTAAATGTTCGGCTGCTTTCTCGACAAGGGGCACTAGAATCAATCCCATGAAGTTATCCGAGACGCCCAGTTCGACAATGTGTTCGATTTCTTGGACGAGGAATACGGCGGACATGCAGACGCATGTTAAAGAGACGGCGATGGCAATTAGACATTCGACAAAAGTGAGTTTTGCGCGTTGGCTTTCTTCGTCTCGGTCTTCGTCTTGTCGTTCGTCCATTTCTAGGACGTCGTCGAAGATGGAGTTGTGGCTGTGGAGATTGAAGACGAGGTATCTATCACGCATTTCGTGGATTATTAGCAATTTTGGAAAGATAAGATCGGCCCCGCCAGCCAGATATTTTGGAAATTCAAACTCACCCGAAGAACGCCATTAGAAGAATCACCGAAGTAGCACGACTAATCGTAGTAACCGAGTCATCCAACTCTTGAAGCGTGAATTTCGGATTCACAGCCCCCTTCAACGCAGAGTAAAATGCACTCGGAATCAAAAGACCGAATCCAGCTACCAGCAACAATCCCGTCCCAACTTCACTAACAGCCTCATGAAAGACCTGCTCAGTGCGCTTCAACCCCCCAACAAAGAAACACATGCCCAAACAGAGCAGCAAATTTGCGAGAATCGAGCCGAGGATAGCGGCTTGAATGACGGGAATCAAGCTGTGTTCGCTATTAGGTTCATTACTGGTATCATTATGCAGCAAGACCATGAAAAGAACCAATTCGACAACAGAGCCGAGAGTCGTTTCGACCAAGACTCCTAATACTTTGGGTAACTTCTTGGCTAATTCTCCGCCCGCGAAGCCGAGTAGATTTGCAGAGGGGACCATGGCGATGTAGTTTAGCGTGAATACCCAGACGTGGAGATCGGGTCGGGCAAAATGCATTACGATTGCGGCGGGGACGAAAGGCCAGAGAATATTGACGGCCATTGATAAGGTGCAGATGCTCTTGAAGCAGACGAGGAGGAAGTGGATTGGGTGAATTCCTGTTCGGCCACTTTCTCCTGCGCTTTTGACGCGGAAGATGCCCAATGCATAGCGGGCGGGGTGGTCCTTTTCGAGAGTTGGTAGGACGGAATTTTGTTGGCCATTTGTTCCTTTTTCTTGTGGTTGGGTATGGATATCGTCTCTGTTTGAGACGGCTCCGATTTGGGAGCCGTATGATCTGACAGACCCCATTGACGCGGTGGGCGAGGGCGGGGCGAGGGCGAGGGCGATTAGACTAGATAATACTCGTAGGAGAGAGAGACAAGACAAGACAATCAGAGAAGCTTGGCAGACCAGCTGCAGAAGATGCCAAGGGGTGTTTTATGATGATCGAAGAAAGATAGATGCACGAGGAACGCTTGAGAAACGCACGAAGAGTCACACAGAGGGGCAAGGAGAGAAAAAGCAAAAGCAAAAGCGAACGCAAAGGCTGGGGATTTTGTATACAAGCGACGGGGAAGGAAATAAAAAAACACGCTCTCTCCACCCTGGCTGGGGCTGCGCTGGCACTGGCACGTCCACATAACCAATGAAACACTGGGTAAAGTGCAGCGACTGGAGCTGATGAGCCGGCAAGGGCTTGGCAGCCACGATCCATGATACATTTTATCGCAGATCGGCTCATGCAGTGTGGGTTTTCTCGTGTAGATGGCGGTGGTTGGGCATATACTTTGCCCTGGACTGGCTGGGAAGAAGGCAGTCCAGAAACATTGCTGGCAGTCATGGACACAGCTATTTGGACATGTCTCTTTTCCGAGGCCTCGCCTCGTCTCACCTCACCTCACGTCAGGTCATCTCCGTGTTCCAAGCACTCAGGGGATGAGACCAGGCCAAATCGCGCTCAGTGGGGAATGGTATCCGGGCACAGCCACACACTTGGCTGGCTGCAGAATGGCCGTGGATGGCCCAGAGCGCGATCGACGATGTGAGATAAACAAGCTATCAAAGTTAATCCCCTGCGGAGAGGTGGGAGCTGTCAGTGAGATCGGATCGAGTTAATTGGGTGTGTTTTGCAGGTTTGATGCCTTGCACCATGCTTCTGCAATGCTTGTTCTTTTTCATCCTGTTCGGTCGGATCCGATGCATGACAATGCCATGGATGCCATGGATGCCATGAAATGCCTAGGCGGCACGCCCGGTCAGAGATCAGCAGGGTACAGGGGAAAGGAGTGGCATCAGGGGATGTAGGGTGTATGTATACAATATACCAGGTGTAGTATACCAGGTATGGTGATGCTGTCGGCGAGTTACTGACGGACCCAACTTGTTCTCCGAGATGAAGGAGTAATCGGCGAGAGGTCGGAGTTTTCAATGTTTTCTATAGGGAGTGAATTGTCTGGTTGCGGGTCCATCCACTCCACCGGTTATCATCGGTCGATCACCTTTCCCTCCAAAAAAATGGCGAATTCTTCTTGACTTGACTTTTACGTGCATTCACCCACTCTTCTCCTCTCAACCCATTTCTCTTGACACCACGAACATTGCTGTGCTGAGCTGAGCTGAGCTGAGCTGATTAACAATGGCTTCCACTACTCCTGCCAACCCACCAGTGGCGTTGGACACCATCACTCAACAGATCGGCAACACCCCTCTAGTCCGACTGAACCGTCTGCCCCGCAGCTTGGGAATTGATGCCACCGTCTACGCCAAATTGGAATACTTCAATGCCGGAGGTAGTGTCAAGGACCGCATTGCCTTGCGCATGATCGAGGAGGCCGAGAAGTCCGGCCGCATCAAGCCTGGTGATACTCTGATTGAGCCCACCAGTGGCAACACGTTCGTTTTGCCCGGTCTTTACCTACCCTTTAGTACTGCGCTAACTTACTGAACAGTGGCATCGGTCTCGCCCTGGTCGGCGCCGTCAAAGGCTACAAGACCATCATCACCCTTCCCGAAAAGATGTCCGCCGAGAAAGTCTCCGTCCTAAAAGCTCTGAACGCAACCATCATCCGAACCCCGAACGAAGCCGCCTTCGACTCGCCCGAATCCCACATCGGAGTCGCCAAGCGCCTGCAGAAGGAACTCCCCAATGCGCATATCCTGGATCAATACGGCAATGAGAATAACCCCAACGCTCACGAATTTGGCACTGCCGAGGAAATCTGGGCCCAGACCAACGGCGCTGTCAATGCTGTCGTTGCGGGTGCCGGAACCGGTGGTACCATCACCGGTATTGCCCGCGGTCTCAAGAAGCACAACCCCAACGTTGATGTGATCGCCGCTGATCCTCTGGGTTCAATTCTCGCTCTCCCGACCACCCTGAATGATGCGCATGAGAATGAGCCGTACAAGGTTGAGGGTATTGGTTATGATTTCATTCCTGAGGTCTTGGATCAGAAGATTGTTGATCGGTGGTACAAGACTGCTGATAAGGAGTCCTTCCAATATTCTCGCCGTTTGATTGCTGAGGAGGGTCTGCTTGTTGGCGGTAGCAGTGGAAGTGCCATTGCCGCTCTGGTGAAGGCTAATGAGGAGCGCAAGTTTGCGAAGGATGATGTGGTGGTTGTTGTTCTGCCGGACAGCATTCGCAGCTACCTCACCAAGGTACGATACGATTTATCCTTGCGAATCTTTCTTTCTTTCTACTCCCATTCCCTACTGACATTATTTCCCTTTAGTTCGCCGACGACGACTGGCTCGCAGCCAACGACCTCCTAACAACCCCTCTCTCCGACATCGTCACCGAAGCGCAAAAACCCACCTCATCCAAGGACCCTCTCTCCAACGCCAAAGTCAGCGCCCTCCGCCTAAAACCCATCACTACCGTGACAGCCAATTTCCCTGCCGAAGCCGCCATCGAAATCATGCGCGAAAAGGGTTTCGACCAACTCCCCGTCCTCGCCCCATCGGGCCGTAAACTCGTTGGTCTGGTGACTCTGGGTAACGTCCTCAGCAGACTTACACACGGTCGCGCCTCGGCCAAGAGTCCCGTTTCCGATGTCATGTTTGACTTCTCTAAGATTCCCGAGGTCGTGACTGACCCCCGTGAAGCGACTGGGCAGCAAAAGCGTCGCCAGTTTATGGAAATTACCATGGATACCCCGTTGAATGTGCTGAATCGCTTCTTTGAGTGGAACTCTGCTGCTGTTGTTACTGAGAAGGGTGAGGGTGGTTCGCTTAAGCCGTTGGCTATTGTTACCAAGGTCGATCTTCTTTCTTGGTTGTTGCACCAGGGTAAGGCCAACGGTAATGGTAATGGTAACGGTGTCAGTGCCTAAAGTCAACCTGATGGCTAACTACGACATACGACGTTTGTGAATGATCTGATCTGCATATGGAGCAGCCTAGTCGCTACTTTTTGGGGCGGAGTTTCAACATTTCCTACTAATTGATGGGATTTTCGCTGTTTCTGTTTGAAAGTGTGTTTTTTTTGTTTTGGATCTCTTTTGGGATCTGGCGTTTTTTTTCCTTTCGGGGCTCCGATCGGTTTCAACACTGGGAATTGAGGATAGATTGTGCGAATATGGTTTCGTACTAGTACCTATAAATAATTATTCATAGACCCCGAGCCTACTAAGTTATAAGGGCAATATTTGAAGAAAATATTTGGACTTTAATGATCCTTGTTTCAAGTTTCTAACTCCTTTACTTTTGGTTTTGCTTCAATGGCTGACACTCTTCATCCATGGAATGGATGCTATCTACGATCCATGTAACTATTCAGGTATTTTCGATTTTTGATATCATTTAAATGAAGGGAGAGGTGTACAGTTATATAATCCCAATATGTAACAAGAAGCTAGACTCGCTAACACAGCGACGAAATAACGCATATTTTCGGAACTCGACCCTCAGTCCCATCTTCAACATCCACCAACCATCAACTTGGAACAGTAACAGCAAGCCCCTCCTCTGGGCCTCCCTCACAGACACATTCCAATCCACTCCTCCCACCTCCTCACACCAGACCCAATCTCCTCCTCAGCATCCCCCTTAACCGCACCACCAACAACATCAACCTTAATCCCAACCTGCTCAAGCAACTTGAAACTAAAAACCCCCTTCCCATCATCATCACCAAGCACCTCCTCCTCCTCTTCTCCTCCTCACCAGCACCACCACCAGCATCCATCAACCCCTTACTCTTCGACTTCCTAATCCTCTCAATCTCCCCCTCAAGCCTCTCCCCTAACCGAACCAGCCGGCAGCGCCGTAAACAAATCCTGCTTATTCCCCGCAATAAGAACCGGAATCTCCGCATCCCGCTTCGTAGACGATTTCCCCTTCCCCAGCGCGCGCTGCTGCAAGACGAGCAATACATCATGCAAATAACTCGCTGTATCGCGGAGCGTGGCTTCGTCGACTAGAGCCGCCGTGTCAACCATGAACAGCAGGCCGCGAATCTTGGTCTTTAGATCCTTGCTGGACGACATTGAGATTAGTTCGGCGATGCCTTGGGTTTGGCGGAGTTTGCCATGGCCGGGCGTGTCTTTTAGACGGTAGCGGATTGGGTTGCGGGTTGCTTCTTTTAGACTTGGGTCGTTTATGGATCTGTATCTATTGCTTCCTGTGGGGACAGATGGTGGGAGGGTGACGGTTATTAGGGTTGAGGTTTGGGATGTGTGGGTTGTTTGGGACTTTTTGGAGGCTGGGGTTGATTTTACTTCGAGCTGTAGTAGGACACGGTGATGTTAGCTGGATTGAATCGAATATTGTAGAGTCGATCGAGTCTCGCTAGGTGGGGGGTAGGTGTACGTACCAATGCCGTGAAAGCAGTCTTGCCCGCACCACTCGGTCCAAGTAGAAGGAAGTTACTGGATGGCGGTGACGCCACAGAGCGGAAGAAGAAGATGTGAAGAAGGACAGGAACGCCAAAGGTGATGAGGATTGCAACGGCGATGGCGCTCAAACTCCCTTCGAAGAGGAAGGTGAGGATTCCTGTCAACGAGGTCCAGCTGGCCTGAGTCGACATGGTGCAGGGTGGGCTGATCTCGTGGGAAGCGGGTAAAGGAGAGTGTTAGTTCCGCTGGGAGGGAAACCTTAAGACTCCGGGCTTTGGTTGATAGCACGGACCATTTCTTATCTTAGCGCTGCACATCATACTCTACTCTCCTCTTAGTGTACCCAGGGTGTTAAGGGTATGGAATGAGGGATACATACCACACCACTCGCGGCCAAGGGATAATACCCTTGGTCCGCATTGCTTTGCTTTGATTTGATTTGATCTGCTCTGCTCTGCTCTGCTGTCCATTTCGCTTTGCTTCCTCTTCTCTTCTTTTCCCTTGACTTGAGTCTTGACAGCTTGACTTGACAACGAAAGCATGCGCTTACTTCGGTTGTCTGCTCTGTTCGCCTTCTTAGGGCTTGCTCCCGCCCAGACTCTCAGTGGGTTATCCTTTGATAGCGAGGATGTCGTGAGCCTTATGTGGGCTTTTGATGGGCAGTCAACTGGCCGTTATGACTTCTTTCTCTGTGCTGGTGATGAGTCGGGTTCTTATGTGAGTATCTCACTTCGAGATATACAACCATTCCAGTCTCGAAACCATGCCAAAACTATGTCCAAGCTAACGACAGAATCCCCGTTAAAAGGAATCGCTCGAGCGAGTTATCAATGACGGGCCTGTTGTCCCAGGTGGCCTGCTCTCATTTAAAGTTGACCGTAATGTCGGAGGAAATGAGCCCAATGCATAGTATGGATAACCCTGGACAACCCTACCCATCTATATCATCAATTCTCACAGAGACAAAATGCTAACCTCAACCCTCTTACAGCTTCCTAAAAGTCATTCCCTCAAACCCATCAGAAGAATGGACCGGATTTACTTCCCACTTTACTCTCACCAACATGAAAGGCACCTTCTCCACCAAGATCACCAACGCCGTCAAGTCGATGAAACCGATCCCAATCCCACTCCCATTGGGTCTAGTAGACGGCGACACCCAGATTCTCGCCGGCTCTCCAGAACCACCAATCAATAACGGGACATCCAGCGGCAGTGACACCAACACCGACACCAACAGCAATGAGCAAAACGAACCAGCAACCCCACCCCTCGAACCCCCAACGCCCACCTCATCCGACCTCAATCACGAGCACGTCGAGCTGCGAAAACGACTCGGCGTCGCAGCCGCAGCAGCACCCGTTGCAGCAGCACCCGTTGCAGCAGCACCCTTAGCAGGGGCACCCGTAGCAGCAGGGGCCGCCGCCGTCGAAGCCGTAGACCCTCACACAATTCCCTACGGCGAACAAACCGGTCTAACAAAGTATGCGCCTATGCCCAAGATGGCTGGCACTACGATTCCGCCCCTAGATAAATCGCCCACGCCTCAGTATCCGACTTTTCCTTTTGTTAAAGCTACGACTTATCTTCCTGCGCCGACGGTCCAGTATACTGATACGGCTTATTTGACTTTTACTACGCATAGTATTGAGAATACGGTATGTTGAACTTGAGTCTGCCTCATCAGCGCAACTAATACTAATCTGCGCGATATTCCAGGCTGCACCCGCTGCGCAACCGACTTTGGATAAGAGAATGCAGCGATGGTTGGAACGGTGGCAGGATTGATTAGGCTGGGGTGGTTTATCTCAGTTTGGTTCAGTGCATCACTTGCTCAGCGTTACTTCTTGCTTCTGTCTGAGATCTTCATTATTTTTTCATGTTTTCTATATACTGCTTTTAGTTGAGGTTGAGCTCAATATATGCTAGCGGGCATTTTCAAATGCTTTGTCCGCTTTGGACTGGTATCTCTGAGAAATGTAAATGCAACACCGACCCCCCCCTCCCCTTTCCCCTCTTCAATAAGGCTGTACTCCAAATGGCCCTCATTGATGAAAAACAGGGCCATCTATGCCTATATACAAATTCCAACTTTTTCAACTGTATGTGTTGTGCCGGTCGTCCAGAATCATCATTCGTTTCGTGAGGCAGTGTCCGTATGCGCAGGCATAGGCATAGGCATATGCTCATCTAAGGCGACATCGGCGTCGGCGACTTAGGCGACTTCCACTCCTCAAGCGCAGGAGTCATAACCGGCGTCGCAGGACCTTCCGGATGAAACGAAATATTCTCATGAAGAGCAACATAATCACTATCCGAATACCCAAGCAAATCATTAATCTGCGAACTCCGATGACCCTTAATATGATCGATTTCAAAACTGCCATAATTGACAAGCGCGCGGCCAACCTCCTTCGGTTCCTGACTATGGTGCAAGAAATCGCCATTAAGCGCGTCAGGATCCGGTCGTTCTGCAACGACGAGACGGACCGCTTCGTGGGCGCCGAAGTGGCCTTCGACGGCGAGAACGCCGGCCGGGAGGAGGCTGGCTTTGTTTAGGAGGAGGGCGTCGTAGGCGCCTGGGTCTATGTAGATTGTTCCGTGTGGTTGGAGGCCGTGTAGGAGCCAGAAGGTTCGGGATTGGATTGGGGTTTCTGAGGGGAGGAAGCGCGTGTGTAATGGTGCTGCTGGGATTTCTATCCCGTCGCCATCGCCATTTGATTTGGATTTGGCTTGCAGGGCCTGGAGATATTTCACGATGTCGTGAACGTTGCCCGGTTTGGAACTTTTGGTGATAACTGTGGTTACTCCGGCGCTGGTTCCGAGTTTCGCTGCAACAATCTTAGTACTCATGCCACCGGTTCCTAGGGAGGATCCCGCTGATGAAACGTCGGCTTCGAGCGATGAGATGTCGGAAACGACCTCGATGGGTTCGGCGTCGGGGTTTGTGCGAGGATTCGCGGTGTAGAGGCAGTCGACGTCCGTCATTAAGAATAGGTAATCGGCCTTGACTGTGGCCGCAGCAATAGCTGAGAGGGTATCGTTATCGCCAAATTTGATTTCCTTGAAGACGGGGACGCCATGGGAGGTTAGATGAGGTGTTCGAGGTGGGAGGGAGTCTGACGAATACGGGGTAGAGGTTCTTACAGAAACGGCTAAAGTGTCATTCTCGTTGACAATTGGGATCACACCCATGTCGAACAGTTGCTCGAAGGTATTTTGTGCATTGAAATATTGAGTTTTCTGTAGAGGTTAGTTGGGGAGATTTCGAGAGAAATTCGGGGATAAATACATCTGCAATGTCGTTTCTCGTCAAAAGAATTTGAGCCACCGGAACATTGAGGTGTGAGAAGAGGTTGTCCCACAAGCTCATCAGTCGACACTGTCCGACAGCAGCGAGTGCCTAGGTAATTGGGTTAGCGCCGTCATCAGAGACTCAGCCTTATACAGGATTCTGTAGTGATCCTGAGCTCATAGTAGGCATCTGAGTCGCTTCCTCACCTGTATTCGGGGGAGATATTTCGGTCTTTCATCCACGTCCATCCTCCGCAAACCAACCCCCACCGCGCCAGAGGAAACGAGAACAACTCTATGTCCATCTTTGCGCAGCTTAGCCACCGTTTCAACAATCAATGTCAAAATGGACAGAATGGGCTCATGTGTCTTCTCGTCGACAATCGAACTTGTCCCTAGAAGAACCGTGTTGTTAGTTAATTCATCCTGCTTTGCACGTCCAAGTTGACGCATTGACGTATATGTATCCCCGCACCGAGTTTGATCACAATCGTCAGCCCCGAAGCGGCCGCCATGTTGCACAGGCCGGATCAATTTATAGCAACAAAATAATGCTTCCGTGCCACGATACAAAACAAAAGTCGAAAATGAAAAAGGTCCGCCCGTATTCCTCTGTCTTGCACTGCGCGAATGTCAATGTCAAGTTCTGACTCTACTGCCCTGTATCGGAGCAATCTCCGCGGGTTCTGCCGGGAATCTCCGCCCTTCGGAGGTCAATTCTTAGATTCGTCGGTGTTGCGCGCTTCTTGCTTGCAGTTTGCGGCTTGCGATTCACCATGTCCGATTCTCAATCCTCAGCCTCAGCCTCACCTTCACCTGCCAATGGCAAGGACAAGCCGGATACCGGCTTTGTCTCGGGTGATGATACGTGGACCCAGTTCAAGAACATCTACTCCATCCTGACAGGAAAGATGTCGCCGGACGGCATTGAACAGTTCCGACTTGCGCGCGATATTCGGAATGAAGAGGCTGACTGCAAACGCTGTGATGAGCAAAAAGAATTTCTACTTCAATATAGTATGCATTCACACCTCCTTCTCCTCCTCCAGAGCTTCACCGACTAACAATGGTAACCACAACCCATAGGCCCCGTCATCCGTTACCTGAGCGATAACATCAAGCAACTGGGAGGCGACCTCCACAACCATAATATCTACTGCCGCCGTTGTACAGACCGCAAGGGCGGCGGTTTCGACCCGGAATATGGAATCCTGATTTGCGCCAACGAGATGAAAGACCAGGGCCATTTGGAAGATACCATGGCTCACGAGATGGTTCACGCGTTCGATCATTTGCGGTTCAAGGTCGATTGGTCTAATAATCTGCGACATGCCGCTTGTACAGAGGTATGTCTGACTCTGACTCTGAGATATTTGCGATGCAATTGCACATCTTGGTTGCAATCCGACTAATCTAATGCGTTGCAATGCAGATCCGAGCTAGTTCACTCAGCGGCGAGTGTAGATGGTCACGAGAGTTCTTCCGAAGAGGACAATGGAAATTGACCCAACAACACCAAGAGTGTGTTCGTAGGAGAGCGATTCTCTCCGTTCGGGCTCGACCTACCTGCAAGGACAAGGCGCATGCGACTCAAGTCGTCAATGAAGTTTGGAATAGCTGTTTCCGAGACACGAGGCCGTTCGATGAAATTTACAGATGATACCGCACCGCACCTTTCACGTTTTGCCTTCATCAGTCGACACTGTCCGACAGCAGCGATTTACACCTACACCGTTATACCTCACTCTCATCTCATCTCATCTCACCCAGCCCTACCCTGTACAATAGAACCATTTGTGAATGTACCATATGTCATTTCATTGGCACTGTATGGAAAAGATCAAATTAAGAGCACATGTCCCAGATCGCAGGCGCCATCCATACCATAGCTTATACTCCAAGAAACTCCGAAAATGCACGAATGCACAAATGCGCGGACGCCAGAAACACCATGATATCCACGCTATGGTGATGGATCGAGCGAAAACAGAATAGAGACAAAACATAACACCAAAACACCAATTCTGTCATGCGTAAAATAATCATGCTTTGCCCTCCTTGGACGAGGCGGAGCTCCGCTTCGCTTCCTTGACGCAGTGCTTGATGATCCAAGGGTGGCGCTGGATCTCGTCGAGAGGAATACGCTTCTCGGGGTCAAGAACAAGCAACTATTATACATATTAGCAGGGGAACTTTGAAAAGATCTCTCGATGGGCCGCGTGGTTCGAAACTTACTCGCTTGATGAGGTCCCTAGCCTCGGGGCTGACGAAAGAAGGTACAGACATATCCGCGCGGGCAATTCGTCGCTGGGTCATAACAGGCGTATCCTCGAAAGGCGCCTCACCAACCAAGAACTCGTAGGCCAAAACGCCCAGACTCCACAGGTCAACCTTCTCGCTGTAGTAGTTGTCCTGAGAGCCGGGCTTCAGCATCTCTGGGGGCAGGTAGTCGAGTGTCCCGCACATCGTCTGTCTGCGGTTGTTAGGAGCGTGTACGCTCCAGCCGAAATCACTGATCTTGATTTCGCCGTGAATACCGACCAGGATATTCTCCGGCTTGATGTCACGATGCATGACATGCTTCTTGTGGAGGTATTTGAGAGCTGCCGCCATCTGCGCAATATACTGTGCAGCCTTCCACTCGGGGAATCGGTGCTCTTTCCGAAGATGCTTGTACAGCTCTCCCTTGCCGGCGAATTCCAGAATGAGGAAGATCCGCTTGCTATCGTGGAAATGGCCGTACAGACGCAGCACATTCGGGTGGCGCAAGTTACTCTGAATCTCAATCTCGCGACGAACTTGCTTCTGGACGCCGCCCTGTTGCAGCTCTGACTTGTGCAGGACCTTGAGGGCGCAGACAAAGCCCGAAGATCGCTCCTTGGCTAGGTAGACACGGCCAAACTTGCCCTTTCCAAGAGGTTTGCCAATCTCGAACATTCCGAGGTGCAGCTCTCTGGGGATAGTGGACTCGGATCCAGAGGTTGAGGTGCGTTGCTCGCCGTTTTCGTCGGTGTTACGGGTCACCAGTGTGCCCTGCGATCCCTTGCCTGGGGAGGCAGGGATATTCATCGAGTTTGTCTTGTGGTCATTGGTATTTTGCAGAGCCAACTTTAGCAACTGAGCGCGGTTTGAGTTGCTTTGGCTCGCGCCCAGACCAGACCGAGAGGAGGCGGTAGAAAGAGAATCCTAGAGCAGATCGAGTCAGCTAAGTTGCTTGGAAGGATCACATATTCCTCTGGTAGCGTACCTTTTGCTTGCCATAGCCACGGTTGGCGGTAGTTTCCTTTTCCTCCTTGACGGACAAGTGCTCGAATCGAGCCTCTAGTGTCTTCGTCGCCATTGTTGAGAAGAAGTAGGAAACGGTACAGCGAAAGGGGAAAAAGATAGGAAGGGGGAAGAAAAGGGGAGATCTGTCGACTTAGGTATCGAGTTGATTGACTCAAGCCCGGACTGTCATGGTCAGTAAAGTTGTCGAAGTTGGCGAAGTTGGGCGAAGTTGTCGATAGAAGAATGGAAGTTGGGGAATGGAGGAGCTGGAACTTGAACTGTTTGGGTTCGGTCCAGCGCGTCGCCCCAGCAACCCCGTCGGCCCGCCCTTATTCCGCTGATAGCGATTAGCGATTAGCCCCGCGCGAATGATCCACCTTACCTTGGACCATCTCATCTGCAATTGTCTCGCAACGCTTTCTCCATGACGTTATGATTTAACGTGCTGATGGCTTCCAGAACACCAGCTGCGCCCCCGCGAGGCCATGCCTCAGTCTCACCTGAGACCAAGAAGCCACAGCAGATTTCTGTTGGTGGCTTCCGAATCTCGACCCAGAAGCTCCCCATCCTGAAAGCCGATCCGATTGACGAAATGACCAAGAAGCTGGGCATTCAGGTCCCTGAGATGATCTTCGGTGATAACTTTGTGTGCATTGAGCACCCTCCCAGTGGCTGGGGGATCAATTTCAATGCGTTTGATGCGCTGGACTTGGTGGACAAGACAGGACAGTCGATGCTGCAGGTCGCATACTCAAAGGAATGGCAACAGAGCAGGTAGGAAGGATCGCACTCGACTACCTCAATTTTCCATTTTGCGCAAACCCTTGCTTACCACGTTGGTCTTCCCTCCAGAGAAAAAACACACGACGGGATCAAGGAAGTTGTAAAGCCATTCGATTGGTCGTACAGCACCGACTACAAAGGCACATTAAGCCCGAACGCCCGACCCTTCGAGGAAACAACGAAGCCAATTCCCATCGAACTTCTGAAACGACCGGATCCGATCCTATTCTTCGACGAGGTCGTCCTTTATGAAGACGAGTTGGCCGATAATGGAATTGCAATGCTTTCCTGCAAAATCCGCGTCATGCCAGAGAGACTTCTCCTCTTGACGAGGTTCTTCATGAGACTGGATAATGTCTTGATACGACTTCGCGATACTCGGGTCTATGTCGATTTTGAAAAGAAAGAGGTGATTCGGGAATACCAATCCAAGGAATGTGAATACGAGAAAGTTAGACAGGTACGAACCCTCACTCAGCTCAGAATTAGAAGTTACTCTTTCGCAAATACTGTACTAACCCCATCGCCCTCTGTATAGATGCTTGCTGGTACCCGGGATGATATTCCAGCATTAATGAGAGACGCTAATCGACTTTCTGAATTGCTGCCTGTGGTAGATAAGAAGTCCGAGTGTGTAACTCTTGACAGCTGAGGCGTGAGACTTGCGCTATGACTCGCATGTCTGCATGGGATTTCCAGCGACGCACGGGTATCATCTATATCAAATTCAGGAGTATACCGTTTTGTCGCCAGCTTTCGACGCTCAGCAATCTGGCAGTGCAGTCTCGGGTTTTGCATTCCGTCGCTTTGAAATGGGAAAGTTTTTTTTTTTTTTCGTCTCTCGAAAGATCCACTACAACCAGCTAGCCATGAAAGTCCATCCATGAAGAAACATTACGAAATAGACGGAAATGATATGAAATCTTTTTTTTTCGCGTGTTTGTGAACGAATCAAATATTCAAAACAATGAAAACATCCTCAATACATAGGTTAGGTTGTCTAAATCCAGATGGCAAATAACTAGGCCAGCTAGTTACTACTCAGTATTACCCCAGTTTGTATAACAGTTTTACCGTGGTAAACAGTGTTAAATTCTCTCTGGAAATACCTAAAATAGTATTGTGCTTTCTTACGATTTTCACAGGTTAGCCGATGTTAGTGTGTGTGAGGACCTTCTTAATCAGCTTCTTCAGAACTATAATAGCCAGAGCTAAAATCTGTTCTGAATATTGATAGCGTATTGTTTTACTATACTGAGCGTATTATAGAGATATTTGCTAATGCTAGAGTTAAGTTGATATATCTACCTCTTTATTCACTGGACCTTAACCTAATTAAGGAGTTTCTTACCGATCTGAAGAGTTCTATCAGTAATTGGTCCTATTTTGAGAAAAATTATAGTCAAGTATTTGATTGTTTTCTTGGTTGGTGTATCAAAGCACTTGGAGTAAGAGAGCAGAGTGCTTAAGGTTATTTTCGGTATGTAGGCCTAACAATCGAATAGTATTTGGCATGTCGGTAAGATTAGAACTTCTGGAGTGAAAGGTTGCTCTCTGATTGATTACTTTTATATCGTATCTGTGGAATTAAAACGGGCGTCTTAAAAAGACATCATAAAATCGATAAAAGTAACGTGATTATGCCTTAAGGTCTGTCTATATAGTGTTCTCGGAATTATAGCTGTTGTGATCCTTGACACTTGTGTCGTAATCAAAACAATACCATGTGAGTTCATTAATATTAATTTCTCCAGGGTTCCTAGGGCGTTTGATAAGGCAACTTGAACATGGAAGCGACAGACATGTTCGATCGTTTCTCATACGTCAGAATCTTCGCGTTGTTGCGTGCATGTGTAAGCGTGCATGTTACATTACTGACCTATGCCAATTATTGCATTATGTATTGCAAAACGCGCTTGAAAGATACCTTTCAATAATAAACAAGCCCTAGTATACTATTTTCAACATGCTGGAGCCAAGCAAGTATCTTTGCGATAAGACAGACGTGAAATGGTCGGGTTTAGCAAAGCGGAAATGAGAAGCTGCTTTGGCAGTCCAAGTCCAGGCGGTGAGATAGTACAGCATAAATACCTCGAAATTCAGGGGATCCTTTACACTGCCACTTTAGCTGAGAAGCACCAGGCCACTTTGCCGAAATCCATAAAAGCACTGGCTCTGCGACGCAACCAGTCACTGGATGTTAAACTCTATCTTACCCTAGCCCCCGAGTATGTCCGGATTTGAGGTCCTAGGTATCGCTGCTAGTGTCATTCAGGTCGCAGACCTAGGCACCAAACTATCAGTCAAGTTATTTTCGTTCTATCGACAAATTAAAAATGCCGACCAGGCCATCCAGAATCTCTCGAGTGATGTTGCACTTACATGTGCGCTTCTGCGTGAGCTAGGTGAGACGCTGAGGACGGATGACCTATCGAAGCTTTATTCGAAAGAAGCTTTCCAAGGCTTAAGAGGCGTCATAGATCAGTGTAAAGGTGTCCTTCAGAAAATCGACAGTACCTTAAGTCATACCGATGGCTCAGGAAAGACCCGTTTACAACAAATCACCGGTCGATTCCGCCTTCTCCTTCTTGAGCCTAGTTTAGATCCTTTGAAGAATGACTTAAGAAGCCTCAAGTCCACCATGGTACTTTTGCTCAACGTCATTATCTATGCCGGACAGGTGCGAAGGTAAATCCGCCTTTCTTTTTGACAAGATAAACTGCTAAATTTCTATACTTTTTATTAGCAACAGCGTTCCAGCTTTACTCCAAGAACAGCGCGATTTGATAGAAAGTCTCCTCGATGAGAAAAGAGAGGACAACGAAAAGCAAACGTCTTTCACAGTGAGCGCAGGTATCGAAACTAATAAAAATATTAGCTCTGCCGAGTGGACAGCATACAACGGTCTCATTCGGAAGATGCTGCATGAGATTGACTTTTGCAAGTGTAGGCTTGATAATAGCCGTCACTTCCGAATCAGAGATGGTATTCTAAATATACATTCTGGTGAAATTATGCGATTCCACGCATCAGAGAATATTCCAATTACTTTTGATCAGGCTCTCTTTGCGTAAGTGCGTTTCTGATACTATACATCTTTGTTACTGGGAAGTTAATGATTTACAGCCAGAATGCCCGTAAAAATAATCGGATTACAAACACCCGCCTACCATATAACTCTTCAATATCCTTAACCCCGTCAGAGTCTGGGACGCCTGAGACTGAAAATTTAAGAAATACTGATCACTCAGACGATGGGATGAACCGGCCTCCCCAGCTAGCAAAGCCGAAGATCAACTATGAGGTGGAGAAGTACCTGCCGAAACCTCAGGCTGAAACACGATACGGCGATTTTGAGTTGATTAACCATCCAGCTCCAGACCGCCCCGAGCTTCCGGGGCAGGGCAATCTAGAACGTGATAAGGGTGAACCTACATTTCCACCTAATGACTCTCCATTGCTCCTACCTTCGATGCTCGCGCAACGGGAATCAGAAGAGGACTCGGTGCTGGATAAGAAGGTGCAGGCATCGGGGGATTATCTGACACGGGAAAGTGCAGGCAAAGAGAAAACGGAACGTCAAAACAATAAGAGGAAATCAATCAGCAATATTTGTCCTTTGCCGCGACTTCCGGCTTCGTCTGTGGGTATAGACACCCTCTGCGTGTCCTTGGTGCCATTGAACCAGGCTCTCAACCGAAGATCATTCAATGACAGCCCTGGCCTCACTGCTTCATTGAATGACTCGAGGAAGCCATCAATTGACCTAAAAATATCTCTACCGCCTATTGAATCCGCCCTCCGTCGTAATATCTCGCCTGGTGAGCTCCTCCAGCCAGGCGCAACCAGGAAAGGGTTTAAAAGCAACAATGATGTGATCCACCACCAGCAGCTACATGATTCTCTGAGCTATTGCCATCCCTTTCATTCTGATAACCAACCAAAAATTGTGCGACCAGTTGATATCATATGGTGCGTTTTCTAACGGTAGAGCCGTCAAGGCTAGTGCTAATTGCTCTTTATGCAGGAATACGCAAGCTCTCCATGCTGGAATAAATGAAGACCAACTTCCCCAAGAAGCTCTCCCACAGGGACCAAAGACAAAAAGGCAACGTTTCACACAAGAAGAGTTGTACTCTACAAAATTGGAAAGCTTGTTGTTGCGATGGACTACGCTGCAAAGCCATGAAATTCAGCGTCCATTTTCTTAAATACCTAGTCGACAACGCTTATTCTCGGATATTTTGTGTCAGCAGTAGGGGCATGAGAGGCAGAGAGCCGAATCATTTTTCATTCTTACGTTTGTGCAGGGGTATAGGCACTGGTCGATACTCACTTCAGAGCAATTTCGTCTCTCCGAAAAATCATCATCGTGGCTTATCGGAAGGTTCAAGCTCAGGCTTTGAGAGAATATGCAGAGCCACAGATGGATACTCGGCATGGAGGAGGAGGGGGATATTGACGGATCTGTGGATGACAGCGAGGATAAATAGCTTATTTGATGAGAAAGATTATCAAGAATCCATTAATGATTTTGATAGTGACTTCTGCTTCTTCCCCTCCTTCCTCTTTGCAGGGTTAAACGCTACTACTTGTGAAGCGATTATCTTCATAGTGACTGGCTGTTTTTTATATACACCGTATACCACTCATTCTACTATAAATAAAATCATTAAGTATTAAAACCCTTAGTATTAGAAGTCTCTACAATATACATTACTGAATGAAGTAGCCATACTGCCAAACAAAGCCTAGATCTTCATATTTTATGCAAATCAAATAATATCACTAGCAGCTCCACTTATGGGCGGTTATGGGCAGTTAGGGCATGCCCATAGGTCTGCACAGATCTATGCAGGAGGTCTAAACTGGACCATGTGCATGTATAAGAATGTCTCGAGGCCACTCTGGAAAGACAGTGAAGCTCCAGTTGATTCCTAGCCGTGGACTGTATCTTTTCTTTTGATTCATTTTTTTCTTCTCCTCTTTTTTTCTTCTCTCCTTCATTTCTTCTTTCTTTTCCTTCTCTGTGAGATACTCCAGAGTCTAAGGTGATAACTTATCCCTCATCGCCCACCGCCTTCACCGAGCTGGGAGACAAACAGTGTAAACAGCTACCAACCCAAAAAAAGATCGCCAATCGCAACGATACAATAACCAACGCCATCGCAAAATGCCGACTTCAAGATTGACAACGTTATGCGCGCGGGAGCTCCGCGGATCCCACATTAAGAGCCTCCAGGTATGATACCACGATGACCTCACTTCGTTACCACCACGGACCCCGATGCTAACCCCCTGCACAGCGGCCATTCAGCCAACGGGCAACAATCTCCTCAACATCATGGCCAGCATCCAGTGCCAATGTCACCTCCAAGACCTCTTTCACATCCCTTAATACCCTGATTCTTCCATCCCGATCATACTCCCAAGGATCCGCTGTCTCGCGACTGGCTAGAAGTGCTGCTTCGCCCGGAGCTGCGGCCGAGACTTATGTGGCGTACGGCATGACCCAGAAGATTTTCGAGGCTTGCTCGAAGCAGGGAGATTATACTATTCCGCAAGCGTCGCAGAAGGGTGTTGAGGTTCCGCTTACGGAGTCTGGTGAACATCTTGGTGTTAGTGATAGTTGGTGGTATAAGGGTTCGTGAACTATCCCCCTCCCCTCCGCCGCCTATACCGGATGGCGCTTCTCAGCTTGGATTCGAATTGCGAAAGTGAACTGATACTAACTCCATATCCACAGAACTGGGCCTCACACCAACATTCTCAACCTGGTCCCAAATCACCTTCCTGCACATGTATCTCCTAACCGTCCGACTCCGCGCCCTCCCCTACCGCGACAGCGTCCAGACATACTCGCGACACTTAATCGACCACTTCTCCCACAACGCCGAGCACCGCATGGATGTCCTACACGACCTCGGAAGCCGCGGTATCCGCAACAAGTACCTGAAAGACCTCTTCATTCAATGGCGTGGAATCATCGCCGCCTACGATGAGGGTCTGATTAAGGGTGACGCGGTGCTGGGCGCTGCTGTTTGGAGGAATTTGTGGAAGGCTAGTGCTACGGGTCCGGATGGTCAGGAGGTGGATTGGACTAAGGTTGCTTGGGTTGTGGCTTATATGCGTCGGGTTCTTTTTGAATTGTCAAAGATGGATGAGGCGGATATGGCTTTTGCTTTGTCGCAGGGTGGTGGGGCGGAGTCTGCTATCTTTGGGTTTAATCCTGTTGATAAGAAGATGGCTGAGGCGAGTAACTGAATGAATGGGGGGTGTTGGATTGGGCTGGGATGGGTTGAGCTGAAGATATGCCGCCCCGTAGATTATTATTTCCTCTTCTGAATAATTGTTTTATTATGTGTATGGGGGATCTTGTTTGCAGGCCCGTTCTTCACGAGGTTAATCATGTACAATAATCTACTTCAACGCAACTCTGTCTATTGTATATTTTGCATATACTGGTGCTGCATATCTACGAACTACTAGGGTACATTCAAGTTTATTTCTTGTCGTTTCCATTCTTGGCATTCAAGCTTTGTATTGATTCTACATCTAATTCTCCTTTTTGCCAAAGAGGTCCTTCTCAACCATAGCCCGGCAGATGGGGTGATAGAAGTCCTTATACTTATCAAAGGTCTCCAACGCCACAGCACGATTAGCTTTCTGGAGATTGCGGAACCTGCCAATATTCGTTAGTAATTTTCCTGCATTTGGAAGATGGGACTCGGATGTGCGTTAAACTTGAACATCCAAGGGGGTTTCAACTTACAAAGGTCGCACAAACTTCATTCTACCAATACGGCCCAAAAGTTCCGCAGTAGGCTCAATAACACTCTGATCACCAGCCTTCATACCAACCTGGAAGTAAAGGTTGGCAACCTCGATATTCTCACTCTTAGACAATCCATAGACGTCGCCCATGAGTTTGGAAAGCTCCGGACGCAGCGGCTGCTCCCAGCGCAGAATTTGCTCGAGGAAGACCAGGATTTGGTTAGCGGTTAGACCATCCAGGTCGCTTGCCGCGGGCTTGAAAGAAGACTCGGCTCCGGATAGAGTCTGCCATTTGTTGGCGAGATCGTAGACGACGTCGACGAGTGAGGTGTCGAATTCTGGCTTTGGGGGTAGGCGGGGGCGTAGAACCATTTGTCCCAGTCTAGTTCGGTTAGAAGCTTGGAGGCTTCGGGGTCGGAGCTGAAGAAGTCGAGGATTGTTGCTTTGAATTCGTATGAGTCGAGGGATTTGCACTTGAAGACAGTGAAGTACTGCGAGAGTTAGTATCAAGTAACCAATGCCAATGATAAGATGTGCGTAGACCTACGTGAGGAATGAATTTGTCAAACTTGGCCTTTCCAACAAGGTTTTCCAGGTGGAAGAGGAAGTTGAAGCCTTTCTCGTAGGGAACGCTAGAGAAAGCGTCATCGGGATCCTTGCCCTTCAGGTCGGTGATCAATTTGGTGAACTCGTGGTCGTGGCCGAAGTGATCCACGGAGTCGGTAAGGGCCTTCCAGCCGATAATGGACGAGAAGTGGCGGTATGCCTCGCCGTGACTGTAAAGGTTAGTTTTAGTTTAATAAGCCCTGTTAGTTGACGCTTTAGGTGTACGTACATGGCGGCCAAAATCTAGTACGAGATTAGGTTAGCAGGGGAAGGCGGATCGGTGTTGGCACAGTTATTACATACCCGTCTCTCAAGATACACAGTCCAGCCCTCGTTCAGCCAAAAATGCTCCCAGGAACAGTTTGTCACAAGGTTACCACTCCAGCTGTGGGCGAGCTCGTGCGCGATGACATCGACATTTTCACGGTCCTGGTCCATCAATTAGCTTCTGAGGAGGAAGAGCAGTCAGTCAAAAAGGGATCTTTCATAGGTACAAACCTTAGAGATAATGCTGGGAGTCGCAAAGGTGAAAATCGGGTTCTCCATTCCACCGTACGGGAAGCTGGGCGGGAGAATCAAAACGTTGTACTGACCCCAGGCGTAGGGGTAGACAATTTTCTGCAAATCGGGTCAGACCTGAGACCTGAGACTTTTAATTTTGTCCGAAAACGAGTCGGCACGCATACCTCAATTGTGTTGATGAAAGTCTCCGTGTCAGCTTCTAGCTCCCACTTGCACTCGTCAAGCTTGTCCGGGCTCGTAGCCACGACACTGCGAGGACCAATCGAAGCTTCCGATACATCTCTAGGATAGGAATTAGTGACATATCTATTGAGGTCAATATCCCAAGGGGTTCTGGATCATCATACCCGCTTGCAATGGCAAAGAGATAGCTTGGAATTGGAACCGACTGGTTAAACCGGTAGAGCTGACTTTCCGACTCAGTCGTCGGGTGGGATTCCTTGATCAGTAATCCGCTAGTCTTGACTGGCAGGGGTGAGGTGATGTTAAAGTCAATGGTGCTTTTGACGTCGGGAGTATCCTGGCAGGGGAAGATGGAGCGGGCATGGATGGCTTGGCATTGCGAGACTAATTACACACGTTAAGACGGGGTTCAAGCCAAATATTTGGATTAGTGACCTACACATATATGGATGCTTCTTGTTAGAGGTTTGAGCGGGAGTCAACCATTGAAGGGCAGTGCACTTGTCAGTGGTCTTGACGGCAATCTACCGGGAGGCGGCATTAGTTTGATGCTCATACGATACGACACCACTGTCTCTCTCTCTCTCTCACACTCTCAAGGGATGCCCTCACGAGCAGGAGAACGTACATCCACCTCAATGGTTTCATTCAGCTGCACACCCTTCTCAAGGCTAATCTTGAGCGGGGTACCAAAGGGTTCCAGCGGGGCCAGCAGCTCCCACTTGGAAGCTTGGCCATCCACCTTGACCTCACCGATGTCGAGATGGCTCGTGTCTAGGATGATCTCCTTGGACTGGGCCTCGGTAGTTGAGCGAAACTTATGCACGACATTTCCGACGAGCTTCTTCTGATCGAACAGGATCTCAAAGTTGGCGGTGATATGGGCAGAGCGCCAGTTGTTGTAGTTGCTTAGCGTGTTCGGATCACGCGGGTTAGTGACCGTCGTTGCCATCCTGCGGAATAATTGTCGAGAACGAACAGTGACAGCTGTAGGAGTGGAGAATGACAAGAAGGAAAAGATGCGCGCGGGGGAAAAGAAGCTTGGATTCATCTGGTTGCTTCCATGGATCTGTGGAGTCGCGCGATGTTGGTGTACTCCGTGGTAGGTTTTTTTTTTTTTTCCCCCTTCGGAGTTGCCGGCACTAAGCGTGTTGCGTTGCAATTTGCGATCAGTCACAGTGACGGTCCAATCCAGTTAAGTCAAGTCCAAGAATGCAGATGATTTACAGTCTGATTAGACTTTGGAGGAATCAATTTTCAATGCTCCGTCATACCTGATTCAGAGATTGATAATCTCCCAAGGTTCTACAGTGATACATAACAGATTCAAGTTATTATATTATCTTAAGAGATTATTTTGATATAATACAAATACTTGTATGGAAGAGGGAAAGTATGGTATTCATGTCTGGCATAGCCCTTACCAACATAAATTATCTTGGGAAATAGCAGCACTTAAAGACCAAGAAAAGAACGAAAATTCATTCGTAGCTCTTGATCACAATCACACATCTCTCTCTCTCCCTGGTTACGATGTATACACTCGATGCGCTAGGGACAAACACCCCGTCCCCATCACCCCCCTTTTTCCCGGTCCCTTTTCTGCTCTGCCCCCCCCAGTCCAGTCCAGCCCAAACGATAATCAAACTCTTCTCCCTTCCAAGTTGATCTTCTCTCTATACATTTAATGATTATCCGCATTATTCCTTGATTTATTCTTCAAATCCCCCTCTCCCACCACCAACAAACCCCCGCATTTCCTTTGTATCTCATCTTGCCCACCGCCCTCTCACGGACCACCCCTGACCCAAACGCGGGACCGCGGCCCCTGAACTCCTTCGCACAATTGCGACCACATTCGCTGTTTTCCTATTGTTGACTCATGGACATACTCTGATCTTCCAGTAGGTCGTCCTTCTCAACCTGGATATGCGCTCAACTGCTGACCCTTACTTGATTGGCAGAAACAAAGAGATCAATTGTGTGCGAACGTTCGGAACTTATGCTTCTGCAGTCCGCGATTGCCTCGCGATAGATCTTCGGAATTCCCCGTTCTATATGAACTGATACGCCAAGACGGCCTCGATCGATCCCACGAAATCCTCCGCCCTCATTATATCTAGTCATCTCCCGAATGAAGAATGATTGACGCCGCTCAACCCGCATCTTCCTATACAGTTATAATTTCTCGCCCTCGCCCGGTCTTGCGCGAGTAGCGCCGCTTACATTTACACCCTCTATAAATCCTGCTCGCCGATCCTCCACTCCTCCATGCCTGGTCTCTACGTCTAACCCATCTTTAATCCCTAATTCTATACCGCTATCGCCCTCGAAAATATGCTACACCGCTCGGCCGTGGACGATGATCCCAGAGCCTTCCACCGACGTCCCTCCGGGCCCCTTTCAGAACCCCCGTCGGCACCGCCCCCTAATCGGCCCGCTTCTCGGTCATCCCGACCAGGCTCCCGAACTCGCATGATGAAGACATCTAGAGCTGTGACTCCGACAGGACTTGGGATGGTGACGGAGAATAATGTTCCGGAGGTCTCCCCGGTTGGACTCAGCAGCGCCAGTCCAATCAAAGAGGGTCTGGGCAGTTTAAATCGATGGTCACAATCCACAACCTCAAGCAAGAGTCCATCCGAATATACTACCGCCCACCGTCGAGGTAGCTCGAAAATGTCAATCTCCGGCCATAGTCCACGCGGAGGAGCCGCGCTCGGGGAACTCCCAGAATTAAGTCTCCCTGAATTCAGGGCATCCGACATGTTTGCGCCAGGTCCAAACAACCCACACCTGGATCTATCTTTCACGGCTTCAAGTCACCTCTTCCAAAACTCCCCACCCAACGATACTCGAGACTCGGGTTCTGCGCCTTCCAATCCCGCGCGCACAAGTGAAGGCGCCACTTCGGCAGATGGAGAAGGCGATGCCGATGCAGAGAATCGTCAACATGGTCAAACTCAAAAAGCCATGCTCTCGAAAGCTCTTCAAAAGGCGAATACGGCTGTACTTCTCGACAATGCGGCCAATTTTGAAGGTGCCATGGAAGCATACACGGATGCCTGCCAGTTACTGCAGCTAGTGATGATGCGGAGTAATGGAGGCGATGAAGAGAAACTCAAGCTACAGGAAATCGTGAGTCTTAGGCGACTACCAGGAACTACAAATGGGCAGAAAGTCTAACCAAGAACAGCGCGATACCTATATGATCAGAATTACGGAACTCGAACGCATGGACTTCCCCCTTCCCAATAGCGCCGGCAAAGCTCTTCCAGAGCGCCCTCTCAGTCAGGAGTCATACGGAGAATTACTTCATGCCTCCGCGCATGACGAATCAATCCCCAACAGTCAACATACCTCTACGAATTCCAGCCTTTCTCTCCAAGCGGCTATGGATGAGATGAAATCCTTACCAGCAGAGGCCATTCCGCCTCGTCGTCAATCCTTACGACTTACCGGCCAATCTGGCAGATCGACTCCATCCAGCGTCGGAAACACATCTCTCAATGGTCAATTTTTGGATACGTCTGCGCAGGGAACAAATGAACCTTCCTCGTGGCTGGACACAATCGATGAATCGGGAGCATCATCTCCGTCATCTGCGAACTCGAAAGCATCATCGGTATACTTGCGTCGACGTACAAGCCGTCGTCTTAGCACCGATACCGAAGCCGAGTTTGACGCAGCCCTCGATGCAGCCGTCGAAGCGGCATATGATGATGGGTTAGAACCTGTGATCGAATACAAGGACGAGGAAAGCGACGATATTGTGGCCAACGCTCACCGGAATATCGAACTGGCGAAACAGCGAGTTCGAGAGGCTCAGCTTGAGGCGGAGGTTGCAATGAACCGTGGTCGTGAGATGCGCAGAGCCCAGGAACAAAATATGTTCGATGAGCAACCCATGGATCGTCATTCTGGTTACTTAGATGAAGAGGCAGAGGAAGAAGAACGCCTGCTTGAAGAAATGACCAAGGGCTATGTCATGGACGATTTTGAATTTGGCATTCAATCCAAGTCCGCACTGCCCCGAGAATCCGACTCTAGCAATATGTCAGGCAGAACTTGGGAAAGCTCGGCTGGTTCAAACATCACAGGCACCGGCGCAACACTTTCCACTCTCACCGAAGACGAAGACATTTTGCCTCTGGATGGACCAGGAGGACCGCGAAGTAACTTGCCTTCCTCCCCACCAACCGCTGCGTTGCCCCCAATTCCAGTCTCGTCGGATTTCCCAGGTCTACCACCACACCGAGCCTCACTGACCAACCCTCCTCCACCTCCAACTATGGGCCCTCCTCCAATTCCAGGAGTGCGCGCGCGAAGACTCTCCAAACAGGCACCAACAGAGCTGAAGATCGAGACGAATCGCACTCGTGCGGATTCCGACGCTTCTGGTCTGGATCCTTTATCAACAACACCCTCTGCGAGTCGACCACCTCCACCTCTTCCCAAGGACGACCCGACACCAGAACACTCTCGAACCGCATCGCGGTCCAGCTTGCATCCTGCTAAACGCAACCCATCCGTTGGCTCTATTGCGGAACAAATCCATCTCGCCAAAACACGCACCCAGGAAGACGACGAGCATCTTCCTCCTTTACCTCGAACTATCGGAAAAATACCCTCGGCTCCAGACGGACTGCACAAGGTAGCATCCGATTCGAAAGCGTTCCGAACACGTAATGTGTCTGTTCCCAACCCCGAGACAGTACCAGGATCTCCTACCACCCCATGGAGCGGCTCTTTCCCATCCTTGGATTCTCAGAAAGCTCCTATGCCCGGCACCATGCCAGTTCTACCCACACCAACCGCCACATACTTCACTCAGAATGGATTGCCTACCGGCGGGTTGAACCTCTTCGACTGTGACATCCACTCACCTACCAGTCTGGGCTGTCCGAACACGATGATAGCAAATGCGCCACAACAACTCGAGCCATGCCCTGAATCCTTCCTTTCCCGCCCATTCTGGCTCATGAGGTGCCTATACCAGACAATCGCCCACCCGCACGGCGGCTACCTTTCCGCAAAGCTTTTCATCCCCCGGGACGTGTGGCGCGTGAAGAACGTAAAGCTCAAGGCTTTAGAAGATAAAGTCGCAAACTGTGACCTCCTGACAGCAGCACTTCTCAAACTTGCCCAGGTCGATACCTACGACGCAGACGCAGTGTTGGAAGAGATGCAAGCTTTAGAAGGTGTTCTCGACCAAGTTCAAGGTGTTCTTTCCAAAAAGCTAGGCAACGAAGTCGGCGTCCATACAGCAATTCCAATCGTCCGTCCGAATGCAGCACCCGAAGATCCCGCACACCCCGATCCTGCGCCCTCCAGAACATCCGGCACATCAAACAAATCATATCTACCCACCTGGAAACGTCTTCGAGCAAAGACCTCCGGCATTGGCGCTGGTACCACTACGCCTACCCCGCCTAGTGGCAGGGAAAGTGCCAAAGATAGCTTCAATCTCAGCTCCCTGCCCATGACGTCGGCTCCGTCATCGTATGTGAAGCGCAATACGAGCCAACTTGAATTTTCAGGGCCAAATTCTCAATATATGAGTGCTTTGGCGCGTCTGTTTGATGCTGCTCAAGTTATAGGTATGTTGAAGAGTTTTTTACCTTTTTTCTTTTTTTTCCGGCGAAGAGTTATCGTTTTCTAACTCAATCATCACAGATCAAATCGCTCAACAAGTAGAAGATCCAGGACTCAAGCACTCCTCCCCAACTCATGTTGGTCTGGAACTAAGCACAAGACACGCAGCCGAATTCTTCGGCTTCTACATTTGTCGCTTTGCCTTGGCTGACGTGGGACTTATGCTTGATAAATTCATCAAGCGTGGTAGTGAGTGGGTGCTGATTTAGCCGATTACGAGGCATTTCACGCAAATATTCCCCACATTCTCCCCCATTTACCATCCACCAAGCCCATCATAATTGCGAGTAAGGACTCCTTTTTTGATTTATATTGCCGATATTCTTTTCACGTCCATATTCACCCCTTCACCTTCACCCTTCACCTTCACCCCCCGCCATGTCTTTTAAGATACCATGATTCGCCGTTGAGATATGACTTGAAGAAAGAACATAATTGTCATGAAATGGGATTGTATTTATTCATTTCCACGAATTTCTTGCCTTCTTTTTCTGTATGACGTATAGTAGTATGTGTCTTTATCTTCTCCTTCGTTTCCTATATTAGAGGAAATGTACTGCAGGGTCTTCTAGAAATTGGTGTTGCCGCGTAGAGTACGGACTGACAATACTGCTTAAGCAAAAAGCAGATGCCAATCTCCAAGATATAAACGGCCGAACTCCACTCAAATGGGCGGCCAAACACAATCATGACGCAGTGGTGAAGCTACTGGATAGGAATACTGCTGTCGATGGTCAAGATGAAGATGGCCAGACTCCGCTTCATGCCCACCGAGGAAGCACAGCAAGCATCTTTGAAGCTACGCAAGATTCCCGCAGACCCGACAAGGCCCACATAGGATCCCCAGCTTTCGACTTCTTCTCGACCATCTATTCAAGTGACTACTCAAGTGATTACTCAAGCTAGGAATCACAGATTCAAATATTGAGGTCGCCCTTGGCAAAGGTTAAATGCAGGATCTTTTTGTTCTCATGTCTCTGGAATCCCTAGAGGTCCTGTTTACATTCTTCGTAACCTGAGGACTCATGAACTTGTGAATCAAATCGACTTTTTCAGCACACTTCTGACACCGAACCCACGCAAAACTTGTGATCTGCGATGAAATTTGCCTAGCTCTTGGAATCTGCAATTCAATCATTGACAGACTTATAATCCAGTGTAACTTTTCGAGAGGAGATACGGATCATCAACAGTCCTCCGAAAGTTTACATCTCATCTCATCCACAATATGGGTCTATAGAGAGTTGAACTCATAAATCGTGTCGAGAAAGTAAGCCAATTTACTCAGCTTTCAAACAACCTCTTTTCCGCAGACCTCAGCCAAATCTGTCGTCGTCGCTCCGCATCCCGAATAATCTCAGCCGACAATTTCAAGCTCGGCGCCAAGTGCGAATACCTCTCGACCTCAACCACCACACCCGAGATAATTGCATCAACTCTCAACGGGGGCGGAAGCAAAGTCGAAAGGATCGGCGACATCGTAGCGCCCATGATAAGTAGTGCCTGTGATACCATCGACAGCGCACCTTGCCACAGATACGGAAGATGTCCTTCGCGGTGACTGGTGATATGTTCTAGTTGGCGCAGGGTAGAATCTAGACATCTTCGACAGCATTCCAGGACCTCGTTGTCTGCGCCGACGGATTCGTTTTCGAAAACGGCTAGTATGTATGGGCGGTATATGATTGTGCGGCATGCGTTGTATCGATGTCGAAGGACCGTTTGAACGGGGTTGTTGGATGGCAATTGTCCGAGGGGGAACTGGACTGGTTGGGGTAGACTCTCGTACCATTGTGATAGTTGGAAATCCAGTTCTGACACTATCGGTCCTAGTGATGAGAGGGTGTGGGTACTGTCTTTTTGGTATATGAGATGGCTGACTCGGTTAAGTAGTCTTCGTAAGGCGATCTCTGATAGGAAGTACCAAAGCTCGTCTCTTCCTGCTTGTTGTCCATGTCCATTTGGTAGTATTTCAGCAATGTGGTGATGGTCCTCCTCTCCGGTGTCGCCGTCATGAGTTAATTCCCCGTTTTCATCATAATCTTCTTCGTCATCGTCGTCTTCTTCCTCCTCAAACCCTCCAGGTAGATCCACAATTTCTTCAAAATGAACAATTCCAGAATGCGGAAGATCTAGCTCCGCTAAGAGATCACTCTCGTAAAGCAAAGCATTCCAATAGACCCGCACACTAAGCTCTTTCCATTGCGCAGGAACACGGCTCGGGTTTCCAAACAGCAACTGCAATTTCATGCTTACATTCGACAACAAAGTCCAAGCTTCCAACGGGCGCACCAGATAAAACAAGTATGCCGAAGCAAGAACCATGCACTGAGTCGCAATGGCGGAATTTTGCATCATAACGGATGGTAAGAGATTCCACGCCGCAGCAAAATATGCACATCCGGGCGCTTGCGTATCTTTCGGTATAAAAGCAATACTCCCATTTCGGCTCGCTGCCCCTAATGCCAAAACTAGCAGTACCAGACAGCTGACGGGTCCGTCTTGAAATCCCTTTGCGAGCGCGGTTCGGTAATATCGGGGCCAGGTATATGGATTCACGCACGCGTACCAGATATTTGCGTGGCTGAAAAAGGCTCGCACGTAGGCCGGTGAATTTTCTAAATCAAGAGCCCCAACTCCAGTAGAGCTCGGCGTCATTCGGAGCGGTTCCCGGGCCATTTCGAGTTGGAGGAGATTTTGCGGATCGTAGGGCCGCGAGACTAAGTCTCGGATAAGTGGCCATTGTAGAAGATGTAGGGCCGGCGTGGTGTGTACCTTTGGCATTGTAGAAATACTGATATTTTGGGGCGGATTCGCCCAAGAGCCGAGTCCTGCTGCTGAAATTTTATTATTAGGGAGTTTGGGCATCATTGGATCCTCGTTGCCGAGATTGGTATCGTTGCTTGTTGCCGGGGATGTTGAAGATAAGGCTAATCGAATAGATCGTTGGCCTTGGTGGCCCGCTAGACTTGAATGAAGGAGACCTTCTATTCTGGCTAAATGATCGAGTATTAATTTGTCTCCTGCGTCGAGTTTGATTCCTGGTTCACGATAGATGCATTCGGCGTCGAGGTCTGAGCAGAGTTGGCATTTTGGCCGAGCTCCGTTACATCTTGTTTTGCGTAGTCGACATATTTGGCACTATGTGGTTTAGCTGATCGAATCTGAAATTGTATACTACACAGAGAGAGAGCATGGGCGCCTACAGCAATCGTTGCCCTCCTTCTAGGGTATTCCGTCGCATCTGAATTAGAGCGCTTTTTCTGGGAGGATATGTAGCCGACTTCACTCGCTGCGATGATATGATCATAATTCTCCCCTTCTGGGGTGGTGGTGACATGACGTTTGAATTGAATGTACCCGTCGAGGCCGAACCGAACCGAGCGAGATATTAGGTGATACTGCGATAAAAGTCGGTCTAGCTTCAACAGATAGTCTGCTGATATTTGTTCATGCCATCGCCGATTTCATGAGTAGGACTAGCACATTGGCGACACAGAATCCTTTGAGAACGAACAAAAAGCTATACAGCCGCATAAACCGGGGAAAGCAGCGGGGCGACGCGCAAGAGATAACTATTATATGCATGGCAAATGGTTCCTGTCGGTTGGATTCAATGATGACTATCCCAAGCAGGATTAGTGCGGGATTCTTGACGCCTGAGCGCAAAGAGCACACGGAGAATCTACCCGTGGCTGGTTGGGCAACCAGCCACTATTTTACAAGGGATCAGGCCACTCATACGCGAGTAAGTCTTACTTTGTGGACACCTCTATGTAACCATCAAATAGCCACAGATTAGATTGGCTATTTGATTGATGGCTATACAGTATGTCTCGCAACTGCTGTCACCACCTATACTCTTTGATTGTTTGTCCAACCAGTTTTTCCGGAGTACCAAATCAGTGGGTTTGTTCCGCGTCATTCAGGTAGTAATCAAAATAGTGTCGTGTCGTATATTACCTGTATCATTAATACGCTTGACATCTCTATGCCCCGCCTTGAGGCTTATTGTTTTTGGTTCGAAGATCATCGAGGTCAACCAAGGATGACGCCCAGCCTAGCCACTTTGAAGCATGAGGTTATTCATGACATGGTAATCGGCGGAGGATTATCTGCATCATAGGTGGAGGCTGCCACTGGCAGCTGTTGCAAGTATACTATCCTAAGGATCTCCTTAAATATACAGTTGTTCAAGTTTGGAACTAATAGTGTCAAGGATCTGCCCAAAAAAGGTAGACAGCCATGAAATTCCCCATCAGTTATACTAGAAGCCCTTTGCGATCGTCTCCACAAAAAGCCCGACTTGTATTTTGATGAGATGGCGGTGTTCCTATGTTCCTATAGGACAAGCTCCATGTCTAGACAGCGAAATCTAGCATCACCCATGCCGATCAAAGAAAACTGTCAAAAAGAGCATATTGGAGGACTTGATCACTACTAGAAGTCTATGATTAGAGACCTAGAACGTACCGAACTGCTGTTAATACTTTGGCTGGATTGTCATTATTAGCGGCCAGTGAGTATTGGGGGTGACATCAAGAACTTCTCGCTACCAGAAATATCTAAAAAATTCAACGAATGACTATATGCGAAAAACGTAAATCGCATATTAGCAGGCGGGAAGAGAAAATCACAAGGGAGCGTATTCGCTATTGTAGTCCCTAATGACATCATGAATAAATTCACTTCTGCATCACCACAATCAAATTGCGGGGAGCGGATAGATAGTTATAATGGGCGATCCCCAAATTTGTCGTTGTATTTAATGCTTTTTTATTCAAACTAGCCAGGTCACTTATCTCAGATTAAATACACCTAACCCTACGAAGCTTTCTATATTCACAAGCAAATACGCAAAATGCCCACAGGATCCTGTCTATGTCACCATCTCAGATATGAGTATGAGGGGGACCCTTTAGTCAAGGCAAGAAAACTGGCACATCGAGTCCTAGTCATAGCGATCGCACTAAGATAGTTATATCACAGGCCACTTGCTTCTGCCTATCATGCCGCAAAATTAGTGGCGGGACTAACTCACTCAATTTACTCTATCCAGAGAATAAGGTCCATGTTATTGCTGGCTCTGCTAAGCGGTACTCACAAATCCATGAGAGTGGCATGAAACTCGAAATTACTTTCTGTGGTGAATGCGGATGCACTATCTACAAAACGCACGAGTCTTTCCCTGGGAAAATCATTATTCTTGCAGGAACACTGGATAACCTAGATGGCCTTGAAGAGTCGACACCTGAGCAGGAATTATTTGTAAAGCATCGTGCTTCGTGGCTCACAAGCTTGGACGGTGCCGAGCAGAAATTGGAGTTTTAAGTTGCAGGTCAGAAAGGAATGCTGCGAGGGTTTGTAGGATGATATGAACGCACGGCATTAGGATTAACCAAGAATGCACTTTTCTCCTTCTCGTTGTGCCTTCTATGTGGTATATTTCTACCGCTTAATTTTAGTAGTAGTTGGTCAACCTAGGAGGAATTCTCCTATGTAGACAGTAGAGCACAGCCTTTTAGACAATATAATCAGACACCAGTTAGACGAGGTTCTTGTAATAAATGATGACAACTTATTGTATATCAAATAATAAGGGAAAATCGCTATTCCGGAGCTACTCTTAATATACTAGTCTACTGGATCTTAGCATTGGGTTCAAGAAACAATCGAAGAGTGGAGGGGGGGACACCAGTTATGGGACGTAGTACTATATTTAAATTCACAATTGTATTAGGAGTAAGATTAATGAATTTTCGGGGTGAAAAGGGATTTTCAAACAATACTCCGCACATGATTTCTTTCCCTTCGAATGTGAATAGATCCGCGCGGGAATTGTATTGATGATATTTACTACGATTCGCTTCTCACGTTTCCCTATAGTTCTGAATAATTACAAAATTCAGGATTTAGCCAATAAGGACGCGTTTTTATGATATACGAGTAGACTGCGCTAAAAATAGTTCCCGGGACGGACGAGGGGATATGTAGACTTGATTAAATAAAGACCCATCAAGGAATCAACAAACAACTTGAAGTGCTCTACAGCTGTAAGCAACCCTTTGTTCTTGATGATAAACCTCGGATGTTGAAAATCATGATACTAAAAATGGCTGTATACGAGAATGCAACCTCGGATAAATCGCGCTATTTGCCTATGAATAGCGGCAGGAAGCATTGGGCGAGAACACGAGGAAAGCGGGCTGGGCAATACGAGGATATGAAGATCCCCATATATAAGTACACCATTGTTCTGCAAGGCCACAACTAGCATGATATAGCAAGCGTGAATTAACATCAAAACAAAATGAAGTTCCTCGGTCTCGCAGTTACCTTCCTCCCCCTCCTAGCCGCCGCTGCCCCCGTTGCGGACCCCGAAGCCGAAGTCAATGGAGAGCTGGACCTTGAAAAGCGCGCATCAGCGCAGACTTGCAAAATTGTTAATGTCGACCACTATGTCAACTGCCGGTACGATGCGAGTTTAGACGCAGGCGAAATCTTTGGGTTTCCTAAGGGAGAAAAACTCACATTTGCGTGCTGGAAGCATGGTGATTGCTATAATGGGGTTTGGTAGGGTTTAAACTGGGTTATGACGACTCGATCTGGATGCTAATCTAATGGGAGTAGCTCCTGGGATCAAATTACATATATGAAGACGACGTGCTATGTTAATGGGTACTTTACGGATAGTAATTGCTCGAGCAGTACGTTACCTCTTATTCCAAGGTTGGTATTTGGATATGACTGACGATGTTAGAAAAACTCCCCAAATGCAAATAGGCTGCGACAGTCCTCGATATTGCTGTGATGAATGCCAAGGTCCGAGTCTCAAAGGTAGTGCACTAATTCCACAAGGAAATAAGGAAAACATGGCAAATGGAGAATGGAGGATTGAATTGGATGATGCATCCTCGTTTATATTTAAATTCAGAATTATATTACTAGTAAGACTATTGAGTTCATAATTCCAGGGTAAAAGGAAATTTGAAACAGTACTCTACACATACTTTCTTTGTCTCTGAATGTGAATACATTCTCGCTGGAATTGCATTTATGATATTTGCTATGATTTGAATTTCAAGTTTCCCTGTTCTTCCGCATCTCCTCAACCCACTGCGCCACCCCCGCAACAGCGGCTTCAGGTTTATCCTTATGATTTAGCAGGTAGCCTTGAATTTCCGCAGCAGTAAGCTCGCCGGTTGGTATAGCCTGAGCAAATGAGACACAGAGATTAGAAATCCGAGCATCGAGTGAGACATCTCGCTTTTCCTGTTCTCTTGTGCTATCTTCATCATTTTCTACCTTCTCCTTGACCGGTCCATTGGCTTGTCGTGGGCCATTTCCGATAAACCTGTACATCGATGCAAAGAGCTCCTTGATGTCATTGTCTGACATGTACCCGAAGCTGATGGACATGTCCACCCGACCCGGACGGAGAAGAGCCGGATCCAATTTATCGGGGTGATTGGTCGTCATGACGAGAATCCGACCTTCACTAGCAGCTACCCCATCAATCACATTCAGCAGTCCAGACAAAGTGATGGTGTCTTTTGAAGACTCGTCAAAGTCGCCCTCAGTCGAAATTTCTGTATTAGGAGCAGGAATAGCAGGATTATCCCCAGGGGTAACAGTTTTTCCCCGAGTTTTAGTAATTCCCGCAGTGTCAATGTCTTCCAGCAACACGATGCAACGCCGGGGCAAGCTGGCAAATAGTGAGGACATAGACTCTTCATCCAGCCCATTAGTTTTCAGATTCAGCAAGTACAGCTTTAACCTCAACAATCCCGCCGCGGCGAAACATAGACTCGTCTTCCCCGTTCCAGGAGGACCATGAAGCAGGTACCCACGACGGTACGGGATTCCACGATCAAAGTACCAACGGCGAGTTTTCGGGTGAAGATATTCTCGCATATCGTCAACAAATTCTTGCTTCTGTGCCTGATTGAGAATGACAGAGGACATAGGACGCGGTGATCGCGACATGCATCGAATCCAGCTAAAACTCCGATCATAGTCCCGTTTTGCGCGGTAGATCAAAGTGCGATTTCCATCACGCTCAATATAGGCCTTTTGAGCTTCTAGCAACAGCTGCCTAAGTATTTCGGGGTTCTTTCCTAAACAGGATAACCACAGTCGCTCATTTCTGCCAAAATTGCGAGGTCTGTTCTGTTCCTCTGTACGGCGTAGCTTTATGAGATGGCCCCGATAGCGGAAATAGTGAGATCCTTCGGATGGTGTGAAATTGATGGACTTGTACTTGTCTCGATTCATCATTTTGGCCCAGTAATCGTCAAACGTCGTGGTGGTGGTGGTGGTAGTGTTGTTTCTGCTTTTTGACCCGTCCCAGGATTCATCGTCACTGTCTTCGTCCTCAAAATCACTTTCGTCTGAATCGGCCCAGGGGTCGTGCTTGAACTTGAGGCTAGCGAGAAATCGGCTCGTGCGCTTCATATGCGATTGGCGGGAGATCCAGTACATCATGTAGTTGAACACCTCGTCCTCCATGCGGATTTCAGCCGTTGAGATGATGAGATCACTGATATTTTCCATGGCGGTGGGATGCAGATATTTTATGCACCCTACGAGTAGGGCAAACCCGATTAAAATTTGAAGATAGCCGTTGATGTCAATCTTGAGGTATGACATGAAGAAGTGGGAGATAATCCGATAACCAGGTACGAGAGCCTCCAGCAGAGCAGTATCTGGCGATGAAGCATCTGCTATTGAGCCTCCTAATGTTTCATTGGAAGCCATGATGATGGGAGACTGTTTGGCGAGGGATGAGTGAATTGTCGGAGTAGAGCTCTTTGCGGGACAGGGGATTATTTAAAGGCATTTTTCCTTGCAGAAACATATGTTTCCAAGACATAATGGATTGCATCGCGTTTTCTTACATGAGCGTTCGAGTAGCAAATTAGGGTGAGCGGACACTGCTTTTGGAGCCCGAGCGATTTCTAGGTTTCAGGCAACCATACCTATGCGACAGCCTAGCCATGTGGGTCAGGGTCATCTAGCGGTTGTCTGGCACCTGTGATTCTGTGATTATTTCAAGATTACCTCAAAAGAGAAGAAGTAGGAAGCGGAGTAATTCAGTGTACCACTGGGGGTAATATATATGAGGAGATCTAGGGATAGAAGAAGAGGGAGAGGGTGCCTGATTGTCTACTTCTGCACGCAGTGTACTAGTAGTCTTACATCACATACACCCTTAGCCACACCGCTATTTCGATACCCTGCAGACTATTTCCAGTACACTATTTAACTAACTACTGTAGTAGTTATAAGTGTAGTATAGTTATTATATGCTACTGCAACCTTAGGAACAAGGCATCAAGGCACCAACCGATAAGCAAAAAGGTTTCCTTATCCCACGTGGGACGCGTCCCAAACAACACAAACTCAAAGACCGACGCGACCCTCTCGACATTTTGGATAAACCAGGGCTTCCATCCCAAGACCTTATTCCAGTGCAAAACACATCATCATGCCACGCCCAGCCCCCAAAAGAAACCGCTTAACCAAACCCAAAGCCACCAAGGCAAATGCGCCCAACCCCGACCAAAATGAAACAACCGCAAAATCCCCCCCCACCGAGCAGCGCGCGCCTTCAGTCGACCCACGACAAACACCTCTAGCAAAGAATCATGACCAAGCGATCGGGTCATCTCCCACCGGCGACCGGCCAGGAACAGGCAGTCGACCGGGAACAGCGAGTCGACCTCCCACCCGATCGCGCGGTTACTCCTCAACCATGTCCGTGGCCGGGCGCAAAGGGGAGACGAATGCGAATGCGAATTCCAGAATCCCCGGTACACCTAGCTTCGACACGTCAATGCTGAGCAATTTCCGTCGACGACCGCGCCAACAGAGTATTTTGCAGATGGTGCAGGCGGAAGATGGGTCTTCGGAATTGGACGATGATGACTTTTTGGGTGGATTGAGTCCACAGGATGAATCGACGCCTTTGAATCGCCCTCGTCGTAAATCATTACTGATGAAACCGGATGAGCAAGGGGAAGCACCATCCGGTTCGCAGTCGCCTTCCCCTTCGCCTTCGGCGTCTCAATCTCTCCCGTCCTCTGCCTCCGCTGGCTCGCGCAAGCGCAAACGCGCCCCGAAAATAGAAGTACAAATACTCGTACAAGTACCGCAGTCATCGGCTCCAAAAGCCAGCCAGATCGAGGACGAAGAGATCAATCAAATTGACGATACACCGAGTGCTACGCCAATTCCACGCAATACCTACCCAGAAGAGTCCCAACCGGAAGGAGAAACCCCCCAACCTCCACGGTTCTCTGATATATTAAGTCAGACTTTCCTACCGCCTGCCAGTAGTCCTGCAAGCACTGCTACTACGGCCCCGCGTTCACCATTGGTCGTTCCTCTGGTCTCGGGTAAACGACGACCCAAAGACTCCGCGCATATGTCCACAGCCGCGCTGCAAAATAAACTACTGCCCCGACGAAGGTTACGTCGTCTCAGACAGCGAGATGCTGGCGAACAACATGACGAGTCTAGTGACGATAGCGACAACAATAGTACCCACGATGCCGCATCGGGTGACGACGACGAGCTCAGTCGTCCGTCCTCCTCAAGGAGATCTCGGTCCCAATCGCGAGGAGCTTCAGCTCCAGCCAAACCCAAGCCTCTGCGGAATTCTCGCGATAAGTCCAAGCTCAATAATCCGAAGCAAAGAAAGCCTCGAGGCAAAAAGGCGGCGGCGGCGGCAGATCAAGAACCTACGACGACTTACTCGCGCTCCAGGAGAGAAGGGGGAGTCGATAAGGAGAATGAATTTCAATTATCGCGATCAGGGTCCCCATTGTCTTCTGCGCCTGACTCGGATGCCGAGTCAAATACGGGAGCAGGAAATAAAACACCCCGTCGCTTTACAAGTGCCGAGTTGCGCGCCGCAACGTTGAAGTTTGCAGAGATCGATCAATGGGAAATGGAATTTGAGGATGTGTCAGGTTCGGAGATTTAAAGGAGAGGAAAGGAGAGGCATAAGTTTTTTCTGCTGGGGGCGTTATGTGTTTGCAATGATATCCCATGTTACTAGTTGAATTTCGATGTGTTATGATTTATACAATTCCAATGCCAATGCATCAAAGCTCAGACCGCTTATCACCGGCAGTTTCATTGGGGGGCCCCGCAGCGATGCAACCGAGGATCCATCGATCCATCCATCATTACTACGCTGCCCCGCCTCTCCAGCTGTCAAGTTTTTCCCTTTCCTGGTTCTAGTTCCTGGTTCTGGTTCTAATATCAATTCAATCTTGCTCATCATGGCGACCGTCGATGCTATTCTCGCTGCAAAGTACCCCGGCAAAGCTCACGCCCGCCGGGTTGCTCAAGCCCTCAAGACCCAAGATGCCGGCGCCATCTACCTCGAGGCGCAAAAAACTCGTCTGATTGAAGATAATGACGAGGCTCAGCCCTTTAGGTAAATATTGACACTACACTACACCCAAACACTCGGAGTACACCTACGGAGTATAAGTACAAGCTTGGATATTAGCTGCTGAAGCTAATCATAACCATACAGACAACGTCGTCCATTCTTCTACCTGACCGGGTGTCCTGAACCAGACGCATCTATGGTCTACGACATCAAGGCCGACGAACTAACCTTGTTTATCCCGCCCATCGACCCCGACTCCGTCATCTGGTCCGGTCTCCCTCTCTCCCTTGAAGAAGCCGCCAAACTCTACGACGTCGACCACGTCCAATATACCACCGACGTCAACGGCACCCTGGCCAAGATTGCCAGCGCCCAGGCCGGAAAGACTGCTGCCTTCGCTATCGGCGAACAAGTCTCTTCGGACATCAAGTTCGACGGATTCGCCCAGGCCAACCTAACAGACCTGAAGAAGGTCATCGAGGATGCGCGCGTCGTCAAGGACGCGTACGAGGTAGCCCTACTCCGCAAAGCGAACGACATTTCGACCAAGGGCCATATCGCCATCGCCAAGGCAGCCCGGGCCGCGACTAATGAGCGCGAATTGGAGGCTGCGTGGTTGAGCGGGTGTATCGCGAACGGATGCCGGGAACAATCCTATCACCCCATTTTCGCCGGTGGTGCGAACGGTGCGACGCTGCATTATGTTAAGAATGATGAGTATCTCGTTGATCAGGAGACTAAGCAGCGGAAGGGTAATTTGCTTATCGATGCTGGTGGTGAATATCGAAGCTATTGTGCGGATATTACTCGTGTTGTTCCGTTGAATGGGACGTTCCCTACTGAGACGCGCCAGATTTATGAGATCGTTTTGCGCATGCAGAGTGAGTGTATTGGGATGTTGAAGGAGGGGGTGAGGTGGGATGATGTTCATGCTCATGCGCACCGTGTTGCTATCAAGGGTTTGCTGGAGTTGGGAATTCTGAAGGGTGGTGAGGAGGAATTGTTTGAGAAACGGATTAGTGTGGCGTTTTTCCCGCATGGTCTGGGCCATTATCTTGGCATGGATACTCATGATACTGGTGGTTATCCTAACTATTCTGATGCTGATAAGATGTTCCGATACCTGCGTGTCAGGGGGATCTTGCCTGCTGGTTCGGTCATTACTGTTGAGCCTGGTGTAAGTTGACATTTTTCGAAGCTTGCTTTTTTGTTGAACCCCCACCCCCCGAGAGAATGATGCTGATCTTTCTTAGATCTATTTCTGCCGCTTCATTATCGACCCGGTGTTGAATGACCCGGAGACGGGCAAATACATTGACGCCGCTGTCTTGGAACGGTACTGGAATGTCGGAGGTGTCCGTATCGAGGACAATATTCACATCACCAAGGATGGTCATGACAATTTGACCTCGGCACCCAAGGCCATCGAAGAGATTGAGGCACTGGCTCAATAAATAGAGAGCAGATGGCCTGGCCTGGCCTGGCCTAATTTCACATAGAGCTAATGATTAGAATGAATAATCTGATTGTCTCTTCTCTTCAACGCGAGGTTCGATTCGATTCGATTCGATCCAAGGGCTCAGAGATCTATATTAAAGATCAATCAACAGTCAACAGGGAATGGGGTATCAAGCATATGATTTCATAGAAATTGTACAGGAACTGTACAGGCGACCACGACCTTCTTCACCAACCTTACTTCTCACTGCGCAGTCGCTTAGCACCCCGTTCCCTCGGCGTCCCCTCTGCCTCGGCATTACTAGCCTTCTCCTTCTTATTAAGAACCATAGTCAAAACATCGAAGGTAAATTCAGGAATATCAAGACAGATCTTCTTCCACTCATCTTCAATTGCGTGGCGCAGGGTATGGCTCCGACTAGCCCAGTACGAAGCAGCGGGCTTTCGAATCATAGTGTCGTCTTCGGGTGTGTTGGTGTAGACGTAACGGGCGTATGCAAGTTCGCCACTCGGTGTGCCGTTGACTTGGTGAATCTTTGTGTGAGCGAGACGTTTCAGAGAAGGCATGCCCAGTTTCTCTGCGAGGGTGTAGACGCGCGCGTGGCGGAGAAGTTGCTCGCCGGTGTTGTCGGTTGTTGCGATTTCTGATGATTCGGCGGGGATTGAGGGCTGGGATACCGTGTAGTCGTGGGTGTATTGGAATTCAAGGAAACAGCAGAAGGCATCGACGTTTTCTGTGGGAAGGGCGATGCGGCGCTGGTGGTTGGGTTAGTATATAATATCATATGAAAAGCGAAGTCTAAACGACAGCGTAAATAAGTGCTTACCGGACCTGATGCTTCGGATTTATTCACGAATTCGGAAAGTAAGGGCGATTCAATGAGGAGTGTTTGAT